CTAAATGGAATAAAGCCAGATTGTTTCTCCTAAGAGACCACACGTTATGGATTCACTCTCATTCTTCATCTCTCTTTTTTTCCCCATCTCTCCTTCTGTCCTCCTTCCCCTCCTAATATCGACTTTATCCTAAATGCCCTGTATTGTCAATTGGGATCGTACTAATTAGACATAGGTACTTCGACGGACGACGATCATGCCTGACTGGAACGGAGGCGGTGGCTTCGGCGCTGCTACTGGCGATTCTGACCCGTGGAACGATGGCCCTACTGCCGGTGGTGGTAGTGGCTGGGAACCTACCGATGATTTCGGGGGTGGAAGTGGAGCTGGAGCCGGAGGTGGCCGAGCTTGCTTCAACTGTGGCGAAGAAGGGTAAGTCGTTGAGAAAGCACCACTTTGGTTTTGCAGGCTCATCTAACGCTATGCTTTAGTCACAACAAGGCTGACTGCCCCAAGCCTCGTGTTATGAAGTGCCGACACTGCAACGAGGAGGGTCATCTGATCCGTGACTGCCCTACTGCTCCTCCTCAGGAGTTCACGGGAGAGTGCCGATACTGCAAGAAGGAGGGCCATATGGCAAAGGATTGCCCTGACAAGCCCCCCATTGTTTGCAACAACTGCCAGCAGGAAGGTAAGAGAAATTCTGATCATGTTTTAATTGCTTTTTTTCTCCGCGTTAAGCTGAAGGGTCCCTAACAATACGTCTTTCGTAGGCCACATGGTTGCTGAGTGCACTAGCGCTCGTAAGATTGACCGTTCCAATGTCCGTGATGTGGATGCCGAAGTCGCGTGGTCGAAGATCATGGCCGGCGCTCAGGCGAAGAGCTTGGAAACGGTCAAGGAAGGTATCCAAGAGTATGCCAAAGCTGAGCAGGGCATCAACTTTGACAACCTCGAAGAGGCATTCCGCGTCCAGCGTGTTGGTGTGTACTTAATTGCGCTGGAGAATCCGTCAATTCTCCCGACGCACACCAACATGGACCTCCAGGGAAATCTGGATAAAAAATACCGTGTCCAGTATCGTTGGTCCGACAAGCCCCTTCGTCCTCGAGAGGCACAGGGTTGGCCCCAATCGCCCGAGGAGAATATGGAGCGCCTCAAGGACGCTGGTGACACTGTTGATCGTGGTTTGCCCAGATGCAGCAACTGCGGTGAACTGGGTCATATTTCGAAGAAGTGCCACCAGGATAAGGTAGAGAGAGAGCGTCTCGTGATCATGTGTTTCAACTGTGATCAACCCGGCCACCGTATCCGCGATTGTAAGTTAGATAAAACCACCTAAGTAGTATTCATTGCTGACAAAGCTTAGGTCCCGAGCCACGCAAGAACAGGTATGCTTGCAAGAACTGCGGGTAAGCTCATACACCACCGAACTTTTTAAGAACCATATATGACTAACTGTATTATCAACTATAGCCAAGGCGGCCACATTGCTGCTGATTGTAAGGACATTGGATCACCGCGTTTGAGAATAACTATTAATGATTTTATAGGCACCGAGCCTCGTCGTGCCCCAGATGACCTAGAGTGTCGTAAGTGCGGTGGTAGTAAGTGATATCCTTTACTTGGAAGCGTCTGTCAGTGTGACTGACTATTCTTTAGCTGGCCATTTTGCCAAAGATTGCCCTGAGGGAGGCAACCGCAGCCGCGCATGCTTCAACTGCGGTGAGGAGGGTCACAGCTCCAAGGACTGCACGAACCCGAAGAAGCTCCAGTGTCGTAACTGCGATGAATTCGGACACGTTTCCAAGGAGTGCCCGAAACCTCGTGACTGTAAGTATTACTGAGATGTCTACCTCCTTATGCGTCGTTATCGTGTGACTGACATCATAAAAGACAGCCGTGTGAAGTGCTCCAACTGCGGAGAGATGGGCCACACTAAGGTCAGATGCAAGATGGAGCCGGCCCCTCTTGACGAGGCTACTTTCAACGAACCCCCTCCTGTTACGACCAGTGGTGCTAACGAGGGAAACGAGGGTAAGGAAGGTCCGTTCTCGTCCAGCTGGAGTGGAAATGCTACCGCATCCACTGGAGCGGCTGGCAATGGTGGCTGGGGCGAGCAAGCTACTGGCGCTTGGGGAGCACCTTCTGGCGCTAGTGCTGGTGATGGTAACACTGAGTGGTAAATTTCTGGTCTACCTATCTTAGGTATGACAGTCTGGCCCCCATGAACGTTAAGATCGCGATTTCGGATGGTTTAGTTCTTTCTTTACTGCTTTTCGCCGCCTGGTTTTCTGAGGATATTTGTTGATGTTGAGGATATGGAGAGGGCTATCTCACATCATGGTTAATAAGGGGAAATTATTCGCTGTTGCGAAGGCTAGTTCAGGGAGATAGAACATGCAGATACTGCCCTAATGATGATTTGTGTTCGCGATTTTGTGTGGCCTTCTGTGATAGCTACCTAGGTATGGATTGCATCATGGTTTCGTGGCGCAAGAATTGTCCTATACTTAATAAGCTTCGTTTCCCGGCGGCTTCTTGTCATACTAATATTTCTTTACTCCTATTCCCTCCCTTCGTTGTCTTCTTCGTCTTAGCTATGCTGTAGCGTATTCGGAATCCTCTGCCCAGCTCCTCCAAACTACCTGGGTACATGCACCTACCTAGGCAGCCAACAATCAGGTTGTTTTCAAATATCAGTTGATAGAATTTAACGTTCCTGTATGCCAACAGAGGCTGGTCCCCTTTTTGGGTCCTGGGCTTACTAGTGTTCTAAGTACAGGTAGCTGTAAAATTGAGTGGCTAGTAATATTCGGCTTTCGCTTGACGGACAATTTTCTTCATAGAGGTAGAAGAAGAAGATGGTGGCCGACGAGTTTTTCTTTTTCTAAGACACTCAGCCTAGGTAGCGTCATATAGCTGCGGGGGAGATGGACTTTGTAATACTCCGAGCAGAGCGAACCAGACCAGGTCTATCCAATCCAAGTAAATCATCTCAATAGAGTATCTACTTACGAGGTTACTTGGATAAGACAAGCTGCGAGTGTCAAAAGCTTCTACCTAATTATGATAAGGAAAAGTTGAGAGTTGAGTTGAAGTTTACGAATCGGAGCGAAGTGACGTAAAGTGAAAGGGGCTTGGGTTCCGGAGTTTATCTACCAGTGTATTAGGTAGGTGCGACAGTGGGGGTTTAGCGACAAGGGGGTCACTGCCTAACATAATATAAGGGGCCTGACGAAATCTTGGCAGGTGATCCAGGGATGTCTCAGGCTGCCCCGCAACAAGTTCCATCCAACGCTAACTAGTCAACTACCCCTCCAAAAACAAAGCGCATTCACAAGCTCCTAGGCACCAAACATAATAATAATAATACCCCAAACGGCTAACACTTGGACATTTCCAAACCATACGAACTTTGGGCGAATACCATACTCTGTATGTCTTTGTCTTAAAAAAGGAACGAGGTAGTGATACCACAAAACGCCGAAATGTCGATCACAATCGAGAAGATACTTGCTGCAGCGCCGGTCACAGCTCGAGGGCAACCGACCCAGCTGTCAACTGATGCTAAGGGGGAAAGAATAACTTATGCTGTATGTTGCCTGAAGCTATGTTGGCCAAAAAAAGGAGTAAACGCAACCTCTAATACTATACCATTAGTCCGGAAAATCAATTTTCGTTCGATCCATCGATGACCCTTCTTCCAGTAAACAATACACAGGCCACACAGCCCAAACGACAGTAGCCAAGTTTTCCCCCAGCGGTTTCTACATTGCCAGTGGTGATGTATCGGGCTCAGTTCGCGTATGGGATTCTATAGAAGCCGAGAACACTAAAGGTATTGGCGGGTAAATCAGAAATTCAATAAAGATTCGGTGAAACCAACTAATATGGCGCTCTATTCTAGGCGAATATCATATCATCTCGGGCCGCATAAACGATATAGCATGGGATGGCGACTCCCAACGTATTATCGCCGTCGGTGATGGCCGTGAACGATTCGGACACTGCATCACTGCGGATAGTGGAAATAGCGTGGGAGAGGTATCCGGACACTCCAAAGCCATCAATTCAGTCGCCGTAAGACCGCTTAGGCCCCTACGAGCCGCAACCGTTAGCGATGATCTAGCCATGTGCTTTCTGCACGGTGCACCGTTCAAGTTCAACTCGAAGTCTACTGGCCTTCATAAGGGATTCGTGCTGGGTACCGCTTTTTCGCCAGATGGAAATACCCTTGTTACCGTGGGCGCAGACAAGCGAATCCAACTATACGATGGCAAGACTGGAGAACCTACGAAGTCCATCGGCGAGGGTGAGCATACCGGTAGTATCTTCGCCGTTAGTTGGGCCAAAGACTCGAAGAGATTCGTCACCGCTAGCGCCGACCAGACCGTCAAATTATGGGACGTGGAAGCAGGGACAGTAGTACAAACGTGGAGGTTCGGGGAAGAAGGTGGTGTTAGCATCCCAGACCAGCAGGTCGGTGTCGTATGGCCGCACGGCCGCAGCGACGGTTTGATTATTAGTCTTAGTCTCGGTGGTGATCTAAATTACCTAGTAGAAGGCAATCCGAAATCTACTAAAGTCGTCCAGGGACATAACAAGAGTATCACAGCTTTAGGGGAGGGATCAGACGGTAAAGGCAACACTTTATGGACCGGAAGCTTTGATGGTCGGGTGTGCAGCTGGGACGTCTCCTCTGGAGTAGGCACTGTTGTAGACGGCCAGAGCCACACGAACCAGGTGACAGAATTTACTTCAAGCGCTGGACGGGCATATAGCGTTGGATGGGACGACACCCTACGCATAGTGGACGAGTCTGCCAATACATTCGCCGGTGAGAGTTTGAAGCTATCAGCACAGCCCAAAGGCGTCGCTTCTGCAGACGGAAAGGTGTACGTCGCAACAGTCACTGGCGTTGAGATTTACGTCAAGGATCAGCTAGCAGGAACATTTGATATCGCCGATTCCCAACCCACCGCCATTGCCGCCCAAGGTTCCCTAGTAGCTGTCGGCCTAAGCAATAATGCAGTCCGCCTGTACAAAGCGGACTCGAGCAACAAGCTGACGCAATCACACGAAGCTAAGAACTCTACCGCGCAGATATCGGCTCTAGCCTTCTCGAAGGACGGTTCCTTGCTAGCGGCGGGTAACACTGCCGGCAAAATCTACGCGTATAAGACGGGTGCCCTTGAGGTGGCGACGGATCGGTGGTCGGCGCATACGGGCCGTGTGACGAGCATCGCGTGGAACGAGGCGGGCACGCACGCCGTTAGTGGCGCACTTGATACTAATGTGTTTGTATGGAGCTTGGCGAAGCCCGGAAGCCGCGTCAAGACCCTTAATGCGCATAAAGATGGTGTCAACGGTGTCGCTTGGGTGGATGGGGGCAAGAAGGTGGCTACTACGGGTGGAGATGCTGCGGTCAAGATTTGGAACGTGTCGGGTTTGCAATGAGCGAGGGTGCGATTCGGTGTGATCGGATAGGTGAATGCGGTCGAGGTATCGTGTTATAAGCCTTGCGATGGATTGGCGATGATAGGAATGAATATTTACGAGAAAAATAGAGCTGTTCGGGCAATCCTAAAATGGCTTGCGTGATGCTTGTAGAATCTCACATCAAATTAGTTTATGGATCTATATGCGCTTTTGAAATGCTCACCTCGTAGATGTTCATACGATACCATCGCATAATATTCGCACCATAACAGATCAGAATGTCTAGTTGCTCTTATGCATCCCCTCGTTGTACCTGACTCGTACGAAGCCAATTGAGGGTGACTAGTTCGAGTCCAATCAATCAGCTTCGAAATAGCAAAAAGAGGCCAACACGACAAAGAGACAGCCAATTGTGTGCAAAAATAAAAGCAATATTTATTCGGATGCCCCTGTCTATCTAGCAGAGATGGATATTTTCGCAACTGGGGTATCTACCTTGCTTATCCGTGAACGCCGAAATTCATGAAACCTAATGACCCGGACGACGCCGTAGTTTCGCTCGCCTCTCGATGTAGGCAACGACTCGGCAGGACATACGAATTAAAACCACCAAGAGTCGCGGAGTTCACGCGTAGGCATCAAGCTGTCGATGACCTCCCAGAGGCCACCTGGGTAAGTCGAGCGTGGATCGGGCTCGGGAGGCCACTGCTTCCGAGGGGCGTTGAGGATATCTTCGGTGACAAGATCGGCTAGAGAGCTATGGTGCTATAGTATTAGTATGCGAGTGTTGCTGCGGAAGCATGGGCTATTTCATATAAATGAGGTCAGACGTACCCGATCTTGCCCTGGATTAAGAAGCCTTGCGCCTCCATCTCCTCGGCGATCTCTACTTGATGGTTGTCCATGAGCGAAGTGTTAGGCACTGCAATTATGTTCGTGTTGAAGTCGAGTGCATCGAGGATGCTTCCAGAGCCTATCATAAGATTATCAGCACAATATCTAAAAACGAGTTGTCTCAATTGAGAATAAAGTCCGAAGTATAATCGCACCGACAACATACCAGCATGAGTAATAATGAGGCCTTTCTCGCACTCATTATCTCCATCCGGACCACACTCGGCAGCAAAGCTCATCCAACGCTGCAGATCCTTGTCATACGCGAAGCCCTCAATTTTCAGACCGTCGGAGTCGCGGGGCTTGGCGGACTCAAAGTAATCGTAATCAGGCCCGCATTGTACCACGAGGTGAGAGAAGTGGAGTGACTTGAGCTTGGCGATAAAAGGTTCTGAAATAATCTCCTCGATAAGCGGCTTGAAGCTGGCGCTGGCGCCGACCGTGACGAAGGCAAACTTCTTCTTGCGAGGCTTCTCCTCGCGGACGCTTCCCGCGGCCATCGTGTACGGTAAAGTACCTAGGTAGGTAGCAGCTGGCTCTCTTCTTGATAGATCTTCTGCGGGGAACGTTAGTGAAAGTTGGGGGTTGGGGATTGACGGGACTAACGCAGATTTCAATAGGTACTCGGATTAAGAAAATGTCGGGGATAGGTGTGGTTGTAAAACGTAAATAACGAACAAAATAAGACAGGCGTATTGAGTTTGAGAGTTAAATACAGTGGCGGCGCTAAATAATAATTAAGTCCGAATTTAGATTAGGTTGGGTGTGTATCTAGCTGATCTGGGGGAGGGGTGTTTGTAGAGATGGAGAAGCACGGGAAGACCCGAGATTAATGAGCTGCATAAAGCTCAGACGTGATTTGATTAGCTCGAAAAGAGAGCCGAGACTATATCAACTTAGCGTGATCTAGATCTACTTGTATATTCTTACGATCACTTTAATTAGAGCAAAACAGCAATTGTGGTGTAAAGACAGCTACGGAAATCAAGTCATGTATTCCTTCTGGGTATGCAACCCAACCAGCAGCGCAGCATGCAGCCGCGGATTCTCTCCGTACATCATCGCCGCCGTGTATAGCGCGTACAGGAAACGCCCAATCTACTCAACAGCATCGAACTCCCCCTACGATTCCTTATAGAGACTCTCCAAGACATCAACCTCCTCCTGTAGGGTATCAATTAGCCTCGACCGGGCTTTACAGTTCTTCCAAAGTCGATCCTGGTCCTTCTTTGCCTCCTCCTTGGTGTTGGCAAGCTCCTTCTCCATGTCGTGAATCTGTTGCTTCAACTGTTTATTCTCGTCCTCTATCTGAGCGTTATTCCTCTTGTGTGCTGCAACATCGCCCTCGAGTGACTTGATTCGCTTTAGAAAGCTTCTGGCCTCTGCGGCCTTCTCAGATCTGAGGTGCTTAGATCTTTTGTCGCGTTTAGGGGCGCGGGGGTGATCGGAATTGCCATTAGTATCGGCCATGGCGACAGATAATAGACGGTAGATGGAGTACAACTATTCGTATCTGTCAAATTGGGTTGCAAACGGTTAGCAAAAAAAAAAAAAAAAAAAAGCAACTTACTTGATGAATTCAGGGGAGTGAATTGGGTATGAGGCCTGCACCAAGGCAATTGGAGATGCCGTGGAGCTCAGACTGTGGGTTGGTTGGAGATAAAGTTCGAAAGGCGGAAGAATAAATTATTTAGAAGGGTGTGGGAGGAGGAATCTGTGTCAGAGTAAAGAGGGGTGGTAAAACTGAGAGTTGGGTAGGCGCGAAGGGAGCACCGATGCAGTAAGGAAGGTGGGTGAAAAAAAAAATATTCATGAATATATTTAAGGCAGTTGCGCTCATAAGGTGAGAAACTGGCCCTTTGCACCTGAACTCTATAATTGTAAACCATATATATCGGTTTATGATGTAGTTCTGTCAACAAGCTTCATGGTGCAGCGGTCTGAATGTAAGTCGTGTGGGTTCAGGGGATAGACTTCATTCGAGGTTTCCGGTTCGATTCCTCAACCGAGAATTAAACAGACCGATCCCTTTGGGCAGCTAAGACTGTTACTCGGACGCGGGTTCCACCTTGGTAGTAAGGACGCCAAAGGGTATTCCATCAGCAGCTGGTTCGGTCGTTCCCTAACGGTTGCGATTTCATGTACCAGAGAGTATCTAGAGCCTTGAGGATGCGCAGTCACCATGGCTCATTCATTGGGTATTCGGCTCGGCCTTCGGGTCGCAGTTTCATGGCCTTTGGGTACTAGAGTACAGGTGAATGAGGAGACTTACATACTTGCTCGTTTTTCTCTCTCTTTTTCTTTTTTTTTCCTCCTTTCCTTTCACCTTTATCTCTTTTAATCCCCCGCTTCCTCCTTCTCTATACATGACAATAATTGTATCTTAGCATCACTTGTTGTATATGTATCACAAATGGTTGCACTTGACCCCCGAAAACGCGGCGACGTTGCTGTGTTAGGCGCTGTAGATGCTATAGTGTTCTATGGGACGCGTTACGAAATGTGGAGGAAAAAAAGTATTGGGAATAGCAAGAGAAGGACGGGTTTATCCAAGGTTGATGGGAGAAAAACTGATAGTTGGTAGGTGTGTAAACAAACACATATTTCGGGCAGTTGCACTCATTGGCACAGTGTCAAAGTGATCGATTGGAAGAAATAGGTAGTTGCAATCAAACCGGCTCTCCACACCTGACATCTGTAATGTAGACCATATATATTAGTTTAAAGTGTGGTCCTTCCAACAAGCCTCATGGTGCAGTGGTCTGAATGTAAGTCATGTGGGTTCAGGGGAACAGGCTTCATTAGAGAGTCGAGCCGGTGGGGGGGTTCGATTGCTCGACTGAGCATTAAACGGACTTATCCCTTTAGGTACCCAACGCCCTAAAGGTTTCTATTCCTTGTTTGAATTCTACCTCCCGTTGGGGGATGTAGTGCAACTAAGGATAGCAGACATCATGACCTCCCTATTCACCCGGGTATTCGGCTTCGGTTTCAAGGCCTTCGGGCACTAGAGTATAGCGTGATTAGGTTGGACTTGATCGCTGGGTATTCGGCTACAGCATCACGGCCTTTAGACAGGTACTAGAGTATAAGTGGTTGAGTAGACTTACATACTTGCTCAGAGTTAAAATTATTATTTTTTCTTCACCCACCAACTTCTTCCCCTTTTATTTTATTTTTCTACCTCTCTTTACCGTTGCGAATTCCGCGAGCAAATCAAACCAAATGAGAATAAAGATACGCCCATGGGCGCGATAAATTTACTTACTAGCTATTCCAAGTAAGCGACTAATCAACTGAGCCATATTCATATCTAAAGCGAGTGTAAGCTTCGATAGAGAGGAAAACACCTTATTAAGCAATTTGATATTTCAGTATTCGTGGAATATATGACTAGGTATTCTAGGTATGGAGTATCTATAGACATGTTTTTGGGCTTTGTATTATTGAGTGTCGCCATGTAGTGTTTTAATAATTTATGAGGGAAGTGATGGATGAAGAGACGTTGTTTAGGAGGTCACATGGGATTTTGGTACAGTTTAAATCCATTCTACGTACCCTGAAGTTCTGCCAAGCCCCACTACCTAATACGGCTAGCGTCTTGAAACTTCTTGGCATATTTTTTCTTCTTTTTTTAACGAGTGCATTCCTGTTGCTTGGCCTGTGCATGGTATATCTATATATGTAGTGTGGGGTACGTGCTTACGTTAGAGGATATATCCACCAATAAATCCACATCCTTTCTCCGGAGTTTCTCCGACTTGGTTTAGCAGAATGTATAGATCTAGAATCAGTGGGGCATCAGAGTGGAGACATTCGGGTTAACTCAATATCCGCTAAATTTATCTTTTTTTATCTTTGTTACCCATTACATACAGCTCAGCGACTTTTGCAATTCGAACAGATGCTGGGTCGTAACTCATAATCGCCATGGCCTCTGGTGTCCAAGCAATGCGGTTATGCCTGCGGGCTTTTCGGCATCACCCGGCCCCCCGAAAAGTCGGCGCGCGGATATGCGTCCCAAACCGAACATTCTCCTCGACACCCATACAATGGCGCCCTGCAGCCAAGAAAGGCGAATTAGATAAACTAGAGGAAGATGGCGAAGACGACGGCGATTTCGATATAGTTGCAATAGAGAAATCCCTTCGCGAAGCCCTCGACGATCCGACAGTTGACCTAGAGAATACGACCCAAACCCAAGAGAAAATTTTAGGAAGCATTTCTAACACAATAGCGGAAGTGCAGAGGACGCCCATATTAAACCGCAAAAAATCATTTTGGCATGAGGAAGAGGAAGATCCCGACTTGATTACAGATGAGCAGAACGAAGACGCGTTCGACGAGGATGATATCATGAGCATGGCACATGGCAAGCTGGAGGAATTCCGCGAGTATAGAGAGTACGCTCGCATAGCTGCTTGGGAGATGCCCTTATTATCCAGTCAGTAGCCTCGCAAATTGTCTCATTTCGAAATAGCCAGCTGACTGTTTAAGCTAGAGCTAGCTAGACCTTTTGAGCCCCCTACCGCCCAGGAACCGTTACGATTTCGATATACAAGTTACATGGGCGAGTTCCATCCGGCGGAATCTAAAGTCGTTGTTGAATTCTCACCGGGAGATCTACCATTGAACGATGCGCAACAACTCAAAATGAAGAAGTTGTTGGGTCCTCGATACAATCCAGAAACAGACATTGCCAAGATAAGCTGCGAACAATTCGAGCATCAGGTACAAAATAAACGGTATCTCGGCGATTTAGTCGAGAGCTTAGTCGCGCAAGCAAAGGTACGTTCCAATCATATTGAGCTCAATTTACACGAATCAGTTTTTGCTGACCACGGCGGTCAAGGATCCCTCCGACATGTTCGAAGATATCCCGCTCGATACGAGGCACCACACGTTCAAGGTCAAACCTAAGTTCCCACGGGAATGGCGAATGAGTGAGGAGCGACGGAAGTTCATCGACGATACAAGACAGAAGTCACTCCTACTTGATCACGCGAAAGAAGAAGCTGGCGCCTTAATTAATGGCAAGGAGAAGATTGATCTGTTTTTCAGCGCACCTCCTCCCGAATCCAAAGTCCCCGAGTTTATTAAAGCACGATCTAATCGGCCGTTACCGAGAGGCAAGCAACACCAATTACATAAACGGGCCTGATTTGTATACTACCATGTAGATAACCAGAATAGGGGAGAAGGTCCCCCAAGAAGCCTGTATAACTATGAATATACAAGTACAAAGTACCAAACGTCCCCATGAGGGTATCCCTCCTACGAAGACGGCACTCGTGAATGAGGCTGTTCGAAGAAGTGTTGATGATGGGAATTTCAAATTTGAAAATGCAGTGTCTCGCTGCTTGATTCCCGAAAACTGATATTCTATTTTCTATGAAAGAGATTGGATAGGAGTCTGACACGGTTCTTGCCTCTTTTTTTTTTTTTTCAACGACGGACGGCATTTCCGTTGCAGAATGGAATTCGACTACCTCCTGCGTAGGAATCATTTGTGCAACCATCTAGATACGCGAAGTAGCATGTCTTTCAGTATGATTTTGATCAATGCCGTGGTGTGCACTTGTTCTATTGGTTTTAGGCTGTCTAGATGGGTAGTAAATGAGGATCTTACATCTCAAGATCCTGTTACCAAAGGAACTAGACGGCTACACTGCACCCATTCTATCGGTCAGTTCTGAAAATGGTGAAAAGGTCTAAGGATGTTCCTAACAGGTCGTTGCAACTCCTCTATATCAACCTAGGGAACATTGAAAGCTAATCTTTCAGCCAGGGATAAAATTATTATTACGCGACTTTGTATTAATGTTGCGGGTTCATACGTCGGGCAGTTGCATGTGCGAGACCTCTAATTTTGGTTATACGAGGGCATTAGATATAGCTAACACTGGTTATAGAAGCTGATAATTTGACAGCTGCCCCTTTATAATTATAATAGGCGAATTCATAACGTTGTAGCGAAATCCCTTGGATGACATGTTGCTCATGCCAACTGCGAGGTCGTTCGAGGCCGCATCTCGACCTCGATTTGTGGTCACTAAGGCTAGTCGGTAACCCCACAGAGTGCATGAGAAAGCTTTGCCAAGGCGGCATTCGGCAACAATACGACAGGCATTAATGTATTTGAATTCTATGGTTGTGAATCCGGCGCGGAAGATCGGCTTCGAATATACTACTTATATCCTATCATAATGCCCAGCTATGCGACAAGTATGGAGTTGCCTCGAATAATTCCACCATTGGCCATTGTCGGACACAAAGATGAGTATTTAAAGATTTGATTCGTCAAGCTCGGGATTTGACCTTACTAACTTCGTATCGGAGGCTGGCGGATATTGCAGGTTCAGCAGGACCATGACGGCTATGCCAAAGAATCTACATAGTCATCAATTGAATCTTGATCATGCGCCACAATACTATGAAGTCGGGGAAGAGTTGAAGAAGAATTGAATCAAAGACTGCGTTCTAAGACTCTGCAAGTTGGCAAAATAGGTTCCAAATCGGGAAATAAAAAAACACTAGCGCATCAAGCCACAGTTATGGGCGGGACCTCCGAGACATCAATGCATGTGCGCCACATAGCCTGACGTCACGTTGCCCCAAGCTTTTTATCCCGGCTCATGACGGCGGGTAGATCATGGACGAAAGCAAATACATGATTCGGTATTCTATTTATCGTGTTCTATGAGTTCCTGTTTAGTGGCTTCGGGCGATATTTACATACATAATATATGTACATCATTTTTAGAATACGTATACGTTAAGTAATATTTACCACTCTCTACCTAGTCAATGGGCATTGAGAAAAGCCGAAAGCTTCAATCGTTAGGTACCTACGTACATATACCCAGGGGTGGAAGCAAGGAAAGAGGCATCCAAGTACCTACGTACTCACATATACAGGAGCATACCATGTATGTAAATAAGTACTTGCTTGTCATACTAGTGCATGTTTGGCGGGTCTAGAATGTATGACGCAGCCGTCTAAAGCGAAATTAGATCCTTGTTTCGTTGCAAATGCATCATAGTTCCAAAGACCCGCTGCCAAAGAATTCAAGGAACGGCACCGTTTTCCGTGCACAAAGGCAATCCAAACTTATACATTACCTACAGATGGTACATTCGTCCCAAATACCCTTGTGACAACGACTCGATTCTTCATTCGTGACTTCTTACCAAAATTTTAGGTGGATATTTAAACTACATCCCCCCCCTCTACCATCTCGAGACAACACTTTTTGTTTCACCTCACACAATACTACTGCCATTACAACCATATTTCTAATCCAAACCGAAAAAAAAAGATCGATTGACAAAGCCAGTCCAAACCTAAAAAGTTATCGACTTCTCGACACCACCAAACATTTTACAACACCCAACTGCTTGAACCCATCGAGGAAATTCTTCTACAACATTCACAATGCCTTTCACCGCGAGGTAAGGACAATTTCTCACCCGGCTTGTCCGTGATGTCAGACCACTTGCTGACCCAATATGACATCTAGCGATATCTGCAAGATTATTCTTGCCATCATCCTACCTCCTCTAGGTGTCTTCTTAGAACGTGGATGCGGTGCCGACTTTTGCATCAACGTCCTGCTCACCATTCTGGGTTACATTCCGGGTATCATTCACGCGCTGTATGTGTTTAATTACTTATCTTCCATAACCTTCCTCGATTTCTACATAAGGAGATGGTGGTGGTTGGTAGTACAAGTACATAATGGAGGTAGACTGACATCGGCCCTGCAGGTACATTATTCTCAAATACTAAAGGCGCCCCGAATCACCCGCGATTCCCTTCCGCATTTTTCGGCATGCAGCGACAGCATAGCAGGATTCAACCATAGACGATCGGGGAAAGGTTGGACCAATCGTGTGGCGGTACAAGGGTACGTGGTGCTTGGAGGGGCAATCTATACATGGGTCCAGCTATGACCCGTGGACCTTTTTCTCTTCGGTGCTAAAGTGGAAATGGAATTTATTGCTGTTCGTCGGGTCTGACCGACGTCACCCAATCTTCCTTTCTACGCCTTAGTCCACTTTACTCTTTAATTCTCGACGATGCGACGCGATGCGATGTTTCTCTTTCAATTAATCGACTATCACGACGATATAATGTTGTGGCGGTTCGTCTGGGGGGGCTGGAATTAGTTGAGGAATGATTGCTACGTGTAATTCGCGACGCTTTTAGATTTGCTGTTGACATTAATGATTACGAACTCCGATACCCCTTGCAAGACGTCTCCATCGCATAGTGCTATCATTTGACTGAACATATATATATTAATGCAATCGAATTTGAGTTTGCATGTGACATCACAACGTTTGCGAAACTATAACTAGCTACCAACATTCGTTATACGCTTCCCAATTCGAAATAGGACAAATTTTAGTTGTCGATCGTTATATATGGCTCTGCGGTGAGGATTGGAATAGATTTATAGCGAGCGGTCAAGAAACCGGAATTGATCGAAGTTAGTATTTTGGAATGGAACAACCACCATGTGAGATCCCACCTAAGTTGTTGCACGATCTTGGTTTATGCGGTATCATGCATCAGAAGCACTACATCATTGATCAAGTCTTATATTTGCTATGCTCGACCGATTTTAAATGATAAAACCTATTCAATGGTAAGCAACATCTTCAAGAAACATATCTATGTAGATACTCACATCATTCTTGCCTACCGATACAACGGCGTCCTCCGATACTCGTACGCTCCCGACGCCTTCCACATAGGCGATTGGCGCATCGCCCATCACTTTCCTTGCGACATCACCAACAGTTGTATTCTTTTTCACAAGAACACAATCTCTGAATGCGACCTTCGTGTCTGAGCCGGAACTGAAGGTCGATATGTTTCGTACGGGGAAAACTGGTACGAGCCCTAATATCTCAGCCGCCTTTGAGAGGACCTGGACTACACCGGTAGATCCATAACGGAATAGGATCATATCCCTGTACTCCTCAATGGTATTCTTGTTCTTCTCGTCTAGTTCCTTTAACCCCCCTCCTTCTGGGTCACCGTCTGCGATTAAGTCCTCACGCGTATCCACGAACTCCGTCCCCTCTGTATATCGTATGTAACCTTGTTTGGCCATCTTCCGTAGGAACAATTCAGCTTTTGCTGAACACGCCACAACCATATTGGGATCCCGCATCTTGGTAATCTTCATGAGGTTCGTATAAGCGTCGGAATCGTCAATCTTATTCAGCGCAATCACAGTAGGGAATTTTTCGTCTGTAAACGCGCTGACTACACGATCTACAGTTTCCTCGCTCCAGCTCTCGAGCGGCTCCTTCAGGCCAAGGCGATCCAATGTCCGGGCTACCACAGAAGCTGTACTTCCGTAACCAGAGAATTGTCCCTGTAGGGTTTCGACAGCGGTGGCTTTGGTAGCGACGTGGCGCCGCTTTATGGAACCCCATTTCTCCCATAGGTTCCCCTTGATCCAAGCAACAATCTCGCTGCGCAACCAAGCTATATCTTGGGAAGGATCATAGCCTCGTGTATTTTCGCCCTCAGCATTTGTCCTTCCACTCGCATCCACGACATGTATCAATGCATCGGCGTGGCGAAGATCGTCTAAAAACTTGTTGCCGAGTCCTTTGCCTTCGTGCGCACCGGGAACGAGTCCAGCTACGTCGAGAAGCTCGATGGGTACAGAACGGCGGCCGTCGACACATGATCCATAGTTAGGCTTGCATTTATCTTGGACGCCAAATCGCTCGCAGGCGCATGTTATTTGGAGATACCCGATGGCTCGTTGGGGATCGATCGTGGTGAAACTTGGGAAATGCGTGTCGTTAGTTAAAGACCAAATATAGCATACCATCTGTCTCTTTGTCGGGGGTTAGGCATACGGATAGTTTCCTATGTCGCAATTTATATAATCAGCGGCGCAGTTCGGGTCGATGATGCTGGACTCGACCCACCAACTTTGGATGTTGCATCGGTCAAACTGTTCAGCGTTGTGCTTTTCCCGGCGGAGGGCTTGCCCACAAGGCCGATTAAGGGATCCCGAGGCATTTCCCCTTAAATGAAGAACTCGGGCGCATGAATTGCAACTGGTCGCAATGTGAAATTGTGTCAAGTTTCTAGGAAATCTTGAGGTCCGAAGGTGGGGTGATAGATGATAAGCGATTTGCGATTTGCGACCGTCCCCCGAGTTCGCTACCCACCTAGGTAGGAAAATTCAGACAAGGTTTTTGGAGGCTGAAACCCGCTGCACTGGCACTGTAACTTCCAAGGTTCTCACTGGAAGTCGCCGTGATTGCTACCCACCTAGGTACCCACCTGCCTTGCTTAGCAGCCCTGGAGCCCTCTAGTGAAGCTACAGAGCGATCCTTGTACTGTACCTACCACTAAATTACAGGGGACTAATTTCTATCATCACATCGCCGATTCTCATTCTTCGTTCATCAATCCGCACGATATACGTACAATTGATATTATTCACAATAAATCTTTGAACGGTACGCTTACATCCCACAATGCGGAGAGGTCATTTTTCACCCGATGACCTACCCGCTTGGTCGGTCCTGAATGACGTTGCATTCGTCAATGTTAAAGTCGCCGACATCAAAGGTCGAGGTTATGGCTTAGTAGCAGAGAGGGATCTAGTTGCCAAAGACGACGACACCGAGTCACCAACTCTTCTAACTATCCCCAAAGATATCATCCTCTCTGTTAAGCATGTAGAACAATACGCCAAGGAAAATAAGAGTTTCCGACAGCTTTTGGATGCGGTCGGTCACCAAGTAGGTATATGTCTAGTCTGCTGCAGACATTGTGCTTGATACTAAACATGGGTTCGTTCTAGTCAACAAGAGGCAGCATTCTACTCTTTCTTTTAACACAGCAGGTGTTAGCTTCCCCTGATTATGAGGGTGGCCTGGGCCCATCCACGCCTTGGACTCAATATTTTAGCATTTTACCAACACAGGTCCCAATCCCTACAATGTGGACGGAGCTGGAACTCTCCCGCTTAAAGAATACTTCATTGGAGGTGAGATGTTTTTTGATTTGATTATTGACGTATGGGTCTCTATCTGGAACAAACTGACGTGTTCGAATAGTCGGCGGTATCTGCTAAATTGACTGTTCTGACGAGAGAATTCGATGACCTTCGTGCAAGTCTGAGTGAATTGGCATACTGGAACGATCTCCTTACAATTGACGAGGCCATAACTATTCGGGACTGGATCCTCCTTGACGCTCTATTCAGATCGCGCTCATTAGAGTTACCTAAGTCTGGAGAGTCGATGGTCCCTGGTCTCGACTTAGTCAATCATTCTAGTAAGGCCACGGCTTATTACGACGAAAATGACAAAGGAAAAGCAGTGCTTCACCTACGAGAAGGTTGTTCGGTGGCCCGCGGCGATGAAATCACCATCGATTACGGACGGGACAAGTCGCCGGCAGAAATGCTGTTCAGTTATGGTTTTATCGATATAGATTCGACTACCAGAAGTCTTACCCTACCTCTAGAACCTTTGGACGACGACCCTCTTGCGAAACCGAAACTTGCTGTTTTCGGAAAGCCACCAAAATTGCAGATAACAGAAGGCGAAAGTGGCGTTGCACGCTGGAATGGCGATTTTGTGTATCTTATGTGCCTTAATGAGGAAGGTAAGCACCTCAAGAGCCCCCATCTCTAAGATATACTTGTATAGGCCCTCTGACCTATTTATTTCCAATATCCTACTCGACAGGGAAGTACTAACGCTCTGAAAACCCAGACGGTTTGGATTTCAAGGTAGTTCAGGAAACCAACGGATCCAATCATCTCAAGATGTTCTGGCAGGATTCCGATATCACCAATCCGTCAGATACATTCAAAAGCATTATCCAAGGGCATGAATTATACCCCATATTTGAACTACGGGCCCTAACAGTTGTTCTAATTATTACTTCACATCAACTTGAAGAGCTTGTCGCCGGCCAGGAGAATAACGTAACACCTGGATCAGTCAGACCAGAGATATGGCAAGCCGCTACACAACTGAGGTTAATCGAGACTAGCATCCTTGAAAGAAGCATAAAAGCTTTCGAAGATCAGGTGAGTCCGAATCCTGGAGTTTTGGGGGTATTGGGTATCCACAATACCATCAATCCAGTATTACAACAATCCACTATCACCCTTTACGAATTTTTTTCGTCAATGGAGTGTTACTAATACATAGATCCCAGAGAGACGGGCTGCTACAAAATGATACCGTATTGAAATACCTGACTTCGAGGTCGTCTGACCAGAACGACGTTCCCGCGGAAGACGCTAACGACGACGAGGATTTCAGCTAAAAAGAAATTATCTCAATAGACCGTTCCTGTCTCAGCCACCGCAAGGATTTTATGCCAATCAACGGAGTATCCTCGCGCTCAGGATTTGGCCTGCATCCCCGCAGTGCATTTAATGTATTTCTACTATTGAATCAGCATACGGTTATTGCTATGGGCATAGGCACATCCCTATGAGTGTGCCATGACATCACTGTCAGGTTCGTACTCTCGGCGAGCTAATTCGTTTATTAGTGAATCAGGCGTGAGAGAATTGACGCGATTACCTAGGGCGATATTGAAGAGCCGTTGGGCATTACGAGAAATTCAGAGTTGAACTTACATACCGTTGGTCGATAAGAAGTAATCTATGAAGATGTGACTAGCGGTCGTAGAGGGTCCTTTGGGCTTATAATTCGGACCGAGAACCCTGAACCAATCCTGGATTGCACATGTTCGGCACTGGTTTTATACAAGCAATTCAACCCACGTATGGGGCTCGTTCCTTACATGACATGGCCCGGCGTTCTGTGCCATGATCTCCCTCGCCGATTTATCCACGACGTGGGCTTTTTTAACCGGTAGCAACTCTCCCAAAGCCACACGAGAGGTACCCCCATGTGGCATCCCGATGTGGAAAGAAGTGATCGCTCCAAGGTGAACCCTTAAAACGGGCCGCGAATTTTGATAATTGTTCTGAGCGAAAATTTACCGCCTGACCCTCCCACGCTTTCTCACTGCATTCAAGCCAGGCATGTGCCCGAAGCCAAAAAGCCCCCATGGTACCTAGAACAGCAAGGTTCGGGTTCTATACACCATCGGAGTAACCACAGATCGGCAGCGTACATGGTGGCTTGCAGAGGGAGCAGATGGCTTTTTGATTGTTTTCGCTACCCTGTTAAATGAATTTGAAGAAGGATCAAGGTTGAGGGGCCCGCTTCCGCTGACTGTCCCTAGGAAGTTCATTATAGGCTCAGTAGTATACAGCTTAGAGAGGTGGATTTAATATAACAAATCTGCATTGGCTTTGCTACGGTAGTACCAAGGGATCGTAGCTAACAGGCAGCAAGCTGTCTTCTCGATTGATTAATACCTGCGTACTTCTACTTTGTAGGTCGAGCCCTGTCATAGTGTTGATCGACTACTCTAGTTGGAATACTAGGTTAAACAGGCATCAGTCTGAGGCTTGGGATACGGCATCGCGGAACTGCCGTAGACATTATTTTATGTACTTGATGTCTCAACGAGTAATATTTTGTACCCATTTTTGCGTTACAGCCAAGCTAGTTTGTTGTTGAGGAGTATTACTCAGGTATAGCTAACTAACCAGGTTCTTCGGATTGGTAGCATAGCTAGAGTACCTTTTTTTTCTGCTTCAAGTGTTGCACTGCATATGGTTACCTATAGGAATTCGCCGGCCGACATTCAGAAGGTGGCTTGGCGGCGGTCACGACGATTCCGAGTGCTGCAGCAATCGAGTAGTGCGACGAGGATGGCGTGGTGGACTTTGGAGATGTCGGTGCACACCTACAATGCTAACCTCTCTTAGATTATGTACCTAGATAGTAGTATGTAGTCTGGATAGTCCGGATAGGTATATGTACATGTACTTGCGGAAATATGCGGGTTTTCTAGACGCCGCAGCATCCTTTTTTCTCACGGCCCGTACGGGAATCCATTGCTTATATCCTTGAAATCCCTAGATCCCTTGGCTTTGGACGGCTAGGATAGGGAGTACCTAATGATTATATACTTGGGTATCTTTGGTCCATCTTTTGGATTATGGATTCGCTCTCTTACCGCGCATGCGATCATACGATATGCGACGAACTCTTGACGCTCGGAAATAAGATAAGCTAGGGATAACCATGTGTGAGAACGGCTTTTACTCGCGTATCTAAAGAAACCTGGGGTAAATCCCTTGCTAAGAGGATTCGAGATCTCTTGATTTTTTAAAAACGTGACCAACTGTTCTTGTAGAAGGCTCAGTAAGCTAAACCGCAATTGTGGGATGAGTGGTGCCATTCTTTTTTGGTAATGCCGGTGATGACATGCCAAGTCCTAGGTTCGAGAAGAAATATCGGACATTGCCTGGGGCATTAACTATATAGGGCTACTTTTGAGATCGAAAGTTCGTGTGTTAAACATCCAACCGTTTCAACCATTGATAACCTGCATCCTTACATATGTATGCAGGTAGACACGATTGCTTTCTCTTAACCAACCAACCGCCACCTTATTATTTTATGTTTTCACCTTATGTGCGTGATAACTCCCTCATGCATAACTAGTGTACCACGCTTGAATAGGTAAGGCGTGTGGAGTATAGTATGATGCAGGTTTATGAGTTAGCAAGTTAAGGTCTACCACACTTTTGAATTTATCAATACTCGAGTATCTTCATTATTGATGTATATATGTGTATCGTATTGTTTGAACATCTATTGGTATCTGAGTCGATTATTGGAATAGACTACTTAGAGTTGACTTATACAAATGGTGTTGTTAGTATTCTTATTTCGATTTCTTAATTGATACTCTAGCTTTCTAATCTTTGTAACTTCAAGTAAGTAATACGCTGTAAATAATTGAGTCTTAATGGAAAGCTGATGTAATAACTTCCGGCTATTCGATGCGAGATGCATATACTTAGTTATACTTTACCTCCTTGTACTTCTCTGGCTCTTTCCCTTCCACTGAAGGTTGTGTGTTCGCCCCCCCCTACCTAGCCCACCCCGGATTCGTTAGTGCACTCCATTAGTATAATACCCCGCTGATCTCAGAAGTCCATCTGGAGTAGCGGGCATTGGTGCTTCCGTTTCTCGCCATTTCTCTCCACTAATCTTTTTGTCTCCACGCATCCTCAATCTCTCTTAACTTCTTGTTTTTTCCTTCTTCCTTAATGTCCCTCAGCCTACTCCCGCCACGTTGAACTTAGTAGCCCTGCGCGCGCCACCATTTCCTACTGACGAATCCTAGCCTTAAATAACATATTGCTTGATTGATCCCTTCGCAGTACGAACCTCCAATTCTTTCGACCACGCGTGCGACTCCCGAGCGAGACATGAGTAATTTTCATAACCCTTAGTGACGTGCTGATACCCGCAACCGCAACCGACGCTTACCCGAAACTTGCGGATACCAACCCCTATGGAATGGGGGACTCGGTATTGGGTTTGACATAAATTCGATCACTCAACCGGATAGTTCTTGGTTTTGGATTAGATACAAATACCGCCGATATGCCTGGAATTCTGCCTATGAAAGTCATCAAGGTGGGCACCAGCTCGCAGAGCCGCATCGCCCAGGCTTGTGATAGGTATGTGTCATGCGATACGGAGACAAATTACCTCCCTACAGTTTTACTAAGAGTCTTTGGTCAGATGTCGAAGCAAGAAAATTCGTTGCGATGGCATCCGCCCCTGTTGCTCGCAGTGCGCCAATGTCGGATTCGAGTGTCGCACTAGCGACAAACTAAGCCGGCGCGCATTTCCTCGAGGCTACACCGAATCGCTGGAAGAGAGGGTGAGGCAATTAGAATCTGAAGTTAGGGAATTGAAGGATTTGTTAGACGAAAAGGACGAGAAGATCGATATGCTGTCGAGGATGCATGACCACCGCCAACCATCTATCGGATCTGTCGGGAGCCCAAGATCGGTAGAACCGAGGAGAGATGCCACTTCACCGGCCAAGGAAGACGTTTTTCGTGTGCAGGCCTCACCGTTGTTACTCGGCGTGGAAAATTCGGACTCTTATTTCATGGGACCTTCAAGTGGACGCTCTTTCATTGGTAAGTTCACTATGCTTTTGATGATAATATCTAAAATTTATATCTAATCCTCTCTTCAGAGTCCTTTAAACGGAAACTCCAGGAAAACGGGAAGCCGTGTTCCGACTTCAATCCAGAGGCTTTTCTTCATATTCAAGGGTGCTACCCCCTAGTCACCAAACCACCTTCTCAATCAATGAGAATACCACCACGCCTGTTCTCGGACAGATGCGTAAACGTTTATTTCCAGGAATGGGCACCGCTATTTCCCGTCCTTCACAAACCGACATTTCTCCGCCTATACGAGGAGTTCGTTGCCGATTCGGAGAAGGTGAAAAATAACCATAAGCTCGCACAACTTTATCTAGTTTTCAGCATTGCCGCTCTCTCGAGTGATTTGCCCGATATGGAGCAGATTGCCGCCTGCGAGGCCCAGTGGCAAATGGCCCTCGATGCAATTCTTATGGACAACACAATGATCACACTGCAGTGCTTAGTCCTTGCATTGATGTATTGCACGATTAGAGCTGATTACAAGCGATTGCAACATTATAAAGGCGTCGCAGTCGGGTTATCCCACAGATTGGGGTTACATCAAAGCCAGAAAAGATTCTCATTCGGTGCCCTGACAATCGAGACCCGAAAGAAAGTGTTCTGGACTCTCTACACCCTTGACTGGTAAGTTGCTACGTACTTGATATGCATCGCTTTACAATATGCTAATCAAAACAGTTTCTCTGCTGCTATGCTTGGACTTCCCAAGTTATTAAAGGAGGACGACATCCACGCCGAATATCCGTCAGATACCGACGATGAATATGTTACAGAGAAGGGTTTCCAGCCCACCCTACCAGGGGAGTATACTAGGCTGTCAAGCGCGTTAGCATTATTCAGAGTATCTCGCATTCTTGCCAATGTGCTTGAGAAAATTTATCCAGCCGCCACATCTTACGAATTATCGCTTCAACAGATTGCAACGTTAGATGCGGAGCTCTCCGATTGGTACGAAAATTTGCCTACTCACCTTCGGCTGAACTTTGCGCAAGACAAGCCATCAACGGATATCACTGGAAGTAGATCCCCGATTCTGGTAAGATTCTATTTAATATGAGGCTTATTAATGGATTTGATGCTAACTTTGATAGGCCTTGGCATACTACTATGTCCGGGGACTCATCCACCGCCCTGCCGTAGGCTCAACTTTAGGAGTCAAAGCTGCGCCGGCTCTTATTGCTGTTGGAGAGTCCAGTAAGCATATTGTGCAGATTATCCAGCTCCTAGAAGAGAGAAGCATGTCTTTCTCGTTCTGCCTCAACAAGACAGATGTACTTGTTCTTTGTGGAACGAGTCTACTCTATCAAAGTTTGGATCTCAAGCACGAGAGTAAACTTATGAAGGATATTGAACGGCTCGTCAATGCTGTAGTGAAGATATTACTTAGGACGAAAGCCCCTGGTACGTACGACCTTAAGCGGGTTGCGTCATTGCTCATCACTATCGACGTGCCATCTCAAATCACGTCGATGCGAACTAGCCCGGATACCGCCATGGCTGCTCCCCCAGCAAGGACGTCACCACTATTGAGTCTCTCAAGAAAGAAGTCACCTTACAACGCTGGTCGAAATACCGGCGCAAGTATGAGTGAAACAGATTTGCTGTCCCAACAAGAGAAATTACGTCGTATGACCCTGCCGAATGGTCAGGGCGCCCGGCCAGAAATGCATCGCACACAGTCCCGCGCTTCACTTGATGTGAACGGGGAACAAGTGATGCCACGGCGAGACCATCGTTTCTCGATATCCCAAATCCAGCAAACTATGATGCGTATGTCGCCTACACATAAATCCAAACAACGAAATCTCGATTATCTTTCGCTTAATGAAGCGCAAAACAATTCCCAGGCTTCACAGTCACAGAATCGAAACCCGTCGCAACCGATGGCTCATGATCAGCAACAACCACAAACGCAGGTATATCCTTCGAACCAGGTAGTGAATAAAGGTGGTTCCAGCGGAGGTGTATCGATATCTGAATGGGAGGCGTTACTTGGTGCGATGGATGGGGGCCAAATCAACGTGTACGACGCAATATACGGAGGGCCATCCCTATCTCTTGCGGAGACTCCCACCAGTACGGCTACAGCTCTTGGTGAATGGTCTCCGGATTCGTGGGACCTTTCCAGTTTTAATATCGGCGAATTAACAACCAATCCGGGCGCACCACAGAGTGTGCTTAGTATCAGTGACGATAGCCTTAGCTCCGGGGACGATCTCACCTCGAGTGATATGTATCTAAGGATGGGAAGCGAGGATTATCAAAACGGAATGATGCCACCACCACGAACGAGTCACGATGGTAACTTGGTATTAGAAGGTCTCGAACTAAACCTAGGGGGGATCTGAGCTTTTTATTTGCTATTTTTGGATATTCGAATGCGGGTTCGCAACGATCATTTTATCATTTACAACTACAATCTACAATAACCTTTCCTTGGGTACGCGGCGTCGATATATAGAGAAGGACTGTACTTGTGCGGCAATATTCGGATACGAATTGCGTGATCTCTAGGAACTGTGTATGGGTGGGACACTGGCTCTAGGTGTTACGGGGGCTGATTACGAAGCCTTTGGTGTGGCATTCTGTGCGGATTTTCTTGGGCAATTTGCGTTCAGGCCTATATCTATATGGTCTGCTTCTCGTCGACTCGGCTATCTTTTTACATATGTTAATTTTCTATGTATCTTTCAGTGCTTTTTATAAAAAGCTATTATATAGAAGTATGAGTCGTGTCTATACGAGAGTTGGGTTGAATAGGAGAAGAGGGAGAAAAAAATACTTTTGAAATATTCTGATATATTTGTCGGTACATGCGAAGGTACATAGCTAAGAGGTATATGTAGTATGCAGCATAACATCCCGGGTATGCTCAATGACGACGCCTACGAAGATAATCGTGCAAGCCACGTGTTGAGCAATATGTGATATTCGTGGGATTAGTTCAGGCTGAATTACGAAGAAGGTGCCTCGAATAGATTGAAGCCTTAGCCTTATTTACCACGGAGTTGGAGACTAAGAGTTAGACTGCTTGAGATACATGTGGTTTATGATATACATACCTGGGTACATGATGTAGGGATACTTACACGTAATGTAGTAGTACCATTGAATGTCCGTAGTTGTAACACTGCATAATACTACGGTATGTATCGCGGCTTTCTACGGATGGTAAAACGATATCCCTGATCTAACCGTAATAATAAGTACCTCGGTAGTATTTAATCATTAACAGTGAATTAACAGTGAATCAGTAATACGATAACGGTGAAAAGCGGGGTGGAGTCACACGGGTGGGTCTCAAACAGGTAAAACATTTAAATCTCCTAATTCTGCATAGCACGAGCGGCCTGTGAGAAGATAATCACCGACTAACTCCGGGTGCGGCATGTACTGCACAGTAACAGTAGCAGTAACAATAGCAGATCCCCGAGTTCGACAAAGGGGAGAAGAATTATGATGTTGTCCGTACGTTCCGGCCTCGATAGGTCGGATTTACGATGATACCTACTTTTTAAGTCTTTACCTCTCCCGTACTCCCAATTAGTCTTCTATACTAGAGTAGAGAAGAACCGATCATGCCCTTAGACTCAGAACCCGCCATCTCGAGCCATTCTGCTCCGGAGCAGCCGCTGGCGGACAGACTCCCTCCCGACATCATTGTCTCCGACGAACAGACCCCGCTGCTGAAACGCGATAGCGCGGTCATGGCGAATAGGACGTCAGGTGAGTTCTTGTTTTGTTTTCGAAAGTACCTGTTTGCCTACTTTGGCCATATCTTGAGCGAGGGAGTCTTTGTTCGACAATGCAATTGCTAATACATCTCCGACTCGACACGTAGCTGGTATTCCGACGCCTATCAACCCCTCCTCGTCTTCGTTACACAATGCCGTTCCCGCACCCAATGCTTCCGAATCGCGACGCCGTCGTGTACCACAGGCTATCGCCCATCGCGGCTTCAAGGCCGTGGCCCCCGAGAACACGATGTTGGCATTTCGCACGGCTGTTGAGGCTGGTGCTCATGCTATAGAAACGGATTTACACCTTTCGCGGGACGGAGTGGTTGTACTCTCGCATGATCCTATGCTGAAGCGGTGCTTTGGCCAGGACTCGAGGGTTCGCGATCATGATTGGAGTTATTTGAGTACGCTGCGGACGGTGAGAGAGCCCCCGCAGCCGATGCCTAGGTTGTTGGATCTCCTGGAGTATTTGAATGAGCCTGGGTTGGAAGATATTTGGGTTATGTTGGATATTAAGGTAAGGGATATGTATAAGTGTTGTGTTGGGGGCGAAGGGCGTGAATGTTGGCTGACAGATGCATAGACGGACGATGATGCTACGGAGCTCATGCGGCGGATAGCGGATACAATCGTTTTGGTACCAGCGAGACGAGCGTGGCACGAAAGGTTGATGATATGTTGTTGGACTGTAAGAATACCCCCTCGATTCACTCGAAATCATCGCAATTTCTAACGGCAAAGCAGACTAAATACGTCAAACTGAGCATGGAATACTTACCCGAATTTCCAATCACAAACATCGGTATCTCAACAACATACACGCGGGCGCTGGCACGCCATGTACCCAACCTATCCCTAAGCATGCTGAGCTTCACACTAGCCATGCCTATCCTAGGCCGGCTCTTCATACGGGATATGAGGCGCATGGGGCGCTCAATTTACACGTGGACAGTCTTCGAAGATGAGCGATGGATGGAGTGGTTCGTGAGGCAGGAACTCGACGGCGTCATCACGGACGATCCTAAATTGTTCCTAGAGATCTGCGACCGCGTTTCCGCTAGCGATGCAGGGCAAAAAGAGGTAGCGGGAGCAGGAGGGAAGAGGAAGTCGAAAGCCCCGTTGTCTCTTGCTGGAATCGTGCGTGATCTGATGTTGTGGATTAGATACCTAGGCTTTGTGCTCACTGCTATGGTTATATACTTCCTCAGATTCGGATTCCCGGAGACGCAGGTCAGGAAGATGTTGGGGAAATAAAACCTGACAGTATCCGAAAACATATATCGGTGTAAATAGCCGTGGACAGCAATAATGAAATAAAAAGAAATCTCCGTGAAGTTATCGAATGTTATACTAAAGTTTGATGATCAATCAGGTGAAGTCCTAAGGGCTAATTAGTCCTTGCTTTTCTTGTTAACAGTTATTAAATAACAGGCTCTGGTAAGGGATGTTTATATTTCAAAGTACGTAAGCTTCAGTCCTACTTCTATGCCCATCTTCTTCCTTTTCCGGCGTTATCAGCCTTCTCTACGGTTCCTTCCGCTACCAACCAACAAATAGGGAGATTCATGATCGTCCAAGTAGGTACCAACAAAGCTAGGTAACATTTGATTCGCCGATTCGTTATGTGAGTTATAAGAACTGGAATGGCCCCAACTTGGTCGCTAGATGTGATGGCGTCAGCTAGGATGACCCCGGCGTAAAATGGGTAGCTTCTATGCTAAGTCCTACGAGCAACGAGCTAATTCTAGCGACAAGCAAGTCTTCCTATATCGCCATAGGATAGTTAGTCTAGCTAAAATTGAGGAAGGATCTAGGAAGGATCTATTGTGTTAATTCTCTTGATAGACCTACTTCGTGAACCGTAAATGGTTACACGATGAGTTAGGTGAAGGCCGATAATGTATCGCGTATCGTTTCACGATCATTAGACACTTCAACTTCTATGAAAGTAAAGGCAACGAACTTCCGATCGTATTAAGTAAAGGCTAGCAGCCTAAACTACATTATGTTCGTGTAAGTAAAGCAAACGCATATCCACCATCCCATCACCGCGAACGATACCCATTCCTCTATAAACACTTGAGACTTCCCTGTTGAAAACCCGATATTGCCCGCGGAGTTCGTAAACCATCGCTCGAGAGAATCCGGGCGAAGAGAATCGAAACTACCTTGCCAAGGAAAGACTACGAGATGTCTATGCCTTTAGGCATCATCATCGTCCTCGTCCTCGTCCTCCAGGTCCTCGACGGAAAGGGAGTGTCGGAGAAGAGATTGTCTTCCTCTGCTCTGGCGGGGCTTCGGCTTTCTCTTCTCGATTCTTCCCGAGGTGGTTCTGCCCGAGGCGGTTCTGCTCGAGGTGGTTCTGGCCGGAGCGTTGATCGGCGTGAACGAGGAAATGGTGTAAGATGCACCAGCCTGAGTGTCGACCTCGGCACTGGTACCAACGCCGGCACTACCACCCTGATCACCGCCCTGGTCGCTGTCCTGATCGCGGCGCTGATCACGGAGCTGATCAACATCCTCATCCTCGGGCTCCTCGGGGTCGGTATCCTCGACCTGCGGGTCGGCATCCGGAAGGAGCACCTTGTAGTAATGACGGCTATTAAGAGAAAACAAAAATTAGTATTAGCAATTTTCCATCGCGCGGAATCAAAAATCGGAAGATAAGGCTAAGCGAAGGGAATTAATAAGGGGCAAGTGACCTACCTGAGGCCTTCTTTGGTAGCGCCTCTGTGACCGAGGGCCTGGAAGGCCCTGACAACGTCGGACCAGACGAGCTGTACCTTTCCCTCCGTGTCTCTCTGGCCGTTTGCGACGCTCATTCGGACCATCACAAGGAGGAGGTCCTTCTCCTCCTTCGGACCCCACAGAACCGGCATAGTGGCGTTGGAAAGGTGAGTAGACTGTTGTGTAGTAATTAGCTCATGTTTTACTATTTAAGTACCTAGGTACTTAGATGCGAAGCACGAAACAATAAAAACGAGACGGGCAGCTTCAAAGCTTCGGTAGGAACAGTGACAGCTATAGAGCATTTGTTTCTAGGAGGGAATTATATACCCTGGGTAATAGGACTCCCAAGCCTGTTGTGATGCTTACAGAAACCAGGCAATAGTGGATTCAGGGATTGGAGAAAGGGACGAAAACTGTGCTTCGATAGAAACGAAAGTGATCGAGTGATCAAATAATGTGTTGTAAAAAAACGTGACGGCGGAGTGCAGTTGTTGGGGATGGAAGATGGAGGACAATGGCCAAGGATGTACGTTAGGAATTGTGAGAATAGTATCTCAAGAACATACCTTGTGCGAGTACTTGAGGTAGATGATGCAGAAATTACCTCCGTGATTCGGCAGGTAACTTAAAAGAAGAATAACGTGCGTGAAATGGGTGCAGGGTGAAGGCACACGATCAAGTATGAATGATCAAAACAAGTAGTTCATCTATTTGGTATTCGTGATTGATAGAGGAACAGGTGGGTAAGGAAACAGCACGTGGGGACCAACGTGTTGCGTGAAGAAGCAAGACACAGGCCAGGAGTAAGGTTCAAAGAATTAGATTAGTATTGCTGTTTTAGTTATGATAGCTCCGTAATATTGTGCCGAGCCACAGGTGTAGGTGTCGCGAAAAGCGGGATGGTTGTTGCCCGTTAAGACCCTGAGACCGGGTACCATCGCCGGGCTGAGCCACACATTAGAACCAAAGTATCCTTCTCGCCAGTCGGCCGTCAACCGAATCTCCTTCCAAAAGCCACAGTCCCCCCTATCAATTTCCCAACCAAGTAGCCCGCATAAATTCCACATAGGATAGTAACAGGCCACTTCTGCCATTCACGATCCCAATCTAAGGGGATAGGAACCGCGCCGAGCCAAGCACCCACACAAGCACCCACCAAGCCTCCAAAAGCTTCGTCGAACGGCGCACGAGCACTCAAAATCTCGAGCCAATCCGTATTCGACACACCACGTGAATAGAACAAGGGGAAGAATCCCAGGATAGCGAGATGCGTCGAGCAGAGAAGGGTATGAGCCACGTGAGTCAAGAAAGGGGCTCCAAAGAGAACAAGGATGACATGTAATCCTAGAGAAGCACTACCCGACAGTACAAGTGCAATGAATATTGTCTAAGAATATCGTTAGCAAGAAACGCATACATTGGGATAGACAGGACAGACAACAGCAATGTTTGGCCCTACCCCCTCTACCCCGGGCTTCTTCTTCTCTCCGGGTCGGGATTTCTTGGCCGGCTTTGAAGTCTGGGAGCCAGCCGCTGGCAGACATGTGATTGCGTATGCAATTTGTATGGCCGCAATTATAGGGATGGCGCTTGACATGGCCGTTACGGGATCTACTACCAGAACATTGAATCGTAAATAGAATAAGGAGAGGAGCAAGACACCATGGACGTGCCTGACGACCTGGGCTTGTGGAGTTGCTATTATCCGAACAGCTTGCGTCCTCATCTCTCCATCCTTGGGTTTAGAGACTTCACCAGCTTTGGGCTTATTTGCTGGTGATGACATTGATACTGGGTCTAGCAGGGCCATTCTAGACACAGAAGCAACAGATATCTGATGGAGAAAGGAGGCCGACTGCAGCTGTTCAAGGATCGTGAATCCGTCGTCAGAATAGTTGTTGATGGAGGATTAGAGGATTAGACGCTAAAATTAATTAAACGCTTCAATCGAGACGCAATACTACAGCTTTGAACGCACGGACCCATGAACATCACGTGCGATCACGATACGTACGATAAGAAGAGCTCTTATCGATACGGGTTGGGATTTCTTCAAGGCACAATCTTTTCAACTCTATAGCTTCTAGGAAAGATGGCACAGGTATTTGAAAATGGGTTTTATTAGTGCTAGGAACTCAGCGAGCAACTGTGTGACTGTCCCAAGCGCAAACAGTGGTTTCAACCATTCCCTAGGCTAGATAAGCGAAGAATACCTATGTACCTATCTATGTGTAGCTACCTAGGCAAGCCCATTGAGGGGCTCATAAGATCCTTGGTAGATAGCTCAAATCAAGAGCTTGCTTCTTGCTTGGGGATTAGATTGCGAAGTGATAGATCGTAGATGACATCCTCAACCTTCTTGACATGGTATTTGACTGCATCGACTCTCTTGCGAACGATATCGTTCTTCAGGTTCAGGAGCTGGAAGCCGGCAAATAGGTCCTTGATGAAGCCGCTGATTCGGACAGTCAAGTCGATGTCGCCCATGGTCACTGAGTTCATAGCAAGACGGCTGAGCTCCTCAGTAATATCTGTCAAGGCTAGGATGTATTCCTCAATGGTGATATGGAATGCATCTTTGTCCTTGAGATTGACGGGCACTTGATACGAAAAATTAGTAGGAAATACAAGATAGTGATTAGAAGACAAATACCTACCCTTTAGGATTTGTCCGACCTCCTCAATAGTAAGTAGACGACCAATCTCGCCTGGGCGAGACTCGGTTTCCAAGCCACCCAACCATCCAGTTATCAAGATAGTGCCGACAACGTTCTGGATACTTCTGGTCCATCGGCCATTATACCTTTTTCATCGGTTAGCTACTTAGTTTATCTCTCAGAAAGCGAATGGGCAAGGTCGCCTAAGTACTTGTAGTAGGGGTAGTTGGAGGTGAACTGGGCTAGCTCGCTAACGCTCTCAATCTCGGGCTTGATACCATCATCATCGACGTGCTTCAGAAGTGGAGTTACTGCGATAGATATCAGTTATGTGTATCGCTTCCCAACATTCTATACGCACGCTTAGAACTGGGTGTCGAGTGAATGCGACTAAGAAGGCCTTGGCAGGTTGAGATGTGACGGTTTAGAGTAGCCGTGATCTGATGAAGCTTGTCGCCAACCACGAGTTCCTCTTCGCCATGGGCCTTGAGGTACTCAAAGATAGAGGGGTCAATCAAATTTGAGGATTCGTCATTAGTCATCTTGAAGATTATTGATGCAGATGGGAAAAAAAGGAAAATGATTAAATTTTTAGACTGAACTATTATTTTACTGAGGGGCAGAACGCCGACAGGAAGGTTCCAACGACGTTATGCTTAGGTATGTACCTGTAATCTACGATAATTGAATTAAAAAAAAAAAAAAAAAGTACGCAGCCATCCGCGCAAAGCGTCACTATTCAGTATGATTCCAGGTCAGTCAAGCATCTACAGACTCGACCGACCTACGTATGTATTGCTTGCTGCGCAATTTTATTAGTGGATAAAACAAAGGATTCTTCTTCGCATCACTAGACAAGCTAGGGATGGCAATGAAAAATGAGGTTCGCGTCACCTGGAGGCAGTGTAATACCAGGGACACGGTGGTAGCGATCATGGGCAAGCCCAGAGGATGCGCTTCCGAGGAACAAAAATTAGAATAATCACGATTGAGTTCAAGTAGAACTCTTTCAGAGATTAAACTGAAAAGAACAGATACTACACTTGATCTAAGCCAAAAGGCAAAGAGAGCTGAAGAAAAAAGAAAAAAATTTGAAACGGAGGGAGGCAGGCCAGATATTTATAGGCATTCAGAAAATTGCCAAAGCGGTGGGGACTGGCAGAATTATTTGCGCCTAAGGCAGGCACGTTGCTCACATGCACTGTGGAAACAGCAAGTGCCCACCTAATTCAACTAGGCATCTACAGACTGTGTTTGCTGGTGGAAAGTACCACCGTCATGCTGCATAACATCAACAAATCTTCTGTACAATCAAGAAAGTTCATTGTTATTTCTTCAACTCCCCATTACATATTTTTATTATAGTAGTTTGCATGTGATAAGCCCCATCCCTCGATCCAGCAACACCATGTGCAAACATCCGATTGAAATACGGTTTGCGTGTCGATACTGATTATTTATACACATCTTCCTAAGCAGCAAGCTCTTCAGGCGTATATCCTGGTCCCAACTCATGGGGATCCGCCCTACTAGACATCTCTTGAGCACCAGATGTATGTGGAGTATTGCTGTAAAGATACCACGGATAGGGTGTAGGGTTCTGATGTTTGTCTATCTCCACTCCCGATTGCTTTCTTCCGGACCGCCAGATTATGAACCACACCCCCCCCGATAATAGCGGCAGCAACGGGCAAGCCCACCCCGAGGCCCGCGCCCAGGGCAATTGAATTGGATGAGTTGGTAGACGGATTCCCGTTTTCCGGTGCGCTTTGCGTTGGAATTGAGCTTATACTCGTGGACGAGGTTGATGTCGATTGCGTAGTTATCGATGAAGTAGTAGTCGTCGATTCAACTTTCGAGGACGACGCCGTCGTCGCGACCTCATTAGGTGGTATTGTGGCGATGATCGATGGTAAAGAGCTAATATTATTATAGCTAAACACCGACGTTTCATTACTACAACAAGCGAACGACCCTGGACCGCTTAACCCATCGTCGCAACAATATTGATTGCTTTTATCGATACCGCCACAAGGTCTAACCCCTAACGATACAGGTTCGACATCTAAAATTTATGTCAATCGGAAGAATTTGGATGAGGAAGGGGCCTAGCTTACACCATGGACAAACGTCGAAACATGCTGGGTCCTTCCATGTATGATCCGTACAGCCCTCCCGTAACCAATCCTGAGAGCCCGAGGTATGACCATAACAGACTCCATTAGAGTAACAGACTTCTCCCGGGCTGCAGCATGCCGAATGCCCTGTTGTTGTATTATCACACCTGCGAACACTCGCCATGGCTGCCCCGTCGATTCTGTAACATGTTTGATATTCGCTAGTCACTGCTAATCCAGCCGCGATGAGATTCGCTATTGAGAAGGCGGCGCTCGTACCTATGAGCGATCTCATATTGCCGAGGAAACCTCTATTAAGGCGAATTGGATGTGGCCTAGCTATGTCGTTATCAGAGATCGACGTATACGATGAATGAAGGAATGAACGATAGAGAATACGGCCGAAAAAAATCCAAAGAGCGCCGCAAACTGTGATATCAACGGGCTTTAGGCGAGTGTCGAACTAGCCCTACGGCTCCGGGACCCGGCCCGTAGGAGTATCTGCCTCCTAATAAGGGTTCCTCCTTTCCACCCCTATGGGCCAACATGCCTTTCCCGCTCGACTCAGCCCATTCCGACCTTACCATCCAATGCAACCATAATCTACTTCGCCAATATCATATCGCAAATGGTAGGCTCGAACTTCGGAGGCTGAAATTACAGGACTGCGAATCCTACCAAGAATTCATTACCCTAAGGAAGCCAATGACAATTATGGATGCAACGTGCGGGCAAATCATTTCTTGCTTTAGGACCAATACCAATCCACATAGGTCATTGATGTGGTTACACAACGCCGAGTCCTATGAAGGCGATGAATGTATAACCTATAAATGAGAAAATATATAAGCCGCCGAATACCAAATAACCATCCACCATTCTAAACCAAGCAGAATAGCTCTTATGCTTAATGAAAATAACTAGAAAGGAGCGTTGCGATGTAGAAACGAACTGTAGCCCCTTATTCCATAGGGAAATGATTTGGAGGGAACGTGTTACCGATGCGAGGCTAGAGTGGTGACTAGGAGCACTGCCACCTGCACATTATGTAGCAATCGCATTCCTAACCAAGGTATTAAGAAAGCTAGGTTTCTCCTCTGATTAAAGGATGTTGAAACGTATTCTAGTTCGTATAATAAGATAAAATCGCTTTAGTACTCCGGTCGGATTCAGGAGGGTATGTGAAGTGAAAACAGACGGTGATGAAGTACAAAAATTGACGGAAGAAGAATAGAATAGGAGAGTACGGGTTGGTACCTGTAGAATTTACACCCCCGGAATCCAAGGCTTGCCAGGTGATAAGAGATATGACAGCTGTCGGTACTCTACGTTCGGCGATCAATTGAGAACCCTCATCTTACAACTCCCTCATGCTTTGCTCCCACCCACCTGCGTCATTTCATATTCCCATAAAAAGCAATGGCGCCCTCACCCCTGCCCGAATATATTTACAAAATTGTACCTTCGGCACCTCCAACTCCAATACCGGCTCAGTATCCTCTGTCGGAACTAGATCAGAAAGATGGGTTTGTTCATTTGAGTATTGGCACCCAGGTAAGCTACCTAGTTCACCAAGGTTATGGATTGGCTCCCATTTTTGTTTCAACGAGATGGCCCGCCGTGATTCTTCCGCCCATATTTACGAATTGAGTGACGATTTGCAGCCTTATGCTTACGTGAAGCCAAGATTCCCATCACCGCGGACCTATTCTTCAAGGATGCCACCACCATCTGGGTGCTCAAGATCCGGTTTGCCTCTAAGTTCCATTCCACTACGACGTGGGAGATCCAGGGATGTCCACATCTGTACGGGAACTTCGGATCTGAGGATGTTGTGGGCGTTAAGGAGTTGTCGCGATTGGACGGACAGACCTGGAAGGAGGCGTTGAAGACCGAAAGTGGCTGGCTGGTTTAGAGCCCCTCTTTGCGATGGTTGGTTCTGTATGGCTCTTCAACATATATACGTTTATGTTGATCTTGTCGTTTACGGTATGATATTCGAGGTTTTCAGCTCCTAGCATATTTCCTCTATTTAGCTGCATTTAACATGCTTCGCGGACTAGATTTTTTTTCTAGACAAAAAAATGAAATCAAAGTAAAAGAAAATCCCGTCCCGGAGCCTTTGCAGTGACTAACCGGAGCGAAAATAAATTCCTGAATCGCACGGTGTCGATCGTCAGATACTACCAGGAGTGAATGAGCAACGAGATTGTTAACCGGAATCTTAAACCCCGTGGAGCGAACTGATTCTCACGGAAACCACTCTAGACCTCCTTGTATGATATCGTCAACCAAAATGCCCTTAATCTTCGGATCTTCATTGAAGTTGACCGACACTCGAAGTCTTAGGGGTGGCGGTTGTGATACCGTACGGTTAGCGAGGCCTAGACGACATTATAGGCGATGCAGGTGACCATGTTGTATAAACCGCGCTAATTACAACAAGACTAACACAACGTCATTCTCCGCCATCTCGTATAGATGTTAGGTATCATGGTGGGATGCCATTAAGACGGCATCGAGCGTGCTGATATGGAGTATTAGTTAGGTAGGAAAGGAAACCTGCTCCGGGCTCGTTTCTGCCAGTAAACATCGCTGTTATACTGAGTTAAAGCTTCTTGTATTTAGTCGGGACGACGATATATGTACTAGTGATGTAGATGTGGTTGCGATTGGTAGGTTCTGACGCTAGTACTCGCAGGTGTTCATGGTCTTTCGGAGTATCCTATGCGAAAATGGTGAGAATTATTACAATACATTAGTTAAATAGAGGGCATGAAGTCCCCCCGACGAGTCAATGAGGGGGCAGGGCAAGAAGGAGCATTAAGAAAATTAAAAATCCAAAGAATTAAATATGTATTATGATAATTCTCGATAAACCTTTCCAATGTAGCGAGTAGAGCTCAACTGATCTCGTTGCAGTATTCCCTTCTCACCACAACCTCTCTGGCGACGGCGACGTCAAGACCATAGTTCCCTAAACCCAATTTTTTTTTTCTACATAACCTTCTCTTAGACCATGCTGCCGTAATTCCATGATGACCATACTCCACGCTGTACAAAAGAAACCATTCTGTAAATCAGGCACCGGATAATGAATTTCCGGATTTAGTAAAGCACAAGACACCATCACCCCAATGCCCAGCCATGTTTCTTCTATGTGGATAGGCAAGAGAATACCTTCATCCACGGCTTAGTAATTGTCGCAATCTATCGTCGACGGTTCTTCCCAACTCTCTCAGTCCTTCTGACTGCGCCACTTGCGGAAGAGGTTGATTCTTTGCCGGCCATTGTCAGTGAGATCATCCTCGTTTTGTGCGCTGGGAGAATCCCCATTGATAGAAGATACCTCGATACTCTCGGTTCCATCTTTAGAAGATCGTCCAACGCTACCGTTCGAATCTGTAGGTTTTAGGTCGCCCACGTCGACGGCACTATCAACCGTGGGCAAAGCCAATGCGGAGTTATTCGAATGGTGTTGACTGGCATCTTGGGCAATCATTCCGTGGCTTATTGTGTGCTTGTGCTTCGCCAAGAATGATCTTCGAGTTCTTTGTAACGTTTTCGAGGGGTCGATATCTTCCGCTGAAATACAAGCTCCCGGACTAACATTTGCCTCAGGGTGGCGTAGAGAAGTGGTATAATCGGCAAATGCATCCGGAAAGCCGGTGTCGTAGGTACGGCTCGTGCGCCGACTGCTGCTTGGAGATGACATGGCAGCAAAATATTCTGCGGTTTCTTAGCTGTTGTCGTAAACGAGAAGATGTTGCGTTGATAGACGGCGAGTGAGTCTGGGTTTGGTGCTACTTAGCTACCCTGCTGAGCTTTATTCTGCGGTATTGGTGCGGGGGAAAGCAAAATGTTACACGGATGTGAGACAAGGAGAATTGAGGCGCAATAAATAGTATGATATGATATGTCAAAGCAATAGGAAGGAATATGGTGTGGAGTTATAGGTTTGCTAGACTGTAAACTGTGTAGATTGCGAAGCAGAAATAGAAATCAATTAGGTTTGAGTTTGTCAATTAGAGGAAGGAAACGAATACTATCATCGTGTCGTCTTCGTCCTTTCTCCTTTATGGCCCCTGCCTTGCTTTCCAACTCGGAAAACGGAAGGAATTGGGGAGGAAGCTATTGGTGAACAATGTCCGTGACAAGACAAAGTTTAGTAGAGTTAACCTTGATAAGTGAATTACCTCCCATTGACAAAATCTAATTTAATTGGGCATTGTCACTCGACAAGGTAGAGAAAAATATGGACAGGCTTTGTTTCCCATATTTGGCAGCCTACAGAATGTCGTCTCTTTTATTTTTCAACCTAGCTGCGCCCACAGCTGACGACTGTTGAAGAATTAAAGTGAAAGTGAAAGTGATGAATAAAAAATGCTTGCTCACCTGAAAGCAATGCTAAAAGCCTTGGAAAATCCCAGTTGAGGCTAGTCGCACTGCCAAGAAAAAACGACTAGGTTCGGCTTTTGAGTTTAAATTTGCTTGGCGAATAACCAACCGCGCGCTTGAGCAAATTCCAGAATATGGAGAAAGTCGGGTCTCTTTGTCTTTTGTCTTATTAATCTGTCAACCAGGTGCCGGGTTCCGATAAATGTCGTAGTATGTCCGTTTCGACAAGGATGAATGGGAAATGTTGTTATTATTATTATTATGGTCAATTCTCAAGTCTTCGGTTTCGGTACGGATCGGCGGAGGCAAAAAAAGGAGGGTTGGAAAGTTGGCGAGAAAATCTAGGAAAAATCTAGGAAAACGAGAAAAGGCAGAAAGGCGGAAGATGGGCGGAGTTTTAAGAATATGTAAGAATATGCAGGCGGCACTCAAAAGAAGTTTATTCCTGAATCTAGATAAGTCGTAAATAATTCTTCGCTTGATGACACAGCGTGTACATGCAAAAAAATCATGGGTGTGCTTTAGTCTCGGAAGCTGACTGGTCTCAAGGATTTGTGCGCCCAGGCAGGTGACTGATGCAGGTTTCGCTTGGTGATCGTTGAAATGTCTCAGACTCCGGTACCTTTAAGGGTTCTATTGGAAGAGTGCTGTTGATTTTGCCATCTCTCGACTGGAGGCTGAGGTTGGAACTGAATGCCTAGAACATGAAATATATACATATATACACATGGATGCCTTATATATAGGACCATGATAAATTACGTTGACCATGTGACGATCATGGTGGAATGTACGTGTAATTCCAATGTTGTGGTACGGATAATCGGAACAGATAGTATGTTGTAATGTACAGTACAGTACAGAACAGTATGCAACAGCATCGCCAAAGTCCGAGGCCGTGGACGGAATGGATATGCCGACCGAGTGTAAAAGAGGCTGTGGCTAACGATTCTGCGCATACATACTACCTAGTCCTAGCACAGCTTCAGCTACCACGGGAAACACGGCAACTTTTTGTTAACTTAGCTATTATGTAGCGGTGGCCATGCTGATGACACTGCGTTAGACTAGGCGGTAACTCAACCGTGGAACCCATCCTGTCAGAACTATCCACGACTTTCTATGTGTCTCGGGGGAAACGTAAGTCAGTCGACGCAAAGCCTTCGTTATGTATAACTAGGTAGATTGATGGTGTAGTTTGCAATTGGCCAATGTGGTTTTATGTAGTTAGTTCGTAGGACTTCCTCTCACTGGTTGGCGTCTTCTGGACCCCTACGCATCTTCAACGTTTGGTCGCCTCATGGGCGCTTTGTCAAACGGTCTGGGGCGGAATGTGATCAATGAAGAGGCGACAGGATTAGGAATTAATTTGAGTGGGCAGCGGGGATCCAATTCAACGGATGGGGTTACATCATTTCGCTTATCTAATTTACTAGTTCGCTCCATCAAGGGCGGAATGAACTAATCGGACTAGATTTGTTCCATACCGATTCAAGTTAGACTCAATTTTGGGACTAGTGGGTATTTACAAGCCGGCAGATCGGCACCTAAATACATTAAATACATCCACTGCACTTTGAGTACATTCACTTACATGACAAGTTTCAACATCATTATTGATTGCATTCCATCCTGATTCCACTCAAATCACAAATCCCAAGAGTTGGAATCAATGCATTAGAATGGGTACAATGATCCAAGTCAATTCGGAAGCTAGCGTACACGTGTTATTCCTAAACGTACATATACATACATGTGTCTCAACGCCAAAAGCCTCCGGATTGAGCTGATCGTCCTGATCGTCGGCATTGGATCCTTGGAAGAAAAAATAGTAACCACGTATAAAAGCAAGAAAAGGGAATTAAGTCGCCTCGAGTATCAATGCGGTCATCCTATATGAGTATCCTACAGCAAGAAGGTAAGGAGAGAGAATCGACCTATGTCATTGATATGCCATCCATATATAAGGCCCGGCTTTAGAGATCTCGGAATTAGCACGTACTGTAAGTACGTCTTTCAATTGCCTGCAAAGCACTCCAACCCCGTCAATTCTTCCAGCTCCAACCCCTCAACCAAGCTCTGCGCAGAAAAAACACAGTCGTGCACCCCAATTCCGCGGTACGAAGCACCCGCTACACGCAGCCGGCCTGCAAACCGCCCTAGTAACGATTTGTGCAACCGCACCATCCTCTCACAATGACCAACTTCATATTGAGGGATTGCTTCTTTTCGCAGAGTCACTATCGATGCTATGGGATCCTCGGTAATGCCTAGGTGTCGCTGGAGTAGTCGTCGCGCCATCCATACACCTGCAGTTTCATTTGGGAATGTATCCGCATTGAGCCCCTCCCACCAATGGCCACCGAGGACCACCGTGATCTTAGTATTGTGTATATGCTGACGTTGGTGGATACCTAAGTTAGGGAGGGAAAAAGGCTGCTGTTCCGGCATGGCGTCAGTATCAAAGACGACTCCGAGTGCATGTTCCGGATTCTGACGTGCTGGCACGGAGTTTGGAATCAAATAGCCGAAGCCTTGATGTGGGTGATTTAGAAAAGGGGTAGCGAAACAGAGAGTAACCAACATGACCGTCGCTGTGGCCATGGTTGAACTTCCTAGGTCGGCGGCAGATATGATGTGATTGTACGCTGTCGCCGCTATTGCGTGCGTAAAGTGTTGAACGGTGGTTCCATTTTGGGTTGAAATCTATTCTCTCGTGAGAAACAGGAAGAGAAAGGGGTTATCGGCCAAAGAAGTATGGACTTACGGAGAGCGCCAAACCATCGTCACAACTGCTAATTCTTTCCACGGAAGTTCCAGTATGCAAGTGCACATTTTCCATTCTTGCTAGAGCGGCTTCGAGAGCTGACGGCAACTCCTGTAGTCCTTTCTTAAAGCTAAACACGCTTGTGTCCTTCAAACTAGTTTCAATTTCCCCTGCAGGTCCCCTTCGCAGTTTGGCTAACAAGTCGTTTTCCCGTTGCTGGTACCCGACAACCAAAGGTAAACCATCCCCCCTTTGATTGTTAGTTTGGCAATCTTGTGCCATCACGGATTTCGATGCAAACCTGAGCAAACCACCACGGCCCCTCTTCTTCTCTTCCTCGAATTTTTCCTCAAGCTCCCATAAACCGGGTAGTAAAGCTTTGGCGCTCAGGCGATATACGTCGCCAGCACATAAGCCATTCATGATGGCTGAGGCTATATTGTCCACCAAATGATGTCCGAAATATCGAGCGAGAAAGCCCCCCATGGATTCATCCTGAATACCTGTAGGGCGCCCTTCTGAAAAGAAGGCGCTCCGAAGCAGGTGTTTCAAAAGACCAGCAAAGAGGGGCTCTGTTGTAAGTACATACAGGACCCTCAGAAGCTGTTGTGCTCGTGGTATGGAAGGCGCCGGGATAGAAGCTATATGGCGACAAATCGGTGCGGGGTTAAAAGCCGGTATGGAGACGAGGTGATCTGGATACAAGATATAACGCCTACCGGCTGTTGGACAATGCTTTGGTACAGAGATGAGAGTATCCCTAAGACCTAGGGCATCGATCTAGACCTCATCTACTCAGACATTTGCTAATGACACCAAAGGGGGCAAACACGAAACAGCGAAGAAGAGGGGTAAGGAAAATATCGTGCACTACCAAGACTCACGAGATCGTACGTAGCGGGAGCACGAGGAGCGTTGGCTCGAAGAGTTCGCGGTCCCCTTTCACAAACTATGGCAGTATCTTTGCCAATGGGCACATACGTCGATTCGATGCACCCCCCAAGTCTAAGGGAACTTTCAAAAAGGGTAATCGAGGCCGAAGGATATCGCTTGCCAGCATAGTATGCCGCAGTCAGGCCCGTGATTCCACCGCCCACCACAGCAATCTTTTGAGCGTGCTGCTCGGATCGCGGCGCCATTGAAGACAAGCTACGTCCTCTGCCGAGGACTCGGGATTTGGATTTAGTGACGAGCCGCCCGGGTAACCGCCATGGTTGCATAGAATTCATCGTTGTTCGCCTATGTCGGCCTGGTAGTGGCAAAAATCTGAACAGAATGAGAAGGAGAAACCAATGCCGATCGTTTTGTCCAATCTTAGGCATCTGGCCCATCTCACGTACCTATATGATTTATGTATATCGTGCGATACAAATTACTGGCCCCTACTCTGCGTATTCAATCCGCGGAGATATAATGAAACGGCAGGCAGCTTACAGCAGGTGAAGGCATTCGAAAGTTCTTAGCATAGCTTAAAGGAGCGTTGCTTTCGAGGTAACATAAATCCCCCCTTTGGGAAATTCTTGTACCAAGTCTATGAGCTAAGGAAATCCACAATTCCGCATGCCGTAGGGGTCCGGATGGTGCTAGATCGTAGTACGACGTTGGACCGCGGCGACCGATGAGTGCAATTTCCCGGCCATCTTGTTTCATGCTAGACGCTATGTGGATATCAAAGCTGCATCGTCATACCCGACAGGCAGCGAGATCTAGAAAGATAGCTTCGGCTAGGCACTGCTTCGATGTTATAGATCTACGGGTAACGACGTATGTCGTCCTTCGATTTCAACCTCGTCAATCTCATTCGGGCAGCATCGAAGCTTCGAGGTAACCGTGCAATCTCTCTGTCGAAAGGCGGCCTCATAATCAGATCAGATCTCGAACGACACAATGACGAGATACTCATGGGCGTGGGATTTCTTACATATAAGTCATAAGAATCGCGCACTACAATAACACATCTCCATCCTTCATTCCACTCCTCAAGCCAATATACGGGTCAAATACCAAGTCTTTTTCACTACTAGAGCCGCCCTTATTATATTATGAAGATGAAGATCGCAGCTGCACTTGTCGTAGGCGCCGCCGCCGCAACTGGCCTATGTGCTGCCCAATTACCATTGTCGACAGTTTTTATCACTGTACCCAGCCAGGGAGTCCCCTTCACTTCCACTGTGTCTGCCTGCGAGACAGTTTCCGCCTTTGCTGTTGTTGCTGTTCCTAACGGAACCTTCTTCCCAGGCACCACGACTGTTTATCTTCCTCCTCAAGCTTCTGGAACCACAAGTACCTACATCGACTACGAGAGTAACCTGACCGAAGTCATCGTCGCTTCGCCTTTGCCTGGGACATGCGCCGACCTTGCACTGCCGTCGGAGGCAACGGCCACTGTCAATCCCAGCCCAGCTAGCCCTAGCTCCTCTAGCAGTGCCAAGGTTTGTCCCTTGGAGGGCTGCTCGGCCGGGGTCGATAAAGCAGCGCAACAGGTTATCGACTTGATTAATGAAGTTGCTATTGCATCTCAGAAATTGCAGTCTGCCGCCAAACTGATTGGCGGCAAGAGGACTCGAGGAGTTGAGGCACGCTTCGACCCTCTAACTGACGTGATCCCGCCGTTAGAGGACATTGCCTCTACTCTAACCTTCGGCTTACCCACAATTAAGGCACTTCCGGCCTTCCCCGCGGGATGCAACAGTGACACCATTGTCGTGGCTCTGATCGACTTTGTGCGTATCCACCAGGCACTACTTGAGATATTCATCGGGCGCTCGGGGTTACTCTCCTTCAGTTTTGTGGAGAACAATCCCGAACATGCCGTACGTACGGATGCGGCTCAGAAATTTCCAAATCCCATCGGTGTGGCGATTGCTGGTGCCCTGCGTGCTATTGAAACTGGCGTCGACGCCCTTGCATTTTCACTTATCGGTCTTATTCCTACTCGTCAATCTTGCCTTAAACAACAGCAGGCTAGCATCGACAAGACTCTAAAGGATGCTATCAATGCATATCAATCTTAATATCTAGACATACTCCGTCTTATGCCCCACACCCTCACCCCCCCCAACGCCACGCCACAATGCGCGACATCAAGCCATTAAGCAGGCATCGACTGTTTTTCTTCTTCTTCTTCTTCGCTACCATTATTGGAGGCCTCATTTGTATTCATTTTCATGTGGAACAAGGGCTTTTGTAATCTATCTAGTTTAAGAGGTAGCTTCAATTTACTTTCTCGTTCCGCCATATCAATATCTTAACCATGTCATGTTAATTGTTAGCATACTCGGGTAGCGGTTAATTCCTGATCACGTCCGAACGGCCAGGTCATCATCCGAAACAGCTCACCTGTGGGTAACCTGGAATGAGATAATATGTTTAGCTCGAGTTCATTTATGCGTATTATCGCTGCGTGTGGTGATACGACATATCATCAGGTATAGTTACGATTGGACCAGTCCCGAATAAAAGAGGAGAATTTGATCTACGGTGAGACCGCACGCAGGTGCCACTCGGAATAAAAGGTCTCGCAATTGCAAACCAAACGCCGAGCCCAGTGCCGTCGGAAGGCTCCCGGCCGCGGAAACACCAACTCACCTAAGCCGTTAGGATTTACCTAATTCTCGTGGAACTGTGTGAGGGCTACAAAGAGCGATCTATGGAGACTATGCAACACCACGGAACAAGGAAGACCATAAGCAGGCCAAGCCTACCAACAAATGATACTCGTTTATCTGTAAGTAAGACTGAACCAAAAAAGAAATATACATATCCTAAGCGTATTAACAAACAACCAAACTAATAACTCAAAATCGGCCGAAATCAGACCACAACTTGCTATCTAGGCCAATATCACAGAGTTGTGGGTTTTGTTAATACAAAAGTGTCGAAAGTTCCAACGTTGGCTTACGAATAGATCGGCATTCGCTTTCCAATACCACATTAACGAATTATTAAACCAAAAAAATCCCTACAAAAATGATATATCGGGAATCTCAACTTTGGGTCAATGTTGCAATGTTGTCTATTGCCAACAGACTATCACGTCTCTTCTCGTCTACACATGCCCCGGTAACCCAAAAAATCAAGTTTCTGGCTACGTTATCAAAGCGAAGTTTTCAATTTAACCAAGAGATCATACATACATTCTACATGGTTATACTGCATAAAAGTTGACTACAGCCTGCTTGAAAACATATTCAAATCAAGCTATTTCGTCATTGAAAAATAAGTTGGAGATAGTTGTAATAGAGCCGCATAATGTTCTAACAACGCCATCATGACGACCAATTAAATTAGTAAAGTGACAAACGAATTAATTGGCTAAGCCAGATGATTATAAATTCGCATCTCAGCTATGGTTACGCTTAACGAGCGGGATATTGCTATGTATAGTTGCATTACATGAAGTTACATTCGTTGGAATTTCTAATACGTTTCCACTTGTAATACAATATCTTGCATGGTGAAAGCGTAACTAAGTATCATACTAAGCTGACTTCTTCGGAAGTCTTTTGAGCCTCTACGAAATAGTTCCGGGATTAAATCAAGAAATTTAAATTCCGAAATCACTCGATAGTTAGTCGCTGAAGCCAGTGGATACCATGGTAGATTGTGTTACAATTGACTCACGATCATATCTCGGATTTACCACCATATGGTATCTAAAGCTTGTGATAGTTCTACAAGGCTATCATATCTGATTAAGTCCTAGTCTCAGTCGAGATCTTGCCCTTCCCCCCCTTTTCTTTCCCTCGAAACCATGTAGAAGTTGCGATAGCTAGGGAAGTGACCTGAACGAATACGAAAGTAAAGACTGGAATACCAAAACTACGAATTCGAAGCTTACATCTTTCGGTATGTTGGACGTTCCTACACACCATTATGAACAATAAGTATGCTATGTCAAGTGGTGGCTTGTGATAACGGGTGGTCCGTAGTACCACACCCTTATTTGCCCTATTATATGAGATATAGAAACATAAATAGCGACTAAAACCCACGGAATAGTGCTAGCTGTTGATAATAGCTCCATACTACATGATTTTATGATTATTGTTATATGACAGAAAATTGCTTAGTCAGGATGGCTACAATTACAGAATCTGTGGGCAGAGAGGCCCACCCCCAAAAAGTCATTGCCAACCCACGAGAGCAACTCTTGAAGCGTATACGGGGCTCTCATGTTACCATTCCCGACCTACAATCTATGATAAGCCACTGGCCTCAAGGTGTCTATCCAGAAGTTGAAAGACTGGATGATTATGTCCAAGAGACACTCACAAAGTAATTCCAACCCCCCTTTACATCACTACTTAGATACTTATAGACTTTAGTACCCTATCTCTTTCGAATGACAATACCCGACTCCGCAAGCTAAAGGCATCTAATATTGCGTTGTTCGGAGCTTCTTGGTGGCCATTTGCGTCATCATATGAGGCGTTGGAAATCGTTACTTGCTTGGCATTATGGGTAAGAAACAAATAATCTTCCAAAATTTCAAGTCTCACAAGCTAACTTTGTTGCAATAGTTGTTTGCTTGGGACGATGGTATGAACTATCATCCTGGAATCTCATAGGCAACAGCTCACCAGTTCTTAGAAACGGACTCTGCCGAGTTTTCCTCTATAATCAGAGACTGGGATAAAGCTTCCACATTTCGACAAAGGACTATCGACTACTTACGAGCGAGTCTCTCCGGAAGCCCGGAATCAAAACTCGCGGAAATATCGACAGAGCCCATCATAGCGGTCTTTAAGCCCGTAGGCGGGGCAATTTACAAGTCTTGCAATGATCGTAGGTCAAATAACGATATTTTATTAACGAATTGTGTGGTCTCACCAAATTCTAGGCCAGATCAACACACTCCTCGATGAGCTGATTTTCTACCTTAACATGTGCGGAGAGGAGCAGAAACTTCAAGTAGCACATCGTCTCCCTACTATTGAGGAATATGTAAGATTCCGTATGGGGTCTGGTGCTGTTAGAGTCTGTTTCGCTACTATCGAGTATGCCTACCTCCAAACCCTCCTTATATCCAATATTTCCTAGGAAATTGCTGAAAATATATTTTCTAGGTATGCATACGGGCTCACATTACCTGACGAAGTGATGGCAGACGAGGATATGCAACAGATCTGGCATGAAGCGAATGTTATCATCTACACGTAAGTTTCTTATAGAGGATTCATCCCATTGGGCGAGATATACTAATAGAATTACAAGAACTAACGACATTTTGTCCATGAAAAAGGAAATAGTTAGTGAACCAACAATTATTATAGTCTTCTGAGTATAGTTTTGTATTGATAAGTTACAGGCACAATCGCAGGTCGACTCCCTAGTTCCCCTCCTAACTCTACAGCTTGGTTCCGTACAAGGAGCTATGGACCACGCTGTAGATATGGTGAGGACATCAGTCCGACGGCTCGACGCTGCGGAAGCGCAGATCCTTCGGCGATACGCATCCACACCTAAGGTCCAAGAAGATATCCTTAAATTCATTGATGGATGCAAATATGCTTGCACATCTAATTTGAACTGGAGGTATGTAACATATTATCCCTAGCACATATTTCACACTAATAAGTCGCCTCCTTTGTAGTCTCACATCGGGAAGATACAAAATTCATTGTAAATCCATGGATGGTGGACTACATATCACATTTTGATAACTTCGCTATAGCTAGAGGTGTGATTGGTATTATTGGGGATAGACTAGACTATAGATTGCATAGCAACTGAATAGAACACCCTCTACTATTTTCTCGTATTCGGTATATAGGCCTATCAAGTACCTAGGTAATATTGAATATTGACTTGTAATTCCCGGTCTTTATGTTTTATAACTTGATGTGGAGCCTAGTTGAGCTGTCATACGGTTAGAGTAAAAGCCCCCTATCTTTACAAAGGGACGTTCTGCTCCACAACGACGGCTTCGTTTATCAGATAATTTGTGATGTTTTGGCATCCACTTGACCACAGACACATTGGAATTTCGATTTATCATTCTTCACGGGATTTGCTTTGGGTTTTATTTTTAAAACTTGTCTTTTGCCGCTCTAGGTCGTCCTAGAATACACAGTGCCAATACACAGTATCAACTCTTCTTCGTACTTAGGCTAGGAGGCACATCATCTTCCCCTGTTCCCCAACTTGTGCTCTCCTTGTCGCCTAACGTGAGTTCTAACGTGTCGCCCTCGAGGAAGAAGCTATGAGTAAGATAGTTCTTCGTATAGTCCTCGCCATTTAATTTCGCGCTTTGGATATAGATATTCTGGTAAGCAGTGTCGAAATTAACGGTCTTGATCGTAGCTGTCTTTCCTGTCGCGCGGTTGGTAATTGAGACGGTGGGGAAGAATGGTGCCGTGATGAAGTAGATGTCTTGGCCCGGATTTGGAAAAATGCCTAGCATACATAGAGCGACGAAAGAACCCATCGCGCCTGAATCGTCGTTACCAGGAATACCCGCTGTTGTGGTATTGAATTGACTAGGTATGTAATAGTGGATGCGTGCGGTAGATTTTCCAGGGCGGCCTGCGTAATGGTACTGGAAAACGGTCAAGAATGCTTGTTCATCTCCTACGTAGAGGATACCACTTTCATGAAGGTAGTCCAGACGACTGACAAAAGTATCCGGGCCACCAAGAGTAGTGATAAGGCTTGCCATGTCTTGAGGAGCGAAGAAAGTATAAAGCCAAGGGCTGCCCTCGTATGTTTCGGTCCCGCCCGAGTTGAGGTAGCAAGAGTCAAAGGACATGACAGAAGAGCAAAGGGTTGGGTCCTGATATCCCCAGGTACCATTCAAGAATTTTGGTTGTAGAAATCCAGTGAATCCGGTGCCCGTACCATTAATATCCGATGGTTGATCGGGATTATATAAATTGATCCAATTTCCTGATCGTTCGATATACTTCTCGTAGTCTTCTTGCTTGCCTAATGCCTGTGCTACCTCAGCAATGCAAAAATCATTGTATGCGTATTCGACGGTCCGAGAAATACTGCGCGTGAATAAGCCGTTGCCATATGGATCGAAATCGTCAGCCGGGATGAAACCATATTTTCTCCAGCTATTCAGGCCACCCCGGCCTTCATAGTCCCAGACTGGCGGTTCATACTCCGCATCCTTTATAAGAGCTTCGTATCCAGTTTCCCAGTCGACGTCTTCTGTGATATTCTTCAGATAAGCATCAGCTAATACAACATCAGCATTAGAGCCTCCCTGCGTCCAACCCTTGCAAAGGGACATCCGACAATCAGGCAGCCATCCTTCATGGCGATATATGTCGATTAAAGAGCGGATCATAAGCGTTTGAGAATGCGGGTCTACTAGCGTGATAAAAGCATGGATCGAACGAAATGAATCCCATATGCAATACCACGAATCGTAATATGGTTCGTCGCTTTCCCATAGGTAATTTTCACCAGTATAGTCTTGCGGACTAAGCATTGACCTATATACACCACTCCAGAAAATAGTTTGCATTTCGGTATCCTCGAAGCCAGTAGTATCGAGGCTTATGACTGATAGCTTATCCTTCCAGGTATTCTCTGCCGTAGCGAGGGTTTTCGAGAAGTCAAAATCGGGAACCTCAGCCTCAGCGGAGCTGCAAGCTTGATCGACGCTCTTGAATGAAACCCCGACCCGAATAGTAATAGAAGTACCTTCTTCGACTTCATTAAACCGTGTGTAAACACCGGCGGGCAAAGGCGGGGAATTATTGTCTACCCCCATGACGATACTTTTTGGTTCGCTACCAGCCCTAGTGTTCACAAATACTCCGGTATCGCGTATAGAGCTCTCTTGGGGGAAGTCGGCGCAAAAATGTAGGGTGTATGTACCGGTTCCGAAACTAGGCGAAAAGGTACCGTTTCCTGTCATTCGCCCGGTGTTGGGATCCACAGATGCGCTGCCGTTATGGCGCGAATCTGGCAGGTCTGTTAAATCTATTATGAATAAAGGGCTCAAGGGCGCATCCATAGTAAAATTTCCGGTAGCATTTTTGAAGAATGTAAAACTATATAATGCCGTATGGTTTGAAGCGGTGATTTCCGCCTTTATGCCGGACTTGAGATCAATAGAGAAATAGCCAGGGCGAGCCGAAACGCCCCCATCAACAGCCAAAACACCTCGTTTGGTCTTGGGAAAAACGCAGCCATCGACGTCGTCTTGAGCACAACCTGGATAAACGAAGATGGGGAAGTTTCCGAGCGACGAAGCACCACCTGTACCAGAATCGTGCATATGGGAAAATCCTGTAATGGGGCTGCTTGCATTTGACGCATATCCTCCTTGGTTGTCGTGTGTTACGTCTGGAACTGCTTTTGCCATGCCTAAAAAGCCGTTAGATACTTCATATATATATGTACCTACCTAGGCAGGGGAGTGTGAGTTCTAGTTAAATTTACCAAATGGCAAGGTTGCACCGGCGAAGACATGACCTGTTGTGAGGGTAAGTCACTGTTCGAAGATGAAGTGAGCTTGAGTCACAAACCGCCATTAATAGTACCGATGAGGGGATCAACGAAATCATAGCCACCAGGAGTACTGTTAGTATCCCGACGATATAGATGGTCCGGAAATGCTTGACATGTCCAAGCCAGAATATAATATAATAAAAGGGATCGGACAGTCATCTTGCATATTTGCGTTGTAATCGAGATCAATTGAATCTCATGGAAGATCAAAGGTGCTAGCCCTAGTTATCTACTTGATAACAGGCAAGGCAATATAAACCACAGGCAGGGCAGGGCGAAAGAGAGAAGTCCGTGGAACGTAAAAGGCAAGTCGCAAGCCATAGTGGCATTGCATATCCGTCAAGGCGGGGGTGAAAATGGGCTCTCGTATACTCGGCTGATTGTGATCATATGCCTTTGTTTGGCCATAAGAAAGTAGTACGTCGGATCGCCATTTCTTCAAGAGAGCTAGCATTCTTCTGCTGAGGCTAGCAAATGCACCTAAGATATTGTAGGAAACTGTATAGACTTGGTAATGACTAGGTACCAGGGGTGATCATGGATATTGGCAAACGCCATTGGATACTGCTCCCTGGCCTTACGTATGGTATATATGGCATTCCGAGAAGGAATATTCCAAGACATACAAAGGCACGCGGCCAAAACTGGGATACGGCATTGCCATGGTTGAGTCCTTGATTGTATTACCTTAAGTGGTACCTAAGGCCCTAGGATCTCGGGGAGCATATACGTCGATACGTGCGGAGTAACGAGTAGCGGTAGATCGATACTCCGAGCATTATTGGCAGTGCTTACGAGCTTTTTCGGGGCTCGTGGGAAAGACTATAAGTATATGTATGTTTAAATATATAGAGAATAGAGAGTCTAGGTATATGTCTAAGTGGATAATAAAATTATGTGTCAGGTCATATTAAGGTTAGTCCCTGCGTACGTTCATTTGAATGTTGGACAGTTTAAGAGGTAAGCTCCAGCTTCTTTTAGTCGACTAATACGGTAGATGAAGGCGAGATGAAGGTTGCACGGACCCCTGTCGCTGGCTGCAGGATACAGTGGACATGGTCCCATACTAATATTCCTTCTGATTGGTTTAAATTCTCCCCGCGAAAAACCTTAGCTTGTTATCGACCAGCAGAAAAATTTCGTTTTTTTTTATCGGTCAATTGATACGAATTAGAAGCTCAACCAAAGTGAGCTCTCAAAACAACCGGCGACAACAATAAATCAATCATCTTCAATCCTCGACATATAAATATCCCGTCGAATTGACGCCGAAGATATCCGATCACAAAGGTTCTCCAAGGCCTTAATTTTTAAGGCAGGAAATAATCAAAATGGGAGCGACAAAACCAGAGAAGGAGAAGAAGGATAAGAAGGACAAGAAGCGCAGCGAAGCCGATGGCGTAGGCAAGCCGAAGAAGGACAAGAAAGAGAAGAAGGAAAAGAAGGAGAAGCTTAAGAATGTCGTAAACGCCGCTATCGAAGACCAATTACAAACCGATAATGCCGCGTCCGTCACAGTCGTAAAGGATGGTGAAGAGAAGGTTGCGAAGATCCTAGTTCCCGTCGTGGGCGCTTTAGTACCCTTCGCGAAACCATTGGCCGATGAAAAGGGCACCAAGAAGGTCATGAAGACTGTCCGAAAAGGTATGTTCGCATTAAAGTTCTGGTATTCTGTTATAATACTGGATTTTCCTACTGCTTTTCCTTCACCGTTAAGATCAAGGGATTGGGAACTAAGTGCTAACGCAAAATTTTTTTATACAGCTGCGAAACACAAGACCCTCAAGCGCGGTGTCAAAGAAGTCGTCAAGTCCCTACGCAAGTCTCCTACAGCCGGACCAGGCAACACGTCGTTCCCTGGTGTCGTAGTGTTGGCCGGTGATATCAGCCCGATGGATGTTATCAGCCATATTCCCGTATTGTGCGAAGACGTCAACGTACCCTACATCTTCGTCGCGTCGCGTGCTGAACTCGGCGCTGCCGGCAGCACCAAGCGACCTACAAGTGTCGTTATGGTCACTGAGAAGCGCACAGGTGGCAAGAAGGACGAGAAGATAGATGAAGAGGAAGGCGAGGAGTTCGCGGAAGCATACAAGGACTTAGTCAAGCTTGTAGAGAAGGAGAGCAAGCAACTCAAGTTTACATAAGCTAGACATTGAGTCCGTGGTATCGGTATCAGAAAACACTTGCTTAGGCTATGGCCTTAATCGGTTTAAGAGCGATGGTTCCGGCTCTCCTCCCTCGTCGTCCTTCTAAATGTCTAAGGACATCTAAGGACCACTATACATGTATCTACTGATTTGGTTAGCCACATAGGCGTGGCCCCTGGCGTTGGGGGAAAATACTCATTTTGCGTCGTGGGATCAATGAAAACTGGTTCATAATGAATTTACTGCCGCCAAGACTAACCCATGCAAATCACCAATTATGACTACTTCGAACTACATTATTCCACCACTGCAAAGCCTAGAGTTACGAACTTTTGAATTTGACCAAATTGATATTCATAAACATTTATTTATTACACAGCTGGAATAGCTAATTTCATAACGAGCTCCCTGCGACCATCCTGACGACCTAACAGGTAGGGAAACTAACAAACACAGGTCCTTCAAATCTCTTCAATTTCTAATCGAACGGGTTGGTTCGAGTTCCCCACCAAGTTAGGAATAGAGATAGGCCGACGGTCTCCAGAACCTTTGAGGTGGCGCCAACTGCAACTGTGTCGACAGGTCGCTTCTCGGTGAATAGCTGCGCGAGGTACTGCAGATATGTTAGAAAACCCCTATTGTAATATTAATTGCAATATTTAGGGCGATCGGTTCTTACATTGGGTGCGGATGTCGCCGCGAAGATTAGGGCACCTAGGTAAGCGGCGCCCTTGTAGCTAAGTGTACCGGTAGCATTGATGAGAGCTCCAACACCGTATGCTTGTAAGCCTGAGCCGACTAGGGATGTACCCCATGCGATGGCAGCCGAAGAGGCTTCCTTCGACCTTAGGAATTCCTCCTTGGTGTTTGCTTGCTTAGCTCGCTGGTAGGTCTGGCCGAATAATGGAGTGAGAACTGCGAGTTCAATACCCTGGTTGAAGGCGGTACCGAGGGCGATGGCCGAAGGCTTAACGGGAGGGAGGTCTAAGATATGTTTGTTAGTTTATGGGCATCAAGTTTATAATTCTAAGCTTGAAACTCGTAACTATTTCAACTTGACTTAGTTGATGGGATGAACTTACAGTGTAGAGACATAATAGCTAACGTATAATATTTGCTGGTTGATTAAGTACCTAGGTATGTAAAAATGATATCTTTTTGGAAATCGTGTAGGTATCACTGTTTAGTTGTGTAATTGAAGAGAAAAGAAGGACATTGAGAAAAAGGTTGTTCTTATAACGTCAAGTTACGACGCCGATGACGAAACTTACAGCATTGTCATCAAAGTCTAGGAACATGATATAATCCGAAGTTTCTAGTGTACAAATTACCTTATACTACGAGACATATCCTGGTTTCATCTGTAATTTTAAGCTCTATCTACTGATTCTAGCTTGTTAAGCACCGAAGTACCGGTTCGGCATTCTACGTGACGTAATAGATGTCTTAAGGTGTCACAAGCTTCTTCATTGGTTGAGGAACTTAGAAGGACCATGAATCGTTGATCTACTATGTAAGATGACCAATTTACCTAATTGTGACTAGAAGCTACCAACTTCGCGCTGAAGAGTTTTTCTAGTGGAATTACTCCATAATGTTTTTATGTTGGACCTTGAGAACTCTTATTCGGGTTGCTATTGTATAATGAGGAGCTTGCTCCCATGGGTATCACCAATAAAATATTAAAACAATAATACGTACATATACAATGCATGTAAATGCATGAAGCTAAACTCTTCCTAGTATAAACTCTACCGGATGTGGTCGTATTCCATAGCTCGGGGTAAGCCAGGTGCTAAATATACGTCATCTAATTGGAAGCCGCTGAAATCTGGGGTCCCACGAGGTTACACCCTCCCATAGCCGGAGCACCGTCTCCTAGGCCATATCCACTTTTCCAGCTGTGGCTTGAACGTAATCGGAAAACCACTTTATTCGTAGAGGTGACCCCATTCAAGCCATCATAGCTTCTAAAGCTCACGAATTGATGACGCCGTGAATTGGTCAGGTACCACCAAAACCGGAAATGCCTACATTCCCACTAGATAGCCTCAGAATTATTACAACCGGGTCGGTCCGGACCAGAATAGACCAAACCAGGATATACAGAGACGCCTCTCATGTTGTTGCTTTGTTTGCTCTGGAAAATGTACACTTATTATATTAACGCCTTAGACCTTGTATAACGCATGCACGTATTGGTGGGATTTGGAGTTCCTTGAATGCTAGACCTCGGTGTATCAATTCCCTTCCCCACTGCCAATACCAATTAACACCCGCTATGTGTTTTGTCTTCAAAAAAAGGCTTGATTCATCTTTTTTATTGTATTCACGTCATCATATGCTGTCCATCCTCTCCGCCCCTTAATGCAAGTAATGCTCTGACATCTGAAACATACTGCAGCCCTTCTAGTAGAGGTACTAGATGTAGCAGGTCGTTATCTGTAGGGTCATTGATCCATCCCTGAATGGGAATCGCATTGTCTGTATCGGATTCTTTAGTTAGCACTAGTAGCAAACCTAATCTGGAGTGGCTTGATATTCAGGGGATACCCTACCTTGATGGAACATATAGCTTAGGGGGCTGTTGTCTAGAATCATAACCTTGCTCAGGTCAGGTTCTATGGAGCTAAGATCCTTGATAAATGCGCCGTGCCTGAACGTGCAGTGCTGTCGGTAGAATCTGCCCGAGAAGAATTTCCTCTCAGACTCGAGCCAGTCGATGACGGGATCGGCATATTCTTGTACAGATGCAGTGAAGACAACAAGATTAAACCATTTACAGACCTTTGGAGCCCAAGTTAGCGTGCCGGTCTGGAGTCACTTAAGACTAAATCAGTCTTCTCACCTTTCGAAGAAATTCGTCGCAGTACGGTCGCTTGTGGACATAGTATAGAATGGGGTGTTGGGGCCCTAAGGCTTGTTGACCACCACTTCCGACGTATGTCGTATTTAACCGTACTTCGACCATGTGTCCAGAGCCCATTCGACCTCCCTTTGACATACTGTGTATCAAGGTTTCATCCAAGTCCAGTATCAAAGTCTTCAGCTGTTTCGGGTCGAGAGGTTCGTAGGGGAGGTAAGAGGGTTGTCGCCTCGGTATTAATGGCCTAGGGGGAGCAGGGGTTTTGGGGTATTTGGTCAGGGCTCCAACAGGTGAGGTAGGAGATTTAAGCTGCGCTGATAGATCCGCTGAGGCCTCACTGCCTTTCGCGCCGCTGCTAGTACTCACGGACTGGGCCTTCTTGTGTTTGCGCTGGCGCATTGCCTCATCGTTATTCAGCTTAATTCTTATCGACCTTCTTGTCGGAGCAACATCATCTGTGGGATCAACTGACTTAGATCGTGCATGACGACCGGAAGAACCGGAACCGCGACGAGAACTCTGGGGTTTAATACTTGCTTCCGATTCTGACTCCGACGATAGACCGGAAGACGAAGTACCAGACGAGAGTATCGGACGGGAAGACGAGAAAGCGTGCTTCCCTCTCGCATTTTGAGCGGAGCGATTTGAAGATTTCTCGTCGGTAACCGCGATATTCTCCTGGTAATCGGCCGCGAGTTTGCGCGTGTCGCCTCCATATCTTCCAAATAAGCTTCTAAATTGTCGCAGCGGAGCGAAATTGCCTTGTTCATCATAAAAACAAGCAACCAAATACACTCCAGGAGCGGCAATAGTAGATAGAACCCATCGGAGAGAGTTTACCAAACTGTTCGCTATGCGCCCGGGAATAATATGCCATGAATAAGAACGAATGCTCGTCTCCTTAAAATCATGTTTTTCTAATAAGGGTGTCTTTTCATCCACGCTTTGAAAATTGGTTGCGTCGCCATCTGTAGCAAATGGGCTCTCGTTTGGTTCGGAGGTTATTGTGTCTTTCTCATTGGACGGTGATGTCTCGCCCGAAGGCGTTGGGTTGTCATCGGACTGAGCGACAGCCAAACCGATATGGCTTAGGGAGTTGGATCGCGAAGGGGCAGGACTTGAGGTCGGGGAGACGCGCGCGGATATTATATTGAGGGAGTTCATCTTCCGGTCGACCTGCAAGCCATGAAGGATCGATGTTTGCCCGCCGAAGAATAAATGAAGGATATTGTTATTATGTATTCAGTCGAGAGGATTTGGGATAGTTAATGGGGACCGGCGGGCAATAAGGGTGGATAATACGATTGAGATCGATCGGCCGGGCTGGATTGCCCGAGTCGTGTTTGGTCCCCGTCCTTATGTCCCTATTTTTAAAAAGTTGAAAGGCGAAAATGTTCTAGAGAGTTGACAGCGTATACGAGGTTTTAGGTATGTATATACGATAGATAAATCGGGGCCTCTCTTTTTTTTTTTCAATCCTCGGTAAAGAGAAAGATGGGTGTGATTACGCGCGACAGTGACGACAGATTTTACTTGTTTCTCCTATACAAGTCATTCCTAGTTGATCGTCAAGCTTTGTTGTTTTTTCGTGAGACAAAATCAGTAAAATAAAAACACGCTGTCGCGAAAAAGTTACTCGTATTCGTAGGGGTCGATTGATCTTTGTTCTAGCAAAGAAGCTCCAGAAAGGTTCCAAAAGTTACTTGGAGTTCAGGTTGATAGAGACAGTAGAGTAGGTATAGGTACAGTAATTGTATGTAGATTCAGTAGGTTGGCCCGGGGAGTTTATTGCGGTAGACGGTTGCTGAACGTACAGCGCTGGAGGTGCACCGGGCTCAACAGAAAAAGAAAACTATTGGTGCTATTGGTGCCAAGAATAACCACCGTACCACTGGAAATTAGCGGCATAAGTCCCATAAGGTCCCGCTTCTAATATTCTTAATCCTTTCTGCTTAGCCCGCTAATAATTTGGTTCGTATGAGCTATGTACCTACTGTACCTAGCAAGGTACTTCGGCCATTCAATTGTAGGGAGTAAATTAGTCATCACGTGCTGAATACCTGTGCCCCAAAATGCAACCAACCCCGCCAATGTATTGCAGATACGTGCGATAGGTACAAATGTACCTATGTATGTACATATCAATACGTACATGCAGCTCGAAGGTGTGTTTAATCATTTTTGGGCGTTCCGCGGTAGATCGTATTGACTCATAATTCACAAAAAAAAGTTTAGTAGCAACAACATTTCATGAGAAACACTTTCCACTAGTACTCTTAACAATAAATGTGGAATTGAATTGTTACTGAGTATTATCTATTATTTACTCGCATTTTTTCTTACCAAGATTTCATACCTCACTAAATTTTTCGTCCCTCCAGGATTCTAAGTACCCGGTAGGAGGGGCTATTAATCGCCGAGTGCGTTCTATTTTGCGCCATCAAACACCCTACTCAATTCGTCGTATTCGAAGCTATCGGAGCTATTCGCACAACAGGACACCTCCCTTGAGGAGTTCCTGAACGATCGAAAATGGCACCTCCTAAAGGAGGCTATGCGCCTGACCTAGACAAATTTCTTGACACCTTGAAAAGCCGACCGGTGGATGCTTCCGTCGAATCCCTTATATCGTAAGCGCACGAAGCCATATACGTTGTTGCTGAGGGTTATGTCTAACATACAGGGTATAGCCTTCTGAAGCGACGACAAATCCGAGGCTCCGAATCTTGCGCGATTGCTACAACACATATCCTCCGCCAAGTTGTTGTGAAAGATAAATGGACTGATGTCGATCAGCTCATCGGGCGCATCCAGTTAGTCGGCAGAAAACTCGTAGCAGCGCAGCCTCATGAAATAGTTATTGGGAATATTGTGAAAAGAGTCCTGGGTTTGATACGTGACGAGGCATCGGAAGATCGCAATGACACCGGCAGCGAGTCACCAACCGACGCGACCCCTTCCCTACCTCCACCGATCGAGCCTCCTCCTCCCGACAGACCGGTCCGGCTCCCCTCGCTCGTCGCGTTAGGATCATTTGCCCGTACACAATCTATGTTCAACCTACTCTCCGACCCAGACTTCGTTCCCTCTCCCGGCTCTACACCCCAGCTGGCTTCGGGATCTTCGACACCCCTACGAAATTTACAGTCAACAAATGTACAAGCACTCAGATCTGAAGTAATTGATGGTATCGAGGAAATAATGGACGAGATTAAACAAGTCGACGAACAAGTCCAGAGCTATGCCGATATTGTTATTCACCCGGGAGATTATGTATTGGCTCACCAACCTTCGAGGACGGTTCAAAAGTTCCTTTTGCGAGCTGCTTCTAGGAGAAAGTTTACCTTATTCCTCGTTGTTGACCCATCGGCAATCTCCACTTCCGACGATCCATACGCTTCTTTACACAAATCTCTATCGTCTGCGGGATCGACCGTTGTAAACATCATGAATATTGGCCTGATGGCTTACATGACCAAAGTCAACAAGGTCATTCTCGGGGCTCGAGCGATTACTAGAAAAGGTGGGGTTATCGTTGATGCTGGCGCCGCGGCTATCGCCCGTGCCGCCCACGAACAAGGTAGGACGGTTATTGTCCTAGGCGGCGTCTACAAACTCAGCCCTAACAGCCGATTCCACAACGAAAGCGTCGTGGAATGGGGTGACCCATCCAAATATGTCAATTTTGCAGATGGCGCAATGGTTGACCAAGTGAGAGTAAGAAACGCCATTGCCGAATTCATTCCTGCAGAGCTTGTTAATACGTACATTACGAACTTGTAAGTGATCCTTCAGATTATCTTATCAGATGAGTAGGAATCGCTAATCTCTCCAAACAGGGGAGCACATTCCAAGGATCACTTGCATGGCATCATCGCAGACCATTACAAGGACGAAGACGTCAACTTCGACCTATTTGGGAAGATCCAAAGGTGAAGATAAACCCCGCAGCATCACAACTTGTGCAATTGCGACAGCTTGAGGCGGTCAGAGACAAATCTGACGGGTGGAAATACCAAAGTTGGTTTGGGCTACCTCAATTCGTTTAACAATTATGCTGTAGGCTACCAGCTTATTCGCATGTTCTGGCGGGTTTGAGTCATCTTTAATCGCAGTGTTGCGTAGTGGTTTATAGTGGCCGCGTCACCCGGCAGTGAGCTTGGCATGCAAGTGCAGGGGATTTTCACGAGTCCAAGACAAAATCGGAATCAGGGAAGTGACTAGAACGTGGGGTGAGATGACTGACAAAGATTGGTGCCTCTTCAGGCCCCGGGGAATCGAGCGAATCTTGTTCAGGGGTGGCCTGTGTGGTGGCCCTGTATGGCCTGGCTGGGGTTATCAGAAGCTGAAAAAAAGGCTATCGGCCAATGGAACATTCATGTTCCCCTCCCCAACACTTCGGGTGCTGGTAGGACTGGAATTGAATAAGTAAGCCAGTCTATAGAGAAAGACCTAAGTAAATAAAATGCATCTAAATTCCACATAGGACATCCGGGTTTTTTCACGATGTATTTGTTGTCTCTACAAGAAACTTCCTCATAATTAATTGATTAATATCTGCTGTTATCTCTAAGATTTAGAGCTCATTAGAGTTCAACCGTTAAGCAACACTACTGTCTGTCTACCTAGCTAAGGCAACTAGTCCCTTCTATAAATAGCAAGCTGTAAAGCTATATCTACTACCTAACCTACATCTTTATTTCAATGCTACCTGCATAGTAATATTTCTCTCCCTGACATAATATTTCGATATTCACAACACCTTCAAAATGGATGACGTTCCACCTCCACCATATAGCGAAACAGATGTCTATTCTCGCTCCGGGCGGCCACAAGCTACTCGAACGGGATCAAATGATGATAATGTTTCGGTTACCGCATCCTCTTCTCGCAGCAATACTATCTATACCCCACCAGACACACCCCGAGAATCACATTATAACTTCGCGGGCGCTGATGATGCTCGTACAACCACCTCTGCTCATTCCTACTTCGAATCCCGTCCTGCCTCTAAGCAGGCAACAGGCCAAAACTTGGTGATATCATTGGCAATCACAGAAGATGCTTCTCCGGATGACTTCCCATACCCAAACTGGGCAAACGAGCATGACACCACCGAACAAGATTGGCATACTTTCCTAAATTACCTCATTCCCGATCATTCCTCCCGATCAAACTCGCACATAGTCGATCGTAAACTCCAAGCTGAACATGATGCACCATCGTCCCCGACTGGAAGAACCATTGCCGAGGCCCAGTTAGGACAGATCAAATCTAATTCCGATTCACATTCACAAGCTCCACGCGATATTGATGCCACCATTCGCGAGTGGAACGATGGCTTCTTTGGACCTAGGGGTGTAACTATACGCCGTGCCCCAGCCTCGTACCCTGGGACACCTCAAATGCCTAGTGCCGAACGTGTCCCCAGTGCTGACTCGCAATCTCAGCCTCAGCCTGAGGCCGCTAGGTCAAGATGGAATCCATTCAGACCATTCGAGGCAAACAGCCGTGGCCTTCGCATTGGGCGTCTCGCTATTGATGGCGACCGTGTATCGATCGGCGACTCGTTCGAAGTAGACAGGAATGGCGTACGTTGGAACGGCCAATCCATAGATGGCAGCCCCAACCTCCCTGGTTCCCGACCTCGAGGCGATTTCCCTCCCGAGTCCAGCTCTTTCAATGATGTCCCACAAGGAAGAGGTTTTGGTCGTGGTCGAGGTCGCGGTCGTTGGTGGAAATCCGGCCAATCCGGCCGTCATTGGGGTGGATCATGCGATCGCTCTAGCTCTAGCTCTTCGTCGTCGTCATCGGACTCGGACTCGGACTCTAGCATAGGCAGTCTCCCCGATTGGGACGATCTAAAAGATACCCAACTCCCCGTTACCAAGATATCCGTCTCGGCCTGGCTTTCCCACCCGGAACAGCCTGTAACTAGGGAAATGCTCAAAGCTACCCGCTCCGAAATCAAAGCAGCCAAGAACGCTGCGCCACCAACTAACGATCCAACATGGGAAGTCAGTCGACAGGCCATGCGGCAAGAAGTCCGATCGCTATTGACACGATTCAAGGATCTCAAACGTGAGCAGAAGAAAGCCGCAAAAGCCATGCGCAAGGAGCGACGGGAGCAAAAGAAAGCACTTAAGCGCGAACGTAGAGACCGCCGCCGAGCCGAAAGACGTGAACAGAAGAACCACGAGCGCGAATTCAACCGTGCACAACGTGAAGCCGGGCGCAACACCCGCCATAGTCCAGGTGGTGGTGTATTCGAGCATCCGATCTCACACATGCCACCCACAGGCTCCCCTATAATTCCCGGTCCTAGCCCACCAGGTTTATTCGGCGGCGGTGGCCCATTCAGTGGGGGCGGTCCCTTTGGCGGCGGACCAGGTTTTGGTCGTGGTCGCGGCCGTGGAGTTGGTCCTTTCGGTCACCCTCATCCGCCCTGGGAAAACCCGGTTCAACATGCGCAGTGGGAAAGCGAACAAGCACGTGCAAACGCACAACTCCAAAGCGACCTCGCTCGTACCCAAGCCGATACCGCAAGGGCGGCAGCACACGCACAAGCAGACGCCGCGCGTGCACAAGCTCAGGCCCAAGCTGATCGTGCATTAAGAGCCGCAGATGCAGCACGAGCGGAAGCCGCGGCTGCGGTGGCAGCGTGGACGAATTCGAGAAGACACCCGTTCCTCTCGCCGTCGATGTCGTCGCTGCGCCCGCGCACGAGGGGGCATTCGCAGACTAGGTCTACGACTGATGCTAGTGATAATGGTGCGAAGAAATTCGATAATAAATACGAGGAAGCGGATGCCTTAGAGGCGCAGATGGTGGTTAAAGCAAATGAACTACTAGCTCTACGCGAGCGGATTGAAAGGGAAGAAGCTGAGGCCGAAGCCGCGAGGATTGCTAGTGAGGGGGGTGAAAGAGGGGTTATGGAAGAGAAGAATAGAACGCAGGCTCAGCGTGATGCTGAGGCGTTGGAGAGGGAGATTGACGGATTGACGAAGGATGTGGATAGGTTAAGGATGGAAGGTGATGAGGAGATGGCTAGGAGGATGGAGAAGGAGAGTTAGGAATGAGAATGAGTTAAACGGCTATATAAGCCCCCAGGGGCTAGGAATGATTGAGATACCTATGATTTAGAGAGGAAAACAACAAAAAAGGATCTGGGAGTTTGTTGATCATGGCTATATGAAAGGAAGGGAATATGGTCATGGGATCTATGATGAGTAATGAAAGGACATACGAATGGGGGCGTTGTTATAGCAGGCGAGAATGAATTCATGATCTCTTTTTTTTCTGCATTGCGAATCTATCTCAGCAGGTGAAGTGTCTAATGTAAAATACGGACTCGTAACATAATCCCTAGAGAACATACGCCGGCTGGCTTTTTCCGATCCCCAAGTCCAAATGCTACCTCCCAAATAGTGCTATACACTGACGACTCTTGCCAGTATAAGAAGCCCGGATATAATCCCCGTACACATCCCTTTATCGATCCCCTTTTTATTGTAATATGATGTCGTCCAGTTCATATTCTTCACAGTAACACGTCTATGCATGTTTACTCTCATCCTTCTCAACCAACGCCTGCACACCCAACGCACGACCAACCTTAACCTTCCTCTTCGTCTCCTTAGGCGCCTTTTTATCCGCACCATCCTCCGCCTTCCCCGCATCGCCGACTGGTTCGCCCTCATCCTGGGCCTCTTCATCGTCATCGGCTTCTAGCTGGGCATCGCGAATCTGCTCGCGGATCGTGGAGAGGTCGAGACGCATACAGTGCGCGTCCTCGCCGTCGGCGTAGTACTTGGACTCGGTCTTTTCTTGGTCGAAGCCGAGGGTCTTGGTGTAGAGGTGGATGGCGGCTTTGTTGGATACGCGGACGTGGAGACTGACGTATTGCGCGCCGAAGGTTTCGACCATTGCTAGTTCTGTGGGTGGGTGTGTTAGCATATGCTCATACGTTTGAAGTGTTGTAGGGATTGGAAAGACATACGACTTTGTCTCATAAGTTTCTCGGCAATACCTAGTCGCCGGTGGGTTCGCATAACGGAGAGAGAGGTGATGTGACCGTGTTGAACGCCGTCGGTGGGTTCTTCTTCCATCTTAGCTAGGACGTAGCCTACGATCTTGGGGTAGTCGTAGGGTGTCTTTTTCGGTCGTGATACGTCGACGGCGACATAACTGAGTTGCGGCCAGGATAAGGCATGGTATAGATAGTACTTCATGAAGTAATTCTCGGGGAGGTTCTCTAAGTTGGCATGCTGGATTAGCGGGATGTCCCGCGGTTCGAGGCGTCGGATATCCATTATTTGTGTGGTGTATTTCTCTGCGTCGCTCTATTTGGTGGGGAAGTTTGCAATTCTCGGCGATTTACTTGGGATTTTTCCTCAAGCTGTATGAATTATGGTTTATGGCTTCTGTTATGTAGCTGAAGTATGCAGCTTCAAAGCTTATCTTCAGAAATCGTTCTAAGATTCGGCGTCGAGTTGCGCTGTAAATAGGCCTTATTATCGATAACGGACTCGGCGGACTCGTTTGTATATAAGAGCTCTGAAATTTAGTGCGTAACCGCTAATTTTCTGCCCCACGGCGGCATTTGCGCCCCTCCATCCCGATTCGGAGTTCTTTACCTCCGGTATATTCATTATCAATCATCTACACACTCTCTTTTACTACTTTGAACTCAGTTTCATCAATCGCAATTCCGTATCTCAAAGAATTACAATTGGTTAAGAAAATTCAACTACGGGGAACAAAAAGGCTCTATAGCGCCAACGGTGATATTCATATACCATTCTCAACCATGGACGACGATCTGTTTGATGACGTACTGAACCTTGAAGAACAATACTACAAAGAAGGTTACGATGAAGGCTACAAGGATGGCGCTGAGGCAGGTCGCATTGAAGGCCGCTCCGTTGGTATGAAAAAGGGATTTGAGAAATTCTTAGAAGCGGGCCGGTTACAAGGCAGAGCTATAGTTTGGGCCAATCGAATACCCAACTTATCGAAACAATCGACACCTGACAGCAGTTCTCAATCACAGTCGCAACCAGAACCAAAGGAGAAATCAAAAGAACCACAACAAGAATTGGAAGAGCCTGCATCTAGCTCTCAAGATGAGAAGAATGATCTCGAACCACAGACTCTCCCTCCTTTGAACAGCAACCCGAGATTGGAAAAGAATGTCAATATGCTTTACGGCCTTGTGGAACCTGGAACCTTCTCGACCAAAAATGACGATGAATCAGTCAATGATTTCGATAGCCGGATGAAGGGTGCTCAGAGTAGGCTGAAGATGATCGAGAGAGCAGTTGGAGAAGGATCTCATAAGGGATCATCAGAAAGGTTCCGGCCTACTCAATCAAGTCAAAAGAACGAGAATATCGAGGATATCGGAATGATAGCGCCGCGGTCGAAAAAGACGGAGCAGGCAGACGATCAAGGCGGGCCGCCTTAAGCGTCTACCTTAAAATATGAAATTAGCGAAAAACATCTTCATATAGATGGGTTAGTTGACGTTATCTTGATGGTCTCCGGATACAAGGCATGACTCGACTGCACAGGTCGAATTGGATACCCAAATTAACAATACCAATAATTAAGAACATGCAATATTTAATCCTCGTGAACTTTTAACAGTAAGAAAATCTAGTATTAGGGCCGATCTGATTTCTCATCTCTGATATGTACACTTAGCCACTCGTACCCGTAATGCATCTAGGTCTATTTGAAAGTTCGGCAGGGATATCTGTATTTATGTTAGCATTTCACACATCACCTCTAACCCCATCCTCATCCCCTCATAGTATACTTGGGGGAAACTCACATATCGGTATCCGGGTACGTATTCTCCTCCGTAAGCTCATACTTATAAACCTCCCAATTGCCATCCGCCTTCTTGCTCTGCCCACTCGGCAAAGGCGGTAGCCCGTTTACCAACAAGCTCTCCTTTGCAACATCCTTGCTCTTTTCAAAAAACGCCGCTAGACCACCGGTCTTACCCTCTTCCTTAACTGCAACGAGTTGTTTCTGCCCAGCTTCACCGATGAGTTCGGTTTTAGGAGCGGCCGCGCTGCCGACGCTTAGGAGTGCGACTGCGTCGCCTTGGTTCACGAAACTCAGTTGTGGGTACGCCCGGCGCGCGTCGCGTTTCCAGTATGGGTTGTCTGCGATGTCGCCGGCGGGGATCGTGACGGGGTCATCGTAGGCGAGCGGGTCTTGGCCGCCGGGTGTTGGGTTACGGAAATACGGGTTTAGAGGGACACCGTTGGAGCGGTTGGGGTCGACGGCGAAGGCGCGTCGGATGAGATCCCATATACCGGTCGATTGGAGGGTTTGTTTCTGGATTGCGTAGATTAATTAGTTATTTCCCGTTCAGCTCGTCGCGGGTTAGGTGGTTGATTGAGTGCTTATTTAGGTCGGAATACGGGAGTTAGTACCTGGCTGAGGCTCACTACGCCTCCGGCTGCTTTCGCAACTGCTTTGGAGGCCATGGTGGCTAGTTTAGGAGAGGAGAGTTGGATTGATGAATTGTTGAAATGAGCTTCTTTCCAGGTTTCGAGATGTCGGGTCGCCTCGGTTGGTTTGTTCCGAAGAATTACCGGTCCGATTACCTTTACGTCAACTCTGGTTGGAATAAAATATGGAGACCATGATAAGTACCTAAGTACCTATTTATTCATGGAGGTTCACAGCATCAATGAAGAAAATATCAGAATAAGTCCTAGAGTTTGAATCTTCTATGCTGGGCTTACTCTATTGCAAGCTATGCTAGGACTAGTTTCAGTTGAATTGGTACGCCCATAGCTAACTATTACAATCCAATATCTCGTGATGTGTGCAAACTTAGAGACTTTGTAACAGCAATGAATTCTTCAACAGAGGGAATGATAATGCTAGGCTTCTTGCGCACCAGTCTATCGATGTAGGTATACAAGGTTTTGTCTACACGACGTTCGACCCCTTAACCCCGGTCTATGGTCCATTCATTTCCATTAGATCCCTTATTCGCTGTCGGCGAATTCCTTGCGGCCGGCCTTGGAGTTGAGATAGTGGTTTCTGCTTGCCGTTAGTCCAAGCTCAATAATGACCATAATATTATTAAGACGTATTGGGAAGTAATCGTACCGGTCGGTAGCCCAAGACATGGCGTAGTAGAAGAATAGTAGTGGGGGAGCGAAGTAGAGGACCTGAGCGCTGAATCGTCGCCAGGTGTTGAAGATAGCAGCATGTGCGGCACCGGCGAAGGGGTTCTGTCTGTTTGCGCTGAGGGTATAGCTGATGATGCCCTTTTGCGGTTGCCCACCTGTGAATCCGTTGTATTAGTGTACCATCCAAATGTCCGTCGTTATCCAGGTATCGGTCAATCGCCAGTCCATCGCTTGAATGGTATTTCCAACTCCCCGTATCTTTCATAAGTTCCCGCCTCTTCTGATCGCCCATCGATTCGCTGATCATTCTCTCCATCATGCTTCCAAACCTATTACGTCTCTTCATCGCTCGTGCATCGCAATTCGAACTCGAAAAAGGTGTACTCACCGAAGGCACCCCAGCCACCGAGATACCTAGATTTAAAATATCAGCAGATATTCAGATAATGATTTCTCATGTATTGGCTTGCGTGGGTTGTGATATGATGTAGTCTAGGAAATAAAAAGACGCAGCTTCGTCCTAGAAATACTCACTTTCCGTGCTTACCGACGGGGGCTTCGCCGCCGCCGAATAGGATTTGAGTAGGTCGCATCGTGGTAGTCAAATTCAATTGAAGAGTGGGTGGTTCAATTGGTGTATATGTTAAAGTGAGGAATTGAAATTCGGTGGAAACTCGCGACGTCAAAATCGAAGATGTTGCTGAACCAAGATTGGCTTAGGTACATTTCCCAAGTACCTCGTCCTAACCATGCCACTAATTAGGTAATCAACTAGCACAATTAAGTTTGCTTGGTGCACAGACCACGTAGCTCCCGCCCAATCCGACTTGACGAATTCTAAATCCCGACAGCTCCACCACCAACTTATCAAGCAGACCTTGGGAGGAGCTTCAAAAATAAGTCAAAAGGGCTATTCGCAAAACGGAAACCCGGGTTTGACACCAGAAAACGAAATGGACTTTGCGTTAAGACAAGTCTACCGGTGGGCGGTACCCGCCGTCATCGCCGGGTCCTTCGTCCAAGCCTCCATCTACGACGTCCGTGGTGGTTCCCGAGCCGTCATCTTCGATCGATTGCAAGGAGTCAAGGAAAATGTTATCAACGAGGGCACACATTTCCTCGTTCCCTGGTTACAGCGCAGCATCGTCTTCGATGTCCGAACCAAGCCTCGAAATATCGCTACGACTACCGGTAGCAAGGATTTACAGATGGTCAGCTTAACGCTGAGAGTTCTACACAGGCCTGAGGTCAAGTCCTTGCCTAAAATCTACCAGGTACGTTTTATGCGCCTCACCTTTCCTCGGCTGCTACAGAACATATAGCAAGAAGAGGTATTGGACATTAGAGAAAGAAGCAAGTAGCTAACCCACCCCACCACAGAACCTCGGCACCGACTACGACGAGCGAGTCCTCCCCTCCATCGGCAACGAAGTCCTAAAATCCATCGTCGCACAATTCGACGCCGCGGAACTAATCACACAACGAGAAGCCGTCTCCCAGCGCATCCGCGCCGACCTAATGAAGCGAGCTTCCGAATTCAACATCGCCCTCGAAGATGTATCGATCACGCACATGACCTTCGGCAAAGAATTCACAAAAGCCGTAGAACAGAAACAGATCGCACAGCAAGATGCCGAGCGCGCGCGCTTCATCGTCGAGAAGGCCGAGCAGGAACGTCAGGCCAATGTTATCCGCGCCGAGGGTGAAGCCGAGTCCGCGGATACTATTTCTAAGGCTATTGCTAAGTCCGGCGATGGTCTAATTCAAATTCGAAAGATCGAGGCTAGTCGTGAGATCGCGCAGACTTTGGCTTCGAATCCGAATGTTTCGTACCTGCCAAACGGAAACAAGCAAGGGGGTAGTGGGAGTCAGTTCTTACTCTCGGTTGGCAGGACGTGATGAGGAAGGGAGGCTGTTAGTGATGTAAAAGGACAAGAGGAATGAAAAAAAAAAAAAGGTCACGAATGGTTGGTGTCCAGAAAAGAAGGGCATGTGTATACTACATAAGCGACCAACTGCCCGGTTCTCCACTTCGGGATATGAATAATATGTGTCAATATCAGTAAAAGTCAAGTGTTGTTCTCCAATATGTGTGTTATTCATTTGCATTGATCTCATCGTGTCTACCTAGATGCGTGTGAATACGCTACACCTTATAATGCAATTCATCGTATCATGACCCTAGGTAGTTCATCGGAGCTAGGCTAGTTTGCTCTGCTTTCGCCGTGCAGTAGCTTAGAGGTCTTTCCAAACGGAACACAACACAACAGACCGTTAGACCTCTGTCTTAGCCCCTTTTCTCTCATGGAGCAATTCCATGGGACCAAAAATCTAATGTGATCTGGCCTTAAGCCACCCAAATTTCCAACCATGCTTCATGGAGAATATTAATCACCTCAATATGGGAGGTCATATTTCTCTCCCTCACCCGGTGCTGTGACCTTGCCGTCTTTGATTACCCAGCCCTTTGTCTGCAGGTTCTTCCACTCGTCTCGGACCTTCAACCTAGCCAGCTCACCCGCAGCCTTTGCGTCCTCCGCACTGTCGTGTCCCTCAGGCGTGGTCTCATCTGTTTCTTGTTGAATCTTCTGGTTTAGTAGTGTCTCCATCAACATCCTGAGACTGTTTCTGTGTGGTAGTCCGCGCCTATGGGGGAAGAGAAGAACAGTATCGATGCAAGTGGGGTGTATAATACGCATGGCGTTCATGTCGTTCTCAAGACCATGGCCTACAAGGGGTGTATCGGGAGATATTAACGAGAAAAGAAGGTCGCGTGCTTCCTTAGGAGAAGCGACAATCTTGAGCTTGGGCTTCTGTTGATTCTCAATAATAGTTGGTTTATGGTCACCACCAAGAACCCATCGCTCAGCTGAAACCATGTCCTCAGGTGTCACGCCGGAGTAGCGAGTGTTGAGATCAAGTACTTCTCCATACGGTTGAACAAGGACGTCCGCCAACGTCTCGTAGTTAGGCCAAGATATTACGGTCATGCGAATAAGTTCAAGCCCATAAGCTGTGAATCCCATCTCACAATCAAAGCAGATGGCCCTGTCGGCAGGGATGTTCGGATTCGGCGGCGTTTCGGCAAAGTTGAGTAGATTGGCTAGTCGATTCTTGTCCGTTGTCTTGAAGACATGAGTAGGTGCTGTGGCGCATCCACCTACATCATCATCGACATTCTGGTGACAGCAGCGATACTTCTTTTGGGCTTTAGACAACTTGCCTGGCCCCCTCTCTGTAAAGTAAGTCTTGCCCGGGTGAAACGTGCAGGAACCATTGGTAGTCAACGCGCCATCTTCTTCTCTTCGGCCCGGGAAAACCTGGAATCGTCTCGTGCATCTGTCGCAAACTTCGACATTACCGGAAGCTTGGACGCTTGCACGAGCTTGCTCAATATCATCGTCCGCGGGAACAGAGTGGACATACCCATATGATTCAAGCCCATTAAAGGGCCATACCAACCGATGTAGAAAATCAACTTCCTGGGGTGGGGTCAAACCAGTAACGAGAGGTTGAGGTGCTGCCGGTACATTCGCCGTATTCTGCGCGCTAGAAACTCCGGTAGCGAGCATTCGTTCTTCCTTCCACTCCGAAACGGTTTTGCGTTTGTAGCTCATAATTTTGTTACGAATGACGTTTCCATAGATTTGGGGTCGTTTTATGGCCATTTCCTGTTCATCATCAAGGGTTTTTACAATGAGCTCTTGGTCGGAAAGCACCAGTTTTTTCGACACTTCATCTTTAGCTTCTTTCTTTAATTCAGAGTTGAGGCGGGTGTACTGTTCGTGTAGGGCCTTGACAAGTTTTAGGCGGGTGTCATGCTTAGCTGGGGCAGACTTGAGAAGGCGAGGGTTCAGTGCCTCCGGTTTCTTGGGTGGTGTCTTTGTTGCTAGTTTGGATGAATTGTGTACCCCCATCGTAGCGGAAGTTGATGCTGAGGTGGCGGGGCCTTGTTGCTTGGAGAGAGAAGTCGACGCACCGCGGACTTGACTAAGCGGAGGTGTTGAAAGGCTTTTGTAACCCAGCCCACTTACGGAGTCACGGCTTTGACTCTGTCCATTTCGAACACCATCGTGTGGTTTGCTGTCGATTTGAGTACTCTCACTTTGATCACTATCACTCTGCATACTCCCGCCGTGATTGTTGCCCGCTCGTTCCACTTCTCCTGTAGATGAAAGCTTTCGTTTCACAGGGTTTGTGGATTTAAATGTCTTACTACCTTGAGGCCCGCTTTGACTCCCCGTAGCTCGGACCCGCTCTACAGTAGGTTTTTGTACTCCTGTTGAAATTGCGGATTGATGAGGTGAAGATGATGTCGTCGAGTCCAATTTGATTCGCTTCCTTGGTAATACCTGATCCGAAGAGGAGGCGGTCGTCACTTGGTCGATTGGTTGATCAGTGCTTTTAACACCAGTAGCTCTCGCGTCAGTATTCCTGTCGTGTTTGAACAAGCACTGAAAAGCGTCACACTTGTCACCAGCCGGACAAGGCAGGTTTTTAAGTACCGCAAGAGAGCTGGCCATCGTGATAGTTTGCTATGGCTTAATGGCTTAGTGCCACAAGGAAAGGACGAATGCGCCCGCCAAGACAAAGTTTTCGAATTATTGGGATGTTTTATGTGTTAATGTGACTCAGATGTGTTTGCTATCACTTAAGTTGCTCTAAGGGAATATGGTGATATGAGTGGATGGGGCGTGTAAATGTTTAGAACACGACTTGGTATGCTTGTAACAGGGTAAAAACGAAGGAGGATGTTCGTTTAGTGAGCTGTCAAGGCTGACGCGCTGTCTTAAATTGCTTAGGAGTGGTTCGTTGAATGATTATGTACTAGGTATGAGGGGGAATAATTTCTCAAAGAACACCGAAAACCCTAAATAAAACAAACAGGTGTAGATAGAAATGCAGTGGAACGTCGCTGCCTCAGAAGAAAAGCTTCATGATCATGAGAAAGTACAACTAATGCTCCTGCCTGTCCTGACCGCGTGCTGCCCAGGTGAGACGTCACTCGGAAAGCTCCGACGATCATCCGAATATAAAAGTGACCAATAAAATTATGCTATCATAACTTTTGTGAATATCTCCACTAGCATTGGTATAAATAATTTATGTATTATGTACTTGTCTACAACATGCATAACATTGATTAATTCAACAATTATGATAGACGTCATCCATCCAATCAAGGCGGCTAGGTAAATTGTTTTATTTTCATTGAGCGCATTTTATATAGGGGCACAAGCATTGTAGATCTTCGACCTAAGTATACCAGTGTTATATTCAGGGGAAGTTTGTGATTTACGTAAGGGTCTGGACAGGACAAATAAGTGCCAACAATAACTTCATGAACGATTTCGATATTGATATTTAAACTTTTATAAATCTCCCCGAATCTCACTTGCAAGGCCCCATCTATGTCTGTTCTTGCATTCAATCGTCATCAATCTGGGTACCTAGAAAAAGGTCTACGTCAGCTCTAGAAGCTACATATGTAGCTCAGCTTCCTGCAGCGTTCCCGCTCTAGCCCTGAACCCTGCCTATTTTAGGTACAGTAGTAGGACCCAGCGCATAGGTAATCCACTGTAGTTAATTTCTCTTTTGGGTAGATTCGGCCTGTCTCATCTTACCGACGGGCGGCTTTAACGGATTGATAGTCGGGTTTTAAATGGTGAAAAATCTCGAGCATGGCACATCGATTTAACTTTCAATAAATCTAGTACATAAATGCTTGGACAATAGATAAACTTCTTCAATATGGAGTACAATGGTGGTAGTTTAACGGCAGATCACCTTTGTGTACTCGTTCATGGGGTATGATTTCAATGTTGTATTCCCTTGCGCTGCGCTGCGCCTCTCGCGTATTATTTACATGCACGTCATGAATTGCTAACGATTCTTTCCCTTGCCTTAGCTTTGGGGCAACCCGAATCATATGAAAAATGTCGCGAAACAACTTCGAGAAACCCATTCCGAGGATAAACTATACATCTTAGTCGCAAAACGAAATAGTGGCAGTTTTACATACGATGGTATCGAACGAGGCGGCGAGCGCGTATGCCTCGAGATCGAGGAAGAACTCGAAAGCATCCGAAACAGAGGCGGCAACATAACAAAGATCAGTATTGTTGGATACTCTTTAGGAGGTCTAGTAGCCCGTTATGCCGTAGGATTATTAGAGATGAGAGGCATATTCCGAGAAGTCGAACCTATAGTACGCAATACCCCTGAATCCGACAAAGCTGTAATTACTTGACTTACACGCGATTTCCAGAATTTCACCACATTCGCAACTCCTCACCTCGGTGTTCGTACCCCTCTACACGGTTTCCATAATCATATATGGAACGTCCTAGGCGCGCGCACGTTATCGATGTCTGGGAGGCAATTGTTCCTAATTGACGAATTTCGCGATACCGGACGACCATTACTCGCAGCACTCGCCGACCCCGAATCGATCTTCATATCAGGTCTAAAAAGATTCAAACGCCGAATATTATACGCGAATATAGTCAATGACCGAAGCGTGGTATACTACACGGCCTGTATGTCAAGAATAGACCCGTATGCCAACCTAAATCGGATCGAGCCAAACTACCTCAAAGGCTATGAAGATGTTGTGCTGAACCCCATAAAACCAATTTCGCTCGTCAATAAGAAATCCGAGCCCATGACAGTTTCGAGAAAGCTGAACTATCTACGGAATAGATGGATGTTTGCGCTAGCCGTTTTTCTACCGATCGGTGTCGTTGCATTCTTACTCAACGCGGTGGTTCAGACGTTTCGTAGCTCGAAGCGCATCCGACTACACGAATCCGGTCTTGCAGGTATCCAAATAGAAAACTACCGATCGCCTATATGGCTTAAGGAGCTACGAGGCACGGTCGAAGATGCATACGAAAGCCTGAATAACCAGCAAGAGGAGGCGTATATTCGACCATGGGACAATGACAACCGTTATGGCCGGTTGGAATCATCTGAGGCGCGAATATTGCAGAGAGAACGAAGAAATTCGAGCTCCCAATTTCCGACCTTATCTCTAGCCCTTTCGCAATTCACCATGATCGATGAATTGGATAAACTTGGCTGGAGGAAATATTCGGTCTGGATTCATAATGTCCGAACGAGTCACGCCGCTATAATTGTTCGTACTGATAGCGAAAGATTGAAAGAGGGTTACGTTGTGCTCAGGCACTGGCTTAAGGAAGAGTTCCTCATTTAAGCATCATATCTCGGCGTTTAGTGGGGAGCATATATAGACGAGGCATTACCAGGATAGGGACGGGTGTATTAGATGTTCCCGATTTAGGAAATGCTGTATATTACGATGCGTCTCGATAGACTCGTAGACAAGCCTCAACTTAATACTACTACTACTACTACTACTATGACAAAACGCGTAGTTTGTCTACACAATACTCAACCTAGGGTTTAGCGTTTACCCTAGGCTTAAGTCTTCGATATAATTACGATATTTATGATACGAACCAGATTCCAGTATGTCAACCTCCCTAGCCTCCTAGCGCAGCCAAAGTATCGCATCCCTTAGGCTAGTGACGTTCTACTCAGATCCTAGTGTACCTCAGGTACGGCTTAACCTCCCTAACACTCCCTAACTTCTTCTTAGCATCCTCCGTGCTCACAGTCGGCGGCACAATAACATCATCCCCAATATGCCAATCCACGGGCGTAGTAATGCCCTTCTTATCCACCGTCTGCAACGAATCAATCACGCGCAATACCTCGGCGGTATTACGTCCCGTGCTAGCGGGATACATCATCGTCAAACGAATCTTCTTCGCCGGATCAATAATAAACACCGAGCGGATGGTAAACGCAATACCCTTCTGATCGATATTGGTCAAGTCCTGTGCATCGACCATGTCGTACAGAAACGCCACTCGTCGGTCCGCATCCGCGATAATAGGGAATTGTAGGTCTGCGGAACATATTTCGTTGATGTCAGCGATCCACTTCTCGTGAGAGGAGAGGTCGTTCGCGCTGAGCCCGATCATTTTCACATTACGACGGGCGAATTCGGGTGCTAAGCGTGCAAAAGCGCCGAGTTCAGTTGTGCAGACGGGTGTGAAGTCCGCTGGGTGCGAAAAGAGGATTGCCCATGATCCGCCGAGCCATTGGTGGAAATCGATGTCGCCTTGGGTTGTCTTGGCTTGAAAGTTTGGTGCTTCGCTGCCGAGACGTAGGCGTGGTTGCTCTGAGGGGGTTGAGGAAGAGGCTAGGAATCGTCGTGAGATCGAGGCCTGTCCTCTCGCCAATGATCTCGGGAATATCGGCGAGGAAGAGACAGCTTTTGGGAAAGCTAGGCGTGGAGCCTGCGAAGCTCCACAGAGAACGCTTCGGGCAAGGAAAGATGCCATAATACTGAGTGTTATAACTGTGGATTAGTGTTGAAATTGTATGGAGTAGAATTCGCAATATAGATTTAGATATTATTTGGTATTATATACAAGGCTTTGAAATCATAAAGAGCTTCCTGTGACTTCATATTGAGAGAGCGAAGACGTGCGTTGCTATTGCGCAATGGAGGGGTGGTGGGGCCCATAGACGAAAGGGGAATTAAGCTACTGTGGATCGACGCTAGCCCGATATGGAATGAGATGAATCCAAATGCAGGGACCAGCCCGCGAGCCGGTAGCCTAGAACTGCTTATGAACTCTCCTAAGTTTCTAGCCTTTACAATAACACGATAATTTACGGGTCTTCCACGAGTTGTCGGATGAAAGTCAAACCCAATTCAGAACAAAGACGTTATTTATAGTAAACGGTATGGGAACGTGTAACGTACCCGAATCTATATTAAGGATATCTTCGACCGAATGCCTCCTCGACCGGTAGCGTCGCCACCGCGACGTATCACTAGGTCCTCACTCGCGCGATTCAGATTCGGCGATGACGGCTCGAGTTCTAAGGAGAATTCAACACCTCCTCCAGCTACTGATATCGAAGATGTAATACCGAGCGCGACGACAACCGCGCGCAAGCGAAAACGCACTACGACCCTCGTCGCAGCCTCACCGCGTCGTACCGTCAAGACCGAAGAAGTCGAGAAGAAGACAGTAATCATAGCCCCGAAACGCCAACGCAAGCCCGCCCGCAAGACCGTCGACGATAATACAGGCGAAACGAAAATCAGCGCACCCTCTGACTGGGAAGCAATGTACGATGCCGTCAAAGTGATGCGCAGCGCGGGTGGTGCGGCATCGAACGCAGCCGTAGACACGATGGGTTGCGAGCGATTAGCCGAAACCAGCGCCAGTCCGCGGGTCCGTCGTTTCCAGACGTTGATCGCCTTGATGCTCTCCTCCCAGACGAAAGACACCACCAACGCAGTCGCCATGAAACGCTTACAAACCGAATTACCACCTCATACGCCTGGCGCACCGATTGGTCTAATTTTAGAGAATATACTTGCAGTTGACCCGGAGACGTTGAATCAATTGATATGGGCAGTTGGGTTCCATAATAATAAGACAAGGTATATCAAACAGGCAGCTGAGATATTAAGAGATCAGTGGGATGGCGATATACCCGATTCAATTGAAGGCTTGGTCGCGCTGCCGGGAGTTGGACCTAAGATGGCGCATTTGTGCCTCTCGGCTGCTTGGGATAGGACGGAGGGTATTGGTGTCGATGTACATGTTCACCGTATCACGAATATGTGGGGATGGCATACTACGAAGAATCCCGAGGAAACAAGACTTGCACTACAGAGTTGGCTTCCACGAGATCGGTGGCGCGAGATCAATTGGTTACTTGTTGGGTTCGGGCAGACGGTATGTTTACCCGTCGGCCGAAGGTGTGGTGAGTGCGACTTGGGGTTAAGGGGCTTGTGTAAGGCTGCTGAGAGGAAAAAAGTTCTTGAGGGGAGGAAGATGCGGGAAAATGTTAAAGTGGAGAAGAGTGAGAATGATGGGGCGGTGGTGAAGGTTGAAGAGAAAGAGGATGAAGAGATTGTTGAAAAGGACGTTATCGTGAATAACGAGGACGTTCCAGAAGACGCCAAGAAGGAATCAGAGACCTCCGATGGAATTGTCTCAGTGCCGGAGCGCACTCCGCAACAAAGAGATAATGTTCCAAAACGGCAAGCAAGGTCAAAGGGAAAAAAAGTAGGCAATAATTAGGTTCACGATGTAAACAAATGTATAGGCTGTAAAATATCACAAGGCACAGGAGATTGTAAAGTCATTGTGTGTAAAAATCAACGTATTCATGGAGGTCTTCGGTCCTATTTGGAGAGAAGCCTCATAATTGCTAAATCAACAAGATGTATGTACAATGCAGGCGAATTCTGCAAATGTCGGTCCTATTCGTAAAGGACCTCGAAGATTTCGTAGAAGCCAACTCCATTGCTGTCGTAATGTCAATCAAGCAATTAAAATAAAAAAATCAAACTGAGGGCTCGTATCCGCCTGCGCCGTTGCGGGTTCGAAAAGCGAAATACAAACGTTGCCCTAAGCCGATGCCCGGACGCCAATGCTCATAGAAGAGTGAAGTAAAAGTAGGTAGAATCAATGCGCAGACCAAACCAAATTGCAGGTCCACCTCTTTATCGCATGCAGCGCACGGGCGTCATCGTCGAGAAATCATGTTGTGTATTTAGTAGAGCGGAGAACTCGGTCGTGATGTCGCGGATGGCACCATCCCAGTCGGCGCGGGCAAGTGGCTGTCGGGCGGTGTGTTCGGGTGTTTCTCTTCTTATACACCCCGGATGACTTGCGTTCGTTCCGCCTCGAGCTGTGCTGCGTTGCGTTCGTGCGATTCTTTCTTGCACTACGATTGGGATTCTGGGTTAGCATATGCGAACCACAACTCTCCTCAAGAATACCAGACTCGTCGAGATACTCGCCAAGACCGACTAACCACCACTCTGCGGCATCGTCGATACTACTGTCACTGGTCACTGTTGAAGGGGTTGGGCACATGCTTACATCTTCTAATCCGCTGCACTTATGATCTTCCAATAACCGGTGCTTTGCGCAGAAGTGTCCGTCGCAGAAACCGCAGTCGCCAACGATTCGCTGGGCGGCAGACTTGCACTCCTTGAAAGTGCAGCGAGGCTTCTGGGGCGCCATAATGATGCTTGTGATGATCGTTGCTGTTTAGGAAAGTGTAGATTTGTCGACTACGCTAGAAATAGCAATTATATTTGCACACGAGACGTTAAAAGTATCTCGTTGTCGTCTTTGTGGAAGATAGTGTGATGTTCAGGAAGCAGCTGAATTCGGAATGGGGGAAGAATTAGGAATCAAGGGGGAAAGTCGAGGACGACTGCGGCGAATGTTAGAAGTAGATCCTTTTTAAATGAAAGGAAATCTCGGGAGATGGTAATGCACAGTGGAGAAGACAAGACGCCTTGACCAGGCACCAGAAAAAAAGGAGGAATTTAATGTTGTAGAGGCTGAATTTGGATGGGTCGGTTTGTATATACGAGTAACAGCAAATGAGCCTCGGGCCGTGATGGATGACTTACATCGAAAAGTACGGTTCGGATCACGGCGCTTGGCACCTATCAAGGGGTCTGTGACCAATTGTTGTAAATGGGATGATTAGGTGATTGGACGGTTGGTACTTGCGCCGTTGCTAGAACTTATGAGGAAAAGGAAGAAGAAAAATAAAAGTCGTACGAAGATTCTCTTCTTCTGTCTTTCGTATTAGTGAGTGAGATAGAGAGAGTGAATGACTCTGACGTTGGCGGCAAGAGAATGGTCAGAATGGAACCGTTTAGAAGGGATTAGTGACTTTGGTATGGAGTAGTAGAGAGACAGAAAGGATGAGGCGAACGAGTTATCCCCCCTTAGCCTTGGTTGGGATTCGTGACCATTAGGTGACCATTAGTTTTTACATACTCCGTAAAGTACCCTGATTAGTACTTGTCAGTAACCTGGTCATAAGCCAACAAAAACAAGGGCCTTTTTCCAAGTCACTTACTCTACTCTACTCCGGTACCAAGTCACTACCACTCGCTGCCACTACATAACCACTAGCGTGCAAGTTGCAGGTATCAGTTCTGATGACGACGATTCCGCGCAAGGCTCCAAGAAGGCTCCGAAAGCGGGAGGCGAGCCGATTAGGTATAAACGGGGGACTCTAGTGCGATATGCCGTAGGGATGCACGTATCAGTGAAAACTGGGGGCAGGGGTGCGAACAGGGATATGGGAGTTAAGAAGAGTGGACAAGGGGGGTTTGGGTTCGAAGACAAGGAACAGGGGGGTTCCTATTTGGAGATGGGAGAAGAGCCCATTCGGTAATTCGGCGTAAATGGGATGTACCTGCCACATCTTACGCACCTAATCACTTACACCTACACTTACATAAAGGACACTACGGCCGAGGGAATAAACAAGATAGCCGCTACCATCACCATTAATCATTACCACATGCGCCTACCTAGACCTTAAGAAGGCAGGTATATACATGTAAGGATAGAACATTGGAATACTAACTACTTAGATACCTAACCTTGTTATTACTATTAATATACTCTTATGATCGACATACTTTTTTCAACTTTTGTTCTCATCTCAATTTCAATTCATCTGAAGCCAAGGGAAACTAATAGACAAACCTAAACTACGGATAATGTATGAAGCGAATTGATGAATGGCTCCAAATTACGACGTATAGTCATCATACTATCACTACTACTAACACTACATACTACATACTAAGGAGATAAGAAAGACCATCGTCCCGCTCCAACCAAGTTCTCTTTTGACTATATGAATACCGGGCGAGACCAGCCGAGCCACTCCGCTAGTCTTCGGGCAACTTCGCGCGCGCAGGGCGGCTGGTGATACCGATATCTATACTACATTATCTATGGTATCCTTGGTATCCATGTAGGTACCCAGGTAGTCGATCCACTGCATGAAAGGGAGATTACCACTAGACGGTGTCGCTATCTAAGACCTCGTCTACGTGATCAGATGAGCAACACAGGCAGATAAATAAGCATCGCATCCCTTCCGCCGCTCGCAATACTTACTAGGAGGGAGGTACATACCGTACATACCGTACTTTAAAAAAAGACTCTCCAGTTCCATTCGCCGAATTGCTTTTCAAACCCTCGTCTCTTGGACTGCCACATGTTCGATTCCTCTCATCTGGGTACTACAAAATTTAATTATACCTCACATCACCCAATTTCGTCAAATATGATCGGCTTTTGTCGTGTCAGAGCGTAATATGCAAATGTGGTTTAATTCCAACTTGGCAACTGAAACTTGGCGAGACGTTTACCAGCGGAATCATCCCCGAACGTTTGCATACATACATGAAGTAATTATTTTAATGTATACTGAGTGTCTAAGTAGGTAGGTATACATTACAGCATCACAACGTTGAAACTACAACTACATACATAGGTTAGTGGGGTTCCCAAGGCGTTGGCGACATCGTTAGTTCGTAGCTTTATCATTCTCTTTTCCTCTTTTTTATTCTTTGTACCTTATCAGGTGAGGCTGGAAATACAAGACTATCGATTTTCGCCTCCGATCAACCCCCTTACTTAATACGAACGACATACGAGACTCAACATTTCTATCACCGATTTATTACCATTATCCTTGATACTAGTAACCATGGGAAAGCAGGGTATCCCTCACCGTCATAGACGTTTGAATCGAATGTCATTCGGACTGACTCGGCTTCCTATCTCGTGTCTATACCTAATGTATGTGGGAGTTATACTGCTGATCTTAGACAAAGTGCCCCAAAGCCGGTCTACTGAAGCGGCAAGACCAATTCGTATTGGGTGGTAAGGCGTTTCTCTATCGACCCAATGGTTGAGCAATTCGGCTTTCTATTTGGCTTGTTGCATGGCTGCATGTCTCCTCCATCCCCACGTAAGAAATCTGCAAGTTAGGCGCTTTCTGCGGGAACCCATCGATCATGTGGTGGATTATTATTTTGCGGAGAACCGGAACCACTCTACGATGCAAGCAGGGTCTCGAATGAGGATGGCCGGGGGTCTCTCTTTTTACATACCATATGTATGTATGTGCGTACATGCGTGCGTGCACGTACGGTATATTACACAGAAATACCATACCATACAAAATGCCTGTCGGGAAGTTCGAGCCATATGCACAATACCCTGTTACACATGTCCCAGGATTCTAGACCGCCTCATTTCAACCTATCCGAGACATCTATATACTGGCGATACCTCTAATATTCGCCTCCCCTACTCTCCATTTATGAGAAATCGATCATCCATCGATGGTCTTTTTTGATGATACATGCACACGACATGCCATTGATCCCGTTTTATGGTCTTCTGAGGGTAATAAGAAGCGCGATGCGCGCTCGCGGATTTCGTTCTAGTGACCGTTGTGGACTCTTATTCACCGTTCCATGGAGGTAACCGTCGGTCAGCCACCTAAACTACGGCCACGCTAGAGAGGCCCGCTACAACGCCGGTGATACAATTGAATCTGCATGCTATGGGATTATTGGACTCCAAAGATGCATCACCAAGGCAATTATCGCTAATCACACCGCCGCAGTTTTCGTAGTAAAACCTGAGACCGATTATGACAGGATATACAACGTCAACAGGCAAATGCTTAGTTGGAGATTGAAATTACAATTTGCGGTTTGCTTCCATGACTCGTGAAGCCCAATTCATATGAATTCCATTTCTGCTTTACAGATTAAAAAACACTTGACTCGATAACTTTTTTTCCTTTTTGACTTTTTAGTTTGTCATGGTCACAACGCAGCGAATGCAATCTCCCGCCTTCATCGTCTCAAAAGCGGTATTAATGCGGTCCAAGTCTTCGCGGTGGGTGATGAATTCGTCAACCTTTAGCTTACCCTGGAGATAATCGCTAACGAGGCCGGGTAGTTGAGTTCGACCCTTGACACCACCGAAAGCGCAGCCCTTCCAGACACGACCAGTAACCAATTGGAATGCTATTTGAAAGGTTAGTTTGTGGATCGATAGGTGAATAATGGCGAGAAACTCACGTCGAGTTGAGATTTCTTGACCCGCAGCAGCTACACCAATGATAATGCTCTGACCCCAACCCTTATGACAAGCTTCTAGGGCCGCTCGCATGACACCAACGTTACCTGTGCAGTCAAAAGTGTAGTCGCAACCGCCATCGGTCATTTCGATAAGCTTTTCTTGAATTGTCTGTCCATCCAGCTTAGTAGGGTTAACAAAGTCGGTAGCACCGAATTTCTTAGCCCATTCTTCCTTAGTTGGGTTTACATCGACGACGATGATCTTGCCAGCCTTCTGTGTAACTGCACCTTGTACGACTGAAAGACCGACGCAACCAGCACCGAAGACGGCAATGTTGGAACCTTCCTCAACGTTGGCGGTAATTCGCGCAGCACCGTAACCGGTGGTGATACCGCAGCCTAGCAAGCAGGTTCGATCCATAGGAGCGTCTGGTTGAACTGCGACAACGGAGATATCGGCTACGACGGTGTACTGGGAGAAGGTCGATGTTCCCATGAAGTGGAGGAGGCTCTGTCCCTTGCAGGTGAATCGGGAGGTGCCATCTGGCAGGACACCTCGACCTTGGGTCGAACGAATCTTTCCGCAAAGATTGGTCTTGCCAGATATGCAGAATTTGCATTCCTTACACTCGGGAGTGCTTTGGAACCGATATTAGCCTAAGAGAGGGGCGAATATGGGGATTAGTGCTATGCGTACTAAAGCGCAACAACATGGTCACCAGGCTTCACGTTGGTGACTCCCTCGCCGACAGACTCAACAAGACCAGCTCCCTCGTGTCCTAGGACGACGGGGAATGCGCCTTCTGGGTCCTTTCCCGATAACGTATAGGCATCTGCTCCACTGTTTAATAGGATGTTCGGACTTTGCTCGGAATTGAGGCTTGGCAAGTTATACCTGTGTGGCAGACACCAGTGTAGTAGATCTGGATTCGGACTTCGTGGGCTTTCGGGGGAGCGACCTCGACCTCCTCAATGCTTAGGGGCTTTCCAGCTTCCCAGGCAACAGCAGCCTTGCACTTGATGGTCTATCAAGCAATGGTAAAGAGATGATTAGCTTCAATTTTGCGCGTCTTTTCGCATTGGCTGGCAATTGATGAGATATAGGTAGGTAGGCAGGTGGGCATTATAGTATATTGCGCAGTTATAGGGGAGCATAGTATACTACGCGCATACGTACGCGCGGGGTAAAAAGAGCTCGGAACGGATATAGGGGATGTGTAAGAGGCGAGATAGGACGAGACGAGATAGAGTACCAACCTTGCCAACGGTATCAGCCATGATGTTAAGAAATACGATAGAGGTGGTAGAAATAATTAAAGGCTTTGGAGAATCTGGGACATGAAAAAAAAGAGAAGCCTTGAGTTATCAACTTTATAAATGAATTGATCCAGGCCTTACTTTCCTTGGTTGCTCGGTTTGCGGAGTTTTAGCACCAAACTCTTTGACCCCACCACGCACCAAGGCTATTTTCAGGTGGGGGGAAGTCGGCACGGCAGTGTAGAGAGGTGACTAACCCGGTCAATCATCAAATAGGCGAGCGAGATAACAAAAAGTATACAAAGTATAGGGCAATTTGTAGCTTGTTACCTCGCATACTGATGTCACTTCTGCGGTATGATGACCGGCAACATGAAATCATAATCCCCAAGCAACACCGAGCAACATCTTGGTAATCCTAGATTCCTAGATCCGGAGACTATTTTCTCGATAACGACCCGTAATGTTGCACACGTGTATTACCGGTGCCTTTCAGCCTTGATGCTCGTTGATACGTTGATGCGATGATAGGGGGGTCATGTCCCAACTACCCCAACTCATTCCGTGTTGGAATTGTGCGATATCGTCAACCGGCATTTTGAGACGCGGGCGAAGTTTGGACAAATCTCGGGATGTACATCATAGCCTCGAAGAAAGGCGTTAGTCTGTTTCAATCGTTGCCTGCCTGTAAGCGATTGATTTGATCCGTTCGATCCTCTGGTATGCTGTGCCTTTTTTTTTCCTCTTCTGTCGAAGTTGGCAGCAGTCTATTATTCTTCCATCATGTAATGAATGCATGTAGGTAAATTAAGTATTAACATTAAAGTAGATGAAATATTGAGATCTGTTCGCCTCAACGTAAGACAAGCAAGAATTCAATATCAGCAAGGCTGGAAGCAATGCATATAAACATAGATAGATAGAGGAAAAATATTAATGGCATGGAGAAGTTACCATTTATATGAATTTGGACTTAGGAATGAGAACCCGGAGGACTCTACCTAGGTACCTGCGTACCAGACTTAACGTCACGGTCGTTGTTCACAATCCTGGATCTGTATGTTTATGTACAGACACAAGTACATAGTCAGCCCCACTAAAACAAGTAATGTGATTGGATCAATTCCTAGATTCAATGAAGCCACATGGACCGTGCACGCAACTGCTCTGCAAAGTAAAGTTTGAATGCACTAAACTCATCCCGTCGCGTCCTAGAAGCTTCAGCATCGCGCCTTAAATTTTTGTTCGGTTGCCTTTCAACAGCAACCAGAACGTCTAGCACGCTAAAATTGAAAGACGGTTTTGCGATTTTATTTTCAACCTTCTTTTTAGTACCCAATTTAGAAATTCGTCAACCTAATTCATTTACGCTCATGGTTTTCCTGTAAAGTCTTATTCTACAAGCAGGGCCATTTAAGGGAGCTATTGAGCCAACAACCGCCAACATGTCATTTCGATTCTCGGACTTCGGCTCGTCGCCATCCACTCCGGACAGAAGCTCTCGAAAAGCTTCATCCGGCTTTAATTACAGTGTCGACCATCCCTCAACGACTCCCGCCGGCCCCCCACCGCCCTCTTCTACAGCGTCGTTTACCCCAGCTGGTGACCCGTCGCCTTCTTATTTGCAGAGTTCCATTGGTGCTATGTCAGGAAAAATCAAAGCGCCAAACTTCGGAAGACCAAATCTTGCACAGAATAAATCGAGTCCTGCGAGACGCAGCAACGCACCGCTGGGAAGATCTATCCGAGGCTTGAATGCGAGGCAACCGTCGAGCCTAAGTAGGGAATACCGCGGAGAAGATGAGGAGGACGATGAAGAGGATGATGGAGGCGCGAATATACAGCAGAACCGCGCGGGCACTTATGGAATATCATACGACGACACAACCGAAGGCGAGGATACCGAACCCGACACTACGAATCCTCTCGACGATGAAGAGGATGAAGAACGAGATGCGGAAGTCGATGCGATGATGGAGGATGAGGCCGACTATGATGTGGAAGAAGATTTGCTACGAGAAATAGCCGGAGCCGATCCTTATAACGATCACTTAGCCGATCGTGGAGATTTAATGGTACTCTCGACTGCTGCTGCTGATGAGCGAGTTTCCAGAGAAGCCGAAGATATCTTCCGTGCTTCTTCTATGCGCTCTACCATGGCTCGAAGGCGGGAAGTGAAATATGGGGCCGTTGCGAAGGACCTGTACAGTCAATCACAGTTTGCCGAGGTGTCCGAGTCGGACAACGTTCTTATCCAGACCGAGGAGCTTGTCAACCGGCTTTATGATGAGGGCGTGGGCCCAGAAGATGACGAGGAAAGGTTGGATGATACTCTGGGACAGGCCTGCCTCCGGCTGGTGAACGAAATATGGGGTGGCCATATGGATGAACTCCCTCGGACTCGTCGAGAACACGCAGCGAAAGTAGGGCCGAGCTCTCATGCGTCGCCCTTTGAAAAGGCATTTTACCTAGCTACACTAATCCTCAGAATTCACCATACACCGGTGGCTAGAAACGAATTTGGCGGTATTACTAGCTTAGCTTTGCCCGCTGTGCTATTCGATTGGCAAAATGACGAACACAATCTCCAACGAGATCAGATTGATGCTGTCCTGCAGAATCGCCCTTCCCCGGCTACCCATGGGCTTTTCTGGCCGGTTGTTTTCAATTCTCTTGTGCGCGGTAACATACAGGATGCTATACAAGTGCTCCGGAAAGCCGGCTGGGAATTCGTCAAAAAGTCCCCTGGTAGCGAATCTATCTATAGTGGTCAAGCATTGGCAAATATTAAACGCGTGGTCGAAGATCTTTGCGCTGTCATGGAGCTGTGCCCTGCAATCAGCAATAGGAGCTGGGACGTTCATAACAGTGATTGGACCTTGTTCCGTCTGAAGGTTAGAGGAGCTAAGGAAGCTCTCATTAATTTTACTGAAGGAAAAGATCGACACCACCTTTCGTCTGGTAGATTTGGTGATTCTGACTTTGGAGACTCCGCAAATGGACGACAATCCATAACAGGACTCGCCCGAAAAGCAGAGAGCAGAATTCCATGGGACGTCTACGAAAATCTCCAGTCGCTTTACGCAATCCTAATCGGAGAATCAGATGCTATTCTTGCGGCAGCAGGCGACTGGTGTGAAGCAACTCTTGGCTTGTTCGGCTGGTGGGACAATGGCCACAGCAAGCGAAACATAAGTTTGTCCCATTCAGGATCGCTACGGCCGGCAGGAGGTGATGAGGATTTCTTTGACCGCCTCGCTCTTTGTCTTCAAATTGCTACAGTGGCTGATTTTGACGTCAACTCGGCCGACCCCGTTGAAGTAGCTATTGCGTCTGCGTTCGAGAGTAATGTGGAGGGAGTTGTCGGATTCTTGCGATTATGGTCGCTTCCAATTGCCGCGACGGTCGCAGAAATCGCATCTCTAGGCCGATGGCTACCCCCTCCAGAACCACAAAATCTTATTAACATGAATGATTTCGACATGGAAGAATTGGAGGTATTAGGAATGAATCAGAGCACGCAGACCGACGAGAAAGACGGGATTAAAGATACAACCTTGATTTACTACGCCCGCGGACTAAAAAATCGCAAACATATCACGGATGACAAGGTAACTCGATACGGCTGGGAGATGGCTGTTCAAGTTGTTGGCCGACTGGATGCTCCTGACCGTTCTGAGCAGTTAGTCCAGGAATTGTTGCATGGTGTTCTCGACACCATGGACGAGGATTCCCATGAGACGGTAGAAAAGATATGGAAGCTGCTGAATGAACTTGGTATGATAAATTTTGCCGAGGACACAGCTGAGGTACGTAAACGTTACTGCTTTCGCTAATATTCCAGTGATAACCCTTTACTGACATATTTCAGACCTTCGGAGATATCTTAGCTAAGGACACATTCCGTTTTGGGGAGGCTCTCTGGTACTACGCTCTAGCGCATCGCCCTGGCAAAATTCGTGATGTGTTGAATACTCTTATGTCCATCTCGCTCGTAGAATCTACGACATATCCACCCGAGAGCGAGTTAGACAACACTCTGAAGCAACTTCTAAAGGAACGCACAGCAAAGTTAGAACAGTTTGCGAAGCAAGATCTCGAGGCGGCAGAACTTCTTGGTAAGATGCTTAGTGGGTATGCTACGCTTCGGAAGTTTTACGAACTCCGCGACGGGGACGGTAAATCTACCAATAAATCAACAGTACGCCGCCAGCAAGCCGCAGCGGCTCTAACAGTTGTTATTGCAAGTGCCGACGACAATATTCGAGGTGGTCTATATGACGACACACGCGACGCCGTAGTCAGCGAGGATTTTTTACTAGCATTACTTGGGGAAGCCTCTATCTTTGTGGGTCAGTCACCACCGGTGATTACCCTTGATCAAATTGATACGCTTCTCAAAGCTATTGAGGATATCCAGACCGTCGGGTCTCGGGTTTATGATGCTTCAGACGAGTTTTTCAAATTGGTGCTTGCATCAGGACACGGAAAGGGATCTACACCCGCGGATCTTCTCAAACAGTCTACTTCTTCCCTGGGTGGGAGCTTTATGATGACGGGAAGCTCGATGATTGCGTCCCAGCTTCACCAATCCGTAATCCGAAGTGGCGTTATTAAGGGGCCTGTTAAAAGAGCGTGGGATTGGAGAACTGGTGTATTCTCGGCTAGTAGCTCTAGGGATCTATTGAAGCAGGTCAGGTTAGGATTGACCAGGGACCTAGCCAACCTATGGCTAGAGCAGGCAGATAGTGTCATTCTATAGCTGTCCACGGTATTTGATGGCGACCATTACGCTTGATGGGGCGTTAGGCTGGCGTTTACGGGCGTAGATAAATATCATTGGCTAATGTACCGAGTAATACCATCGCGGAAGCAGAAGGAGGATGAATCAGAGTTGTTTAATCACAGATGAAGGCGGCTTGGATCGTGTATCCCGTCTCTTTGATAGTAGGATCTCTACTGCAATAGCATGCCGTCAAAGATGCTACTTAATTATGATGTTGAACCAACTGCTTCCTAAACCTCCAGAGGCATATATAAACGCCGCAGATCTTTATTGAAAATCCCAGGGAAGTTTATATTTCGAACTCGATCTCGAATTTCCCCACATTCGAGGTCCGAGACAAGTTGTACCCCCTCGAAAGGAACCCGCCGCATGCTGAGCAACGCGAACCCCGCGACGGACCGGTCCGACAAGACGGATCATTGGAGCGGCCTCTATAGGGGTCCCTGAAAAGGGGCTCGTGGAATGCCTCGAAGTGCTAGCTGAACTCATGAATTAGCATAACGAGATAAAACCTAAAGAATAGGTTTAAAACACTGTTTCCCTGTTAACTCGATTTATGTTAAACAAACCCAACATAATGTTGTGGAAGTACCGAGATTCAGTGTTGGACACCCTTCCGTTGAGGTAAGTAAATACTCAATGCAAGTCGGTAATCACCAATATATGTCATATAGATATTGTGTGTTAAATTGATTAGAGTATATCACATTGAGATAAATGTAAAGGAGGTATGTCAATGTGGATAGGAAGGTTTGTTGATTTCCAATTTGGTGGTAATATGAGATTGAGGTCCTAAACGAAGGTCTGGCCCCCCCCTATTTCGACTTTTTGGCTAGTATCAAATGTTATGTTTGAATTTTTTTTCATTGTGTCAATTGATGATGCCTCCACAAAGTAAATAAAATCTGGCCCAAACTGAATTATCCCATATTCTAAGATGCGGTTCACACCGCATCTCCCTTTGGCCCGATTAAGTTTCTCGAAATATGTCGTTTAACTCCCTCTATAGGTTGAATAGCTGTAGGGAGATAGCAACAGAGGCACATGGTAATGTTGGCCTTTGAGGACGTTAAACGTGACCACAACCTCGGGGAAGAAAGTCTTGCCCTCGCCGAAATAGCCTTCGGTATCGAAACGTAGTGTCCAAGTTGATTTAGTTTCCACTTCGCTCAGCACATCGTCTAGGGTGTACATTGGTACATCTCCTGAAGAGTGGACACTGGAATATGGCAGCCAGGCTTTGACGCGGCCATCATCGTCGGTTAAGGATTCGAAGGTCTTGAGCGGGGCATGGCCGCCTTGAAGCTTCACGCGGATGCCTTTGGCTGGTTTTCCCACGGAAGTATCCAAGACGTGGCAGGTGATGGGATCTTTGTCGCTTGCCATTGAATCGATGATAGTGCTGGTTTAATCTGGTGGCGTCTTGGGCTGAGAAAGTGCAGATGCTGCTTCCACGAGCGGTTGAACACTCTACTTGTACTTGAGAGGCTGTCGTCTTTGTCGTCCTATAAGGTGGTGAGTCCAAAACGGTTGGGATGTATGACAAGCGAGGCGAAGCTGTTGACGAGGCAGTGTGAACGCGTGTGGTTTCTTTCTTTTTTTCCGAAACTGAAGAAATAGAGGGATGCACGAGACCAAGAAAGGTAGGTAAGCTACTTGTTCTGAGTGTCTAGCCTGTTACAGTTTACTGCGACTATGTAAGTTCTCAGGGGCAAGAAACCTTAAAGATTAAGAAGGTGGAAGCTTGAAAAAAGACAGGGAAATCGAGAACTCTGTTGAAGCTAAGAACCAGGATTGTGAGGGGTGGTGTAACAGCTGAATTCCTAATGCAGTTGTGTTTTTGGAGCTGATTGATCAGACAAACCCCGCTAGTCAAAGTGCCCCACCGTGGGGCAGGATACGTACCGTTTGGTCTAAGGCAAATCGTTTCTTTTTATAGAAACAAACGTAATACAGTATTTTCTATAGTGTAAACACTTTAGATACTTAGGTACTTATTTAGGTACACATTACACATGTCATCATATCCTCTTATTCATCGTTCCGCGCCAACGACCTACATCTCGTCTTCAAGAGCCGATTTCCGTATTACAACTCGATGTAGCTAATGATACATCTAGAGGGCTGAAGCCTCGAGTACGACCTCACAGCCTTTACTAATTTCCAAGAAATTTCTGATGGTATGATACTCATTAGACTAGAGAACATCTCCGCTCGATGTGATTTGACATCTAATTATAGCTCAGCAAGACATTAAAGCAGTGTAACAACCCAACATGCACGAAAGAATATGTAAGTAAGACATAGCGGCCTTCTCCTCTTTTAAACTGAGTTGGCTTTTGCCGGAGTTTGCCTAACTTCCTACACTTAAGTAGTATTGACATAGGAGGCAGTGCACTGATCAAGACATCAAGCGGTGAATAAGTATAGCATCATCCAGAACGTCGTTGACTGGGAAGATGAGGGACCTAGATCGCCACAAATCACATACTTCGCCTCGCCTCCTTTTCACCACAATGCTCTAAGTCAACTCGATTCAACTCAACCTAAGCGACATTCGATTATACCCAATGTACTACGACATTCCCACACCTTAACCATCTTCAATCCCGCACGCTCAAATAACCTCCGGAATTCCGAAGGGGTACGCTCTTTACCGTTCATCAGAGACATCATGGCGATATCCAGAGAAAATCCATGGTGACCATGAATACCGTAATTGGCTAGAAGTGGTTTCGGCGCGGATTTGATATACGCATCTCCTATTGTTTCGGTCAATGTGATATCGGCAACGAGCAATCGCGAGTTTGGGCCCATAGCCTCTGCCGTTCTCAACAGGATTCTAACACAGTCCTCATCTTTCCAATCATGCCTGTACAGGTTTAGTCAAGTCTTCGACATAAGAATATAGAGGGTGTGTTACATACAGGACGTGTCGCATCCAATAAATGTCAGCCCCTTTCACCGGGTTTGGCTGGAAAAAGTCATGCGTTAGAAATTTCGTCCGTCCCGACTCCAGAGCTTCGGGAAACTCCTTTTGCCACATCAAGACGCCCTGTTCCGTTGCAACCGCTTGGTCCTGCACGATGAAGCGGAGTTCTGAGTATAAGCGAGCCAGTTGAAGATCGAAGCTACCTGGATATACTGTGTTAGCCTTGCCCGGAGCTCGAGGTCCTTTTCGGCAACTTACCGACACCGCCCCCAACGTCGACAACCAACCCATTCCCCAATTCGGCCCATGGGAAATCGTATAGGTGGGTGCTTCCCAAACTCTTGCTATTACCTGCCAAATACATGTTATAGGTTTGGGCGTCGTTCCTTGGAACCAACTCCTCGTCAGGAGATGCCTCTACTTCCTTGTATGGTCCTCTTGCGGCTCCAGGACTCGCTTTCTCAGCCGCCTGTGAACGTGGCACTCGCTGATTCATCCAGTCGAAGAATGGAATTTCTGAACCCAAAGCTAGTGTCCAAGCAGCTTGTTGAGGGTCATGGCTTGGTCCTCGAACGGGGTCGTTTAAAGCTTCTGGTAATGCCGACGCAGCAGCAAATCCCATGGAGCTACATATCACCAGTTAATCAGTTGTCGAAATGGCCCGTCGTTATTTAGAGAATACTCACCTGCATTTCACTTGAGCTTGTAACCTCTCGTCACCTACTAGGGCTTGGGAGATCCTATTGTTCGCAAACCTGTCTGGCCCAACTTCGCGGAAGATGTGTTGGGTTGTTAACGCTCGCAAGATGCGGACTTATTATTGTCAGCTAGGCTCACTAAAAATACATCTTCCGACGTAAAGAGGTTGAAGTTCTTGAAACACTCACCTAACTTGCTCTTTTCTAGTCCGGTTGCATTTGCCAGATCCTCGACAATAACTCCGTCCTCGCCGCCCTTTGCCAGCAGAATAGCAATATCGTGCTCCATCGCTATATGCAACGCTCGAACCTCGAAGTATAATTCGGCAAAATCTACAAGTCGCAGGTGTGGTTCGGCTACAAGCTCCTCGATTGAGCCAAGCGACGCAATGATGGTCCGTTGCGCATCGTAGGCCTTGCGGCCGGGTATCGCGAAGCTGGTCTCGGATGCTGGTACTGCATCCGGAGCCGGATTCTCCCATTCTGCGATCAACGTTTCTACCGAATCTTGTATGAGTTTAATCACTTGCCGAAGGGCTGTGGCCCGTGATGATACGTCTTCGTACGACATTCCGGAAGCTATTTCGTTGCGTGAATACGACTACCTGATATTTCGATCAAGCCTCTATTTCAAAGCATCAACTACAGAAACTTAGACTCCCCATAATATACCCAGGTGGGTTATTTACATTCTCCAAGGCTCGTAAGCTGACACCCCTCGATTTGATTTGCCGGCCGAGCTGTGAGATAACCGCATATAACATGCAGAATATATACAATGCCGGCATCGATATCGTGGCCAGAGCGAGGAGCGCAGTGGAATGTTACCCTGTCGCGCCCGCTTTAACTAGGCTGCCTCCCCTTGCGATAACAAGATGCGGAGAAACCCTGTCAGCGGGAGGGAGTTAAGGGGTCACAGGGGTGACCTTTTTGCCTATTAGATGCGGTTGTGCTTACCTAGGTACGATCGCGGGTGTAACATAATGTCTACTGCCGCCTATGTAAATGGTGGGAGGAAACTTCTGCCTGGATCTGAGACAGCGGGATATCATATTTCCCTACATATCGCAGGATTCCAATGAAGAAAAAGAATATATGAAGGAAATATTTAGGTAAGGAATCCTTCGTATGAGTAGTCCACCGAAATATAATCATTAGGCTGCGAATACCCGATTTACTAGTACTCGGTAGATTTAACTTATAAAACAATGAAAGTTATTGCTTATAAGAGCCCCCTAAACATCTAGACATATCTATAGTGCTTATAGGTCTAGGTATGTCCCCGGATATGATACAGAAGAAAATAGACTGCTTACGCTTGTCGGCTAGGTACCTAATAATTGAGAATAGGGGCATCATACAGCTACCATAGCCCCCGCGTTAGGTACCAAACCAATCTACAGTGGCGCCGGCCATTATGTTCATCATCTTTCATTATTTCCCCAAGCAAATCTCGGGCCACTTGGCGGCCTCTTTTCAGCTCAAGATTTTATATCAATATAATTAATCTTCAATTTAACTCTTATCAACTGCATTCTGATAAATCCAGGTCCACATGCCTTCATATCAATCGCGGGTGGTTGAATCTGTTCTGATGAGCCGTAAATCTCCCGCTGCGTTGTTGCCGAGCTTTACTTGCATCCTGTCAGCTAAATTCTCCAGTTCTGGGCCTGACATAGGTCTCGCAGAGCTAAATTCGGATTCCTTCCAGCCATCTAGCCCGTATATCAAGAGAGCTATTAGAGATGTTTTGAAAAGTGGCTGCTCACGAGTTTGGACAATTGTCAAGGTGAGAAGCGCAGCAGTTAAAATCGTCTCTGCAATGGGGAGACTTAGCCAAACCCATCGCACGTCGTAAAATGTTTCAATGCACGATGCTTTGCCCACGACCATAGTGGTGTTCATATTATCGGCCGGGTTTCGAATTCCGAGCGATAGGGTATCTGCGACGTTCTTTGCGAATACAGAGAGATCCGTGTTGTACAAGAACCGACCTAGATCGACTCCTCCAGAACCACTGAAATGTGACATTAGGTCCGTCAGGTTGGTTGTAAATGTCGATGCTACGAAGTTGAATAGTTGGTTTTCTACATCGCCGGATATGTTGAACACCATGCCCGTGCTGTTCATCCGATATACGCCGTTGCCTGTTGGGTCTCCATCCGGGCTCATGTTGAATAACTTCTCTTCCGTCTTTTTAGCACTTATGATACCTATAGGCGTAGCAGTAACATTCTTATATGTCTGAGCGCACCAATACCATTGGATGGTATATGCTTCAGCGTCGCGCGTGAGGGGATTGGTAACATAATCCGTTACGTCGATGGAGAGCGTATCGTCATTCGGTGGGCGATACTTAATGATGTCTAACCCCGCCCAGCTACTCAAATATAGCGGGAGTGAGAGGGAGCCCGTCGCCATCATATAGTACAACTTGTTCTCATTCGTTTCTAGGTCTGGGAGACTCCAAGTCAAGTTCAGCACATTGTTTTCCGAAGGCGGCATACCACTCTCCAGAGTGAGGTAAGTGGCGTCGTGTACTGCGGAGAAGTTGTAGGAACAGGTAGTAGTGTAACTAGGTTTGTCGGATGTCTCGTTTACGAAGCACTGTTTTGGAATGTCGTTCGTGACGTTTTTGAACTCGCTACAGACTCCAAGAGTCGTGTATTCGTCCCAGGTGCATCCTGTGGCTGGTCCACCGCAGGAATAATTCATCTGTGGGAGAATACCCACAGCGCCGTTCATTCTTAATGGCAAACATCAGCAATTGGGCTCTTCAATTTCAGAGGGCCAAAAATGTGAGTTATGGCATACATCGCATTTTGTGCTTTGATCAAAGCGATATTGTTAAGCTAAACCAACAGAACGCATATTAATGAGTGTTATGAGTATGGTACATGATCCAACAACTTACATCGGCAGTTGATCGTGTCCACGCATGCGAGTAGTAGTTTTGCGCTGATGGTATCGTTGCTGTCACATTGCTTAGAGCTGCTGGTCTGGTGGATACCTGTAAGATCTGCTGCGCGCTTGGCTCAATACCAAGAGCTACAAGAGTAACTATTGACAACGCCCAGAGAGTAATCGCACGAGGCCTCACCATAAGTAATGCCGTTAATGATCCCCATGGACCCCTACTCGCATCGTCGAATAGTTGGAGGTTATTGAGAGTATTTGGTCGGTAAGAGAAATGTTGCCACTTTAATTGACTAATGCTGGATGCGATAGGGACCATCATAGATGCCTTCGAAACTGTCGTAAGGACGGAAATAAGTGAGTTTGGTTGGATAGAGTACAGCCAGTTTTGGAGTGTATTGCTGTCTATTCGGTACAGTACCAAACCCACGAGTAGAATACCGACAATGCTTAGTACAGATGCGCCGATCTCCCACCACCACCATTGAGCCAGAATTACATTTATATGATCAATAGGCTTACCAAGGGGCGACCTATCTAACGTCGACGGTATTTTTTCAACCACTTGATTCAGCCGATGATTCTGGTGTTGTGATTGTGCGCTAGGGGTTTTGGGGGTTTTGGGCGATTGGGGGCGTTCTAATGGAATATCTGTGGTAGTTGTGCTGAAATTGTGCGAAACATTGAGAAGCTTGGCCTGTGATAATGTAGGGTTCTCCATCTATAGACTTCGGGTGTAGTGTAGGACTTGAAGGGAGGTGGATGCGCACTTCGAGCTTGACTTAATTACCCATATAAGAAATTCGCAGATGAGAGTTGATAGGGTATGTAAATTACGGCAAGTGAATCTATATGAGAATTGCCATCACTGCTCTCGATCTCTAGGACACCCATAGTGATCAGGCAGTTGACTTCGGGCGTATGGCTGTGGGCTCAGCTGAAACCGTCTAGAATCGAATCGCGACCGAGTCTCTTATATAATGCATGTCAATGGCTTCCAAAAGTGACAGGTTATATGGACGGTATAGGATTTGGAATCCCACCCGGGCATCTAAAACAAGGGGTGCCTCATCTAATTGGTGGCTGAGGGATCTGACTGGTCCGTTGAAGAGGATTGCCAATCCGTCGCTTATATCATGTTGATTCCGTTGTTAATTAAAGGAATTGATATTTAGTTATATCATTCTAAACTTGATTAAAGCTATGACTTGACAGACTATTGCTACTCATCATGTTTGCACTACTTCCCCAGTACTCGCTCCCCAGGTTCATATGATGGTGTGTCATATGAGCTGGGACGACTTGATTAATAACGCTAATATTCGTTTCTTTGACGATGCGATTGCCTCCTATCGGCATAGTAGACTCATGGCTGCCCGTATTTGCTGTACAATCGGTATGACTGGTTTCCGTATCGTATAAATGGTCTTCGGAAGTAATGCGATGTCCGACGACCCAACTCGGGGCGTTGCTATTTGCCCACGAAGACTGGGGCGTGCTTTTGGTAGACCGGCGGTTGCTTCTGAATAAAGGGGAGAGAACGGGCACACAAACCACTATTATACCTAGATTTAATTCGACCGCCGACCACAACTGCACAGATCCGGAGTTTAGGGGGTTTGAGGTGCCATTTATGAACTGGATGCGAATGATTTGAATGGCCGTGATGAAAAAGCCGAGAGCGAAGAGACCGAGTAACACGATCTTCTTTTTGGTCGGAAGTTTGGATTTCACGAGAACTGGAAATGGAAGAAACATTCTTAAAGGGGTAAGCATAGCACGACAACATCTAGACACGAGTTACTTACACAGCGAAATCAAAGACAACCGTTAGTGCCGACGAAGTCACGTAGTACAGCATCAAGTTGATACATTTTCCGTCTATACTATCATCCCACTGCTTTGCGATCTGCATGGGGTTAGTAGTGGAGGGGCACCGAGTAGATTATCTCGGACTTACTGGTCGACAGCTGTTGAGTTGGACTATTAGGCAAGATAGGTGAAAGACCGTGCATGTAATCAGCACACAGGTGACCCCATACTTGCACATTCCCTGAGGAACAAATCGGAAGTATGAAACCAATAGGCTTAATTTAAACCCAAGGTGGCTTAAAATGTACCTAATTAGATGTGAGAAGATATAGGTGGTAATATAGTTGCTGGTAGGCACACTTACAAGGGGGCACCGGCATGTTCCAACTGCTCTAGGTTAGATGGAGCCGAGATCAGATTAAACAAGGTATTTAAGACTTACAGCACCGAATCTACCCATGTTCTCATTCGGCATGTCTTCAATATGTATCATCCCAAGCCCCCATGTAGTCTCTGTTAACTTCATCTTAGCAACTCATAGCGTGCAGTTCATGAGGCAGCAGTACACACCTATCGAGATGTCCACGGTAAAGCTCAGTGAAAGAGCCTATAGCCGCTATTAGGAATTGAAAACCAGGCCCTTTTTATAGCTAATTACCCAAGTCACAAGTATGATCCAGTCATCTATCCATTCGAGTTAGCATGCTGGACGTGCTAGGTACTCAGGTTTTATAAGATGGTAATACCTATCCAAAAAGCTCTTAGAAGGTGACCCCGAACATAAACTCGGATCAATATAAATAAAAACGCTATCCCTGTCAATACACTCGCGACGGCCGTTACCCTTGGTCCCTCGGTAGGTGTATCATCTGGGGAGTTATGTATCCACCCCATCTTTCTGGCCAGGCTCGGAGTTCTCGTCGTGTGGCGTCCCGTCCCGTCCACTAGTGTCCTTTTGACGCCAATCAGTTGGTCGTGAGGAAGTATTGAAGATTTTCTCGTTCGACTTTGGCTGGGTAATTTACTATGAAGACTCCGAGAGAGAAAGCAAATCTGAGAGGACGAGATGAAGACAGCCTGATATACTTCCGCTGTCTTTCATCAGGGTCATGTTATATATTAACTGGACCTCAACAAAGTCAATTCCTTGGTTCATTTCAGCTTCGAATATACCTGCTGCGAGTGGGGGCGGCGACGCTCATTTATGTAAGATAGGGCCATAGCCGGTGAATGGATTTCTCATCCTATAGCCCTACATCCTCAAGCAGCCAATGGGACCCATCCTTCCTATATAATCGTTCATGATTTAGGTAAGATTTGGGTAACACTTTGGCATGCAACAGCATCTCATGGACAATTTGTTACCGAGTTTTTCGCCTTCTTGGGAACGAATGTATTGTCCTATTATGCACAGTAAGCAAAATCTGCTGTGCAACGATTTCATATGGCTTTCGTGGCTACCCAGAAAGGCCTATAATTGGAAGTATGAATGGCTACTTACATGGTCTGCGATCCTCTCGGTCCCGTGTGAAACCGTCTTTCTTTTTATTCTGTGCCAAGGTTGCATCGAGACTACTCACATCATCCCCTACAGGGTTTCTTTCTAAGAACAAAGCATGCCAAATTCATCGATCACCCTTTCGACTGTTATTTATATACTTATTCTTTTCCAGCCCTACTACGTCGTTAAACTCAGCGCGTCGTTTATTGGGGTTTTCTAAGTCGCAACCGAAGCATCTTAGAATCAATTGATTCGATACAGAGGGCCTTAAGTAGCCTTCGTATAGGCTGGATAAGCATGAAATATGTGAAATAATACTCTACGATGAGGTGGCTGAATAAAACATGGCAATACATTCATTAGAAAGTCCGATACTCCGACTAAAAAAAATAAAAATAAGAATGAATAAAGGAGGGCTGGGGGTTGGGATCATCGAATTACCTACAGCTACTTGTCCTAGAAGACCTGCGATATCCCGAATACCTGTTTTCTAACTCGCTTTCCCCCGAGAATTATGTTGTATGCCTACTCAGATATCCGGCTACTTTCTATTGAGGCCATATTAAATTGAAACAATTTGAGAATATGTGAGTTTGGGAATGCCAACGATGACTCCCTTCCGACTTATCGAAATGCAATTTCATGAGTGTAGCTTCATCCAGAGGCCGGCATAGTGCACTAGAATGGGTTAGTTTACGGATAGCAATGCGACCGCACGGGTCAAAATCCGGACCGGAGATCCATGCGATCGGAGTCTATAGATCACGGTGGCCGTCGGTAAAACAGTGAGCTTTGTGTTCTATAACACAGATCAAACCACATCATTCTCGGTTCTTGGAAGCTCTACCTGATCTTCAACAGCCAACTCGGTGCCAAATGCCCCTTGTCTGCCAAGTTATCTCCAGCCGTATTCAATTGCGGCGCAGAGCTCTTGTCGGATCTTAGCATGTCTTGGTAGCTTTGGCATCCAATCCTTTTACTGCCCCGGATTATAAGCAGTATACTGCTCGGTGACATGGGTTGTGTTTGATGACTTATGACGTAGCGACTTTACTGTCGCGAGCTGAACATAAAATGGTCGTGGGTTTTCGATCTTCAAGATCATTACGAGCCACTGCTTTTTTTCCGCAGCAATATTATAACGTGCTGTAGCTACAATGAAAGCCCCTCTGCTATCGATCTTGGTGGCACACCTTGCCTCCACCACCGTCGCTTGGGACCCTTCTCAACGAGACTGTTCTAAGCTTCTGCTATGCCTTACTTCATTCAAATGGTGTGATCCCAATGGAGCAGGTTGCTATTTCCCGGATGGTGTTTACCCTCTTAGGGCTGATTCACAGAGCTCCGCATATGCTCTTGTGATGGAGGACAGGAATTATACTATCTCCTGGAAGGTTGACGCCACCAGTAAGGAGTACCCCGTGAGTGTTCAATGGAGTCTAGATGGAAATAATACTTGGGAAATGAGTAAGTGTTGCCGCCATATAGTTAATACTGGTTAACTCACTGATGTCACGAAAGACACCACGGACTCGCAGGTTACCTTTAACCCCTACGAGATTCTTACTTCTTTCCCCTTGTCCTCAGCGCCCAACTTGAGCGTAGCGGAAGCCGAATATTTCGCCAAAAGGGATATGGGAAATGTTATCACGATCAGCCAGCCCGACGTAAAGATTGACGAACGATCCCCAGCTTCCGCCGCCAATATACCATTTGATGCGACAAGTCAATTCATTATCGCGACAGACCAGGTTGAGCGCTTTCTCAAGGCACAGAATGAAATTGGACACCGTGATGAATACAATAAATGGAAGCTCGGTGTTGGTGTCGGTGTCGGGCTAGGGGTTCCTGTACTTATAATCGTGACGGCTCTGAGCACCTGGGTAGTATCGAGGAAGAGGACCGCGAAATCTTCCGAACCCTCCAATAAGCCAATTAAGATGAGCTCTCCTCCTTAATTCTAGAACTATTATTTGTCGTTAGTTGACGAAGTACGAAATTCCGCTAGGCGTATGGAGAGGTTCTATGGGGGTCATACGGGGGTTCAACTTATACCATGTTCATGTACCTGATCGCCGTATGCGCGTTTTCTTAGCATCTCAGTGTTCCGATGAATCTATACAAAATCAGCATTAAAACATGCTTGATCCCATTTTTTATGTCGCTCAATATGAATGAGACCTCCACATAGAGCCGGGCATATAGTCGGTACTACTTCTGTTACGGTGGGTAATCCGGACCAAGACTAAAGCAACACTTAATAATTCCACTCTATTCCCATGGACCCGAACCCGAAATATTCAGGTAGTTTATTTGGCCCGGTGTACCTTGGTAATCCCTTTGTTCTGAGTGATGCACTCAACCGAATGGCGAATAGTGGTGGTCGTACGTTCCTCTCAAGGTGTAACTCTCGCGCCTGTATACCTCTCACCTTACGATCCTTCTTTACCAGACCAATAAAGCCTCAATCATAAGCAATGGGTCCGAATGAGAGTGGAGTTTTCCTGGATCTTTTGGGAATAGGTCAATGCGGCGAATGTGATCGGGCATATTAATATTTACATGCGCTGACAAGATTCATCTACAAACCCGATTCCAGGGAGCTGGAAATGCCAGGATAACGGAGGTGTTACTACAGCAGAACATTTAATATGGCCTATGAAGAAGCTCTGTTGGTGATCCCGCCATTGATGCCACCCACTACGCGCGAAAATTGTGGTGGCAGCGATAGGCTTAAGCCAAGATTCGCGATCGGGGCCCAGGAATGACGTGCTCACTGTTTCCAAATATTCCCTTGGAGACTTGCCTCATCTGTCTCCCAAAGCTCCCTTGCGACGTCGTAATCTTTGGGCCAGTTAGCCACTGAAACGGCCAATGATACCTAAACGGGTTGATCTTTCAATGGCGAGATCACGCAAAGGTTCCACCTGTGTGCCAACCTCAAGCCACGAGAGTTATTATAAAGATAACCGTTATCCGTGATGTATTGTAGCACTAATCTTTGCGGAACCTCAGGGTTGTATTACCTCCGAGGAAATTCAATTACCTGGATAATCGGGTATCATGGCAGATCTAAAAGATACGGTCGTGATCCGGCCCGGATCCGTGTCGGGATCTGAGAAGAAGCATGGAGAAGAGGATGCTGCTGCGGCGAAGAAGCGCATCCTTCAACAGCAAGAACTCCAGCATACTGAACCGCCGACTCTTCCCATATTAACTCTCTTTCGTCGAAAGCAGCAATACAACTTGAACGAGATCGCGACCCAGCCGTCCGTTTTTGATGATCCGGAAAAAGCCAAGTACTTCCAGCCTACCGAGAAGTATGAGAACTTACACCGGTTCGATCCGACAGCAAGATGGACCTGGGCTGAAGAGTTACCACTTATTAATAAGCTCGATTGGAAGATCACGGTGTGGGCGTGCATCGCATTTTTCGCTTTGGACTTGGATCGTGGGAACCTAACTCAGGCGAACACAGACAATTTCCTCGACGACTTGAGATTAACTACAAACGGTGAGCGCTGCTGAACTTCGTTATAAATTTACCATAATAAAACTGATTTTATGTAGATTATAATCTGGGAAATATTGTTTTCAAATTGGCTTTCTTATGCGCTGAGCTCCCTTCACAGTTGGTCAGTAAGAAAGTTGGTATGTGCCGGATTCATACTCTGCTACCCCGATCCTTTGCTAACATATCTTATAGGTCCTGATCGATGGATACCTACTATCATGTGTCTTTGGAGCTTTGTGGCGGCCTCGCAGTTTTGGCTGAATAGCAGAGCGACGTTTCTCACTACTCGTGTTCTGCTTGGCATGTTGCAAGGCGGCTTCATTCCGGATATCGTCCTGTACCTCGTGAGTTAGCTCACCGTCTATTGTCTGAATTATCCATAAGATTGAATGTCAGAAAGCTGACTTAGTATTTTAGTCTTATTTCTTCAAGGGAACCGAATTGCCTTTCCGTTTGGCCCTTTTCTGGGCAACGCTCAATCTGGTCGACATCATTGCGCCAATCCTCGCCTTTGGTATCCTACATCTCCGAGGCGATCATGGCCGAGAGGGATGGAGATGGCTTTTCTTGATTGAAGGAGTTTTCACCTTAAGTGTTGGGATTTGGTCTTGGTTCATGATGGCACCGTCGCCTACTCAAACCAAATCGTGGTATCGACCGAAGGGGTGGTTTACCGAACGCGAAGAGGTCATTATGGTCAATCGGATATTGAGAGACGATCCCTCGAAAGGCGATATGCATAACCGTCAGGCTGTCGACCTCAAGCGATTGTGGAAGTCGTTATGCGACGTCGACCTGTGGCCCATCTACATTTCCGGACTCGTCTTTGGCTTGCCGATAGGACCGCCCTCTCAGTACTTGACATTAACGCTCAGGAATCTTGGATTTGATACGTTCAATTCCAACCTCTTAACGATTCCATCTCAAGTCCTAGCTGTCATCACTGTAAGTCACCACTTACACTATCTCAAATCAGTTATTTTAATGGGAACTAACCATGACCAAGTTACTCATTCTAACGTTCCTATCCGAGGCGTGGAACGAAAGATCCCTGATGGGCTTGTTTTCGCAAGTTTGGATGTTACCTAACCTCATCGCCTTGGCTGTACTACCGAGTGATATTTCACCATGGGCAAAATATGCCGTATTGACCGTTTTGCTTGGATATCCATATCGTATGTAAAAACCCGTGCCCTTACCTGCGATTGCTAATAGGTTGAATAGCCCATGCGATACAAGTTGGTTGGTGTAGCCGAAATTCGAACACTGTTAGAACGCGAACCGTTTCGGCCGCGGCATATAAGTGAGTGCTGTCCTCATATTAGTTGAAGACAAAGTTAACCTCCCCGACAGTATGTTCGTCCAATTGTCTGGCATCATATACTCGAACATTTATCGCGACGACGATAAACCTGAATGTAGGGTGACCCCCACTTCCCTCATATGATCCAATCTTTACCTCTAGCTAACACGATGGTTCGTAGATCGCCGTGGAAATAGACAACTTGTTGCAATTTGTGCGGGCAATATAGTGATATATGCACTTATTAAACTATACTACATATGGCGTAACAAGAGTAGAGATAAGGAATGGAACGCGATGACAAGAGAGGTAAGAATCCCGAGTACAAACACTTCGGTATGTACTGTATAAACTACTAACGTACTTACAGCAACAAGTACATTATCTAGAGACGACCACGGACCAAGGAAGTAGAAGGAAGGACTTTAGGTTTGCTCATTAAACCGAGACTCCGAAATCGTCGTCCCAATACAGCCAAAAGGATGGAGGTTTTGGAAAAGATTAGGATACAATGTAGAAAGGAATTACTTACTAAAGACATCATTATAGACCGAATCTTTACTCATTCACTTAGTCCTCACTTAATGACAAGTGACTCTTTACTTGCTAATTCGTTTTCCGCCGGACTTGGATAGCAAAGTTTGTCTCGTTTTCAACCGTACACATGCCCGTCAATCCGAAGACTATTTAGTAGGACGGTGGACGGCGGCTATGCTCGGCAGGCCTTATGACGGGTTCTCGAGGAATATGATGGGATTCAATGACGCGCTGAAGCTAATCAACTCAGTGCGCCACTGGTCTTTGCTCCGGAGCAAATGAACTCAATATAAGTGGTATTCGCGTCACATAAACATATTTGCCGTTGAAATAGCTTTCGGTCTTTCTCGTTCACCGAGCTCTAGGTATTGTAGACCTCTGACATATCCATGATATTTTGTCCATGACCGTAAGACAACATGGAAACTCGTCATCAGTACTCTTATGTCATGAAATCGGCTGTTATACGATTCTTGTGCTTCGACACTGGTGATTCATGATGCGAAAGTTATAAGGGATGTGTGATCCGCTCGGCAGTTTGGTTGGTTGAAATATAAGTACGGCGAATGTTTCTCACATTGGAAGTGAATTCTTCGTCGAGTAGGATCATGTACTCGCAAACTGTTCGAATACTAAAAATTACGGGGTCAAGTCAAGTTCCATTCGCAACCCGATCTTTTTCTACCATTTTCGCCAGAATGTCGACTACCGATAAGTCTCACGCCACAGGCGAATCCAAAGTGCCCGGAAAGGTTCAGGAGAAGGCACCTAAGGGATTGGAGGATACCCTTCCAGATTCGGTGAGTCCTCCTCTTCCATGGTCGAACGAAGTATATTGAATCTATTGGTCGTTTTTACTAATAGTGATCCTAGATCCACCCCACCGGTAAAAACCCAGGCCAGTCTACCGACAAGACACACGCGAAGGGTGGTGGTGATGCGTCGGTCCTACCTAAGAAGGTTCAGGAGAAGGTCCCTGAGAGTATTGAGAGAGCCGTGCCAAACGCCATTCATGATACTGGCGACAAGTAAAGATTCGGACAGGACACTACATGTAGTTAGAGTTAATGATTACGTATTGACTTAATCCTATTTGCTGCTCTGTCGATAAAAGGTATTGTCACTTTGTCGCGTAATTTGTTGATTGTTGAAAGAAGAAATTGAATTATGGCGAGATTTACTGTGGAAGGAGAATTATAGAGTTTATTAGTGAGTCCAGACAGCCACGGAGCGAATAAAGTGGCTTCAATGTTGCGATGGAGGGGTAGATTTAGGTACTTTTGTACCTACGATTGCGCTGTAAATGCCCACAACGGTGTACCTAAGTACCGCGGGGCATTGTGATTTGTTCTACAAGCTCCAAAGGCTCGACTTGATTCCATCAACCTTCCAGAATTTACTCCAGATTCATGCCACGACACTCCGTCACAATTACATCTGAACCTACCTAATAAAAAGGTACCGCATATCTTGTTCGTATCACTACATAGTACTTTGTTCCTTCGACATATTTACGCCCTTACATAACCGTTCGCCATGTCCACCGCTGTGGTCTCCGCCGACGACGGCCTCGAACCGACGTTGCAGTCTATCCTCGATCAGAAGACGCTGCGATGGATTTTCGTCGGTGGTAAGGGTGGCGTGGGAAAGACGACAACATCGTGCTCCCTCGCCATACAGCTCGCCAAAGTTCGTCGTTCGGTCCTACTCATCTCTACCGATCCCGCCCACAATCTGTCCGATGCCTTCGCGCAAAAGTTCGGCAAGGAGGCGCGATTAATAGAAGGTTTCTCGAACCTGAGTGCTATGGAAATAGATCCGAATGGAAGTATCCAAGATTTACTAGCCGGACAGGGTGAAGACAACAGCGATCCTATGGGTGGCATGGGTGGCATGATGCAAGATTTGGCATTCGCGGTAAGTACAGGTATATCGGCCTCGACATTACGCACCTATCTAATCAAGACATTCTTCTAGATTCCGGGTATAGATGAAGCCATGTCTTTCGCCGAAGTTCTCAAACAAGTCAAATCCCTCTCCTACGAAGTCATCATTTTCGACACCGCGCCCACGGGCCACACCCTCCGTTTCTTACAGTTCCCCTCTGTCCTCGAGAAGGCTCTTGCTAAGATCTCCCAACTTTCTTCCCAATATGGCCCTTTATTGAATGGCTTCCTCGGAAACCAAGGCACACTCCCGAACGGACAGAACCTGAACGAGATGATGGAGAAGCTGGAGACCCTTCGCCAGACTATCTCCGAAGTCAACACACAGTTCAAGGATGAGAACCTCACAACGTTCGTATGTGTCTGTATAGCAGAATTCTTGAGTCTTTACGAGACGGAGCGTATGATTCAAGAATTAGCAAGCTACAGCATCGATACGCACTGCATCGTGGTGAACCAGCTACTATTCCCGAAACAAGGCAGTAACTGCGAACAATGCAACGCGCGACGAAAGATGCAGAAAAAATATCTAGACCAGATCGAAGAATTGTACGATGAGTTCAATGTAGTCAGAATGCCGCTACTGGTGGAGGAGGTACGAGGAAAAGAGAAGTTGGAGCGGTTCAGTGAAATGCTGGTCCACCCCTATGTACCTCCCGAGTAAATCGGCATATGTGGAGCCCATCGGGTTGTTTCGGGTTGGGGAAGCGTGGCGTTTCGATGCCTTCATACTATGTTAAGTGTATAATCCAGAGAGAGGAATAAAGGATATATCAAGCAGCATCTGTGCTTCTGGGATGTCCGTTTAAGAGATAGAGTCTTGCAAGATTTCATCTACCTAGGTCCGGTCTACATCTTAGTACGTAGGTAGGCACATAAAGGAAGAATAAATGATCAAATCAAGAAACTCACGACTGCAGTCTGCATATAAAATAGGATGTGTGTCAGCAAGACGTTAAATATTTAGTAACTATTGCAGGATTTCCAAGTATTATATCAATAGAACATACAGAATACATTTTTAATGTTGAATGGTGAGTATGCCTCCCTAAGACGGTGATCATCGCAGACATTACCGCTAAACGTCAAGTGTGATTGTAGGATCCCATATCCGGACTAAGAGACTACTACATGCATACGAACATGGACATAAGCATTCACGAGACGTCAAATGCCTCTTCGTCCCAGTCTTAACAGCAGGTCACCGCCGCCGGGCGTTGTCGGAAGCTCCCTCCTTGGGCTGTGATGCTCGACTGGGATGTAGGGTTCGTATGTGGCTCGACTGCAAGTATACGGGCTTTGCGGATTTATTTAGGTCTAAGGCCGTAGCTGGCTTCAGTTCATCAGCGATTAGCACCGCGATTCTATCTCCGAAAAACCATTAAAAATCCTATAGCGTAGGCAGAGACAGGAGTGCTGAGGCTCTGGTATAAGCCCCAAAGCTACCGAGTCCTCATCTCTTTTCACTATGCAACCTATCAAGATTTACAATGGACCACACGGTCAGGGACCAAACCCCTGGAAGCCCATTATCTTACTTGAGGAACTTGGGCTACCGTACGAAATAGTCTGGATCCCGTATGCCGAGATCAAGTCGGAACCGTATACATCTCTAAACCCGAATGGGCGGTTGCCCGCCATGATTGATCCAAATAGGAACGTCACCTTATTTGAATCTGGAGCTATCATAAACTATATCATCGATACGTATGATAAGAAGCTCAAGCTCACGTATGGTGATGATAGGTTTGAGGAGAAATGGCTGCTTCAGAGTTGGCTTATGTTCCAGATGAGTGCCCAGGGTCCGATGTTTGGCCAAAAGAGTGCGTTTCCAAGCTTCCCTTCAAATTGACTTCCATTTCCCTTTTGGGCAAGCATTTTCCAGGACATAACCGGCTGACTGTCTCTGCTTGCCGAATAGCATGGTTCACTCATATCCATATAGAGCAGAACCTCCAAACGGCGATAGACCGGTACGGAAACGAGGCAAAACGCATCATTAGCGTGGTAGATAGTTCACTGCGCAAGCAGAGACAAAAGCTAGGGCTTGCCGCCGATGAACCAGTCTGGCTCGTCGGTGATAAGTGTACTTATGCTGACCTCGCATTCGTCTCGTGGAATACGTTTCTGGGCACAATGTTTCCTTCAGGAGGTCTGGATCTAGAGAAGGAATTCCCTGAGTACTATCGATGGTTTATGAACACAGCCAACCGACCGGCTACAAAGAAGGTCCTCGAGTTCAGGGAGGAATGTATTAGGACGATGAAAGATACCGCAATGCAGGTGGTTGAACGACAGGCTGATGCGCATAAATTGCCAGTGTATGAAAAAACGCTTGGTTCCAGCGATTCCTGAAAGGGGCTGATCCTACCTGAGACATCTTATAATTGTTAAGATTCAAATTGAAGGTCTTGTTGGTTTCGGATATGTCGTATTTTTTGTTACGAAAGGTCTGAGGTATCTTGCTCTTTTATAAAGAGATTGAAGATGTCATATAACCACTCTGTTTAGGCTTAATCCCGATGAGTCGTACAAGAATACATGTCCAGTCCATGGTATGTTGCCTATTCGAGTAATAATTTGAATTTAATTGATGTTTTAAGGTTTATAGGGATGCACCTAGGTAGAATGCGTCAGTATAGCGCTGGTGGTCACACAAGGACGGGATGGTGCTTACCGCTATTTGACCTGTACCTTGTCGGTCACATGTATTAAGTACACTTGACTCTTCGCGTACCTAGAATTATAATCATAATTAATATGGACTTATCTTTCTGTGATCAAACACCTAACAAATGGACCTTTAACAAGATACTATCGATTCTCGAGCGAATGATGTTGAAAGCATTGAAGTGGCAGGTGGGGCACTATACGTAGCAGACCAGACCGTCTCAGGGGAAATAGTGGAAATGAGGTAGGGGTCATGGCGGGGTAAGGTTGGTAGCTCTTGCAAGAAGGTAGGGAAGAAAGTAAGGTAGTCGTGTGAAGCTTCAATTGACAAGCTTGTTTAGTCACAACTTTCACCGTTTCAAACTCTTTTTCTACTTCTTTTCCATTTTTTTACTATTATTCAATTGAATGATAACTTGGGCGAAAATATAACGAAGGGAATTGGTATACTAAGAACCTACTCGAATTTTCACTATGGCCGACGATATTCCCATTATCGACGCCCACATCCATCTTTTCCCCGAATCAGAGCTTGACACTTTAGCGTGGAGTAAACCGGACAACCCACTGTACAAGCAGCACTCAATAGAAGAGTATAGGGCCGCAACCGAGGGTTCAACACCTAAAGGCTTCATCTTCATAGAGACAGACCGGAAGAACGACCTAGCAGCCGGGGACAAAGATGGAAGCGGGTGGAAAGACCCATTAGCGGAAGTGTCCTGGGTGAAACGCATTATTACCGGGCAACCGAAACCGGGTGAGGGCCATACCAAAGACGACGCCTCGTTATGCGTGGCGTACATCCCATGGGCGCCCCTACCGAGCGGGGTTGCCGCTATGGAGAAGTACATCGAATTGGTGAAGCAAGAGGCCGGTGAGAGCTGGTCCAAGGTCAGGGGCTTTAGGTACCTGCTACAGGACAAGCCAAACGGGACCATGTTACAGGATAACTTCATCGAGAGCTTGAAGCTCCTGGGCCGCTTGGGCCTCGTATTCGACTTAGGTGTCGACCAGCACAACCGCGGTCGGGCCCAACTCGAAGAAGTCGTCGAGATGATCGACCGAGCGCACGAAGGCGTGCCTGAGGACCAGCGTGTTACATTCATAATTAGTATGTACCTACTTCGTACCTCTTTATCTCTCCACCACATTCACTGGACTCACTACATCTAAATTACCATACCAAGCTAACATTTGACTAGACCACATGTGCAAGCCCGACCTAGCCATCTACAACGTTCAAACCAGCCCATCCTTCATCGCGTGGCGTACGGCTATCTTCACGCTGAGCAAATGCAGCCGCACGTACATGAAGCTATCGGGCGGGTTCTCGGAGATGCCCGAGGCCCTGCGTCAGCGCTCCGCCGAGGATATTTTTGATGCCGTGAGTCCCTGGCTCAGCGTTGTGCTCGCCGCCTTCGGCGCCAACCGCATCATGTTTGCTAGCGACTGGCCTGTATGCACCGTCGGAGTTGGCGACGACGCCTGGAGGAAGTGGAAGAAGATCGTCGATAGATTGTGCTGGATGGCTTCGTTTGAGGATGAGGAGAAGCGCGCTATTTTGGGTGGTACGGCGTTGAAGGCTTATGGCATTGAGGCGTGATGTGATGACGAATGAGATGGAATGATTAAAACACCGGGTATGAAAGGAAAGCAAGGACAAAATTAGTCAAAAGGTAGAATGTTTATACTATATCTTCGCGCTATGGTCGCGTACGGTATACATATATCCCCAAATCTAATTAAAAATTGTTCAAGACTTAAATATCTATTTCCATGACTCGTCGTGCAACGTCTCAATTAACTCGCTGTTATTTGACACCAAAGATCTCTGTATCAAATTAATGTTTACTCAACATCCTAAGGATGGAATGTGCCGATTTCCAAGATATTACCAACTCAAAAAAGGCATATTTAACATGCGTGGTATAACGCTCCGTCTATGTAGAAAACGCCATCAACGCAATGAACCACATCCCCAACAATGCCACCGAAATCTATTTATAGGAACGCCCAGAATAATGCCATCATAACTAGTGAGTATATAAATCCGTTGCTGAACAGCTTTTCTGCTCCGTTTGTGGCCATACCACAGCATTGGCGGTTGTAAGTGACGTTGTTCATCTGAGCCGCTACTTCGAAGACAGAACCAGGGTATCCACCCATGTTGTAGTAGTCGACGTTAAGGAAGTTTGGTGCCCGCCCCCAGTCGCTACGGCAGTTGTTAGCTGAAATACCGAGACTGCCAGACCCAGTAACGTTGTTCGTCACGTTTAACTCGGTCCGAGCAGGTACCAACATATCAGTGCCAAGAAGCGAAATCTCAATGTTCAGGTTGTGGTTGATCATGTATAGTCGGTTCTTAGCGTCTGGGGCGGCTAGATTCGGGGGTCGCTGTACGGTGCATGGGAAGTTCTTGTCAGTCGGGTCGAAGGGGGTTTCCCACAACTGCGAGAACTCGTCCAACAACCATGGATAGGCTGTCTGGTTCGCCATATAGTCCATGAACATCACAACTCTTTGTCCCTTCAAGACCATTTCACTGAGAGTCGGCCAGTCATCTAACGCCATAGGAACCACCGGCGGAGTGTAGATGTAACGTAATATACCGGTCTGTTCGATAAACGGTACGTATAGGTTAGGAGTAGAACTATGATATGGTTAGTATATCACATTTAGAAAGGTAAGAATGTATTAATTACTAATTTCCGTTCCCTAGGAGAATGGTGACGACGTCATATGGGTGACTCGCAACCCAATTCTTAACCTGTCCAAGCCAGTCGGTGATCGGCCCAGCATCTAAAATATCGCAACTTGTATGGCAGAAATGCGGCTCGTTCCCTCCAGACGGCCATTGTATTTGTCCCTGAAGAAATCGTACGCCATCATTCAGCTGTGAAGTGACGTCGTATTGTTGATTCGCCGCAAGGTTGTTGGGCGTGGTAAAGGGGGAATTGTGGCATGCAATATGGGTGATATTGCTATATTTTCTGCTGCAAAATTCTGGGTAATTGTTGCATGGTTGCGTGTTTGTCACTTGCGGTATGGCAGACGAGGTGGAAGAGAAATTCCCCGATATTGTCGTCGTTGTCGCGGCAGAGCCAGTCAAGAACGTGACGGTGTCGGACGTCGAAGAGCTAATCGTAGACCTCGTGATATTGTCTGTGCCCAAACTACTCATTACATTGCCGGTGGTTCCCAAGTCTGTGCTTAATGTTATCTGAGAAGCGAACGACTCATACAAATTGGTCGGAGTTGTGATATCAGTGGTACTGATGGTTGAGTCGGTAGCGGTGGTCCTATCATCACTGACTGTCTGCCCAGACACACCGGCGACCGCGGCAAGCAACAACAGGCTGCCGAATCGCGGCGCCATTTTCCTAGGGTTGTAAAAGGAGAAGAGAGAAGACAGAACAATTAGGCGAAGCTGCACATGAAACAATTTGCTATAAAGTATCAACAACAGGAAGTATTACTGTAACGAGCGAAGAGGAAGAGGAGGAAAATAGAGTTGATGGTTGCAGCGTATCTATGATCGTCTGAGAAGATTCACTTCCCATTCATTTAGAAAATAAGTTAAGGTAACTAACTTGTGCTGCTTCGACAACGGTCAACCCACCTTCCATCCCCCTGGCCGTATGAGGGTGGGTTCTATGTACATCAAGATACATAAGTATACTTTTATGTGGGTCATTGAGTTACAAATAACACGCTGAGCTAAAGATTATCTGAGTTTGAATGGTAAGTGACGATTGACCCTAAAGCAGCCTGCAGGGAAAATCATGGATTTACGCGTGTCTGAGGGCGCAGTGTGTCTTGAGTTGGCGCCAGGGGATGATGTCAGCGGCACTTTGTAATGTGGGTCAAAGCCTTCCAACAAGCTGAATGTTGCCAGCCCCGATTTTCATTACTATTGAAGCTGATCCGTATCAAACCATACTTTAGTTACTGTTTCTTTAGGCAATGTTCATGGAATATCAGGTTTATACTTGCATTGAAAGCAAAAACTTATGTTTATAGATCAAAAAAATCGATAATATTAGGAAGCACGACATATTGAGGTAATCAAAATGAATCTGTATACCTTCCTATTCCCTGAATACAGCTGAGCCATTGTTTCAAAACATTCTGAACACGAGAACATGGTAGGCAGGTACCCAGCCCTTGGTGCACTGCTACGGTGCCCACAAACAGTCTTGGCGTGGTGGCAGTGAGATCAATCGCCCAAGTTGCCAAGTTGCCCGGCAATCGGCATAAGTTATCTAGGGTACCCTTAGTGGGGTGCTTAACCTTAAGCTTGGAAACTCCCTAGCTTCATGTGAAACAGCGAGTACAGTACATCCAGTACATCTTGGGTACGCTTCTGACATCAATCAGAAGATCCAATCAGCAAGAAACGATGGGATGATCACTCCTTCTGACCAAGCTTTATAGTAGGTCCAACCCACAAATGATATTCCCATCCTTGCCGACTGCCCGTACATCCTGCTATCTCAAAGACAAGAAAGTCAAATGTTTTTTTGGTATTTCTTTCTTGTGTTGACTTAACGGTGCCTCCCCTCTATGCTTTCACGTGCATGGGTTTCCGTAGAGCTAACCGGTCGCTCGTTACCTACCCATCTGTCAACCATAACAGTCATTCTTCGTAATTCAATCTGAATTGCGTGTTTGACTTGTTTACGAAATCTACAAGGCTGTACCTGAGTTACTACAGAAAATCACATACAGCTTCTTCGAACTCTGAAACCTATTAAGTATGCCTTTTGGCTCTCGATTTCGAAAACGACCGGCGACATCGTCGACTTCTGCCGATGCCCATAAAGAAAGCCCCCGGCCTAGCATCGACGATGCGGCTACCCTGAAAAGGGGTACAAGGACACGACGCAATGCTATTATAGTGTCAAGTTTCTGCTATTTGGTTGCTGTGGTCTTTTTAATTCTGGTAAGCCCTGAATATTCGTCTACCTGAATGCATTTAGATAGACATCTAACCAATTTGTCGCCCTATAGGTCGAGGTAGGCAATACCAAAAGTACTCGGGTCTTGGGTGATATCTACTTCTTCAAACTCGACCTTTCCGATATTCTTCCCCAGTCAGCGCCGACCAGCTTGACCCTACAAAACTCGATCGCACGAACTCTAGGTCTGCACGATTTCTATCAGGTCGGCCTCTGGAATTTCTGCGAAGGATATGATACTGAGTATGCAAATAAAACCTTCGTCCCTGCTGAAAACTTTAGCTAATAGAATATCAAGTGGCATTACGCACTGCTCAACCCCAACCAATCTTTATTGGTTCAACCCGGTCGAGATTCTACTCGGTGAGCTCTTTGCTGGAGCTTCGATCGCCTTGCCCTCCGACGTCAACGACATCTTAAATATCTTGCGTATTGCCTCGAATATTATGTTCGGATTTTTCATAACTGGCCTGGTTTTGGATTTCGTCCTGATATTTATCACCCCTGTCGTTTTATATTCGAGGTGGTGGAGTCTTCCTTTCAGTTTCGTCGCCTTACTTGCTACGCTATTAGTTCTGATAGCTACAGCCCTCGGGACAGCTATGTCTTTGATCTTTAAGTACGCATTGACATCACAAACCGATCTTAATGTTAATGCCGATGTTGGTGTGAAGATGTTCGCATTTATGTGGATTGCAACAGGGTTCACACTACTTGCATTCATTATCCATGCCGGTTTGGGTTGTTGCTGTACATCGCGTCGGGATATGCGTACTGGACGGAAGGGTGGAAGACATATCAACCAGACTTCCGAGGCTTCTGCCCCTTCCAACGCCCCTCCCAACGAAAAGAAGGGTCTTAAATTGCCCAAATTTGGCAGGAAGACAGCAACATCAGCTTGATAGATATGGATCGGAAATGCAGGTACTTAGGTAATGCAGGATATACCAGACGACAACCACCATACTGGAGAACCTTTTGGATACATTCTTAAATAGTTCGTAATTATAGATTATAGATAGGCGGGGAAAACAAAATACACAATAATTACAACACTCTTTTGCTTTTAAACAATGACCGTTGTTGAATGTCCAGGTGGTTGTGGGAAATTTGTATAAATTCGTGGCTGTCGGACATTCTCTGTTCTAGCGTGTAGGTACTTAGATATTGACACTCAGATACCTTTTCGGTGAATTTTCGGCAATTACTTCGTAACGTGATAGATACGTGTGGGGCAAAATTGAACCTTTTGATTCACGTTTAATCCGATCTTAGCTTTGAGTCACGTGTAGCCTTAAAACACCGTGGTTGCGCAAGTACCTGAGTACATGTAACCAGTGAAACTTTCTTTCTGACTAATTCAGTTGCCCGCCCGCACCTACCTAACTAAAAGGCTACCTCCTCTTCTACCACATTATTTCTTCACTTAATAAACCTACCTACTTACAACAACAATTCCTTCCATATTTCACTCACCAACCACCCATCCAACCTTTTCTTCCCGGATCTCCTCACAAGTTCCTAAACCCATCCTTTCATTATCGTATCTCTATTCTCTACACCACTTCGTTCACATCGTCTCGTGATTTCGGATTTCCAGGTTTGCGACCGGCAATCAATCGCGATACCGCTCGTTCCGCCTCCGACCACTCAGGCTCTAACGAAGACTAATCCCATCCCTTCCCCTTTGCGATCGTATCTCAATAAACTCTCGTCGCGCCAAGTTGATACCAGAAATGGTCATCCGTGCCGACGTGAACTAACCTTTGCGTTTAGTGAACTTCTGGTAGGATTGGCAGGAGGTTTCGGGCTGAACCGACGAGAATTTTATAGGTGATCTGGGTCGTCGGTGTGAATTTCGGGTTGGATTTCTGCCTTTTTTTCATCACTTTCAGCTAATTTGGTGGATTATTCCGCCTCTGGCTTTGTACATCACTCTCCATTTTCCTTTTGATTGGAGAAGGAACTTTTGTTGTTCTTTCAAGTGCACACTAAATTGATAACTCATCTATCTTGTTGCCAGTTGGTCCTTGAGAAAAAAAGAGAGCAGAAGCAAAAGCCACACTAGCCGCGATTCTCCGCAAAAAAAGCAACAGAAATACAAACCCCTCACTGAAATTTGCGAAGAACCTATTACTTCAATACTACATCACATTTCATTTTCCATTTCCTAGTATTACTCATTGTTAAAGACCCCTACGGGTCTCCCTGGTTGTGGTTCATTTCTTCTCTTCAACCTATTTTGTGTGACAGACCGATCCATATTCTTGATCACGATGACTTCATCTGTGTTCTTCAAGTTCAAGTCCCAGAAGGAGCCGTCGCGCGTCGAATTTGACGGTACTGGTATCTCCGTCTTCGAATTGAAGCGTGACATAATCGTAAAGAGTGGCCTGGGTGACGGCACCGACTTCGATTTAGCTATATACTCCGAAGATGGTAGCGAAGGTAAGCTTTCTCGCCTCATAGATTAATAACATACAATGCTAATTAGTTCTTAGAATATGATGATGACACTACCATCATCCCCCGATCGACCACGGTTGTTGCCCGTCGACTTCCGCCTTCGAAGCCGGGTGCCGGCCGAGCTGCTCGATATGTCTCCGGAAAGATGCCAGCGAGCGCCAAGAATTCATCGCGTCGAGAGAACGCTACCAAGGCCGCGAAGCCAGCATCTACCGCCCTTACGCAGATGAGCGCAGCCATGACAGAAGAGGAAAAGCTTAACGCCATGTTTCAGGCCCAATCTGAACAGTGGACTGCGCAGCAGGAAGAGATGTCACAGTAAGTCAAACTAAGCAATATAATCTACATTTTGCATGCTAACATGACAATAGCCAAACCGCAGTGTACAAGCCAGGTGCGAAGAAACCTGCCAACGTTCCCGATCACGACCCCCCGAATGGTTACATTTGTTATCGATGTGGACAGAAAGGGCACTGGATCCAAGTGTGCCCCACCAACGACAATCCCGAATTCGACAATCGTCCTAGGGTAAAGCGTACAACTGGAATTCCTCGTTCCTTCTTGAAGACCGTAGATAAGTCAGCACTCCAGCAGACTGGCACAGACGGCGAGGATGTCAAGCCTCCGGCTGGAGTTATGGTCAACGCAGATGGAGAATTCGTAATCGCAGAGCCGGATAAGGCCTCATGGGAACAATACCAGGCAAAGACAAAGTCATCGGCAGCTGCTCAGAAAGCAGTGTCTGCTGGGGATAAGGAACTTGAAGAGAAGGGCCTCTTATGCACCATCGACAAAAGGATGTTCATAGACCCAATGAAGACTCCGTGTTGTGAGAAGACATATTGCAATGACTGCATTACTAACGCCCTAATTGAGAGCGACTTCGTTTGTCCAGGTTGCCAGACGGAGGGGGTGCTTATTGATGACCTCAAATCAGACGATGAGATGTCTACTAAGATTGAAGACTTCCTTAAAGAAAAGGAGTCTACTAAGGCAAAAGAGCGATCAAAGAGTCCCCCCGCAGTGAAACAATCTCCCCAGGCATCCTCCGATAAGGAGACACCACAAGCAGACTCACCCAAAGATCAATCAGGTGCTCCTACAAAGGCCAAGTCAAAGTCACCTACCCCACCCTCCACGACAACGAAGTCCCCCCCTACAGAGGTAACAAAGAAGTCAACCACCCCTGTCTTAACACCGGCTTCTAGTGAGATTCCTAAGCCTCAGGAGACAGCTTCCAAGAAGCGACCAGCGGAGGACGTATTAGAGAACCCTAAGATTCCTAAGGGACCTAAGGCCATGCAACGGACACAAGAAGTCAAGGACGTGCAGAACAACATGATGCAGCCAGGTATGAACGGTATGCCTGGTATGATGCCTAACATGATGCAATTCCCAATGAACACGATGAATGGTTTTGGTCAGCCTAACATGAACATGGCAATGATGATGGGGATGAATCCTATGATGAACCCAATGATGGGAATGAATGGTATGTTCAACCCAGCAGCCATGCAGGGTATGAACAATAACTTTGGTGGGAACTTTGCGGGCATGAATGGTGCCGGAATGGGAAATATGAACGGCATGAACATGAACGGCGGCGGGTTCAACAACCAGAACCAACATCCGCATAGACCAAACTTCACTACCCCCAATAGCGATAACGACGCATATTTCCGAAAGCCCGTCAACCCTGGAAGACACCAAAACCGGCAACGAAGAGTCCGACCCAGTGATTACAGGGAACTATAGACCCTCTTCACCTAACCAAGTTGAGTGCGAATTCACACATCAATGAGTCACTACCACATATCCGCCTGATCTCTCCATTCTACCGCCGTTCTATTTCTTCTCACGATTCACGATTGTAAATTATACTTATCATTGCATCCCGATTCACGAAGCAATCATCAAGAGGCGTTAGGGGTTCGGGACTACTAAGGTCGTTCGGGGTCCATCATTGGACAGAGCGATAATAGGGTATAAGAAGGCGTTCTAAGGCGATCATCCTTATTTTCTATTTGTTTTGCTTTTAAAAGGGGAGTGGCAGCGCTGAGACATACCAGCGGCTTATACAACAGGACCAGGGATAGGCGAGGAGGGATGGTCCCAGGATGTAGGGCCCCAAAGAAGGGCCTTTGGTTCTAGGTCGTGGCCTTTCGGATAGGCAGACCTACATAGTGTTGCGGTCTGATTGATACACGACCAGAACGGATACACTACACTACATACATACAAACCATTCAGGTTTTTGACTCCCCTTAGAGTGGTGGAGGTCACGCAGGATTCGTAGATAGAGAGATAACGAATCGACGATGGTTTGACTGATATTATTGTTTATTTCATGTGTTATACGTGATATTGTTGATGCTAAGAGCACCTGTGATTTGTTGTTTATACTTAGGTCTGATGTGTCGCAATTTGTGAAAGTCCAATCCCGTTATTTTGAGCTTACGTATCAGGTATGTCGAGTAGATAGATATACGTGGATCCAAATAGCGTGTTCGTGTTGATTATTCCCATTTTGGCTGTTCTCGTTTTGGAACCCCCATATCCAGCCAAGGGTCGACGCCCTTCCAACGCCTCTCCGACACCCGATCATAGTATCAACACTTTTGAGAGGACTCTACCTACCAAGTACCTGCATCCAGGAATATCTAGGATATGGAATTCGTAGCTTACGTAAATTACCGTTCTCTAGGGATCCCATTCATCATAGGGAGCGGAGTGATTTACGGCCTACTCGCGGATACCGGTATGTGCAGAATAATTCAATGTACACAATTTAGCTACAGTCGGGTGTTTATCACTTGGCCGCCTACCAATAATTAAATAGAAGCAATCACAATCACGTAGTCACAATTCATGTAAAGAAGGTAATTCAGAGTTCGATGAATAGATTCAATAGTCCTCTATCCACCTTGCGGTGGCAGCAAGTAATAATTAACATGATACTGCCTCCAATATCCATCCATCCTTTTTATTCGTTCTTTTTTTCTTGCTTTTGAGGTGGACAAATAATTATTCATAGCGGCTAGCTCAAATCCTTCAATAGGCCGGACTTCGAGGCCACTTCATTGGCGCTTTTCAACATCCCCAGGAGCCGTCGCCGGTCGTTTCCCCCGGCGAACGGTCTCGCTGTGTTTCGTGAGAGCAGGTTTAATCTCGGAACCCCCATGCTCCTATCTATATAGGTAGCACAGGGGGAGAAAAACATTAGTATGCCCCGGATGTATTGTCGTAAACATACGAAACAATTCGCACGGTCAGATCATCGTTCGATCCAACCGTGGGGGTCGCAGCATCGACCCAATGGGTGGGCGCATCGGGGCGCGGCAGGGCTTGACGACAAGAACCAGCTTGTAGTCTGGCCCGCCGCAAATATTAACCCCGTGCTGATGCAATGGAATAACAAGACGAGCAGAGCGAAAAGAAAATTCGACACTCTATGCCCGTTAATGAGCGAACGGCTTTGATATCTATTATCTTCGGCCTTCTGACGTATTATGCGCTGCTTGGTGGGACCCCCCAAGAAATGCAGGTCTTTACGCTCGCACAACAATGCCGTTTCGGCGGGAGTTTCGTGGGACGTAGTTTTCCTCGTCGCCACTGGAGCAGGAGCTCTCATCCTCGCTGTATCCGCAGCGCGCACCACCGCAGTCGATCTTGACGCGGTCGCCCTTGCGTGTAATACCGTAGCGTTCGCAAGTGCAGTTGCTGCAGTCTGAGGCGGGTGTGCTGTAGCCGGATAGCGAAGAGCTGGGTGATGAGCTGTCCGAGCGGTAGGATAAGCTGGAGCCGGATGAGGAGACGGGAGAGCTGGAGAAATCCGTGATGACATCGTCCTCCTCGAAGCCGGTGCTGCCGAAGCGTGCAGTGAGTTCATCGATGGTCTCGTCGTCGCAGTAGTCAGCATCTAGGATGTGACGAGTAGCGTGTGGGGACATTGGCTTGGGAGCTACGATTTGCGAGACGGAGAGAGGTCGGCCCTTAGGAATGTCAAGAGCGGAGGGCTTGGATCGGTGCTTGTCCTTTGACGAGGAAGTTGTGTTCCTTGACGAGCTCTTGCTGGAGCTGTGAGACTTGGATGAAGACTTGCTTGACTTGTCCTTGGGGACATCAAGAATGTTCAATTCTCGGCCGGTTGTGGGCTCAACGGTAGAGACCTCACTGGGGTTGTGCGAAACGTGGTATCCGTCGATGATGTAGTAGTACCAGTATCGCTGGCCGGCTTCGAGGTTGCCCTGAAATCGGAAAGTGCCCTTCCACGAGCCGGATTTGCTGGAAGTCTTGTCCTTGGAAAGGGGGATTTGGCCATTGTAGTTATCCCAAGAACCGAGCAGGTGGACGGACTTAACGCCGGAAGAAACGCGAAGAGAGAAAGACAGTTGGATGGTCGCCATTTTGATACGTTATTATTGCAAAAATTGTCGTTTCTTGAGGAAAAAAAATTTCAAGGGACTTTTCGAGCAAGGAAAGCTAGTTTCTAGTTCTATTAGGGGGTATAGCGGTTGTGAATTAGGGGTTTAGTTGACCGGCAACTATGGTATAGTAAGAGTATGATTTTTTGGTTATGGTGAATATTAGATGTGTATTAGGGGTGTAAGAGCACAGCTCTACAATAAACAAAATCAAAAACAAAGAAGGGATAAGAGAAGAAACAAGAAACTAGCTTGTGGTGTTTGAATGCTTGCTGAGGAGAGAAGAGAAAAATCAGAAGAGGACAGAGGAAGGCTGAGTGGTATTATATGAATCGAGGCCGTCTATGAAGGCCGGGGTGCGGCCCAACATCCAGACCAATACCAACTTGACTTACACATCTGCGGTGCCGACAACCTCCCGCTACGGGCAACTAGGACGTGCGGGGCCGCACATCTTGGATTGAGTCGTGGCCTCTGTATGGATGGTAACACATACCCATTCTCGATGTAATGTCGCTTGGGGCAGCTCATTCCCTAACCTAGCCATTCCAGTCTTCGGTACAGCGATCTTTTTGGTGTGTGTGCCGTACTGCAGGTAGACGGCGGCTAAGCAAGAAGGGGGGGTAGAGAAGAGATGTAAAAACATGGATACAAAGGTACAAATTATGAGGAATAAATAGAAACCGGGCGGGAAACATGGCCGAGCTAGTCGGGAAAAGGCGATTGGGCGTCTAAAGCACAGGGGTGATTGGCTGGGAGCCACATGCCGGCAGCCAATACTAGTTTTCGCCCATCACATTATCACATATCGCAGTGTGCAGCAGACGAATCAGAGGAGACAGATAGCTTCCTCTCCCATCGAGATGGTCTTCGTCTGTATACGGATAACAGCACTACTGTAGCCTTCGTGCAGCGAACCAGCATGGTAAGTCCATGTGGACAAGTGTTTATGTTTTTCCGCGTTCGCATCTGCAGGCCATCATGAAGACCTCATTGGAGGGTGATACAATCCACTCACTCAGGTTGGGCTTAGTTTGATGAAGAGATCGCGCCACTTAGCAAGGAAATCTGGAGTTGTGAATCGAACAAGGCAAGCAGGCTGGAATGTGTTGGGCTGAGGTCATTTCAATGCAAACTGGTTTTCTGCAGGGACTGTCACCATAATCACAATCGTATATGAGATACAATTGTGATGTGGATTTATCGAAATAACTGATTCCACTTCCTGGTAAGTCCGCCAGGGTGATGACCACAGCACTGGATAAACCACCTAAGGAGGATCAGTAAACTTTCTCACTGCCGTCCCCTGTCCGGAAGGATTCCAAACTTCCAAGTCCAGAACATCATGCAGATAAGCCAGCTACCTAGGTAGGCTCTCGACTATCGCGACGATGCTTCTTAGCCGGAGCGACGAGGGATCGGAGTCCAGGTCGAGAGGAAGCCTTATGCAGGTCACATCACTAGCTCCGGCGGGTAGGCGGGAAAAGTGGTGTAGAATACTATTAGTATTCCGTGCCGTGAAAGTCCGAGAGTAGCGAAAAGTCTATCTCGGTGTCATTTTATCAAGATCGTCTGTTTCTTTTCGAAGGGTGGCAGCCCTACTGCAAAAAGAATAACAAGGGGAAGAGAGGATCGATTGCAAGCGATTGCAAGCGATTGATGGGGGAAGATGACCAAAGTGCAGAAAAGAGTGGAGAATAAAAGTTGGGACCCGGGAAAATCCCGTCTAATACTAATTAACGCTAATGCAAAATCCATGATCCATGGGTGCATTATGCACTAGTCGACATGGGGCACTTCCGTTCTCTGAATGGTTGGGAGAGACGGACCAAGTCACATGACTCCCCTTGGCCTGGCGCCTACATGCAATCTCCAATGCAGAAAAAATGCAAGTTCGGTGATCACATATTACGTTGCCTGCCAGGAACCTGGATAACCTGGATGGAAAGTTAGTTCCCTTTTGGGCTGGTGGTGAGGACGGGAAACGCCTCTAGATCCACCGACCCTTTCACCAAGATCCATCATACATTGGGACTCTCCAGAGCTCCAAGGCTCTATACGCGTTTCCACCTACCCACCCACACACCCACTCTTGAGAAAGAGGGGTGATGGTAATCCTCTTTCTTTACTAGGAAGTTCGCTAACAGGGTAATAAGTCTTGTGCGGGTCTTCTTGCAGTTGTTAGCGTATTTCTGGCGCTTATTAGTCTCTATATCCTCTCTCAATATCATGACGAATCTCTAATCGCGGCTGCGGAAGACTTGTCTCGTGGATAAACAATATGTACGTAGGGTACCAACAAGCGCGTACCAACATGGGCTAACAAGGTCGAAGCGCATTAACCGAGCGTCCCGGTGGAAGATCATGGCTGCAACTAGGAATTCTGTAGAAGGCGGCCTCGTCAGCTCGGTCACGGAATATGTCAAGTCCTATATGGCAAATTACGACGGCTCTCATGATTTCAATCACATACAACGTGTCGTCGGACTTGCCAAATACATTCATGACCATTTGCCGGAGACGCCTCCGCGGGATCGGCAAATTGTGGTCCTGAGCGCGCTTCTACATGATGTAGGAGACAAGAAGTATCTGAAGCCAGGCGAGGATGCATCAACCTTGGTGTACCAGCTACTCCTCTCTCTTGGTGCCGCCGAGCAGCTTGCAAGTCGCGTCCAGACGATCTGTCTAGGCGTCAGTTATTCCAGCGAGATCAAGAATCCAACTCGAGTCCAGGATCTCATCAAGTCTCACCCGGAGTTGGCTGTCGTGCAGGATGCTGATCGCCTCGATGCTATTGGAAGCATTGGGATTGGTAGAGTGTTCACCTTTACAGGCGCTCGAACAACAAGATCCATGGCCGACTCTATTCAACACTTCCATGACAAGCTATTGAAACTCGAGAGCATGATGAAGACGGACGTTGGACGGGAGCTTGCCAGGAAAAGGACCGAAAGGATGGAAGAGTTCCTTAAGTGGTGGGATGAGGAAGCTGCCTTTTCCGGTGAGTCGCCAGTTGTGACTTGAAAGCCGATCCACAAGTCGGTAATGGTTCCGTCTGTACCAGTTTGTCTCGAACGCAGATAGAATGCTCATGTTAGGTTAACCTCGATCATGTCAACGAGTTGTTAGACTTACTTTGCACCAAACAATTGAATAGTTCACACTTCAACGTATCTGGTGTTATCTGCCGACAATTTAGCTCTCCACTCTTTTCTCTAGAGGCTACGGAGACATCCACCTACGAATCCATACTCGGAGCCGACAGCTGGCGGATCCGAATGAGGGACTTGAGTGTTATCAGGGCAACACATCAACGTATAATAGTAGGTACTAGGATGAAGTCCGCTCTAGCAACGTCAAGATGATTGATACGCGACGCCACAATGTCATCGTATCGCGACGTTCCTCACGGCCGATATAAGACCTAGGGGTCCTCCATGAGACAGCTCGGCCGTAATATCACTGCAGCGAGTCTTCGATCGTGCCTAATACGATCAATTATAACAATGGAAGAATAGACAGGTTATTCTCCCGTGGCAAGATGTGTCTTACACCATTCTTGGGGTCAGGCTAAGACAATAGCTGTCATTGCGAAAATGACAGACACGGGCGGATCTGGAATCCGCATTGAACCATCAAAATAACGGGTATCCGACAGATAGGGAGTTAATCAACCACTCTATATAGCAGGTAAATCACCATGTCATATCGATATCACGCGGCTGTTCCGTGGGGGTTCCATCTCAGCGTTGACGACCCAAAGACACGGTTATTCTCAATTTGTAATTGAGGTATAACGCAAGGGATGTCTAGCCAAAGAATCTCCCTAGTATGGGATAAGCAAAGTATATCTGCATTACGTATCGCTAGACTAACTAGGTAATCTTCATCTTCCTTAGCGGAAGTTTAGATCAGATCTAAGCGGGAAGCATATCGTGACTGATAGTCCTTCACCTATCGCAGCCATCGTCACACTGGGAGTTTATAAAGGCGATGGTTCCATAGGTCCGATGTCGAGGCAACGGATCCGACACATTGGTTTATTGAATCGACTAGTTGAAGTGACATACATGTGCATGAATAGCGCATCAGGTGGATCAATCGTTTCGGGCTGTTCTGTAGTTGAGCATAGACCGGGCCCGAGGCAGTTTGATTCGATCATGTCTAAATTGCCATGGCAAGGAACAAATTAGTTCTTTTCAATCAGAAGATCGCAGTAGCTCAGGGGCACTAGTACCTATTCACCATGCCAATTTGACCCAAGAACAATTTTCCTAGATCTTCCTACCAATCGGTAGGAGCTTCGGCAACCTCATCTACTACGTAAAGTCGTATCTTGACCTCTTCATCGGTCAGCCTCATCGGAGACTAGGGATGTCTTGGTACTAAATCGAAGGCCTAAGCTTCGGATTTTCGGAATCCGAGAGACAGATGCGCCACCCGTCTACCGTTAGGACTTGAGCGTCCGCTACAACGACGTGAACTAGCCATTCCAAGTTAAGTCCCTTAAGGAAAAAGAAACGAATTCCTCAGAGAGGCCATGATCCGCATCTCATCCACGAAGGAAACATAGTAGTTTGAGACTAGAATCAAGTTTGAATTCCCTACGTATTGCCCATTTCGCGGATCGCGTCCCGACACATTGGACTCATTCTATTACACAGCCGCGGGGAGCATCCGCACTCTCAATATTGCCAACAAGGTGGTAAATGGAATGAAGCGTAGAGGCGCAAAAGCAAGGAAGCCGCGGGCACTTCCGGGAAGTTTCTTTTCGAGGTTATCGCGATGGCGAATTTATTTCATATAATACCTTGCCATTCCCTACGCTGCGATGCCGATTCAAAGATTGCAGGCACTCCCAGGTGGCTCAGTCACCGCAATTAGCTCCAAGTATACGAAATGGACTTTAGCGACACTCCGGATTATCGTGGGGACGCCGAAATCGGTCTTAACGCGTGGTTAATCGGATTCTCGACGGTAATTTACGGACTTCGCCTTTTCGTTCGGATACGCATGACAAAATCTCCAGGGCTCGACGATGCCCTCGCAGGTGTTGGCTACGTAAGCACCGACTTTCGACGACGGATACCTACATATTGTAGATCTGGTCGTTTTGAGGAAGATCCGCTGACTGATGAAATAGCTGCTACTAGTGGCGCTTTCTGCGATAGACATCTTTAGTTGGTTCCCTACGCCTAAAATTTGTGACGGTATTGAGATGTTGATAACAATTTCCAGCCGTGCGCTATGGCAGCGGAACTCATGTGGCCCTGGTCCCACGAGACCTCTTTTTTGTGTTCTATGAGGTGAGCTTTCGCATTAATATGAATTACATAACGAAGAGCTCGGAAACTTACTTATTGCTAGTCGTTGACGATCCAAATACTCCTCTATTTTTGGGCTATGGCCATGGTGAGATTCGCGATTCTCGCTTTTCTACCTCGACTTGCCCAAGATAGTACGTAATTGAATCGAAACTAAACTGCACGTCGCTAATTAAGCGCCTCAGGGAACATCAAGATAATATCTTGGACGGTCGCTGCAATAATCTTTGCTCAGACTGTAGCTGCCTTTACATACAGACTCGCCTCGTGTACACCAGTTGCGTAAGTCAATTGCCCCCACAATCTTCACATTTTGCCTAGAGTTGGCACTGAGACATACGTATAGAGATAGCTTCAAACTCCCAGATGAACCAGGACTTAAATGCGTTGGACTAGATGATCATATCAAGATGATGGCTGGTCACGGTTTGGTTGGCATCGTTATTGACGTAATTCTTCTTTTACTCCCGATCTGGGTTATATGCACCAAGATGATGTGGTCTAAGAAGACTCTTCAGATCATACTTGTCCTGAGTGTCGGGATGTTCGCGGTAGCAACGGGTATACTACGCGTCGCTTTGACGAGAACCCGAGACATCTCTTCTGATCTGTGTGTTATATCCCCCAAGACTTCATTTTCAATAACTAATGGTTATGCGCTTATAGGACCTGGGAAATGCCAACGCTAGGCATTTGGACGAATATCGAAGGCCATGTCGGTCTGTGGTGTAGTTGTTTTCCTACTTTGCAGCCTATTTTACGTTCTGTACCGGCCAAATTGAAATTACTCAGCTCGACGAATGGAAATGGCGGCCGACACGACAGGACAACTGGCCATACTGGAGTGACGAAAGCAACCCGCGGGAGGAGAATGAGTTTAAGTGAGTTGGATAGTGAAAGTCAGCGCGGAATCACGTTGCAAGAAACGAAAGGGGTTGAGATAACAGGCACACAGGATTCAAGTGTACATTCTGATTGAAATTCCATATGTTGGTTCAATGATTTCTACCTAGAGATGTTATAATAATTGTTAATAAAATAATTGGTACTGAAATAACTTTCATTTGGACAACCGTATCGGAAGCATGCATTCGGGACTGTGCGTTGCGACAAGATGCATTGCATAAGGTGCTGGCTTTTGAAGCGAACGCCGAGGGACTGTACCAAAGAAACGAGGAGACATAAGCGAGACGGGCCGTACCTATGTACATACATGTAGGTATACATTGAAAGATAAATGTACATATTTTGAAAGCTTCCAGGGTGCAGGACGGCGGCCGGATAGATGAACCTAAATATGTAGGTATTTTCGGTGACCCCCAAATCTGCAGCTTCCCGAAGTCTAAGTCCGGGAGGGGACGTCCGTAACAGCGGGCTAATTTGCCTGTATCTCAATTAGATAAGTCACATAATCTTTCCCCCTCTCTCCATCCAATATATTTCAGCTGAATTTCTTCTGTCTAGCACCAACAACCAAAAAGCATAGGGCTTACTTGTGTCTTTTGCGACCAAGAATCAGCCCTAAAGTTGTCGGCTCGCCATTCGCCAAGGTCTCTTATTCTCGCAGCTGTCATCATCGATTTATTGACTGGCCTAGCCTGATCCGATTGATGTAACCATGATATGCAAGCCGTCTTACACCATACGAGCGCTTTCCAGCTGTTGGTACCACCAGACTCCAAATCTCACTGCTGATTTAGTCCAATGGGCTTCTTCGTAGGACGGAAAAGGTATGCAGAGCCCAGGTGGGCAGGCCACCGATAGGTAGGTTAGCTTCAATATTTGCCCTTCTGCGACCCGGTTGGATTGAGACATGTTGGCGACCGCTGCTGACCCTCTGTCTCTCACTTTTTTTTTGCGATAATCGTTTTCGTGAAGGTAGCGAAACATATCTCCTCTCACTCCTATAACATTGATTTCTCAATTCTCCTGGCTGTTGTTAGCTGTTCATACATATATATCGAGTAGATATAGTCATTCTGCATGTGAATTTCCATCATTGGTTCGCGAGGCTGTCCGGCTGTCTCACAGCGGTCGACCTCACAAAATGGCATCTAAATGCACCATCGCCACCCTCACTGTCACGCTACTCATCGCATCGCTCGTTAATGTTTCTATAGCTGCTGCTCACGCAAACTTAGGCATACTCGACGGTGTTGCACTGTTTGATCAACCCAATCATGCCTTCAATCCCGGATTTGGGCCGCGCTTTTACGCCACAGCCTCACCACCGATCCCCGCGATACCGCTTTATAGAAGACAAGAGAGCGAAGTGGGTCATTGTACGGTTGGCAATTCCTGTTTAGAACTTGGGCCAGCAGGAGCAGATGCTTGCTGCTCTGACGACAGATACTGTTATCTAAACACCACTTGGGGGGCACAATGCTGCTCTATAGGGAATGATTGTAAGGATCAAGACTCGCCGTGCGACGAGGACCATATTTATTGCAACGCTACAATCACTTCTACTACGACGATCGCCACATCGCCTTCCATAACAGCACTTGTACAGACCAGCTTGTTGCCTGGATGCTGCCCGCGATCTTGCAGTACCTCTTCTTTCCTCTGTCAAAAGGGGTTCGGTGGGCAGTGCTGTGGATATGGAGAGGAGTGCCGTTCTGGCGGCTCTTGCTTCATGCCCGCTACAACCCCGCAGCCCACCGTTGCGACTATTGTCCCATCGGGGTGTACTACATCGCAAATTTCCTGCGAGACGGGTGGCGGGTGTTGCAATTTTGGGAGTATCTGTACCTCATCCTCTTTAGCTGCGACAGTTACCCAGCTTTGCGTAGCCAACCTAACCGTTGTCGATAACGGCGGTAGCGGCCTCTCTGATGGCGCTAGAGTTGGCATTGGTGTGGGTATCGCTGTAGGTGCTGCTATCATTATCGGTGGAGTGACATGGTTCTGGATCCATCGCCGTCGAGTTGCAAAGTCGCGTGAAGGCGGGCCGCATGAGCAAAGGCCATTCGTACCTCAAGGCGGTGCTAACACAGATATCACGAGTCCGTCCAATGGAATGAGCACAAGGCCACGCATCCACGAAACCGGACTCGCTCATACTTATTATGGCCCCGATGCCGTGCCCGGTCCATTCACGGATCGCACGGATAGCACCACGATTCAGGGGACTGAGCCTAGATCGAGTCCAGGGTTCTCCGAACGAGCCATGAACGCCCATCAGTACCCCGAAAACCCGGGTGACGTTAGACCACCGGTCGAGATGGGGACAGAGGAGCGTTCGCCCGCAGAACTTGGAGGAGTCGGATTTGCTGTTGAGAAGAAAAATCTCCTTTCAAGTGACACACCAGCTAGGGAGGAGTTTAATGGGCCATTTGAATTGTACGGTAGTCCCGGAACGTCACCACAACCAATGAACCCGGAGGAAGCGGAGGAGCACAGGACTAATGGGATTTCACCTTCGCCTCCACCTGCGCCAAAATCGGATCAACAAGGGAATGATGGGCACAAATGAGCGGGTTAAGGAAAATAGGATGAAATTTCTGGCGTATTATCCTAATCCTGATTTTAACGAATACATATGAACTTGAATGAATGCGACTGAATACCCCTTTTAATTTATAGACGAACGCCGCGCCTTTCCTTTCCGAAAAACTCCTTCGTAACGCCTTTCATAAGCATTATGCAATGTAACAGACATTATTAATATGGGCGGCTTTCTCATTTAGTGTTTTCCAGTAAGAGCCGTTTTTATATGGGAAAAGGGGGATTCAAGTGATATCCTTCCAACTTGGCAAAATTGGACCCCAATGTCCTCAAAAGTCAAGCGTTTTGCAACGCAATAGTAATCTAGGTAATCAATCTGAAACCGGGCCAGTAACTTGGGATTTTGTGTGCTAGCCCACTACGCCGCCAAAAGGCATGTTCTGCCGTAAATCCTCCACGAGTTCTTGTACGCTGCTTAAATGGCGACCGAGTAGAGCCTGCTTCTCCTCTTGCGTTCTCGTTTCACTGTCGCCTGCGGAGCGGGGTCGTCCGGTGTCACCGTTCTTTGCGCCGCCGTTGGTGTTTCCATTCCCATTCCCGTTACCGAAAGCGAATGCTTTGGCGAGCTTACTAGGGCTGCGCTGGAGTAGGGGTGGTAATGCGGGGGCGGCGCTTGCGCTTGGGATCGAGGGGACTTCGGGCATTAGGTAGAAGTATAGAAACTCGACGAGCTTGAGCTTGACGTCTCGGCTTGTGCCTCGGCTGCGGAAGAGCGAGGTTACGGTTAGGAGACCGTCGAGGGCTTCGAAGGTTCGCGTGTTGCGGGGTGCGTCGATTAGGGCGGTGACGAGGGTTACGACGGTCGCGGATTGGATTGCGGGGCAGAAGTCCGGTTCTAGGAGGTCGAGGAGGAGCTGTATGTGAAGTAGTGTTAGCGAGAGAAGCGTAGTGGAAAGTGGGAAGTAGTATAGTAGAGGGACTTACGTTCATGTGCATCTCTCGAGAGAACAAGGCCTTGCTGGGCGGGTGTAGGAGCATGACACCTTGAACCAGATCCAGAGCGCTTAGGATCAGCAAGTCGTTAGAGCCGTCGGCACCTCTAGCTAGCAAACGATCCAGAGTGCTAACTAGGCGCATAGTGACGTTCCACTCGAAACCCTCTTGCAGTTTAAAGAACTCGTAGAAAGCCGGGTCGTCGGTAATTTCGGCGAGAGTCTTCGGAGGAAGCGGTTCCGAATCATCGTCATGTTGGTCAAGATCTCGACTTACGGTCGAGGCTCGTCGGTCCCTGTTACTGCTTTGCGATCGCGACAAGCAGATGTTGGCTAGTAGACCCTCAACTTGGCGCAGACCCTTTCGGATCTTGGGGCCGTCGTAGGAGGAGAGGTTGTCGAAGGCGAGAGATAGAAGGTTCTCCATTTTTGCTTTTTATCTTTATCTTTTAGGTATGTGGTGGAGTCTTGGGTGTAATCGATATGGCCTGTGTCGAACTTTTTATGCAATGCGATACGATGCTGCAAAACTAGAGAGAACAGAAGAGGGAAATCAAAAAAATAAAACGCCAATAGAGTTGCTTGGAGGAGCGACGCCGGTAAAATGTTAATACAAGAGAACGAAAGGAAGGTTGGGGTATCACGAGAGAACAATCTCCTGGTCTCAAAAAAGAAGAAATCAAGAAGAGGAGAAAAAACGAACGGTGTGCGCATAAACCACAGACCAGTTTTGGGGTCTGCGATTCTTCATGCGACAAATCGTTGGTTACAAGGATCGTGATGTTTGAGTGGAGAATTATCGTTAACACGGCAACGGCGGATACGATTCCATTACCTTAGCAGGTTCCTTAGTGTCGGGTAGGTACCGTTTAATAGCATGCTGTAGGGCTAATACCGTACCTATAACACTATAACAGCTTATTAAGGATGCCCTAGATATAACAACCTTCCAGGTAAATAATATTAATAAATCTCTTATAATATCATTCAAAAAATACTTTATATACGATACTTAGAGCAACATCCAATCTTATTCAAAATCACATCTCACGTACATTGATTATGAGACACTCATTTCCCCAATGTTGAAGAAAATGTAACTCCAGACAAAACAATATTCTGGGTAGCCTTAGCTACATTGGTACGATACGAAAAAGATACTTGGCAGAGAGTGTTAAGATCACCGCCAATGCGGGGAAGACAGATAAAATTATGCATAAGCAACTGTACCTGATTTGTACCTGTTACATCTCAGAGTTCATGACGTTCGTGGCTGCCCTTGTATGTCTCAGACATGTGAATAATTAATCCTTGAAGGCTCTACTGCTACTTCCTTCCTACCGTCAAACAACCATCGTACCTTTTGCAAATCCTCTTCTCTCTATAATAGGATAGCTTTATCCATATGATTTCATCTTGATTACTACTATCAAGCCACGGGTCACACAGCCCCTCCATTCTATTAAATATTCAGGCGTACCTTTACATAGCCCCGGAGGCCGAGCCAATCACAGCTGAATGTCTGTATAAGACATCTACACAGCACGACAATTTACTTTTTACCTGCATCCGAGTATTTAATAGGCATCAACATATGCAAGAGCGACAACGAATATAGTGCTCCCGCTGCGTCTCCACCAATCCCGAATACTATACTACCTAGGTACCTTAGGTAGGCTAAGGTAGAGCTACCTGGATAGAGTTTGCGCCAGCACAGAATTAGGCAACCTTTTAACTTTGAATCCAACGCTCTTCTCTCCCCGTTACGTTGAATTACTAAGGTCTTAGAGTTGATTCTTCCTTTTATTGGGAAGGAATATCATAGCAGTCATGGTTCCTACTACTAATACCAACCCTAATTCCAATTCTGGTATATCTTTACAATCACCCAACGCTATCCCGCCTAGGACTTCCTCCACAGGTTACACTACACCGCTCCCTCCCGCCAAATCAGTCCTACGGCCCGTCCCGGAATCAGATTGGCTCGGTCAGAATAACAGCAAGCATCGAAGGGACTCATCTACAACTGCTATCCCCCTTACAGGAATGCACGCTACAGGCACTCAGGACCCCGCGCGATATGAGACCGAGGATCTTAATTATACGTCTAGAAAGACATGGACCGAGGCTAAGGAAAGGGTCTTGATGGGTCCCTTCGAGTACTTATTCGCTCATCCTGGAAAAGATTTCCGTACGCTTATGGTCAATTCTTTCAATGCTTGGTTGGAAGTGCCACAAGAAAGTTTGGACATTATCACCAAAGTTGTTGGTATGCTACATACTGCATCATTATTGGTCGATGATGTTGAGGATAACTCGCTACTCCGGAGAGGCTTGCCGGTTGCCCATAGCATCTTCGGTACGGCGCAAACCATAAATTCGGCTAATTACGTTTACTTCTGCGCCTTACAGGAACTGCAAAAACTCAAGAATCCAAAGACAATCAATATTTACACCGAAGAACTGAACAACCTTCATCGTGGCCAAGGTATGGATCTTTTCTGGCGAGACACTTTGACGTGTCCCACTGAAGAGGAGTATCTTGAAATGGTCGGAAACAAGACCGGGGGTCTCTTCCGTTTAGCTATCAAGCTCATGCAGGCCGAGTCAGGCTCTCTCATGGACTGCGTGCCCCTCGTCAACCTACTGGGAATCATCTTCCAAATCCAGGATGACTACAAAAACCTATCAAACCCGGAGTACGGCCAGAATAAAGGCTTCTGTGAAGATTTGACGGAGGGCAAGTTTTCATTCCTCATCATCCATAGTATACGTTCAAACCCATCGAATCTCCAACTTCTCAATATCTTAAAGCAGAAGACGAAGGACGAGGAGGTCAAGCGGTACGCTGTAAAGTACATGCAAAGCACCGGCACCTTTGAGTATACCCAGAAGGTAATCGCTATTTTGGTTGACAGGGCGCGGAAGTTGGTGGATGAGCTGGACAATGGAAGGGGGAAAAGCGCTGGTATTCATAAGATCCTAGAAAAGGTATCTGTATAGGATGCGAACGAAGTAATGACATAAAGAATAAAACTTAGGGGGCTGGCTTCTTTCGGGTCTTTGGCGACGAGGATGGTGGTTTAGGAGGGTACTATTCATCTTGATGGGTTGGGTGGGATAGGGGTTATGTGAGAGCGGGCAGGTGCGAAACTTAGGATACCCTCAGTCCCTTTTGTTTGAGACTTGAGAATTTTACAAGGTTTACTAGTGCGTGTTTGGAGCCTGCAATTTGGCTAATAGTAGTGGTGCAATAATGTTATAGGGGTCGCTTCTCATGAATACCTAGAGGCACATCAAATAAAATAAGGGATAGCGTAATAAGAACGGACTCCTTTTTATGCTATGTAATACTAGGGATGAATAGGGGTTAATCTTAGCTGCTATGAAAACGGATTTTCTCGTGATACCTAACCTACCTACCTAGGGGTATACGGTAGAAGTGCCTGATAGACTGATTTAAGGAGCGAAAGGCCCTTCTCATGTACATTAAATAAAAGCCAACAAAGTACCTTCAGTTGCCTTGAGCCTTCGATGAGGCCACCAAAGAGGTTTTCGGTTACCAAGTAGTGTTAATAGGCTTGTTGTCCTTTGTCTTCTTCAAGCCTACCTCTCGGTGGTCTCTGGGTGATTTATATAATTAGGGGTTGTTGCTGCTAGCATACAAATATATTATATCTTAATGTATACACTTCTACCCACCTCTACATCTTCATGATGGCCAAAGTCTGGCCTCCCACCGCCGAACTCATCCGTACATACTTATTTACCGCTATAGAACTAAGTGAACTGTGGCCGCTGGAAGTTATGTGTATATGAACTCGTGCGCTTGTAAGCACCTTATCAGTTGACAAGCCTTCCTTAAGAATTGTACGCCAACGTACGTTTAGATAACTTGACTTCATGTCGTCTTCCTCCTGATTTTGTCGATAATGATATTGTATGCAGGTGGTGACGATGGTGTTCAAGAATAGCAATCTATACTATACAAGCTCTAAGATACAAATCAATATATTGTGTACGAACGCCATCAAATGTGTGGAAATGATAAGGTGAATGATAAGAAGCTGTAATTAAACAGAAGAGCTGTTAACGAACAGTCGTGGCCCGCTATGACTATATAAGTGCATCTTCATCGTGCTCCTTAGTCGAACATTTTATGGCATTCGTGCAAGATATCTATACATAGTAGAAACACCATAGAACGAAAAACCTGTTACAAGCAAAACTCACGTTAAAAGGAACCCACACACCTACACAACAGTACGCAAAGACGTAAACCTACCCTTACCTAAGTGACAATGAGCGTCTCTAGTTCCCCTAGTACTCATAACTCTCCCGTTCCGTACTCTCCTGTTATAGAGCCCCCTCCCGGGCATGTTCCTCAAATGCCTCGTACCAGTCGGGTCTTCGGCGACTTCGATCTGCCTGAGAATCTTATGCATTTGCTTGCCGAAGCTGATGATTGGGTTCCTCAAGAATGGGTTAGCTTCGAGGCTTTTCCCGCCGACATGTGGGATACCGCGAACCATGATCCTGCCGTCATCGAGCTGGACTGCGAACGTTGGTACGATTACATCCGGGAACTGAGAGACAGATACGGACTTCACATTCTCAGACAACGTCCGTACAGGCCCCTCATCGCCGATTCCATGCGTCGCGCCCGACCTGGCCGACAAATGCAGAATATGATTCAGTCATACCTTTATTTCTTCCCCAATGCCGTTTACGGGGATATTAAACTCGGAGTGAGACCCCTTGTCTACACCGCTATTGAGGAGGGCCACCTCCATGCGTTCCGCATCTTCACCGATCCGACTGGGGAGGCTTACACTTCTAATATCCAGGAGCAGGGGGATTCCCTTATGAGGTGGTCCGTCGAACGCTCCCCGGACTCCCGTATTATTGTATGGCTTATTACACAGGGTGTTCCTTTTAGTATGTCTCTTCGGGATACTCTTGAGCGAAGGGGAATGGCCCCAAGGGGCTCCACCTTCTCCAACTGGCTTACGGAGGTCATCGCTCATGGCTACCATGCCATTTAAACTCCTACATTTGCCTTTAAGAGAGAATTGTCATCCTTACCCATGCCTACGTAAATACCTAAGTATATATGAGTCTACAGAGCAACGAAGTAGATTTGTAGTGTGATGTTTTTGGCTCTGTTTTCTGTTTAGGAGTTATGTATGATTTTTTTCATTTAATACACGCTGTTCATAGAAAATAAAATAATAAAACCCATACAATGACCTAACAGGCGAAAGTGAGTTCTTTAGAAAATTTGTGCCATTAATTCTTCATTTGTTTGACGTGTATGGGGTTATATGGATGAGTGATATCACGAGTGATAACAATAACAATAATGAATCATATCGCTATGACTTAGTAGTACTTTCACATCTGTAATATAAACTTCCGACTTACACAGCAGCCTCGGGGATATTCTTCCTCTTCACGAGCCTGACCCACCTCCTCCGTCTCCACTCGCCTCTCCTCCCATCACCATCTTCACCTTCCTCCCAACTAGGCTTAAGGGGCGGGGCCTTTGCCTTCTCTTTCCCTTTGCTAGACGGAGTAGTAGGTGGTTCGACGACCCCCACCTTTTCCGTCGCTTGTTCGTCGTATATATCGTAAACCCACCTCTCGCCCTCCGTCTCTACCTCAACACCCGTGATAATACGTTCTTCCACCCACTCACGACTCCAGAGATCCAAAGCCCATTTCTTCTCACTCCACTCCCACCCCTTCGGCGGCAACACATCCTCAAAGAATCTTGTCCCAACCGGCCTGTCCCCCGCAATGCGCTGGGCCGATAAGGGATCATACGGCGACGCGCTGAATATCCAAGGTTCCCATTCCCCCGCATTCGACAAACGCTGTAGCTCAAAGATTTCCACCTCCCTAACCTCCGGCGCGCTATCGAGTATGACGTCCTTCTCGACCCAATTCTCAACCCAGCCCCTCGCTTTCTCCTCCTGCGGATGGATATGCTTCTCATGCGCGGTCTGCAGCTGTCGCTGGATCGCCGGGTGGCCCATACACGTAACCACCCAACCTAGGGCTAGGAATATCAAGCGCCAGGGTAGGACATTCGACGCGATGCACATGACGAGGCAAGCAACGAACAGTACGACGAAGAGGGCACTGCTTAACGCCTCGTCGCTGAAATTCGTTCGTGGCACCATTAAGCGTATGATGCCGTCGTGGAGCTGACTGAAGTCCTCCATACTATTTTGAAGATCCCTCATATTCCGGAAAAAATCCCGACTCAGCTCTTTGACGGGCTTGACTGTAATCGCGGGAGCGAGTGGTGGCCCGTGGGGCGAGTAGCCTATGGCTTGCTCGCTGGATAGACTGAATTCGGCCGCGGGGTGGCGTGCTACGAAGTTTGGCACTAGGATGCCGATGAGGAGGATTGTTAATGGTAGGACGGGGAGTAGATAGGGATCGAGGCAGATGAATGTGTATATAGCTAGGAAGGAGAGGGTATGAGTAGGTCGTTTCCAAGATAGTACGCGGATTACACGGGCTTGGAATACAAAAACAACGCCTATTCGAGCGTTGAAGCGGCGGAAGTTATTGGACATGGTGGTTAGGTTGAAGTTTGGACGCTCCACGCCGGGGCTGCCGCCCTTCTGAGAGGGCTCATCCTGTGGTATCTGAGCATCGTCTAGAGGCACCACTTGAGCTAATAATTTCTCAACTAATTGATCCTGAATCTTGGCTTTCTCTTTGAAGGCCGAGAGACGGCCTCGGAGTCCTTTGCGACGTATCGGAGTTTCTGAGTCGGAGTGCTCTGCCGATGTGGAAGGAGTCCGCGGTCTAGGCGGCGTAGATCCATCGAGAACAACCGTCGGGATGGGATCATCGCGGTTGACGAAGGCTTCTGCGTTATAGTCATCCATGTCAACAATGCAATTGTGCTGGTAAAATATCTCTTAGACGTGGATCGGTCATTTGTGTCGTGTCGGACTTCACGATGACGTAACGTGATCGCCTTGGGAGCTTTCAACGGAAGAGCTTCAACCTCAGCCGACTCGGCCTCAATAGTTCAATGAAATTGTAACATTATTAGAATTTATTAATACAGAATCCCTATAACATTGTCTTTGACTGTAATTTTTCGAGATTTTGATGAGTATGAGATGGTTATGTAGATGGAATGAACGGATCACATGTTAAGCTGCCTAATAAATAACGTAACTCGGCGTCCTTGCCGGCTTGTCGCGGTAACCTGTGACGTTAGCGGGTAGCATTAGCATATCGATAGCGAGGTCTGTGGGGCTAAATGCACTAGCGAACGACGGGGCTCTAGCAGCTACAGGGCTGGATTTACAGGGGTTTCAGAGCTTCAGACAAAAATAATTCGGTTACAAAATATTTCCAACAATACAAACCAATCACCACACCCTCGATTAACCTACCTACACCTACCGCCGAAATGCCAATTACAATAATACAACCAGCGCAAGTACCGGTTCGCGGTCTAGGAGATGTAGACCGCTACTCAGACTCAGACTCAGAAGGCGGGGTGGATTTAGAAGGTGACATCTCTATGGTGCGTCCGACGAAGCGTGCACGACGAACAGGCGACGACTCTATCGTAACGCCTGGTGAAGTGATCACAGAAGATCCTCAATGGATGCGGTAAGAACCACCCCCCCTACCCCTCTCCCCTAACAACACCCACTATGAACACCCACTGACGCTCTTCTCTGTATAGCGGCCACGGCACATACACAACCACCGAACCCCCCGCCATAATATCCTCCGTCGCCGGCACCCTCTCCAAAACCAACAAACTCCTCTCCGTCCGCCCCCTGCGCGCGCGATACACCCCCGAGATCGGCGACCTGGTAGTCGGTCGCATAGTCGAAGTCCAAGCCCGTCGGTGGCGCGTAGACGTCGGCGCTTCACTTTTAGCCCAGTTACCCCTCAGCGCCGTGAACTTACCCGGCGGTATCCAACGCCGACGCACTGAGACAGATGAGCTACAGATTCGGTCTTTTTTTAGTGAGGGTGATTTATTGGTTGCCGAGGTCCAGCAGTTATACTCTGATGGCGCGGCTGTGTTACACACGCGCTCGTTACGGTTTGGTAAGTTGAGGAATGGGGTGTTTGTTGCGGTTAGTGGGACGGGAGGTGGTGGTGGTGTGGTGAGAGCGAGGAGACAGACTTTCGTCTTGGATGTTGGACGAGCGGCTGGTGGTGGTTTAGGTGCGGCGGCTGATGATGCGGAGAAGGTTGATGTGGTCCTCGGTGTCAATGGGTATGTGTGGATAAGCCGACATATCGAAGGGGAGGGCGCGGCGGCTGATAATGGACCTGCCTCTTCGGGACCGGGTATTACGCGAATTGAAGAGAGTGTGGGATTGAACGTATACTCGAGCCAGAACGATATAATTCCCCCGGGTACGGTACGCGAGATCGCGCGAGTACGAGGAGTGATCGGAGCCTTGGTCGAGCATGGTATGCGTGTCGATGAAGAAATGGTGGTTGCGGGTTACCATGAAGCAGTCGAGATGGCACGAGCTGATGGTGACGGCGAGGATACGTTGTATCTTGGTGGTGAGAGAGGTCGGCGGTTGGTTGATACCCTCGTGGGACGATAGGGCGGAGCCAAGAGTCGAACAAAAAATGACAATACTTCTATCCCCATTCAACTCCTTTGAGCTCTTTACCCTAGTATGTTGATACTAGGAAAGTTGATGTATCATCTGTGATATCATTTGACTACGAGACCCTTAATGTTGCACATGGAAAGCAATTGAATGAGTAGGTTTGTGCGATGTTCTCAATTAAATGGCCTTATTCAGCTCTCATTATGTTGACTACCTAAACACCCCTATCCCCTATCATTCATGCATTTTTGATGATCCTAATAGGAAGAATGCACCGATTCTCCTTATTACTCAATACATTCGGCTCGAACCCATAGGTAGCCAATATACTGCGATAGAACGCAGAAGATTCGTCTCGCGAAAGACATAGTTTACACAGACCGAGAATATCGATTGCGCTCGGAGAATGCCAAATCGGAGCTTTGCTTATGAGCGGTTATCTGTTCCCATCAGTCAGCTAAATATATAACCAAGAATAGTGGAAGATTACAATAGGAGAGCTTGTTCATCTTATCTTACATTCACCATTTCCCTTCCCAAGTCACATTTCGTCATATTGAACGACGATAATTATATCACCAGGACTTTCGGTACTGATAAAATGCGGCATAGGCCGAGGCAAAAAGAACGATCCACCGTAATAACGCACCTTTAACAGAGGGTCCACCAAGTCCAAAGATAAGCCAGAACCAGTAGCGGGGCCCGGAGATGAGCTTGCCGTTGCGATCGAAGTTGGGCTTGGAGCTGGTCATCCAAATGTGGCGCTTGAAGTCGGTCGGTGAGAAGGGCGAGTAGCGCACGCGTAGAAGCTGGTCCATCCAACCAGGTACCTCAACGACGGTACGTAGATGTGTGAATGTGTCAAAAGACGATTTGCCGTGGTATGCGCCGGTACCGGATTGACCAACACCACCGAAAGGTAGTGTAGCAATGGCACCGTGCATCCAGGCGTCGTTGATGGTAGCACCACCCGAGGTTACTTGGCTAAGGACTTCGGATATTGTTAGCAAAGTTTGGTCTTTGGGGATAAAAGTAGTAATCTAGGCTCTTACTTTTCTCGTTCTCGGCTTTCGATCCAAAGGTTGTAAGTGCGAGAGGGGTGGGGTCGACCTGGTTCATAATCTTGATGGCGTCATCCAAAGTATCATACGGCAGAATAGACCAGACAGGTCCGAAGGATTCCTCCTTTATTGCAGGGTCGTCGACGGAGTCTACGAGGATGACAGACGGCGCAATGTAAAGATCGGATTTATCTGTCTCTCCGCCCAATACGATCTTGCCGTTAGTAGTGTCGAGAATATTCTTTATGCGATTGAATTGGCGCTCGTTGACTATGCGCGCATAATCCGTAGTCGTCTTGGCTCCATTAGGGTAGAATTCCTTGTAGCTCGCCTGAAGTTGCTTAACGAAGTCGTCGACTATGTCCCTCTGCACAAGCACATAATTCTGAGACAAGCACACTTGGCCAGCATTGATCGTCTTACCCCATAGCAGACGTCTAGCAGATAGTGCCAAATTGGTAGACTTGGAAACAAATGAGGGGTTCAGCCCGCCGAGTTCGTGAACAACCGGTGTCAGGGTTTCAGCCGCTTTCTTTGCAATGATTTTCGCAACAGTTGCACCTCCGGTGTAAAAGATCTTGTCCCACTTTTGATCCAGTAGTGCCGTAGTCTCGGGTACCGCACCGTTAACGACGAAGAAGCATGACGGATCGAGGTAATTCTCGACTAACTCCTTCACAACCATCGCGGTAGCAGGAGAATTCTCAGACGGTTTCACGATAGCAGTGCAGCCTGCCGCAATAGCACCAATGAGGGGTGCAATATTGATCATGAGAGGGAAGTTGTAAGGACCGATGATGAGGACCGTGCCCAGCGGTTCCTTTCTGAGACGTGGCTTCAGAGGCGTAAATGTGAAAGGATAATCAACGCTCTTATCATCCTTCGCCCACTCCTTCAGTTTCTTGAGTGTAAGATCAAGATCTTGGAAAAGATGGTGGATTTCGGATAAAATCGAATCATGAGGTGGCTTTCGAAGGTCCTTGTTCATAGCAGCTTGGATCTTCTCAGTATAGTCACGAAGGCCCCAGTAGAGCTTTCGTAGCTGTACAAGTCGCCATTCGACATCTTTTGTCTTCTGAGACTGAAATGAAGCGCGGGCTGTTGCGACGATCTCGGGAATAGTATCAATCGGAGTTGCCTCGAAGGCGGGAACCTTGATATCGGTCGTCATGATAACGAATGGCTGGTGAAATATGATTTGGAGAAAATTATGTAACAGCGAAGAAGCATAAATTATTAGAAGGGGTCTAAGAATTAAACACAAGTTTAATCCTTTGAAGTTGCAATGACGAGGTGGTTGTTCTTTCTGGTTTATCAATAGTCTACCAAGGTATGGAGCTCCTACCGCGGTGTGTTACGTGAAGCTACAGGGGCTGGTAACATTTCCGAGGTACTTGCCTTTCCCGTCTTAGCTAGCTCCTGCATCCACCGCTGTCAATTAGTAGCACATGCATTGCACCTTACCGAATTGGCACTTTGGCGTCTGGCACGGCATTCGCGGGGTCCGATCTATGTATGTACGCACCGATCTATATACGCACCGTTAAGATCAATCTATAGACTGTACAAAAATACTGTACTAAGTACCAATGTATCTATTTGTGCACAGATCATTTTGGTTTGCCCTATCGCCGTGCCGAGCCCCACTTCATTTTTGATACACCAAAAAGTTCTGTCAAAATTTATTGAACTTTTTTCTTTTCTTCCTTCCATCAACGAACGCTCTTGTCGCAAGCAATATTCCACTACAACCACCTCAATCTCCAGGCGCAGGATTCGACCTCTTTGCGTCCTCAATTAAAATCAGAAGCAATGGCTCCCTCCACAGTATGTATCACTTGACATCGCTTTGCTGTTGGCCCAGTCTCCCTGGTACTCAGCGAGATCATGGCGTGAAGCAGTAGGCTAAGGTCAATTTTTCAATCGTGTAGAAGAAGTCCGGCAAGCAGGCTAAGACGACCAAGAAGGTAAGATATCCCCATTTAATTAAATTGAAACAAATATTTACATGCTCTAGTTCGTCATCAACGCCCAGCAGCCCGCTAGCGACAAGATCTTCGACACTGCCGCCTTCGAGAAGTTCCTTCAGGACAAGATCAAGGTTGAAGGCCGCACCGGTAACCTCGGCGACAACATCGTCATCCAACAAGCTGGCGAGGGAAAAATCGAGATCATTGCGCATAACGAGCTCTCTGGCCGATACCTCAAGTACCTGTAAGTACTCAATTGTGTCGCTTAGATTGGACTTGAGGAATACTAATTGTATATGCATCTAGTACCAAGAAGTTCCTCAAGAAGATGCAGCTCCGTGACTGGCTCCGTGTCGTCTCTACTTCCAAGGGTGTTTACGAACTCAAGTTCTTCAACGTCGTTAACGACGAGGCTGATGAAGATGAGGATTAAACGAGCATGCGATCATGACAAATGGGTAAAACTGGTGGCGGTGCATGGGTTCGGCGTGGAAAAGGTACTTCTACGCTATCAAGGATAGACTTGAGTTCTCAGGAATGAAATTCACCCATGCAAATGATTTTTCTGTCTTTCTCTAAATGTGATTCGTCGTATCCATGCGAATCGTACGATCGTAATCGCACAACTCTGTTCAATGGCAATATATGTTTTTTATGGCAATACCCTCATAACGCCTTCGAATGCCACCAAAGCCATGGCATTGGCCGGAAATGCTCTCAAGAAACATGGCAAAAATCCTCTCCAATACCCCTTAGCACCACCCTCCGCGTATACAGCCCGCGCTGCCTGCCACCAATTCTTGAACCTTGGCGTCCCATCATTAATCTTTCCACCCAGCGGATCCGTCATAATACGTTGTTTCACAACGTCGCTTGGATAGGACGTTATCCAGAAGACCTGCGCGCTAAGTCCACCAGCCCAGAAATTAATAACCGGAGCACTGAGATTCGTCTTATCCCTCAAGATGCGTGAGAAAATATCGTAAGATCCCCACCAGAAGAAGAAAAACGAGCGGAAGAGCAGCGTAGCGGGAAGGCCTCGATAGATACCGGGTATACCGTGAGATTTGTAGATCTTGTGAACGCAATCTAAAGGTCCTGAATACAGTCGCTCGGATTTGCGTGCTGAGTACTGGATCTGTAGACGCGCTTTGACATGTTCAACGGGCGCTGCGATGAAGCTCACCGTACAGCCGGCCATGATACCTGCGATTCCGTGTCCGTATGACGGTAAGTGCGCCGCGGCATGCGAAGTCGCAGCAATAGGTCCCTCGGTCTCAGGTTTTATCTTACCCCCTGTTGTCGGGGCGTTATGAGGTGTCAATCGGTCGTAAAAGACATGCTCTGCGAGTAATCGACGGTATACAGTCAGCGAACCCAGCATGACCGAGTCCATAAACATCCAGCCGACCAAAGGCGGAGTGGCGCCTTTATACAACCCCCGCACACCCTCGTTGCGAACCGTCTGTAAGACACATTGCAGTGGTCCGCTGAAACGCGTCGCGTCTGTGGTCTGCAGACGTACTTTGATGGTGTCGAAGGGGTGGCCGACCGTCAGCTTAGTGACACCGGAAAAGACGCCAGCGACGAAGCCCTTGTAGTCCCTGCTGCGTGCGGGCGTCTGCTTCTGGTCGGCCGCCATTATTAATTGGTGTTTGATGACTATGTGGCGTGCTACATTGGGGGTAAGGGAGGGAGGGTGACTGTATTGCTTTTGTGACACGGGAAAGGGCGGTGATGTTGGAGGATGTAAAAGTATTGGACGAATTATTTTTTGCGGATAGCTAAGCTTTCGGGTTCGTTCCGGGGGGGTGGGTGCCGAGATCGGCGACCGGGTTCTAGGTTTTGAGTTTAAACTCCGGCGAGTCTTCACGGTCCGTGCCGTGTCTACGAAATCTTAACTCCGACTTCGATTTTAATATTATATTCTTGGTTCCTTAAAGATTATTATTTCTCTTCTCATACACATCCCCTTACCCCCTTCCCCCCCATTCCTGCCACAACGTGAATACCCTCGTATCAACCATGCCATGTCAAGTCACAACCTGGTAGTCCAGCATATCCCAATGGATAATCTCAACACCAAAATAGGATGCGTTATTATTTCTCAAAAACACCACAACATCCTTACATACCTGCACCCATAAATCCTCATCCTCGGTACTATAGTCACGACCGTTCTCATTCCAAGCTACTGCCATAATAGTCGGCACGGCAGCTGTGTCACGCCCCTTGATACGTCTATAAGCTCCCTCAAATTTGATAGACCATTTCTCCTGCAACTCTGGTTTTGATCCTAAAAGGCCATCCTTCCCCTTGAGCTCTTTGAGAGTAGCCTCGGGTTCGCCTGTCAAGTTCCGCGTTCCGTCTTGTGGACACCACAGCTCGAGTTCCGGATAGCACACTCTCTTCTGTTCCATATTGGGACATGGCTTGATCTCCGTTGTCATCCAGGCCTCCTTCCTACCCAAGGTAGCTAGCCTGTTGACATTGAGGGGGAAAGTTTGCGCTTTTTCGAGCATTGTAGTGAGTAGTTTTTTCCGTACATACCTAAGTAGGTAATAGACGGTGGTGGAGTTAGGATCGTGCAAATACGGCAGCCTTGAGGTACTGAGTAATCGCCTGGGCTATTAAAGGACCTACATAATAAAAAGCGAAATTGCTCAAGTTATAAAATGGAAATATTTATGAGTAAGCCTTAAGGAGAGGTTGGGGACCAGTCACGCTGACGCAGATGGCCGGAAATAACCACCAATATTTCTCACCGCCAATAATATAATAGCCTTTTCAGCCAGCCCCTATTCATTGAAGGTCACCCCATACGTGTATACCCTTACATAAATTACTTCGTCAGCTAACACCGTCATCTTGACACCTTCTCCTTTTGCATTTACCTCCTCCCTCATTGGCTAAATCATACTAAAATTCTATCGATCATACGGATAGGTACAGATTACCTATAGCAAACCGACCAGTCCCATAAAAAATAGCAAATTAGGTATGCAAACCATACTATGTAGTTCGTAGTGACAGTCAGCTAACATACCTAAGACTTCCCGATGTGGGTTCGTTCCCAATGCCACCGAAGTGTGGGGCTATTTTTTTTCCTAGCGTATAAACGGTCCAGAAGATATTAGTTTGAGGGACATGTAAAAGTTAAGACGCATGTTTACTCCCTATAATAATTCCCGTGATATACTGTATGAGGCCGATCCTATTTTGATTCAAGCGCGCCTCCAGGCTTGGATGAAGCTGTGAACCTCCTCTACTCATTTCAAGAAGAGGAAGAGAGGTCTAAACTAATAGCCAAAAAAGTAAACTAGGGCGTATTTCGGTGACTCTATACCTTAGGCCCTAAATGGATACCGCATAATGCCTTATAGAGGATCCGTTGACGAGAGAAAAATTTCTAGCAGACTCCACCATCAAAATTGACCACCCTGGGGCTCGAACCCAGAATCTCCTGATAACTAACCGATCATGTTATACATACTCGATCGTAGTCAGACGCCTTTCCAATTGGGCCAAGCAGCCTTTATGTTGTGCGTGGAGGTTCATTATAGCTAGATTGGTAGATAACTGATTGGCGGGTCCTTCTAAAATATCCAGTATACGACCTCATCAGTCGGTAGTCCTGTTTGTGTTTGTAGGTGGATCGGTTATAAACCATCAACCAACTTTCCTCTATTCATAGCCAAAACCTTTGCTTCCGAACTTGTAAGTCATTCGACATTCCAATATAGACGAACTACAGGATCTCCAAACTTGGTTCCGTAGCACCACCATTCGTAACGTATGAAGGCCAGTCGTCTGTGTTAGTAGTGTAGCATAAACCCGGAATACTGATTTGAACGGAGATTTTTTCTTGAAGCTTAACAAATCGTTCCCTGAAATCTCCAGAGTTCCAATTCACATAAAATGGAGGCGGCGGCGTCAAGCAATTGACTGTCAGAGGTATGAATGGATTGTCTCTTGCGTAGGCCTTCTTCAATTCCATGTAATAGTGCCAGAATTCCCGTCGCCCATGTACAAACCGCTCGGCCACAGATTCCGAAGAGACATTTACGAACTTAATTTTGGGGATTTTCCAACGAGCGCCGGCCCTTTTTCTCTGCCATTTAAACTCTAACTTGATGCTTCTTGCGCAATCTTCGAAATAGGCCCCGGTAGGTACTATCTTATCCTGGTGCTTGATAATATTGTCGATTCCATCTAATGACACACTCCGCTCATAATCGTATGGCCCCTCGTTGAAGAAAGCTGCAGCTACTTCGTCGATTTCTTCGGCAGGGAAGCAACTCCAGAATCGTCCAGGGTCATACTTGTTGTGGTTATCCCTAGCCGTAGAGTGATACCACGAATTAAAGTCGTTCGTATCCCAGCGCTCGACGAACATTTCCTCGAGGTTCGGCATTATTCGCAAGAGAGTCTCGGTTGTATCCAGTACGCGAAAGTGGACCCATCTACCCCCAGGTAAAACGAGACGTTTAACCCGTTGCAAATCTGTAGATAGGAATTGTCCAAGAATATTCCAGTAGGAATGCCACAGTGTACCATCATAGTCTATATATCCTGGTCCCGTGTCGTTGAAGGGTTGATGACGCTCGCGAAGATATAATCTGTCGCGATCGAAGTGAAACCATGTACGTGGTCCCTGTGTGCGCGTAGCAAACGAGAGCCGATATCCAAAATCCATCAGAAATTGGCGAGACTCAACGCACATATGCAATAGCGCCGGGATTGGGGCTTCGCTATAGAGATAGCTGTCTCGAATGAGATTAAAGGCCACATCTAGGTGATTCTCGAGCCAGTGGAGTGGAATTTCCGGTATCTCATCCGTAGGTGTCCATGGCTGGCGCAGGGCATTTTTAGAGGTAAATCCGTACGGCTCTAGGAGTGCTTGGCTATTTTCTCTTCCTCGTACTGGTATGCGATGTCTCCAACTGTGAGCAAAATACGCGAGGTCGGGATGCAACTTAGTCTGAAGCATTTCGGTTCCATATCGTTCCAAAAACTTGTCACGAGCATATACGAGCTTAAATTCTTCATATTCCCCAACGTCAAGGCCGCTCTCCTGCCATTCTTCCATAAACTCGTCTTGGTCCTCGAAATTCCAAGATTCCCGCACGTCAACAATTCGAGGCGGTGTAGCTAAGATGTATATTTCTCGTCGCAGTTCGAACGGCAAATGAGGGAAAAGATGGAAGATTGGCGCTTCGGAAGACATATTATTTATTTCATAGATAAAAAAAAAACTAGTACAACAACTTTATAGAAAGGGCTTAATCGCAAATGAGTTAATACATGGTTAGGTTGCTTGAGGGAGGTTGTGTTGCATCCTTGGTGGCCTAATATGGAGTATGGGGTATGGATACGTACGTGGCAGCTTCTGGTCCTTGCTCACAAATTCAGGAGTCAGGGGTATGAAGTTATCTCCAAAACTTCAATTCAAACAATAGCTGTGTGAAACGATTGCTCTGAATAATGTCTCGCCCTTTTTAGTATGACGATATTAGGCCCTTGTGTAGTGGTGAGAGTTGATGAAGTCCAGACGCAGGCCTGAGGAGAATTATCGCGTAGAGTCGTAGGCTACCTAGCTGCCTACTCAGGTGCAGGCGTCGAAAAGGCGAACCGACGTAGTTACCTATCTACCATAGTGCGAAAGAGCATGGACCACAACTATTTGATGTCTGCCTTTGAAAATTTCCACTGTCTTATAGGAAAGTGCTTCTCGCGACCCCATCCAGTTGGGTGGCTGTGTGTGCAACGAGTCCAGTAGATTCCCTTCTCTCGCAAACATATTATCTAGTGAATTGACCAAGATGCTTCCTTGCGAGCACCTGCCGTAGACACTTCGTGTTTCCGCCGAGTTTTGCGCGGAAACAAATGTATGTCGAGTCACTCAGGTGACTAGATGGTGCGGACGCAGAATATACATGACCAAGAGCTGGACAATGCATCATTCGTGAACAATAAACACCGTGGGTTATCAATAAAGCAGCTATAAATTATTAACCAAGACATTGTATTTAGTTGCACAGCCAATATTTTCCGCCTGCGTATATAGGACTTGTCGCAGACTTACCCTAGGTATTTAACGGACACCCCCTATCGGTTAAACACTTGCTCGAAACTCGGTACTACTAATAGCAACATAGTTGACGGCCTCACCATAATCAGAAAAATGAATCCTCTCCACGACCTTAAACGCGATATTGCGGAAGCCATCCGCATTTTCTGGGGACCATGTCAGGGTCTTAAAGTAACCAGCGGAATCAAATCAGCCGGCGAACTTCCACACAAGTTCTACTGGGAAAAAGTCGATCCGAATGAAGTTATTCCCCGAGGAACACCTGAATGGGACGAAGCTCAGTGGAAGATGTCCTCACCTATTATTTACATTGACCTCTCTAAGGTCAACAATCGTCCGGCTCTTGGCTACGATGTCAATGACATGATGAAAGGAGTAGAGGGTGTTATCGACGAATACATTAAGATATTCGACAACGGTAACGAGTCCTACCCGGCGGGGATGGGTTGCGACCCCCGGATGTATCTCGTCATCTTCAAGCCGTACAATGTCCACTTTGGGCCAAAGGTTGCTAGCATGTGCTTGCCTCCAACACACTCCAACGGCTATGACCCAAACCGACCTATAAGTGACCAGAAGTTGGAATCAAAGATGGTGTTCCTGCCTGTGAAAGACGGAAACGATCGAACGGAATGGGAGGCGAAATGGAACGAGTGGAGAACAATCCGAGATACTCAACATTTCACACCGGCGTCAATTGGGACTCTGTCGAAAGTGAAGAATTACCTTAAGAGGTACATTCATTAGAGAATCGTATAGGATGGATCCGACTTGTAGACCTAACCCCGGGGAGAACATGGATGGACTCTAAGGAGCCAATACAAGTTACTTCCAACCACAAGGATATAGTCATACCCAATATATTTTATTGATAAATCATTCCCTGGTGCGAGTATTATGTTGCTGAGAACTCTTCTGAAACGTAGAGCCTAAGAAATAAGAATCATCAAGAGAGGGGACCCCCCCACCAATACCACCTATCGCAATTGTGGCTGTCGATTCGGGGAGGTAGATAGGCGATTACATGATATCCGAGACCGAAATCGCAATTGCGGAAAACCACCGGAAGCCAAGTCAATATTCCCAGACGCCACTTACTACAATATCATGGTGGATCGACATTAGGTACCTAGATACCTGTACGTATTTCAGGGGATATTGCTAACGAACACCACCATGACGGCAGCAAACCTGCATACAACGTAAGAACCCGAAAACGTAAAAATCTAAATCAAGATTATGATCACTTACGCCGACGTAGCGGCAAAAATATCATGCCGTCTTGCTTGGGTGATAAGTGCTACTATGGACCCAAATAGGACAGTAAAGATGGAAATAACGCCAAGCCTCGCCCCACGGTTAGGGACAATGAATAACACCGCCGTCGGAATTAATAAAGTGCTACACGCCACCGTCGTTAAGATTATTCGAGCAACCACTCGGCGTCGCCGGATGGAGTAGAAATGGAGATCCGGGTCAGACGACTGTCGGCGTTCTCTCTGAATAAACGTCAACGAATACAACCACGCGGCACAATATATACCTAGGTACCTACCTCAGTTTTAAGAAGCTGTGTACCACTTAGTTAACGGGTTGCGGGGGAGGCTGAGCACCATACCCCATCATCGATGCCAGACTTGCGAGCCAATATCTCCACCAGCTCCTCGAGGTACCCTTCTTCAACTTTATGAGGGGGGGAAACAAAATCCGTTGACTGGATAAATTTCGCTTCGGGTTCTATCAACGGTTTCGTGAAATTCATCCAACCTCGGAAGCTTTGCAAGCTCCGTGGAGTGGGTTCATGGTAGGCATATTGTTTGAAAAAGCGGTCGAGATCATCATCTAGGAACTATTAGCCTCAATAAATCCATCCAAATGCCTGGGGAAAAGGCCACAAAGTGCTCATTTCAACCATATTCTCTTAATTTTGTTTTTATCTCTCGAATCACTGTCTGCCTCTCGCTATTTTCATCGTATACGCGAGAACTTAAATACAGCTGTGTTCTCTCCTTTTCATCGATATCGTGCAGCTGTTCTTCCAAATAGCAGATCTCGTCCTGTGCAAGAAGGAGAGTCCTGACATGAAGAAGTGCGAAACGTCGAAACATGGTGAATGTCGGGTCGCTGCTTTGTAGGGCGGCCATTCTAGGATAACCTCTAGGGTAGTCTTCAACTAAGCCCAGGGACCTATATAAGTCGAATCCAACCATATATCGTAAAACGTGTTATGACTCACTCTGCTTTGGAACATGGCTACCTACTTGGGATTCCTCGTCTCTGGGAAGGCCGGTGTTACTAGTAGCAGGCAGCCTCGATCTCAGTATCGGGTAGGCCAGGAAAGAGGCAGTAGCACGCAGAATGGAAAACGAAGACATATCTTATGAGGATAGGTAAGCGACAATTGGGAACATCAATATATCGACGTTATCTCTCGAGAGAAGGGTTCAAGTTTACAGGTATAGCCCATTCACTGCCAAATCATTCAATTGCTTACATCTGAACCCAGTCTCTTAAAAGTCGACTTGAGCATTGCCTTATTGCGCAGCAATAGGCGTAAGGCTGCTCTGTGCTCCCTCAACCCCGCCTAAAATCTCTGCAATTTTGCTTTGGGAATTTCCGTGCAGGTTTGGCCAGTAGAATCGAGTTTAATGGTGTAGGTCTCATTCCCGTCATGGCTGATCACTGTGTAAGGACCTTCCAAATTTGTCGCGCCGGGCGGCGAGTACCAGACTTTATCGTTCTTCTGGAAAAATGATATAGAAACGTACTATGAATTGAATTAGAGATGTAGAGCCCACTATTATAGACGTATTCAATTGCCTCTATATTAGAATCTCCATGTGATCCAAAGGCTCTCCACTCATCTTCCGGCGGCAAGTCGTGCCCTGTCTCGCTCTGTACAGTTTATTAGTAAATCGTACAATTCAGTTATACTTTCGACGCTACATACCTGCTGCCGATCGCTCATTTCGAAACGTTAGAGTCTATGAACTTTTTCTCTTTGTATTTTTATTTAATTCTATCTCCGATAAAAGAAATAGATGAATGGAAATCTACCCCTCCGTAACATCCAGAGTGATATTTTGGTCTTTTTTTCATAAACCAAGACTTATCCATCAAGTCATCCCACTTATGAAATTTATGCATTCTAACCACCTAAGTAACTCCGAAAGTCCGACGGAGCACAATAGTCTTTGTGAAATACAACTGTACCTAGGTACATACATAATGTAGTTTTCAACTTTAGCGTAAGTCGCGATTCTTTCTCAACCTATCCATGACAAGTCTTTGAAAAGACTCTGCTAAACGTGACTGAGCCTTGTCATCAATCTCCGGCTCGCATTCAGACTTCAAGCAAGCCAAAACTGCTTCTTGGTAGTCTTCGCCCATGTAGTGCGGCAGGCGTTTCTCGGCAGCGTATTGTAGGTTACGGACCATTTTATCCACCATAATATCATTGTCCTTCTTCATACCAGTGATACGCACGTCTTCCCACAGGCCAATTTCTAGAAGGACCACGCCAAGGGAGTATATGTCATGAATTTTAGTATGACCTTGGCGACACGGTCCCTGTCTATCAGGATGCCTGTATACGTTGTACTGAATATCATCCACGTGTCTTCCAATTGAAGGTTCTTGCTTCGGGCGCGCATAGTCAAATCGTTGAAGAAAACAATTTCCGAAGTCAATCTTGGACTGTAGATCCTCGAAGAAAATAATATTGTGCGATGTGATGCTTTGATGCACCCATTGCACAGAATGCCAGTGAAGGACGGCCTCTGCTATTGTATAGGCCAGACGGAATCTCTGTCCGAGCGTCGGCCGTTTCTTCGTGCCTTCCGCTAAGATACCTTTGAGTGACCAGTACCGTGTTGGATTATGGGTGGGTGGCACCTGGAATTCAAGGATAAATCTATGCTCTTTATCATCGTGAGACCATCTGATACATTCTAGCGCATGGAATTTCTCGCTTTTGGTTGCTTCCATGAGGTTCGCTATACGACGGACACGCTGCTCGATTTGCATCAACTCTTCTTGGTCCAACGACTGCTTATAACCTTTCTCTTCCTTCCAAATATGTCTCTCATCATGCAGCGATTTTGTCGAGTGCTCTGGTTCATCAACGTTATCCTCTTCCGGACGGAGTGTAAGTTGCAGAAGGCGCAGTTGGTTCGCAATTGGAAGGGCTCCTATTTCCGGAGTTTCGAGCAAGTGATCTACACCCTTTTGGCTTTCCGCGTAAGGTGAATGCAATATACCTTGTTCGACAGATTCTAAGAGGTCTGTTTCTTCTTCTTCTAGTCGGGACAGGAACCTTCGGGCTTGGCTCTCCAATACACGTAATAGGCTTTGCGTTCTGGGGAACTGCTGGCGACCGTGCCCGTACAGCACGACAAGCTCACAGATATTATTCCATGCAGTGACAATACGCGAGAGTGAATCTTCACTTAAAGCTCTCCCAACAGGTTTGTCGGTATCAGGAAAGCTCGTTATGAGAGACTGAAGGGAACCCATGATGCCGGTGATGCTCTCAACCTCTAACGACACGTCCGATGGTATATCTGAACGCAACCATATAGCAAGCTCATCGATCTTGTTATGATCCAGACTAGAGGTTTTGATTAAGAGCTTTATGAGAGGTCCTTTTGTATCTAGTTGTTGTGCGATGTTCTGCTGAAGGTGCAGTGGGTATAGCCTAATACTTCTATTTGGGATACCGGCGCGAAGAACCACGTGGCTAGCGGTAGCCGGTAGGTTTGCCTCCTTTCGTAGCAGCCGCCGATGCAAGGTCTCAGCGGTAATATCTTCGCGATCCGTTTGGGAAATGTTATCCAAAGACTGCTTAAGTACGTTGATCACAGCATTAGTGAAAGAGTAGAGACCAGGTGGTGGTGTCTTCTCAAATTTTGCTGTAGCCGAGATAAGTTCAATGCGGCCTAATCTGGACCCCGCCCGTCCAGCTGAAGCACCAAAGCAGCAATCAAGAATAAGCAGAATGTCTGCTTCCGACTTCTCAAGGTGGTTTTGTATGATATGCCACTCTACAAGCGGTTGTTCTCCGTCTCCTATCGGCTCCCTAGAACACGTGAGTCAGGTAAACGGCCCGTGGATACAGAACTTACGCAGCCCAGACTGCTCTGCAATCCTTGGTTTCAAAACCGTGACCTCCATAATGCAATATTAAGAGGGATTTCCCGGTTCCTTCGGACCTCCTTGCGCTTGCTGCCGCCACCTTACTCAGGATATGACTCTCTAATAACAACTGCGACCCCTTTAGCGGAATCCTGAATTCATCTATCTCGTACCCAAACTTTGCGAAAACATTGCCCAGGCTGAGACCTTCTTCATGGTACTTCCGACTATTCACGCTATCTCCATCCCAGGAAAGAAGCGATGCTTGGACATGCTTATAGTATGAGGTGGGGCTAGCACCTTTCAGGTCACTGTTGAGCTTCTTGAGAAGATCCGCGCCAACAATCTCCTGTGCCATGTCAATGAGAGCCGATTGGGGCTATCATATTCCCGCGTGGATGTTTATTGATAATAATGTAAGAATGTTGAGGTTTGTGTATCACATCTCAAAGGTTCCGTGCCCAACCACCTAAGTGGTAGGATGTCGTGTAACACACCTATTTCGGCCCATTCATACTCCGTTCCGCGAAATCAATAGGCGAGCGAGCGCCCGGGCGGATGCCGAACTCCAACAGTCTCAAGCTTGCTTTCCCACGCACTTTTACAACCATTGTGTTGTTTACCTCAACCTCGAATACACATCATTGATGGGACCTTGGGGACATTTCTTAGAAACACCCTCTTTGGGCTTCTGTACTAAACAATGCCGGGAAGATCCGATACCTCTTCAGATTCGAGCTCTTTGACCCGCCCTTCTCGTCTCGATACGCTGACGGCGTCTCGATCGAGCCTCGCTGGAGGCGATTTTACACTAGATAAATTAATGAACTATCTCAGGGCGGCCGACATATATGGACCGATCCAAACTCAGGATTGTGATATTGGGTCAAGATCTCTTGGCAAGGGTGCGCAGTTTGAAGTCTTTGGGCGGAGAGCGATGGTCGTAGGAATGAACCTCGAATTCGATGGCCCTTTTGTCGCAGATAGGAGGCCCTCTTGGCTCTCCAATGAAGTTGTCTTTAGATCTAAGAAAACACAAATTCCTATGGAGGGGACACGCGTCGAGTTAGTCGCCATCAAGCGAGCGCTGCTAGCAACGACGGGGTTTCAGTCCCCTCTTCAATCATCGTCCCATGATACCGGGGCAAGCAGAAGACAGATCCGTGATTCTATATTCGAAGTCTTGGCATTATCACATAGTACTCTCCGGAGTCATCCTAATATCGTAACAATTATCGCATGGGGATACGATAGTCGTAAAAGCAACGAGATGCTCTTCTCCCCCACCCTATTCATGGAGCATGCGAATATGTCTCTCGCGGAATGCTGTAAAGGATTCGGTGTCCCTTTTAATGTCAAAATCCACTTGAGTCGAGGACTTGTCGCTGGCCTAGCCGCACTGCACCAATGTGGTGTTATACATGGCGATATCAAGCCTTCCAACGTCCTCGTATTCGCTTCAAAGCAAACTGAACACGGCTGCATGGCGAAGTTAGCAGATTTCGGGTGCTCTGTTTCTGAGTTGGAAGTTGATGGTGAACCGATTCTGCCTTTGGGGACACAGGGTTGGCGGGCGCCCGAACAGGGGTGCAGAGCGGTGCAACCGGGCATGGCAGAGCGGTGCGATATTTGGGCTTGTGCAAGAACTATATGGAGTGCAATAGCCTTCGAAGGCGACGTACCACCCGATGCCACTCCGAATTTCAATGTTATTTGCACAAAGTTCCCACAAGCATTAATTCCCACCGCATTCATCGAGGATCTCTGCGTTGAACTCGGACATATGTTGACGATTGACTTTCGAAATCGCACCCAAGATCTCAGCGAGATCAAATCTATCTTAGCTAAGGAATTTTGCACAGAACCAGGGGATAGTCTCGAGAGGTAAGTCAGTTGGCAGCACCCTCCATCACACATAACTAATCAGTGCCGTAGATTTCTTACGTTCTTCTGTGGCGGCTTGGCTTCGGACGATATTGTCAAGCTTGAGGATAAGTCGCTCACAGCCCTTCCTATGATTCGTTCGGAATTTGACACGAATGCGTCATTCTTAGAGAAGTCTCGTCGCAACCGGAAGAGTTGGGCATACGAATCCCGAAGGGCCTTCGATTTTGCATCCAGAGACTCAGCCTTACTAAGACAGCTTAGTTCGGAGTCAATCGCGACATCCGAATTGTTTACCATCGCCATAGCATATGCACTCCAAGGGAAGCCGGGACAAGAAATTGATACCTTATACAAGTGTGCCGAGGGGGGATATCTCCCGGCCCTTGCTCTTTACGCCCAGATCTCTTCAGGGCGTCGTCGTCTTTCCGGAAGTCTTGGGGTTCAATCGCCTCGGCAAGGCAAGACAGAATGGATTACTACAGGAGTAGAATCTGGATACCTATTTCCGCCTCAAGACTGGTTGGATGCCGACGCTGGTCGTTTGAATGCGGCTTGGGAGGTCTTTCGCTACCGAGGTGGCTACAACGTTCACTACAGCGCCCAGATTGATACGCCCATGAAAAATGAGGTGCCATTGGGGTCCGGTTTGCTAGGTGACTTAGAGGAAGACCTTAAAGATTTCGCTATACATGCAGCAGCAGCCAAGAATGAGTTGAAACCAACAGGATTAACCTGCTTGCTTGATATCAAGAGTAATTTGGACAAGCGGGACAGGGGCAACGATACGCCAATTATCAAATGCTGTATGGCGGGTCATATTGAATCTCTCAGAGCTTTAATCAATGCCGGTGCTGATGCAAGTGTGACTAATAGTGTCTCGGGGGTCTCTGCGCTGCATTGGCTTTTTGTTTTCCCTGATGAATATGTAGAAGAAGCTTGTCTGTTGCTACAAAGGGGAGGTCTTTCGCTTCAGAACCCCAGCCAAGTTTCAGCATTGGAAAGCTTCCATTTCCCGTTCGCATGGCCAAGCGGCGCTCCATTGCACTGGGCCGCTTTCACTGGAAACTTAAAGGCTGTTGAGATCCTAGTGGAAAAGGGTGTAGACTTAGAGATTCAGGACGCCGCCCATCAAACAAGTTTACATATCGCGATGAAGATGGGGAACTGCAAAGTGACTAATCTATTGCTACGCCTTGGAGCGAAGCTTTCCGGGCCCCCCAATCGAAATCGCAGCTCGTTTGTGCACGACTTTTTATGGTCGGGGCTTGAGTTAGGGGCAGATTCGGAAATGGAGGACTGGGATGCAGGAACAGTTTACATTCCACCAGAATACGACATCATGGTCTTTAAAGGCGATTTCTCAGCAACTAACGCAGAAAATATGATTCATACGCTTTTGGAACACCAGCCTCGGTGCTTAGAGTGGAGAGACTCGCGGGGCTGGACATGTTTGAACTATCTGGTTGGATTTGGCCATGCAAGCTTGGAGACTCTGAAGTTAATTATTGAGAGATCACCTCACGTCGATGACATAGGACCCGATGATGTATCGGTCTGGATACATGCGTTCCTGCCAACATTCAGTCCTCGCGATGGGTCATTCACGCGTGACGATATCTGCCTCTGCGAACGGATCAGGATGCTGCTTGATCCTTTGACTGCTGATGAAAAGAGGAAGTTCATCAATAGAGTCGAACCAACATTGCCTATGAATCACGAAGCATTTTCTGGAAACGAATTGGAGGATCTTCGAGGAAGTAGGTGGCTATACTAAGTCGGAGAGAATTGTTACTAATGAATACAGGAGCCAAAAGGACACCACTTCACTGCGCTGCTGCCTTTGGCTTTGCATCATGCGCCGAACTACTGCTTGATTTCGGTGCCGATACCTCTTCTAGGGATGGTGGCGGAATGACTCCACTAGATATAGTCAAACAAAAATTAGGAACTCCTGGGCAAGGACACCGAGGATTTTTAGATCCCGCTATACCAGGAAATGTGGCATCTGGTGAGTACGTTTAATAACAAATCACGGACGTAGCTAACGGCGGAGCAAATTACTAGAACTAGCAATGGAAGAATTGACCAAGAAGCAGGTGGAAGTCTATGACCACCGCTTGCCTGGGTGGGAGAAGATTTTAAATCTGATACAGCCTCATGATGAAGCAGCATATTGATAATAAGCATTTGTATAGAGGAGGCAGAACAAGCAGAAAGGTACTTAGGTACCACGCACCGCTCTCAGGGGTTGGTAGGCGCACTATGCTAAACGTGTGGGTTTGCATTATATAGGTATGTAGAGAGTGGGTAATAGCCATAAATTTGAGTAGTTATCATAACTGATTAGGTGCCTAGGTTCCTTCCCGGATAGTGCGAAAGATCGTGGGTGTTCGCGTCGTAGGCCTAGGTAGGGAAGGTACCTGGTCAAAGCTAGCTGCAAAACCCAGTGCACATGTGTTACGGGCGTTTGCTCTTGGTTGCCCTGATCAGTTTGCAGTAAAAGGTTTTTTTCTCGGCGTTCAACGTGAAGAATACTTTTCTATTTAGACCAGCTGGTATCTGCCATTTCACCCTTCCTCTCCCACTTCATCCTTCCAACTAAATTCTTCATCAATACCACGACACGATCGTACTTTAAGCAAGACACACGCAAAGGATACGAGGAGTATTAATCATTCAACATCGCGTACCACTATGTCGGACGACGACGTCGAGATGTGACAAAGGCATTGGGATATTTACATGGAAAGGGTATTTGCCATAATGGTACGTCTTGGAATTATACTCAAGTATTTTATTTCATAGTGCAGACTTACTAATCTGTACTCGATTGATTGTCGATAGACCTCACCCCTGGAAACGTCCTATTCAACTTACAAGACCTACGTCGGTACAACAAAGATGACATGTATAGTTTTTTCGGCCAACCCAAGACTGAACCGGTTAGGACGGTATCCGGAGAGCCTACGGGCCCTGAGACCCGGAGATATATCGTCAAGCCAATCGACTTCCTAGCTTCGAAGGTGAATTTTATCTTGCCCAGCGTTAGTCTAATCGATTTCGACCTATCATTCTTACTCTCCAAGCCGCATAATGAGGCCCCAGGATGCCCTACGATGTACGTTGCACCAGAAGTTGCATTGGGTCGGCCAGCTGGCTTTGCGAGCGACGTTTGGGCGCTAGGTTGCACAATTTACGAGTTATGCCATGCCGTGGAGACCTTTCCCTTGGGGCGAATTCATACTTTTAAGGGCCTTTTCAAAGAAATAACTAAGATGATTGGGTACCCTCCCCAATCTTGGGGGCCTATTCTATTTAACGATTTCGGGTACCCGACGAAGGACCCAGACGAAGGCGAGCCCCTAGATGAAGTCGATGATATGATGTCCATTCGAGAGCTCGTGGAGATGCTCCAAGACCCCTGGCCTGAGGCTAGCCTCAACAATCTCGACGAGTTCCCAGAAGGTTTTCTGGGCATATTCTATAAACCCGCCGCGGCACACGCTATGTCTAAGAAAATGGGCCTCGGGACGGAACATATTACTAGACGAGAAGCGGATCAGCTCACGGACCTCCTTGGACGAATGTTCGTCTACGAGCCAGCGAAACGAGCAAGGGTTGACGAAATTATGGACCATCCTTGGTTTGACTTCGAGAAATTACCGGAAGGCCAGTCCATCATAGGATTACCGGAAGACGAGAACGCGGGTATCTAAGTACAAAGGCGGGATGTGGAAAGGTTAACGACCTCTTACGGGTGCGTCGCCGGTATGCTTTGAGGGGAGGGATTGGAGTTTGAGCATTGAGAAAGGGGTGGCTGACTACGGCGGGCATGAAGAACGAGAATGATCACCATGGACTGCGTTATCTTAGAGGTACCTAGGTAGATCACTTGTTACATAAGCAAGCACGGACCATATGCGGGAAGCTTAGTGTGATACTTAGATATCGTATCGTCCACCAATTAGGTAAGACCTGACAAGCTAATAAAAGGCCATCAATCACGCTGTAAAGTATACCAAGCACAATTGACTGGCGGGTGCCTTCCTTCCCAGCTTATTCCATGTATTACCTATGGGACAAGTATAAGGCTTATTGCGATCTTTCCATAGGTACTTTCGCATCTAGTCTATCAAAAGTACAAGCCTGGCCAAGAAATATTCAGCCCTATGGCGTTTTAGCCGATCACGAAACTTGGTTGGTTCCACTACTAAATGCCGAGTTTACGATCAATTTAGGATTCAACTCTTCTATATTCTAGCATACTTGGTAGGTACTTGAACGATCGTTCACTCCTTATGACATTCATTTTTTAGGTAAAGACTTTATAGATTATTAACCACAGGGCTACCGATCTTAGTCAGAGGAACGAATCTTTTCTTGAAGCTGAACAAGGGGAATCTGCAGCTTGTCGACCCGCCTAGGCGGCGCAGACCAACAATAACCCTGCTGAACTGATAGGTACCCTCCCTTTATTATTATAGAGTGGATAAACAACAGAAGAACAATTCATAATAAACTAAGTCTTAGCTCACGGTTAAAAAGGCAGAAATATCACGCCCTATATTCACTTAAAAGCCTCAAAAGCCTCAAAAGCCGAATTCTTGCGATGCACTATATGATTACGACAATATCAAGTCAAAGTCCGCATGGCATCCCTGAAAGACCGCAAGCTATACTGCATCTGGGCAGATGGAGCCGTCGAATCCTTCGTGCCGCAGAGCACTATCATCCGCAGATCCACTGCATGATGTCAATCCATTGCAAGCAAGGGTTTATCGAACATGGTTAAGAGATTCGACAGAAATAGAACTGACCAATTGCCATTCAACGACCTCCTGTTTGGAAAAAGTCCAGCCCCCAAGGAATCCTGATAAAATACTAATAGCCCACGCGCACCGGCAGCTCTGGAGAGCTGAACACCTACCTCTTCTCCAGCATACCTCGCGATTTTGCTTTGCTCGTCGCGACTGACAATGAATCGGCTACCAGAGACGAATAGCGGTACTGTCACTTCCTGGATCCCGATCCCGACGACACATCCCCATCAACCTGGATGCGAAAGTTCGCTTTGGAAATTCGTCCCAAATACAATCGCCGCTTGGGACCCTGGCTATGGAATCAGTGTTTCGACATCGCCGACATGCCTCCCTAAGCCGGTGACAACATGGTGGTTACAGGACCGGTTCGGCCCCATCGCGGAGACAGTACTTAGCATAGGACCCGTCACATGTCCGCAAGATTACTATACCGCGACGGCGTCGGCTAAAGACTCTTCTAGTACTTTAATAGCATGCTGTCCCATGTGCGTTTTACGATATTCAATCTAGGAGCAGCATATTGACCTCTTGTTCGTAGGGAGTATGACTTCGTGGCCTTTTCCGATCCGGGAAGCACTGGTGAATGCACATCAAAGCTTAAGAAGGGGGACATAGTTACTTTTGCGACGAAAGATTCCGGTTGGCATGTTACCACTTCGACCGTCACAGCAGCTTCAAATGTCGCAGCCATTCCCGTAAATGGTTGGGTGTTTGCTTCCTCGACAAATAGCGCAAATAACTGCGAGGCATCGGTAACCTCAGCATTAGCGAACCAGATGGCGACGGGGAATGCAAGCTGCGAAGCGACCAGTGGTGGAATTTCATCAGGGGCCGCAGCTGGGATTGGAGTCGGTGTATCGATGGGAGTTACTGGACTGGCTGCTCTAGGCGCCGGTCTCTTCATGATGTACAGAACGCGGAAGGTAGCTCGAAGGAAACCCGCCGAGACCCATATCGCCCACTTTGTAAACAGTGGTGGAAAGGGCATGAATACCAGCGCCCAGGCCCTACCGACGTACACATCCGAACTTCGAGACACGCCCAGCCCGCCTGAGAGACCTCAATACCAGCCGATAGAAAGAGACATGTGGGACGCGACGGCACCCTGCTTGCCATCATCGCATTCGCGTACGCCCTCAAATGCGCTATCAAATGCCATAACAGTTCCGCACGGGGAGATGGATGCTACATCCTACCAAGGCATAAGCGAAAGAAGCAGGATGGGAACGCCATACCAAGATATTGACGGTAGAACTTTAGGCGCGAGGACAGTGACACCGTCTCATCAAGATTCCGAGGAAGAAATGAGGAGAAGGATGGAGTTAGAAGGGGAATTCGACCGGAATGTCAAGGTTAACCTAACGTCGCCTTGGGTTACCACAGCTAGACCACCATTCCCGTCATCGACATCGTCATCACAACATTATCATCCCCCGTATTAACCCGAGATGAAATTATTGGTAATACATCAACTTCTCGCCATGCGCGACTAATAAACGATCCATGACGTCTGGTTCATACTCCGTTCCGTCCTAGTGGGTTAGGCACCCAGGTACCCAAACCGAGGATCGGGATTATGCTACGCCGAACTGATGCCACGAAGGACCTCGCATATTCGACAGCGACTTAACTAGTTTACATGGTACTAAAGGATATAGAAAAGGATACACATTTGGACACATAGAGATTTATTCTGTTCAAAATTCGCTGTACATTATTTACACACCAATCCAATCCCCCCCCATAATGAAACCTTACGACGCCCGAACACAAATCTCACGTCGAGAAACTACGAATCGCCCTAACCGCCGAAGTCAACGCCAAAACCAACTGAGATATATCGCAGGGGAGTCTACCTCATGGTGATGTGAAAGATATGACTCTGCGGTTTGACATTGGTGCACCGATACACCTAGCGAGACGTTTCACGACCCATCAAAGAGGCTACACTTTAAGATCAGGAGAACCGCATAGCACGGTGTGACTTAGCTCGACGTGTATTACCCAGATAATCATAGACATAGAACAAGCCACATAAATTGTACCTGCATGGACGATCCATACACGATCTGATAAAAGTTGTCGCCTGCTCGTTTCCGTTACCAATGGCCCGTGTAATAACAAATAGACCCGACCCAGATATTTATAGCACAATCTGGTGCAGCCATGCCATATTCTCGCCACTTGAATCCATCTACTGTGGCAGCGGAGTAGGTACAAATCTCAGGAGGTCAATTCGTCCATCTAGATGCGTATACAATCTCAAGAACAAGGAGGCATTACCTCTGCAGGCATACTTGTCCGTGTGAGAAACCCCAATTTTCTCACATCGCCCTGAAACGTATAATACGGTAAGCAAATGTTACTTGACAGTGGCGCTCTATATCGATACACGACGTCCGTAAATATCACAAGCTTGAGTATCGCTCGTAGCTGATGAGATTCTCGTGGTTATTAACAAGATCCTGCGGCTGATAGCATGTGTAGCAAACTCCCAGGATCCCAATTGACCAAGAAGATACGTAGGACAACACGGGCCGCAGTATCAAGTTATGCTTCTTTTCGAATTCGTACGACTCTTAAATACAACATCCTAAGGTGTCGTTGGGTTTTTTTTCGTAGTACTATTGATGTCAGGAACTCATTGGGTAACATTGCGTTGGACTGGACTTCGAACGACCCGAGAAGCTTCAACGCTGAATTGACCGCAGAGTCTCGAAGTCGCGATGGAATAACATAAATAGCCACTCCGACTCCCTTTCTAATGAGAAATAAACCAGCAGCCCTCATCGCAATCCAATCCAATTCAATCTCAAAAACTACTTTTCAACTCCCACCCAAAACCAAAGCCAAAACCAAACCGCCAAAATGCGAGCATCAACCATCCTAGCCCTCCTCACCAGCAGCGCCTCCGCACTAGTCATCATAACCCCCAGCACCAGCACCACCACAACCAGCGCAACCCAAACCTCCACCCCTGGGGGTAACGAAGACTGGATCACCGTAACGCCCGTAACCCTCACCCCCACCAACCAAGCCGCCGAAAAATGGATCACCGTCACTCCCGTGACGCTCTCCACCACCTACGACAAGCGTGCCAAGGATTGGATCACAGTAGCCCCGGTAACACTCTCCACTACCTATGAGAAGCGCGATGAGGATTGGATTACCGTAACCCCCGTTACTCTAAGCACTAGCACGAGCTACGCGGATGAGGGGGAGAAGTATATCACCGTCACGCCTGTGACTTTGACTACTAGCTATGAAAAACGTGGCGAGGATTGGATTACTGTGACTCCGGTTACGTTGAGTGCTACTTACAACAATGGATGGTAGAGGGAAATGATGGATAGACGTCAGCTTGGTGGCGTGGGGACTGCGGTTGTGTATTTGGTGTTGTCTCTTTTATCATTCTTCGGTCGTGGTTTTGGGGAGAAGTTTCTTATTAAAAAGGTGTCGGAAATGTTCGTCAACTAGAATGGTAGATGGCCTTGGCAGGACCTGGTAATTCAATGGAAAAGTCTTTAGTCACTTTACTTCGGAGTTACCATGTGCGATAAATAGAGTGGTGAATGTAGGTTCTTGGTAATTCGTACCCAAGGACCAAAAGCGAAAGTCCATTAATCGTGTCGTAAAACGCCCTTATTCTGAAAGTAGCGTTGAAAGTATGTAGGAGAATGATTTCCATCCGATACCATCTGAAATATCATCCCCCATAGTATGTTGAGCGCATATATCCAGCATTCGCACATAAATATTTGACATATGAACTTCCTCATTTTACTCCTGCCAGTCCGATAATTGACCGGCTTCTAAAACACCAATAACTTCGCCATTTTCCACTACCGCTAAGATCGAATCCTCGCTGCACGCTGATTCACCATAGCTCGGTGACGTTAGGAGCTCCCTGAACCATTCAACGGCTTGTGATATCCTCGTATCGGAGCGAATGCTAATCCATTCGCCCCTTTCAACTAGGAAGTCGGGAATAGTGGTTACGGGCCATGTCATATGAGCTGTGTTTAACCGCTTAATACGACCAGGGGAAGCGATCGCATCGCCGACACGAACCCATCCTGACTGTGAGTCGTAACCCAGTTTAAGCATATCCACGCCACAAGCTTCATCGCTGGTATCGGGCCATGCGGGGATGGAGGAGAGCGAAATGGCGAGGTCTCGGAGTTGGCGGGGCTTGCTGAATGCTTGACCGATAGCTCCACCGGGATGATTCTTTGCAAAAACTGAAGTTACAGTAGAATGTAACTCCTGAGATGCCACAACCGCGAGAGCATCTCCTAACGCCAGTGCTACAGTTGTAGATGTCGTAGGCGCGGATACGCCGAAAGATACGGTCTCAGGCTCATGTATTGGCGCTGGGAGCAGTATCGTGTCCGGCCGCTGGCGGATGAGTTCGCAATCCTCCGGTCGCGTGTGTGAGGTGAGTGCGATAACTGGTAACGTAACATCTAGATGTGGTAATAGAGTGAGAAGCTCTGATGTCTTCCCAGAAAACGTAATAAAGAGGACGGTATCATGCTTCCCGATCTTTCCGAGATCGCCATGTAGGGCCTCGGTGGGATGAAGAAAAGTGCTCTGAACTCCGAGACTATTGAAAGTTGCGACCAGCTTCTTCCCAATATGACCCGACTTGCCAACTCCGATAATGACCAATTTCCCTCTTTCGCATTTATATCTGGTGATAGCTTCTACCGCAGCATTGAAGCCTTGCGCAGCTACCGCGTCAGACTTGTATAAACGAGTGAGATTCCGAAGAGCTGTAGCTTCGGTGTTCAGGACATGGATGGCACCCGATATCCTTTGCTTAGTAAGCGAATCTGTTTCCAATGGTTCCTCCTCATAGTCTTCGACATCGTCCAAGCATAGTTCCTCGATAGCACTGGTTGGCTCGGCTTCCCTTGGTGTTTGAGGGGATGGCGGAGATGGAGGAGGAATAGTAGGCCGCGGCGTCAATCCTAATAGATAGACTTCGCTGTTATGAACGGGGTGATGCTCAACCATTGTCACATGCTAATATCCTGCGCGGATAATCTGCTGAACTAATACGGCCAGGGGTCGCTGAAGATCTCAGCTGCAACCCCTGCACCTGTATACAACGAAATCGTCCGAATTGGTGACTTCACGGTGCTCATAGCACAGGATAGCAAAAGATATACTCAGCCGTCCATGGCGATGGCCGTTATTAAGATAAGTGAGAAGGGAGATTGGTGTACCCTTTGATCCCCTTCGAAATTTTGTCTAATCCTGTGCTTAGCGCGGTTAAAGCTCAAGTGGCGTCGGCAAAGAAAAGCGACCGCCTAATTTAGATGAATGTCTAGAACAGAGCTCCGTGACCTCCAGGGTCAAGGCTTTTCTCAAACTGACCAAGACTTCTTGTTGAAAGGAAGTGAAAATGAGAAAAAGGCTGATAGGGGGCCTGAAGAGTAAAAATATATGAGAAGTATTTACAAATCCATAGATACAATAGTCCGACGGGCTCGCGCTAAAGCCGAAGCTAAGCAAAGATCGAGGTACAGTTGTTTGTAAGGGAGGGTCAATTTATCTGATTATCCGATGAATTTGATGAATCATGACCGAATCCGGATTGGTACGGGGTAAAAAGCAATGTAAAAGCAATGCACCTAGGGATGTTGCTGGGTAAGCTGAATGGACTAAGAGTTGACGTGTAACCGATCGAATCTTGCGTGCTTATTTTTCCCTTACATGTCTTTGCATGCCTAGATGTATCAGGCTGTGTATAAGGCTTGCGGAATATCCATATCATCCATATCAAGATACCTAGATACCTGGGTCGATGTCTCAAATGCACGCGTTCGTTGTTTTCGTGCCGATTGCGGCGTGGGTGCGGGCATTAGAGGATTCGATGAACCAAAGAGAGTCCAGTGATGCTCTCTTCATGTGGGATGACCCGCATGAGATTCCCTCATCTCAACCTTGGCGATACAGGGTAGACCCTTAACTATACCGTGAGAAATTAGAGAGTTAGATGGATAGCGTACCCGAGAATCTATGATAGGGAGGTGGTATCAAAAAGGAGATGTTAGTTGATCGATGCTTTAGCGCGAACGTTGAAGTTTCCCAATTATCGCTTCTGAGTGGTTCCCCCTTTTTTTATAGCCAGGAAAGCCTTTTTTCACGAACTAGGGAGAATGATGAATATGAAGTTCCAATTCGGGTAGAAAATGTAACCCCACACTACTAAAGAAAATGAAGCTTGCGACTTTCAAGCTACATAAGTACTTATAGCCACGCCTTTTATTTAAAGACTGCTATTGGTGTATTTAATATCAGAATTCAATTAGAAAAAGAATATGTATCACCTAGGGTTTTTATAGCCGAGTGATACCCAAGCTAGATAAAATCAGAAACATGCTCCCACGAGTTCTTGGGCTTGAGTATTGCGCAGATTGTGCAGATATTCCTGCATCTAGACGTAATAGGTTATGCTGACTCGCAGATAAAAGGTAGGATCCGCGGCTAACACGGAAGAGTACTTAGTATTCGCATTGAAAAGCAACTTGCGGGATGCTTGGTAGTATGTATAACTATCCATACTAAGGTATGAATAGAAGTTGGTGGGATGCAGCAGCAACTCCATCTCCACCCAATTAGCACCACGAGACAAGATAGAGTTGTGTAGGTAATGTAGATCCTACAAAAACGCGGTGTGCCGTACTTGTTGAAGGCATCCCAAAAGCTTGTTCTCTCGATACGGATGACAACCACGAATATGTTCACTTTCCCGCTTGGGTAGCACAACGTATTGTAGTGTTAATTCTTTCGTAGTCGTAAGATGACTACCTCATGACTCAAAGTGTTCATCGAGTCTTATAGTTTTAGGTATGATTGAGTGATGGCTTGATTGATCCAATAGGTGTCATTTTTCATTGCTGGGGAAAAGAGAATAGAAAATGGGAGGACGAATTGAAGAAAAGAGTCTAAGAAATTGTGGAATGCAACGAAGGTTCCCACTCTACTCCAACTTGGGAAAACCGAAATAGTTTAGATAAGATAAAGTTTGTGGAGACCCTTCAAGAAGCACGGACCACTTTAACCAGCTACAGAACTAATATGGAGAACTCGGTGGATTCAAATTATGGGGCCTCGAAGTGACGCCAGCCACACATGATCTACTCCCGTACATCGAACGTGCCACTCCAGCTGTCCAGCACTAGAATTCCTACATAGTACATGAATTTGCTGTCCCTCCCACAGCAGAAGCAGCAGCCCACACAAGCCCAACACATCCATCTTGCAGCGCTGCCGTTTCAAAAAACGACCTGAACTGATATGAAAAAACGAATCTTCAATCCTACTTCATACTAAAAGGGATACACAGTTGAAGGATAGGATATAACTTACTTTATTCCCTCTCTTTTCTTTTCCTTTTTCCCGAATTTACAGACGCCATGACGCGACCGATTGTCTACAGTGTCGCCCTGGGCGTCTTTGTCTTCAGTACGTCATTGTTTTGTCTCCTTACCGTGCTACCATAAACCACAGGCAGAAATTTAACAAACCTAATGCATTTTCAACGTTCAAACCCCGTATTCGCTTTATATGAAGAGTCTGTGCGATGAATTTGCATAAGGGATAAATTATGTTTGATGGAATTTATTCCAAAATGCGAATAATCGCTGTTCAATTTGTTATGTTGTTCTGTTCCAAGGTGTCATAGCTCCAAGACTCCAAAAGAGGAGTTGTTGCAACATCACCACATCCACGATGCTAACGTTTAGCTTTCCACCACAACAGCAACGATCCTCACAATAGTATCCATCCTAACACCACACTGGGTGACATATTCCGTTACCGCCGATACGGGCTCGACTTTTACGAAATACATCGGACTCCATAAGAGTTGTTCATCGGTCGACGATCCATCGTGTCGACCATTCCCTAACGACGATGACTGCCGCGATGACCAGTTCTTCTGCTCCATGTGGCGCAGCAGCGGTTTCCTCATCTCCTTCGCGACCATCGTCGAGCTTGCGACTCTCATCACCTTCCTCGTCGTAATGGCTGGCGGCAAGTACAAGCGCGAGACTGGCTGGAAGCTCATCGGCTTCTTCCTACTTGGTGACGCCGCCGTCGAGTTTGCGAGTATGGGCATTGTGGTAAGTTCCTCGCTCATCGAAAGCATCACCTTAATGCGATTTAGAGTTCATTGTTTCTAACTCCGTATGTTTGTAACTAGGCCTATCTCTTCGACAACGACCCTCAATTCGTCATTCCCGGCTGGTCTCTAGATTGGTCCTGGGTCCTCTGCACCATCAGCGCAAGCGTTTCCGTCCTCCTAGCAGGTGGTCTAGCAGCCTCAGCCTGGCTCCTCCCGCCGGAAGACGACTACGAATACCTCGAAGACCCAATCGATTCCTAAGCGAAAAAAGGATGGTTCAGGATAGCCTCTAGGCAAATCAGGTAAAAAGGCAAACTAAAGGAAGGTGGTAGGGCAGATGGAGGGCAGAGCCTCATCGCAAGGGGTTGGATATCAAGTTAACACCTTATATCGGTCACAACGGTTACGGTGGTGGTCGGCCAGAAAGGCTAAACATTTCATTGGGCGAAGGATAAGTCTCGGCTAGTAGACGATGCTGTGACCATTCTTCCTTTTTTTCTTCTTCTCGGGCGTGCAGTATATAAGGCATGTGGCGTTTTCAACCGGTTTGATTTATCATCTTTGGCTGCATAAGAAGCATGGCCATCGCCCAAATTGCATTTGGACGCGGACGGGGTTTTCCTTCGCGATCAGACAGAAAGTGAAATGAAGATAATTAGGTTAATTACAGGAATAACGTCTCAATCCATATCGAACTTTTTGGCAATTAGGTCTATTGATGTTTTTGGTAGTCTATCGTTGGGTATCCTTTGCGCAGTAGACCAAGAGGCGTATCGAAGGTATTAGGTGGGAATATATAGGCAGTCAACTTTCAACTACTCATCATCAGAATCAGATTCAGATTCCGACTCGGACGAGGAAGAGCTGCTAGAAGAACTATCGGCTCCGTTTTCTTGCAACGCCGCTTGCGCCTCGTCTTCTGATTCCTCGGAGCTACTATCACTTCCACTCGAGCTGGTGTCCGAATCCGAGTCGCTATCAGATTCTGATTCTGATGAGCTAGAGTCTTCTTCGACGGCCGCAGTCCGTAACTTTCGTCTTCGCTTGACTCTTTGCTGCGATCCATCGTTTAACTGGAGGCGATGTACACCCTCAGCTTCGTCCGCAGCGTCCACACTCGTAGCACGCCCAGAGCTACCGTTCTGTGTTGATGTCGTAATTGTGGTAGTCATCGACGCCGTTTCCGTCTCACTATCAGATAATTCATCCAGCACATTCTCGCAACGCATTCGCTTGACAACCCGACGTTGCATTTCCATATCGGAAGTCCGAAGAACATAATCCACTTCCTCAAAACGTCGCTTCCCAGGTGTCCTGGTCTGGCTTAGAAAGGCAGCGATAAGCTCATGGTACTCCTTCTGTTTCCTCTCGGCCATCTCCTTGCTGGAAGCAGGGAAGCCTTCTATCGGTCCCTGTTCCGCGTCCTGTGCCTTAATACCAGATGCAAGCTCCTTTAGTCGTGTCCTGACGGCACCCTTCAAACCCCGGATGTATTCGTAAAAGATATGAATATCAGCAGCGGGTATGGTCTTCTCATCCGCGAAGACCTGTTCCAGTAATCGGGTCTGGTGATTTTTGTTAAATTTCCAGGTGTCCTTGGATGTGTGCCACTGTCGCAAATACGCAAGAGCAGGTTCCAAGTTGACAGGTGCTTGCTTCTTAGCCGGTTTGGTAGAGGCAGCGGTAGAATTAGAGGTAGTAGCGACGGCCTTCTTGGTGGGTTGTTTGTTTTGCTTGTTTTTGATTTGTGTGCCGTTCACCGATGCTGGAGACTCGACGGTTTGGTTGGCCTCGGTGGCGAACGAAACAGATTTGGCCTTTTTGGGGGTAGGAGTTTGAGTGGAAGGAATGTGATTTTGATTGTGAGAAGAGTCTCTCTTTGCTCTTTTCGCCGAGTGGTCTAATGCAGGAACACCAGAAGATTTTCTCTTCGGGTTGGCATTGGCAGGGCTAGTAGGGTTTTCCCGACGATGGTTGGGCAGCGGCGGAGCAACGGTATTTGTATTATGTGTATTATTATGAGGTAGGGTAGCGTTCTGGCCTTGTTCCTCAGATGCAGGTTTAAGCTTGAGACCCAATCGTTTCCATGCCGGCACTCGCTGCGCTGGCGCGTCCCCTGTAGAGAGAATGGAAGACATTGATATTGAAAAGAAGGGAAGGGAAGGGGATCAAGACAAATTGGAGAATTCAACAAGGGCGGGAATACGTATGTATATGGCAATAATACACACACAATGTCCCTCGAATGTGTGACCAATTACCGCCACCAGCAAGCAACACCACTAGGTTGTAGTAGATAGGTAAATCAAGTAAATCAATACCTAATACCTACGTGACCTATGTAATATTCCACGTGCCTTCGCCTTGCTGTCTGTCTTGAATGTTGTCTCACGGTCCTATGAGAATGCTTGAGGTAGTATAAGGTGTGGCTGAATTGAAGAATTTGCCTTCAAAATAGACAACGCGTGTGGGCCAAATCATGCGGGGATGGTAGATTTTCCTTCGATCGTAATATAAAAGTTATCATTGAGTGCAACTTTACAGATTTAAGAAAATTAAAAATGGAGTGAGTACAGTAAATCATAAAGTGGGTATATATGTTTATCGATAAGCAGACCGTACCAATAACCCCACCATAAAATACCCCAATAATGCAAGACACCTTGCTATTCTTTTTCTTTTTCTTTACACAGACGTAGACCTCTAGGACTTCAGCATTCACGTCTATGGTAGCTAACTAGTATAGTCGCAAGAGACGCCTATCTCTATATTGTGTTGGTATGCTTGCGCGATGCTTCGAGGGCGTAGTCGGTTTTATCCTCTATAGCCGTACGAGCCCTGGATGAATTGTGCTTTAACTTGCTATTGCTACCGTCCGACAAAGGGTAGGACGACTTTCTACTCCGTCTGTCCTTCCCCATCCGCACAAAATGTCGCAGTAAGCTAGCAAATGAAGGAGCACATGCTACGATGATTACCGTGGTGAATTCGCCTAGACTTGGAAGAGGATATAATGTTAGCCTTATCCAAAAGAACAGAGCATCGGATACCCTTACGCCCAACTGCTGACCGGCTCCATCGCGAAGGTGAAATCTTTGGTAAATGTCCATTCAACACTGTAATAAAGTCGGACGATGCTAGCAATGCATGCGCTGTTCCGTGACGTTAGAGGTTCGCTTGTTCAAGCTTCTTCAATGGAAGTCGATACGACAACGTACAATATACCGACAGCAAAGACTCCTGCCACTCCAATCTTCGTTTTCAAAGGCATCTGCAGCCGGTAGACGGAGATTAATGGTATTATAAGTATCGTAATGTCGGAAACTACGTTAATTGCACCCGTGGCAATGATGCTGCTGTTTGAGTCGATACAGCGACCTGGCAACTCCGGGTTCTTAATTTTCTCTCGCAGCATGCAAGCAAATATGAACGAAATCATAATAGCGACGTAAAACATGAGATTTGCCCATATAAGTGTCCAAACGAACTTGAAAGCAAAGCTATCTCGACGATGCGTGAAGAAAATTGCTTCGATTTGTCGCAGAACGGCGTACTTCGCAAAGAACATAGTCGGACCGTATACGATTTCGAGGATGTTGGCATACTATAATTATACGTTCATGTTAGCTACTGATTTGATTTAGTAATACGTATATACTTACATATAACATATTGGACAAACTAGAGACTGTCACGTTCCATTGATGTTGTCATTGGCCGTAGTAATCGCAAACTAGTTGTAATGCCATGAAGACCGCAAACAATATCTGATGATTTGGCTGATGTCAGGGTAAGACTGTCCGCAATTTAGAGGGGGCTCTACATACCCCTGAAAGTAGAAGAGCAGCTAGAGGCGTATTAGCATTGACGGCTCATTCGTTACCGCCGGATCACCTACCATCACTTGAGTCTAGCTGCCTTACGATGACCAGTCGCACATACCATCGTACTGCAATAGAAACGGCGCAAAGAAATAAGCAGACCACTCTGATTCCAATTTGCGCAGGTGGTACCTTGTACAGCCCGTCAAAATCAGGCGTCGTGCCGGCGGGCGGTTCGAGAGCGGACTCCATGTCTCCGTTCACTTATAGCGTGGAACGTTGGGAATAAGGTAGAGACGAATGCCGAATAGAAGGAGGTGAAATTTGGCCAACTACCTCATGTACCTAAGCTCATCATAGCACTAAAATATGTTGGGATATCCATGAATGTGGTATAAGGGGCGGGCACAGCCATGGAGTGAAAAGCTCCAATGAGGAATAATATTCGAAGTGAGAACATGCTGTCTTACAAAATGTTCAATTTCTGTTTCGACCGTCATGGTACGTTGGATTGTCCTAGGTGCGTATTAGTTTACTCTCATAAGCTACATCCAATATGATCTGTACGAGCATACACTGGGGGGGTACGGCGTTTTTCACAAGTACCTAGGTACAGTAACACGGCACGCGGTACACGGAGCTCAAATCTAATAAACGATCACGTACATAGGCCGAAATTACTGGCATGCATAAGTGGCTTCGAAGTGCTAAGCCTATTGGTGAACATAGAGCACTGTGTACGGGTTTTGGCTTGAAGGCAGAGATGGCTGACGCCTAAGCTAGTTTTTCCCCCATGTTATTCCATAGTTTTATTACACACCTAAATCCTCTCAGCGCCATTATAGCAAGAGTGGCTTGGGCGATCTTACCGTCGGATACAAATTAATATCCATATAAAGCTATAAGATAAAGAAAAGATGGGGAACATACGCTATTAGAGTGACACACTCCACACCGGTTTCAGAGACACTGACGTTAAGACGTAATATGATCAATAAAAGCGGGATATGAACTCCGTTGAAGAGTTCACGAATAATGGCTACAGAAATCTACGTACAAATGCGCCCCTTGCCTCTTCCAGTGCGAACTCCTTAGACTACCTCAGCCTTACGTCCGATCAGAGGTAAGAAATACAGGCTCGCCATCCAAATATTCCAGATTTGATATGTAATCTTGTCGGATTGGGCAGTGCGATACTTATAACTCCTATACGACACAAGAGTTGCTAGGGGCGTACTGATCGTGTACCCAAACCAGCCACATCTCCAAAAATAAGGACAGAAGACGCTCCATAAACTCATGAATCCTATGATACTCCAACGGGCGGGACCATCTCCGATTTGGAGTGGAAGTGATTTGCGATTTATGAGTGCGTCGCCTACTTGGTCGGACATGTCTTGTACATGGACTGTAGTGAGCACAACAGTAGCCACCACAAAGATCCACATCATTAAATCGTCGAATCCTTTAAGATCGAAACTTATCTCTTGATTCAAAGTAAGCTCGAGTGAGCCGATCCCGAAGCAAGTAAATCCGAGAGCGTTGATTAAGTTTCGTACGAATCCATTACTATCAGCACCTCCAAGTCGATTGTACCAGAATCCTATGTTGCACCAAGTCAGATACGGCTTTTCTCTCTTAGTTGTGTAACTTTACCTAGTATGATGAGAGCTAGGCTTGGCCGAAGTCCCCCAATCATCCAACTAGTAAGAATGGCAACGTGGTAGAAGAGAATCATCGAATATTTGGCCTGTCTCGCAGACAGTCGTCCAGAAGGCATCGTTCGCCATGGTTTGTTTATTCTATCTTCCACGATTGCCAGGGGTCGGCATTGGTTGTTAATGTTAAATGGGAGGAGGTTGATCCATACCCAAAAAAGAGTAATTGGCGCTCTATATAAGACATGTGGATATAGTGCCATAGCTTTGATACAGAAGCTAGGAATGGTCCTTCAAAGTGTCTTAATGGGTGTTGAAATATCCTATAAACGAATATGCTTCCAAACATAGCGCCTAAAAAAGCACAATTCAGGATAAAAGCCACATTGAAGGCGTCGAAGTTACCCTAGCCAAACCCATTGTGTGTTTCGTGGCCACCCCCGAGGGAGAGAATAACGGTGATGGATGCTGTGACAAGAAACCAAAGCCGTAAAATAAAATCCCGCCTTAACATGATGCTCGCCATAGATGAAGTATAGCCTGTGACAGAGAACACCCAAAATTCCCAGGGCTGGTAACCCCCTCGTACATGTCAAGAGAAATAAAAGGCGGGGAATGGCTTTTAAAGTGCCGCGTATCATGATCGCTAGATGTAAGGGAGGCAAGATAAAATACTAATGATTAGAGAACAGATTGGGCCGAGGAAGTGAAAGCATATTTTAACAACAAGGACAAGACAATATATACCACCTTTCTATCCATTCCAACGACTATTCCCTCGCCTTTTATTTGAGGCATGCCTACGCAAGCACTTGGGTACCCAGGTAGTTTATTGAAGAGGAGCACTATAGCTCAACCAAAGCTCCGCTGTCTGTGATGCCGACCCGTGCCCTCAAATAGAAGCAGATGTGCGTGACCCGTACGCCCTACGCCAAGACGGGTGGTATCAATGGTGTGTAACAAGTAGTCTCTACATGTAGGTGACGATCCTTTGGCGCAGGGACTACCGAATTTCCGAGATGGGGCGGAGTTACGTGTCCAGTGTGTTTCACAGCATATACAGTGCCAAATAAATTTGGGTAACCGTCTACCCGCGAGGGGCGACAAAGGGCGAACGACGATGCGAACCGACAATAGGTATTTCTTCTTTGCCCCACTACATATGATTTCCTAGACATAGGATTCTTTATCGATTCTTCTTTTACCAACCATTAGTCGCCTTTCTCACTATTATTTCTGGATAGTAACATGGCGGTCTTAGGAAAACCTGCCTTTGGGTCTAGGCTGTTACCTTCGGTTCTTGACGAGCTCAACGAATCTCAGCCAGGCAGACTTTACGGTGTTATTCCAAAGTCAACAGACATCGCCGATGGATTCCGCGATATTACTGTAGCGGACTTCTCTTGATCTGTGAATTTCATGGCTAGATGGATTGAAGGTAGGTTCGGCCGAAGCGACCCGGGTGTATTCGAGACCATTAGCTATATAGGAATACAAGACCTTCGGGGTCCTATCCTATTCTATGCTGTTGTAAGATGCGGATACAAGGTGGGCGACGTCCGGTTCTCGACTGTGTGCATTAAAAAGTTAATATTGACCTATCATCGAAGCTTTTCCTTCCATCGCCGCGCAACCCACCCGGGACAAATGTATCTATGATGAATGATGCGAAAAGCACGAAGCTCCTATACGCTGCCGAAGTCGGTCCGTTGGTCAAAATCTTCCCCCATCGTCTGTTCTCATAGAAGTAGTTCCGTCCTTTGATGTGATGACGAAAAGTAACCCAGATCCTTATGTGTTCTCGAAGAGCTTCGAAGAGGCCCACGACGAACCGGTGGTGATGTTGCAATCCTCTGGCTCCACAGGTAAGACACACTGTCAAGCACGCGGGAAGGGGGCGTTCTGATGAGATATAGGGCCTCCAAAATTGATTACAATAACTCACGGATCCCTCTCTACTCTTGATTATCATCATAGCCTCCCAGAGGTCCCTGAGCGTAAGAAGAGAGACTGGGCCATATGGACGTTCGAAGGGGAAGCCCGTGTTTATACCGTGTTCCCATTCTTCCATGTGAGATACAATTACACCTAATCCAAGGCATTCTTTAAGTGGGAACTAACGAGCAATGTAGCTGGCTGGTTTCCTACTAAGTGTCCGTAAGTCATACATTTGCCTAACATATCCCGAGACTTAACTGACTGGTAAAAAGATGCCACTGTATTCAACAACACCTCAATAGTGCTGGGGCCTCCAAACGTAATTCCCGATGGAATTCTTCTCAAGAATATAATGCTGCAGCAGAAATTACGAGCTATGTTTCTTCCCCCATCGGTAGTCGAAGAAATGCTTGTTGATCCCGGCGCAATCCAATTTTTCAAGGACCTAGATTTCCTTGCTTACAGCGGGGCACCTTTCAATCCCAAGACAGGAGACGAGCTCAGCAAAGTTGTCGAACTAGTTTCACCTTACGGTGCTACCGAGACTTTCGTCATTCCTAAGTTGGCCGTAGAACGCGAGGACTGGGTATGGCACGAGTTTAGCCCCTTTTCAAAACATGAAATGCGACCTTTTGATCCTACTGAAGGCACATACGAAATGGTCGTGTACGGCGACGAAAGCGCCAAGCACATTTCTGCCATTTACCATAATCTACCTGGTGTGACAGAGTATCCCACCAAGGACCTTTTCACTCAGCATCCAACGAAGCCCAGATTATTCAAATATTATGGGCGAAGAGATGATATCATCGTCCTCGCAAACGGCGAGAAGTTCAATCCAATTCCATTAGAACTTAGCGTTCAGAAACACCCCTCTCTGAAGGGTGTTCTAGTGGTTGGAGATGGCAGGATACAAACAGCCATCATCGTCGAGCCAAAGGAACCACTTGATGAGAAAGCGCGAGCCAAGCTATTGCATGATATCTGGCTAGACATCGAGGCTTCCAATACGCTCGCTGCGGGTCCGGGACGTATCCATAAGGGAATGGTTATTTGCGCCTCGCCGGATAAACCCTTTACTAGGACGATCAAGGGCACCATAGTAAGAAAGCAAACATCGGAGACCTATCTCAGTGACATCGAACGTCTGTATTTGGATTGCCCGACCGATGGTGGGGTCACGGGGCCAGAGCCAATACTAAAGCCCGTATTTAGACGCCAAGCTATTGTGGATTTCGTAAGAAGTATACTTGCAATATCGTTTGCCGACGGCGCGACTATAGGTGCAGCGGAAGACTTCTACGCTCACGGACTAGATTCAATACAGACTTTGTCGATTGCTTCGAACCTCCGACGTCTTGTGGGGGCTCAGTCCTCGGCACCTGTCAATTGGATTTCGGCGCGTACTATTTCCAGAATTCAACCATCATTGAACTCTCAAACGTGCTTGAAAAGTTCCTAAACGAAGAGCAAGCTGACTATGGCAAACCTGACGACATTTCAATGGCATCGATGCTGGATGGTGTTGTGGAGGAGTACCTGAAATCATTACCAGTGAGACAGGAGCTACCGCGCGTTTCCTACCCTTCGAAGAGTTCCACGGTTGCTTTGGTCGGCTCGACAGGATACGTGGGCACGTCTATAATGATACGGCTTTTAAGGAACCCCGATGTTTCGCGGATCTATTGCCTCAACAGAGGGGTCGACTCAGAAGAAAGGCAGACAGTATCCATGATAGTGTAGCCCAATTCCTGCATAAGGCCACATACTTGAAGGCTGAGCTTGGGCAACAATTCTTCGGTCTCACCAAAGACAAGTACGATCTACTTGCCAATGAAGTTGATGCCATCGTTTACAATTCATGGAGGCTCGACTTCGGCCTTGCTATCCGATCTTTTAGCCCATTCTTGCGCGCAACTCGTGACCTAGTCAATCTTTCAGTAAACAGCAAAAAGGGAATGCGTATTACTTTTGTTAGCTCCGTATCTTCGGTGTCAGCCATGGCTCAGAGAACTACGGTACCAGAGGCTCCAGTCCAGGATCCACTGGCCTCTATGAACACTGCTTATGCCCAATCGAAGCTTGCTGCCGAGAGGATCCTGTCAACTGCAACCGAACGCTTGGGCATTCCTGTGAATATTGTGCGTGTTCCCCAAGTAGGAGGTCCAACTGACGGTTGTCAGTGGCCAGAACAACCATGGATATCGGCTCTATTGCGGACATCGAAAACCCTAGGATATATACCAGAGCAAGTCGCGGCAGTTGACTGGACACCTGTGGATATTCTTTCCTTTATGATGCATGATATCATCCTTCAGCCAGCTCAGGCTGAGGATCAGAACCAGATACGCTTTTATAATATCAGCCACCCAAAGCCGGCGCCGTGGGGACTCTTGATCAAGGTAGCGGGTGATCTACTTGACGTCCACAGCACAATTCCTCTTGGGAAATGGACGAAGAAGCTTAAAGACATCGCGAACCCAACAGCTGAGGATATTGAGAAGATGCCAGCGTTGAGATTATTGGGTTATTATGAAATGATGGGTGATGGAATGGAAAATATGTCCCTCCAGACAGACAATGCGATGAGAAATTTCGAAGGGGAGGTGCCCGCGGTAGACGAGGCGATGCTTGGAAATTGGCTACGTAGTTGGAAGTTGTGAAATTTTTCTGTTAGTCTTAGTGTTCGATAATTAATTGAACAGAAGTTGAACAGGAAAGAATTATTGCGTCAGTAGGAATTGAAGAGTAAAGAACCCCGCTCATACAACTAGCTATCCAATCAAATAGCTTCGGTGGGGGCCGAGTCTAAGTCTGGGGTTACACAAAGTGATCGGTCTTAAGAATTTCCGGAAATATCCGTAGAAATAAGGCCCGAGCTTGAAAAAGCTACAACGGGGGGGTAGGCAGACTGGCAGATAGCTAGGTGGTTGCTTGCATCTCAAGGCTCCAATCTGGCGCGTCAGAGCTTCCCGGACTAATAATAAGGCAATAAGGCTACACCACTCTAAACTCTCAACCTTGGAACCTTCATCACTTTTCACCACCTTATCTTTTTTTTTTCACCACGATACCGAAAACAATATTTCACTTTTCCCAAACAAATATTTCCCAGCTGTCAAAACGTGCATCTAGACCCATACCGCCCAAATCCTACTTTCACTCAGCCTTTACCGCTAGCAATCCTTCACCATGTCTGGAGGTGCGTTCGCATATTCCCTTGCTCTTCTGTAGCTGAATATCTGACTTGAGCTAACTTCGTGTGCGTCGTGACAGGCAGTGCCGGTTTCGATAGACACATCACCATTTTCTCCGAGCAAGGTCGACTTTACCAAGTCGGTACGTTATCCTCACCTTCACCCCGCGCGTCGTCGTCATCTTGAACGGTCACAAGCACGATATATGTCTTAGGACTTTGGGGCGAAAGCAAAGTACGACATGGGGGATGTTTTAGTCTAGCTAACCACTATCGCTTTAGAATATGCCTTCAAGGCGATCACTGCTGCGAATATAATGTCAATTGGGGTCCGAGGCAAGGATTGTGCAGTAGTCCTCTCCCAGAAGAAGGTTCCTGTAAGTGCCCTTCAGCTTTTCTCTAATTGCGGTGAAAGTCGCCTTTCAGCAACCAAAAAGGCTAACTAAATGCAATCAATAGGACAAGTTAATCGATCCTTCGTCCGTCTCCCACATCTTCCAGATTTCTCCTTCAGTTGGTTGCGTTATGACCGGCTCAATTGCGGATGCTCGGGCGTTTGCGCAGCGCGCCCAGGGGGAAGCCGCCGAATTCAGGTACAACTACGGATATGAAATGCCATGTGACGCTCTGGCCAAGAGGCTGGCCAACATTAGTCAGGTTTACACACAGAAGGTAAGGCTACATTATGTTTAATATCCGTAAGGCTCGGTCCTGGCGAAGCTGACCCTTTTCCCCGATAGGCATACATGCGTCCTTATGGCGTTGCGACGACCCTGATATCATTGGATTCTGAATTCGGCCCGCAGCTCTTCAAGTGCGATCCAGCAGGATACTACGTGGGGTACAAAGGGACTGCCGCCGGCCCCAAGCAGCAGGAGGCGCTCAATCATCTGGAGAAGAAGCTCAAGAACAAGGATCATGCAGAAGGCACATGGGAAGATGTTGTGGAGTTAGCTATTACTACGTTGAGCACGGTCCTCAGCATGGATTTTAAGAAGGGTGAAATTGAGATCGGAATCGTGGGAGGCCCCCGACCGGACGGTAAGGAGGGGTCAGATCCCTTCTTTAGAACCCTGACGGAGGACGAGATTGATGAACGATTACAGGCCATTGCTGAGAAAGATTAGCGGGTGAGGCGCTCGTGGCGTAAGGCTGGGTACCGATTAACATAGCTGATTTGCTTGATGCTGACCACAGCAACATATTGTGGAGGCGTGGGTTCGTCCCAATGGATGCACCCTGTATTCCGTGTTCACTAGTTTAGATCCTCCGCCGACGGGATTTCTTTTAAACCGTCATTCTGGTCTATACACTGGCCCAAGGAAAAAAAACGCAATTCAAGCAATTGACATTCCGAGTATAGCATAGTCTAGCCTAGAAGTGGCTTAAGCTGAAGATGTGAGAAGTGCATCATGGGATTTGGACGTTCAGGTGGTGGCGATATGGAGATCTGGGACTTATATAACCCAGGCGGTGAATACATGTCATCAAGAACCACATCTTCAAGTGTGGATGTGACGTATCAGCATGCTGCAAGCATTTTGCAAGCACCATAAGCAAGTCATTAACCAACATTACGCGTATCTCGGGCATATGGACATCCCATCTATCTCTACCAACAGGTTGGGTCTTCTAACGTCGTAGATGTCAGCCCATTATCTAGACTGACAAGCCTCGAAATGCCCGATCCTGGATCTTTGAGGGTGTCACCTCGTGGGGAGTTTGGGGGTAGCCAACCAGGGGTGGTACACGCCGTATGCCGTGGGATGACCGCGGTGATCGCTCGAAGAGCCGAAACAACCAATTTTCTTTTTTTTCTTTTTTAATACCCTTTTTTCTTTCCTTATAATTTTCTGTTTCAAGGAAGAGGACATGTGGGACTGTAGATCAATGCCCGCGCAGCCGGGTTAAGAAATTCTTTTTCGGCCAGCAAAAAGACAAAATTTGGGTAAACATCCGTTCAGCTGCGCCCGAAGAGGTGGCTGAGGTCCCACGACGGCTCACCATTGGTCAGCCCAGCACATCTTAGTCGGAATAGTAGTACGGATTTGTCTCTTATTAGACCTGAAGCGCTAGACTGTTTTCGGTTCTTGGTGATCCGTGGCGTCGCTGAATACTCTTCCGTAACACTCCCGCCATGAGCTCCCAGCCAACCCATGAGCCCTATGAAGGCGGCTCTTCTTCGCTTAACCCTACGATCTTCTCCCCTGACATTAGCACGCCCCATTCTTCCCTACCCCTACAGCTAGGTTCGCACTAATGGCTCTCTCCTATGCCCTATATGACGACAGGACGTTGAAATGGGTCCCTGCATTGGTAATGCGGACGTGGCGTTGGTTACCCAGAGGGCTTCTGCAAGTAACACTACCAGGCGCTCCAGGGGTCTCTTACCCAGATTATGGAGCAGATCTAATCTACAAACTTCCAGGGCTCCAGCTCTGTTAGGATGCCAGGTTTGAGCTGTCAACCATCGTCCCGCCCTAGTTGGTCGATAATAGTTCCGATTCGGCAACCGGCAGCGTGAGCAGACGGTATGAAAGCTGACTGGTGTTGTATATGTGACTTAGGCTCTAAGGATGGGAGGGAGCATGAACGCAAATCCTCCTTCTCCAGTATTATATTCTTGTGTCGTGAGAACTTCGAGCTATTTTCTACTTAGCCGTAGCAAGACGATTGATTCTACAAAAGCCGAGTGAATTCGCCTCTACGGATGCTCGATATGATGCCTCTTCTTCATCAAAGTCCAAGAGTTTCTAGACTCCTCTGCAGCCTTATCAATTACCATTTCCGCTTGCGACCCGAATTTCCCCTTTTTTTCTCCCCTGTGTTATTGCGAAGACCACAACATCATAAAACCCCTTTATCGTAATCCAGCATCCTGCTGTGAGGTTGAACCTCTGATTCGAAGTCTAACTACTTGCGAACTACTTCCAAAAAGGGTGCGAAATGGATAGACGTAAGTGCAAATCATTAATTCTGCGCCATATGCGCCATATTGAACTATAGGGAACGTCTCCCGGAAAATGCCCTCCTAACAACCAAGACAGTCAACGACTACCGAACGGCGCGGGTCGCTGAGGTCCTCGACGAGTTTCGAACTACACAATATTACATATCCGCAGTACCTTCAGACCCTCCTAACTCCGAAGATTATTACACTGAAGGCTGGGCCGCATTGCGTCAATGTTCCCTAGATGGTCAACACATCCTCAACTGCGCAGCAGACACCTCAGTGCCTCAAGCCACGGGCGGCGACGAAGAACAAGCTAAAGCAGAGTTAAAACAGTATGATACACCCCTTTCCTACAGATCCAATATCGACCCCCATCGCCACCGAGAAAATACTGATGAAGCAACTGGTAGGATCCTCCTAGACGCTTACGCCCGTAGACACGAGGCCCAAAAGATCTACCGCCGCCAGGAAGCGGCACAAAGATGGATCGAAAACAGAGAGATGATTCTCCAGGGCCAGCGGCCGGACAACTCGCACAGACGAGCCCTTAGAGCCTGTGATGTCCAACTACGAACCGTACGGTGACTCCCTTTTCCACAACGAATACCCCTGAACACAAGTATCCTACGGACTTTACTCCATCCTCCAACTAACAAAACAACACAGGATCTTTCCCAAATTACGGATAATGCTATCTATCAAGAACTACAGGCCTCCGACATGGCCATGGGCCGCTGGACGGCCGAAGACCCGTCTCTTCGAACGGTGCAGCACTGGGTGCGGGGACGCCCGCAATTATCTTAACGACTATGTCGAATCGAAGTCTGCACACTATACGGCGAATGATACCATTTGGAGGTTAGCGAGTTATAGTTAGTTTTCTGGCCTTGATTTTTTTTTTTACATGGGATTATGACACGTGGGATACGACGGAATAACGGTGGGAGGAAGGTGGTTGGTTATCACGAACATCAACATCAACAACTTAGAGGAGGTTTCCAGATACATCATGTCGAGACATGACAGTAACGATTAGACATACCATAGAGACACATTCGTTATGGGGATTACACAAGTCCATAGATTGGCGGTCGTTTCCGAAAATTCTTAGATATCACAGAAAATTTATCAAAGGCATTCATTCCCTCAAAGCGAGGTTTACTTTAGTTTAGAAAAAGCCAACTGCCAGGTGCAATATCGGCAAATGCAACATAGCCCACTAGATACTCCAGATAGTTTATAGAACTATGTCATTGGCTTCGGTCGACGATAGTATTAGTGGCAGACAAGAAGAGAAATTACTTCGCCATGCTATACTGTGTTGATATGTATGGCGTCTTAGCAAACTTGGTCCACACAAGCTATCAAGGCGCGTGGACTAAAGCTGCCCCAGCTGCTTTATTAGTTCTTCGGAGATATATACAGATATAGTCCAATGGTGTTGAGCGAAATACTAGTCTTAATTACTATGCTGAGTGCTATTATGGTGCGGGTTTGGATACGCGGGCACTAAACGGCCACCGGACAGCCTTAGCCTAGAGACCATTAAAAAGGTGACGACGCCCACTATCTATCAAGAGTTTAGGGCAAGGCCGTTAAACATCGGGTCAACCCATAACCACATGGCAATTCCAGGATTAACAAAGGCAACTAGTTATGTAGTCTATTCTATGGTAGAACTGAAAGGTTCTGGCCTCGCTGGCGTTCTCCGGGACCCGCCGAACATCGAGTTCGTGAATTAATCTAAATAACGGCCACTTCCTTCACATTAGGGTTCAGCAAGGTTTCGTCTGCTTGCTAAGCGACTACCGTATGAATCGCTGCTAAAGAGCACACAAAAGTCAAGCGGGGTTTTCAGCTCGGTATGGGGTGTAACACGGTGTTCACCTTACTATCTAGTTAGTCTGTCCCCATCGAAACCGAAAATGACGGCAGTGAGGGAACAACTAAACTAAGAAACACGAAGTTTCTATGACACAAAACGTGGGTAAGTGGTATGACCATGAGGAATACGATTTGTATGTAGATCTTTCTGTTGAACAAGAATGAACCATGTTCTATCTCTTAAAAAAAGACACATTCTATCACAACGGCTTTGTATATAATAGGTTACCCCCCCTTGCCCAGCTGAACGGACTTGGAACTATTGAATATGGAGTTTACCAATGACCTTCCCAGGTTGGCTTCGGAGTTGTTGAAGATGGATCAGGGGGTAAGAAAAGATGTGGACACTTGCCGTATTATATGTACGTGTATGTACCTAAGTACCTCCTTGACCTTAACTCCTAACTCCTAAACCCTGATCCAACCGTCGGATCGGGTCCATATAAGTCCAGTACCTTAGCCGAAAACTACCCCACTTTAACTTTTTATGTGTAGAACAGTGCAAAGATAGTGCACCTTATTAATTTCATCACATCAACAACTCTACCTACCTAGCCTAGGCACCTAGATATCCGGATATTTTATCTAGCAGCCTTACCCTTATGATAAGGGTCTTTCCATGTCATATGCTGAATTATTGATATCGATTTACCTATGATACAGGTGCATATCAATTTTAGTCAATTCATTCCGACCGAAGAGATCAGATCGGATCATCACTGTTGGTAAGTTTCTGTGTTAAAAATCTTCAGCCTCTCAATACTGCCATCTTCTTTGTATCCGGCGACTCGTTTTCAACATAGTGCATGGATACACTCGGATGGCGGAGATCGATGAATTTTTGTCCTCCGGCTCATTTCTTTCTTCTGGACCATCTCTCACGCACGATGGATGCAGACACTTGGGTTCGGACCACATTTATAAAGGATACCCCTTTTCTTTAGCCCTTCCACTTGGCTTGAGTCAATCCTCCCGACCATAACTTAGAGCCCTCAGAGATGGCGGCTTGTAAAATTTGTGAGCAGCCTCTCACCCTCGAAGTGGATGATGAGGACGGTACCGATGAAAAACAATTCATCCCTGATGACCTGAAACTTTCCTGCGGCTGTCATTTCCATTGGCAATGCCTTTTCGACCGAGCTGCGGAACTGGCCATATCGTTAAAGTGCCCTTCTTGTGATTCAGGGCTTGCTGCAAATGTAGCAGGGCCATCGGTTACAAATCCCTTCCTGCAGTCAGCCCCGGGTGCGGCTATCTTAACAAGATACACGAACGAAGGAGGCGTTCAGGAGAATTATGACATCCTTCCTGAAATTACCGAAGAAGCTTATCTGGAAGCCAACCCGGAAGCCCGACCGGCCCGTGCTTACCATGTCATGTGTGGCGAAGGCGATGTCGGTGGAATCGTTGAGCTCCTGCGTGATGCTGAACAAGCAGAAGGAGATGAACCTACCATGAATGCATCGCAACTCATTCGTTATCAAGATCCGCTAGGAGATTCGAAAACTGGCTTGCACTTGGCAGTGGAAAAGGGACAAGAAGAAACCATATGGTTACTCTTATGGATAGCATCCACCCTACCCACGGCGGCATTTCCCGCTCCAGCCGTACAAGCGGCACAGGCAATGGGAATTTCGCGACCGAGCACGTTGGCATCGGAGGATATCCGGGCACTCACAGATAACCAAGGTCGTACCGCTGAGGCAGTCGCGGCACAAATAGGAGGCATTTGGACGAGTATCCTGGAGTCTGGAGCTTTGCACCCTGGAGCGTAACATCCATCATGGATCCTCGACAAGACCAGTTTATATCCGGCCACCTCGCTTATTGCATGGCTTGAGTATTGCGCTTACCCGCCTAGGTATATACACGCAAAATGAATTCCTAAATTGTCAATCAAATTTGGGCAAAATGGAGACGTTGGTGGTTAATGCAGGTGTCTTGTCTGCAACGCTGACCTTGCGAAACATACTTATTTCTTACTTGCTTTCCCGTTCCCTCTGCATACATGACTACTGACCCGCATGCAACTATACTACGTATGTACGTGATTGTCCAACAACGTGGTTGAAGGAATTTCTGGTAATCTTAATGTGACTCCCTCACGTTGCGGCAGCTTGCGATCTTGCGCGAGTTGTTACCCGGAACGGCCAATGCTTGTTACAGTAAGTAACCCCAGGGCTGACGACAGCCCACGTTTTCGTAAAACGAGAATGAATCCTATAATGTTACCCATCCGATCGATGTGTACATCCATGAATATTCTTTACCTAACATATAATGGATTAATTAGACTATAGCAGTTTTATTCTATACTCGTTTTCAGATTATGATTATTATCAATCAACAAGGACATACGCCACACCGTCTTAACCCCTCATCTTGAATGCAATGCATTGACGGCGATTGTCAGATCATTACATGTAGGTATAGATTTTCGGCACATCGAACATATTCCCTGCATGCAGGCATCCGATACCGACAGGTGCCAGCTTGGACTAGAAAGTGTGGCTTCGGTAAACTATCTCTTTTCACTGTAGTTATATATACTGTACGCATGTCGGCGCATCCCTGCTCACCTATTATTATAGAATATTATAGGTATTACGGGTATTAAGAGCATTACAAGTAGGTAGGAAAATTGTACTTAAACTAACCCTGGAATGCCGACCGCCACACGAAACGAAACGATGCTTGTAGAACCCGCACCCGCCATTCCAAGGATGTGAGACACTTACATACAGTAAAACGTTCGGTGTCCAGTAACACACCCGCAGCTATGGTTTTTTCCTTTTTCTGGCTTGACTCTGCCTCCTGCATCAGGGGTTCTAGTTCGAGCTATACCGAACTCCACCGCCACCACCATATTCCCATCACCATGCTTTTTTTTTTTTCCTTGTCTACCTACCTAATCTTGCATCCGTTGCTGTCTTGGCTCGGGTAGGTACCTATCTGCACTATCTTTTTTTCAACGATCCCTCCCCCTCCAAAAAGGAAAATGCTATTGGGTGGGTGGTAACTAAATTTATCTTTTGTTCTGCGTCTAGAGCTTCCCTAGAACGTGTTACTGTCGCCTTCGAGCTCTCTAGAGGAAACATCGGATCTTTTTAGGATGTTGCAGCGCAGGAGAGCATTCTACCTACCAACCAACCACACGATTACTTCCGGATTTCTATCATGTCGATGTCTATCCTCATATCGAGGAACAAGTAGGTAAGCCAACACGTGTGTTCCCTACAACAAGATGACCGGTTTCCCCATCTGGGGTATGACAGTATAGCATTAAAATGACGGAACCAGAAGTAGAGATTGAGGGTATCACGACCGCTGTATGTAAGCTTAGGTAAGTCGAATCATAGCCGTTGGTTCTTCAGGTACGGATTACACTGCAGGACATGTCATCTTGTCCACGGAAGATACTAGGATGTTGCTTTCTTCAGATTGATTGCCTTCATGCATTGAGACCGAAATGCGGTAGTTAACTCGCCACGTTTCTAACCCCTTCTCTTTCCCCCTCAACCCACTCACACTCGCCATAGATGGTGAGCGAGTGGATGACGCTATCGAGGGGTATGGTGTGGTAAGAAAAGACGTGGGCGACTTGCCTCCCACCCTCCGTCATAGTCCTGCACGTAATGGGGGGTGTCGATGATCGATGCTAGGATAAGGTAACGCGTGGTGGTGTAGTGTATGGCATTGTAAGTGTGGTAGATTCAATCAATTACAGACCCCTTGATTGGCTCCTCAAAACTCGAAATATCCTGGTCTCTCATCTCTAGCCTATCCTGTTTCTGAGTTGCGAGTGGGTGTCCCTATTCGTAGGCTGAGCTGAGCCATACTGGTAATTTTGAAACAATAACCACCAAGACGCTATATACATATATTTTCTACTGGGATAGGGTCAATGCCCTATCAGAACAGACGGGAGGGCCCGTATTCCCTCTCAGTAGCTTATTTCGACCGTTGCCTTAGCTAGGTATAGTCTTAGTCGCACACATGCCGGGCCAGGCCAGCCTGAGGATTTCCTGACGTGAGGTAATGAATCCCCCTATGTAACGACGTAGAAGGAAGATTTACATACAATGAGGATCTGGAAAATTCATAATTTGAGACGGAAACTTCGAAGATAGGAATCGGAGATATGAAGTGTAAGTTTTGTTTCGAAGAAGTGGCTTACTATGTGTTTCTTTCTCTACAGTGCTCAGAGGGGTCACGGGGTGTGTTCCGCTTTGCCTTTAAATTAATCAAGATCGTATCAAGAAAGTGGCTTGCCTTGGCTTGCTTCCTACTTGCATAGATCATCCCGTATTTGCCGAAAGGATTTCCATTGGAAGAGATGGATTGATAGGCGGGTAGTCACGGGAGGAGGGAGGGAGATATGTAAGTGGCGCCGGAGACGCAGAAAAGATCGAGATGGATGGATGTTTGATGTACCTATCTTTGTTTTGTGGATGTCGAAGGATTCGCGATGTACCGAAGCGTTTCTGCAGGTAATAAAAGCATAATAAGTGGGTGCGCGAACTCCCTCCCTCTACCTAAGGAACATTAAGTATGGATTTACTCTATCGTGGAGTGCTGCTACTGATGCAGGACGAATCCTGCTGTACCGGATAGAGAAGGCGTGAAGAAGCCAGGATCGCAGGGCTCCCAGCGGAGTTTTGAAGGATTCTAACTTCTGTCAGGCACCCTACTAAGCTTCCGCCCGGGTCGTGGGCGGGAAGGATCAGGATTTACGACTTCAGCTTGAAAGATCGAGGAAAATCAAGAATCGAGCACTAGAAAGCATCTGAGTCGTGTTAGAGTAGTTCGTCAAGATGATTGTATCGTGAATCGAACCGTGATTGGAGGAATGAAACAAGCTTGCCTCGAGTTTTTCGGCGAATTGCCATGAGTGACATCTCTTACCCAATAGATTACGAGGGATGACATGCTTTGGCATAAAACACTGTGCACTTGTGAGAGGTGGTCTTGTATCGATATTGTAGATGTAGGTTTTTATTGTTACAAACTTCAACCGCATATATGCGAGGATACATCTTAGCTACCGGCCTAGGCCGTGTTGCTATTTCAGTCATTGGGACTATGTTGCACTCTTCTCTAGCTCCTGAATACACCCCTTCCCTCACAGCGAAAACCCCCGCGCTCAACCCATGCAATCTCAAGCCCACTGACTCCTAAATGTCCGAAAGACGGGAAAAAATACAGACTATTTTATATAGTATAGTAATCCTTGCTTTTCAAAAACCCTAATGACATGCTGAACGGTACCTGGCGCACTGGGTATCGAGGTGGCCGTTGCATCATAGGCATGTAATGAGAAATCGGAAGACGATCCTGACGCCTTGTTATAAAAAAAAAAAAAAAAAAAGATATGAAACATCTAGATAATAAGCTTATATGAAATAACGAAGACAAATGTGAGAAAAAAAAGCGCTAGGGTATAGCATGTGATAGAGGCAAAATGGTATGGGAATGAATGAACGCCGGAGGTCCGAATTCGTAAATGCTAATGGTCCTAAAGGAATGACGAGAAGTGTATCAAGAATGCTGTTGATCGTTGTGTGGCCGGCCGTTAATCATCGATCATAATGGAGTCGTAAAATAAAAGGAACGTAGTAAAGCGTTAAATAAAACAAGAAACACCGGGTAAACCCAACTCATATCAATGAGTATGCGATGGCGTCAAGGAAAAGGATATAACTGCAATTAAATGAAATCGCTCATTCTGGGTGGAAGACCGCCGCAGTCAAGAAGAAATCACCGTCTCTGGGAGAATTCTTCATTGGTGGCTCAGGAGCAGGAGGCGAAATGGGTGGGGTCTTGTTAAGACATTTGGAGTAGCCGTTGCTAATAATATCATGGCTGCGGGCGCGGTGTAGGACTCGGCGTTGCTCTTCCGTATTTGGTTGCTGAGTGGTAGTACCATCAGGACTGGTAGCGCCACCATTCAGCTTGGTGAATTCGTTCTCAACATCTGCTAAGAGTGCGTAAACATCACTATCGGCGTAGATACGGATGCTTTCCATTCGCTGCAAAGTAGACTCAGTGGAAGGACTCTTTGGGCTACGAGTTGCTGTGTTGTCTTCTGTCTCTTCAGATGGTAGCTCTGGTATCATTGAAGGTACCCTAGCGACGACGCGTTGAGGCGAAGGCGACGGGGATGGCGAGTGGGACTGAGGAATAGGAGAAGTAACATTCTTGGTCGGGCTTCGTGGTGGCGTTGAGATATCGGATGTGCCGTTAGGGAGTCTAACGCCCATAGCCTGCTGAAGAATATCGCTAGCGCCGGCAATGTCTTTAACAATCGAAAGTGTGGAGGCGGCGGCTACGTGCTCAAGGAGCTTTTGTCTCACTCGTGTTCGTCGATTCTCGGCATGTTCAAGCTTACTAACCCAATCATCAATCGAGGCATCCAACTCAGCTAGGGTCTCTTCCTGTTTCAACATCGACTCGTAGCTAAATTTAGCAACACGGGGCGACCGTAGATATTGGCAAATGCGGGTGTGTAGATTTCGGCGCCCAGCACGGAGTGAAGTGTAGGTGCGACGAAGATACTCGGTGCGTTCGTCTAGGTGGCGGAGTTCCTATGAATGGTTAATAGGCTGAAGAGTGATCCCTAAAGGATTAGCTTACCTTTGACAGGCTTTCAACGTCGTCCTTCTTGAGCACCTCAAACCTCAGGGCCTGGCCGAGAGCTTGCTTCTGCAAGTAACTGACTTCAGTTGAATCCAAAACCTTTACGGCCTTAGTAGACTTCCATCCCTGAGGTAGGGTCTCGAAGGCTCGGCGTTCAGCACTAATGCTCCTCTTAGAATCACTTCGTTTGTGGCCGCCACCGATCGGCGTGCCATCGATTCGCTTTCGTGGGCGTCCACGGTCCATTATGCTACTCGACTCGGATTGACCACGCTTATGAGATGAGACCGGGCCGGCTCGTGACTGAACATCGGATTCGGCCTTTGGGGTTGCCATAGAATCACTGCTTTGCTGGGTCCCTACAGGAGTAACCGCGCCCAACCTATCCCAGGGTTTCGGGGATGCTCGGGTTTCCGCGGGAGCTGATGTGGGCGCTGCTGATATAGGCGTCGGGAGCGTTGAAGTAGTCATATTAGTCGTCGCTGACATTGGCGTCGTGGATGAGATTGAAGCAGGAGTAAATGGGGTTCGAATTCTCGGTGACTCCTCAATCCGGCCTGACTTAATTGCCGAATCTGGTTGTGCCTCTTTAGATCTAAGTCGGTTCAATGAAAGCTGTCGAGCTAGCCGTGGGATCGGGCCGCTTTGCGTAGGTATCGTCAACGGGGTCAGATCTTTAGGGGAGAGCGGCTGTTTAGGAATTAAAGTAGACTTCTGGGCATTGTCAGAAGAGGTAGATAATTCTAGGCTCTCATCTAAGCTTTCTTTCAAGCTAGAGCCAACATCTACAGCATGGCGTAAACGCCATGAATTAACGGGAGAGCTAATGGATCGTTCATGCAACGCAGGCCGGCCTGGGATTGTTGCTGTAGATAGTTAGTATTGAATGAAGAACTAGATAGTTGAACTGCTCACGAGAATCCATTGCAACCTCCTGAACCGTCGTCATTGGGCCCAACTCGGGGACACTAATCTTCCTCCTCCTAGTCATATTATGCTCCTTGATTCGCATCCGAAGACCGTTTGCCACGGAAGACTTGTCCGTAGGTTGTCCCATAGCCATCGCAAAGGCTTTCTCCGGGTCTAATTGCTTTCCACTGGAAGATGGAAGCTGTTGCTCCCTAGGGAATAGCTGGTACTTTCGAGTCTCCGGGTTCTGCATCCTCCAAGCGTATGGCTTCTTCTCCTCAGTCGAGCTTATAGACGAAAGCTAAATGTTGATAAAGGTTAGTAAGGACATCCGCCAGCGTCACCCTAAATCAGAAAAGGAAAGAAAGAATCGTACTGAATCAGTAGAAGCTTGAGCGGAGAAAGCATTTGCTATATAACTTCTGAGGCTTCCACTGTCAAAATCGCTGTCAACCATACAAGAAGCTATATGGGCCATTGGACCTGCGACGGGGGTCCCCAGGTGAATCACAAACCACACTAATAAATTATTATAAGCAAGGAAAAGGAATAAAAGCTCTCTCAGAAGTGGAGGGAGGACAAGTAAAAATAACGGGTGCAAGTCATATATGCGTACAGTAAAAAAAACCGGTCGAATCGAGAGCAACGAAATTCTGCATGGCCAAAAATATGCAAACACTTAAGTTAAGAGACAGCCCTGCCCTTTCATAGTGATAGACATATGTAATAGACTTATGGGGAGGGAAACGGGGGAGGCAGGGGAAGCAGGACATGCATGTCCTTAATACTCGAATTATAGTCCGTACCAAAAAGCAGTCTGATATTTTTTTATCCTACCCTTTTCCCTACCCGTTGGTCTATAGGCGAAGCGAATAAGGGGATTTGTTAGACCAAATATGCGGCAGGGGAGTTGAGATGCAACCTCCACTTAGGGACCAGACATGATACCGCATGCATGTATCGACGACATGGTCTACATACGGCTAGCTGTAATGTGTGGATGTAGATGGATGTATGAAAATATGTACGTAGCTACCCCCAAATTCCCATACAATACCCGGATAGGTAGTAGTGTAGGTTGTGGTAGACAGCCCAGGCAGCGTTTCAACACTGGTTGATGAAGGTATCCGCCTTCAGGATCGGGTAAGATACGAAAAAGGGTTTAGACGGTATCGAGAAACAGTTTGGTGGTGGCCCAAAATGCTGCTCTGGACAAGGCTCCGGACAAGGAGTTGAAACCGCTTAAGCCCTTGACAGGGTCGCTGTAGCTTAGCACTTCTTAGCACTGCTTAGGTGGGTAGAGCTTTGACCCTGGCGCTGCAGGGGTATCCCATGGCTATCTTACATCCACTGTACGCCCACGGTGGTCGAGAACAGGGGTTGCGGATTTTTTATTATAACCATGCTGGTTAATAGCCGAAGCTTCTCGACACTGCTTAATTGAAACGAAGCGAACCTTTCTGTGACGCAGCTGCAGATAGAAAACGACGTCGTAGAAGCTCCCATTACTTCATCGCTCCCATCGTCAGCAAGGATTCTCAAAGAGATGTGAGCTAACCATGAATAGATACTGCTTGATATGTATGTAAGCATGGGATATACCGATACAGATCTTGGCAGGAGAGAGACAACCTTGATGTCTTTCATCACTCGCGCCCATCCCGATGGTTCTTCTAGGTAGCCTAGCCAGTTAGTATCTAGGGTGTAGGAGAACCCGAGCCACTTAACTCAGAAATCCTTCTCCAGAGATTTTTAAAACATTGATTCAGAGTAAGGCTCTCTGAAGATTGTCAGTAGGAAGGAATTGTAATGTTTGTAGAATGGATCCCATTTGTATGGTGTGGTGGGGGATAAATATACAATCTCAAGCTGTTGAAGTTTGAGGAGATTGAAACGAATCCAGAAGAGCAGTTTGAATGAGAAAAGTGTGGTACCTTGATACTTCCGAAGGATCTAAGATTGTGGAGAACCTACATACTTTTTAACACATGTACTTGTAACAGTTTCTACATATGTACATAGGTAGATACATGCGTATAGATAATCTTGTATAACTTGTACATATCCATATCCATGGGTATAAATGTAGTATAAGTGGAGGCAAAGAAAACGTGCATACACCGTGGATATTGATCTGCGGAGATGGTAACATCGCAACTGCAGAAGTCGGGGAAGATACTATAATATCTTCTGATTAACTTGCCTATCACTGGTTACGCTTGCGTTGGCGCATACGAATATGCAGCTTTAATTGTCGCTATGACAGTTTTCTATACTCTTTACCTTGAATTATTATACGCTATAGTCGGGTATGCAGCCGGGACCCGTCGTGGGTATGTGCTGAAGATCCAAGCACAGTCCAGTATGAGAAGTTGATATTCGAATAGGTATCAACTTGAATCTTGGACCTCTAGACCTCAATCACACCTTAAGATGCCTCATCTAGATGAGCCTATATGAATCATGTATGTGAACGTCCATGCGAGATGCATGACAATCATGGTGCATGTACCCCATAGCCAGTACCAAGGTTAGGTAATTGATTCCATCTTGATTGCCGTTGTATATGCCGTCTTTACCGGCAGAATGTAGGATCTTACATAGTAGGATCTTGCGTTGCATGTTAGCCACAGCGTCATCGATAAAACGACTTGAAAAGTTAAGAGTTACGAACGGCAAGGCTACGTACAGCAAGGTGAAGATCGCCGTATGGGTGTAGTAATGAAACATGTATTGACCGTGAAACTAAACTTCCAAGGCCTCGCGATTATCGATCTACAACTGTCAAAACTCTCTTGAACTTATCCAGCTCTTGAGTTATTCCTCCTCACTTGGGGCAGAGACATGCCGGAGTTCCTGCAAATTGAACAGCCCGAAGTCTACAAAAGTCTACAATATAGATAACACAGTTATATTTGGTGTGAGTTAGAAACAATAGCAGTGAGTTGAAACTAGATATTATTGTGCTTGAATACATAGCATTAAAGCACAATGGTATTAATAAAAACAGGGCCGATAAGTCTTCAATAATTCAGGTCCATAAGAGTTACCAAATATCATTTATGCCTTGACTTAGTAGGCCCATTTATGATAAAATCCTCTTATTATGAACAATTATTGGGGTATAAATCTATTTCAATATGGGAATATCAGAAATGATAGATATTAACAAATGAGTATATTCTTTAAGCAGAATTCGTCCGTGCTTTAGGTGTCAGGGCGTAACAGCGCCGCTTGTTAGTTGTAACTGGCTATGACCTAGTGCGTATTGTTGTAACCGAACCTCAAAAAGGAATAGTGCCAGTAACAATGCGGCGCTATCAAATTTAACCTTAACTTCGTAATCGGGAAACTTTCCTTTCCTTTCCCATGCTCTTTTTGTAGATGACTAAATATTTCCTATTTTTGAATATCAACCTGAACTTAAACCATGATAATACTAAAGTAGAGACCCTTTTCTACCATCATCACGAGACTTCGTTTCCACCATTCATTTATACTTACGTATGATTAAATCAATCCAAAACGAAACGCCTGTCTGTCGAAATTCGATGTAGCTTTTGCCCCTGTAACACAGAAACTTGGCGTACCTAATCAGACGGAATAAGCCAGGGTTCCTCGTCTTGGAAGCGAGTGGGGGGACGAGGGACGCCTCCAGGCCTCTCACCCCTAGCCCCCTTTTCAAATACAATGCCGCTGCCATCAAAAAAGCATGGCCTTCGTTACCTGACCGGACACGCCGTCCATAGCCTTCACTCGAAGCAATTAGCATACGGTTGCTCGGCATGCAGTGATTTACATGACCAACATCAATATGATCGACGTATTCTTTAACGGTTTCCTCTCATCTGTGATGAAGGCCAAGGCTTCGCGAGTGTACAATACTGGGTTACTTTTGAAAAGTAAGGAGCTGGCAACATTTACGTACTGAATACTTGCAAAACTTGACCAACTTGTCGGCGTCTACGGAACAGAAAGAGTTGAGACATTCTATGCTCCGAATCAAACCGGTTCGCAACGTCATCCGAACTCGCCTAGCCCTAAGATTCGGAAAAATCAATCGTCGCTCCCCGTTTCAACCTTAGAAGCCCAAAAGATGGATCAGCCCGAAACAATCAAGTGCCGGGGAAGAAAACGTGCCGGACAAATGGATATCTCGGTCCGGTCTGAAAGATCTCTTTATCAATCGACTTGAATTCCGAACAAATCGCGCTAAGTTTAATTTGATTCATGGTTGAAGATACACTAGTTCTACCTGAAGCAAGGCGGACCTGTTCCATTATCTCTTATTCCTAGATGTACAGCATTTTAGCGTTCTCTATCCGCACTTAGACCGGTAGCGAACGGTGCAGAATGTGGTCAAATGAAGATCGTTTATGGGATACTGCTAGGTGCACGCTAACTCAAGACACTACGGTATCAGTCCTACATCAACACCTCCAGACACCGAGACAATAATGAGTTCAGTCGAGATATGAGGCTGAAGGCCAAGTAAGACATTAAATATGTTTAACGACCTGGCATTGATATTATGGGAGCTTAAGTCGAATTTTATGATCAGCATTCCCGCCTGCCATGGAACTGGTGCAGGACAAGGATCCAAACGATCAGTTGTCAGGGGATCTAACCGATAAAATATTACGATATAGACATGGATTCCCTAGCTTAGTCTCTTTCCGCTCCTGGCAACAGTCAGGGTCTCGCGGGGTTTTCAGGAACAGAGCCTATCGGCATAGGACCGTAGCTCTGTTGTGGAACACGAAGGAAGTCTACTAGGAGGTCTTCTACGTTGTTCCCCGCCGTCGCCGTTGCCGCTGTCACCACCACTACAATCATCATACAGTGTTACAAGAACCGCCTTGATTCTGACATACCTAGCAATAATTGTGAATCGATTCCAAGATTTTTTACAGCCCAAAAATCGCTCAACTACCGAGGAGATGTTGGATACTACGGTATTACAAGAATATGCATATTTTCATTTCCGGCTATGATTAGGATTATCTTCATACGATGTTACCAAGTAGTGAGTGCAATGGTAGTGGCTCTCTGACCCTGCAGCTTACGCATACGTGCGTATGGCATCGTTTCGCGGCCAACATGTCTTACGTAAATGTGTAGATATATGCATCTTACTAGTCTGCTAGTATGATTTCCGACGTTGTGCTCTTACTTCGTAATCGTGGCTGCAGATGCGCAAGGTTGAGGCCAAATAATAACATATCAAGTAGCATACAAGATGATCTTGATTTATCTAGGTAAGTCTACGCGCTCGGACGGGAAGTGTCTAGGATCAATTTACACTTGCAGCTCTAAGGTTACTCAAGATCTTCTCAGGGAGCTCTTTTTGGAATGAAGTGCAATACGCCAGGTCCCTCTTCGTGAGATACGACGCCATCAATAAGGTCGAGCGCTGGACCAAGACACCTTATGAGGAATCGAGACCGCGCTTGAGTTGGAGTAAGGCAGATCGAGTCTATAGACGGCAGAAAGGAGGCTATGACAATTTGGTCAAACGGGGATGCATGGGCTCAATCTGAGCACTAACAAGGACTGCCCTCGACATTAGATCTGTCAAGAAACTCGACTCTAGTTTAACGTCATCTTATGTCTCAATTACTACTCCGATGACTCTTATAATTCATAGCCTCAAACATGGCGCAGTTCTTCTCTACGAAATAAATATCTTCTCCTCGGAGATAGAATATGAGAGAGCCTTGGCCTAAACTAGCTATGTACAAAACCCGAGACATGCAGTTCCAGACAGGAAGGGCATGTTTTTTAGACATACCAAAAAAAAGATCAAATCTTTAAGCTTACTTTTTAGCTCAATACCAATCCAACTCCAACATACATACGATATGTCAACCTGCATCGTTGGAAATACACAACTTTAATCCGAGCGTCCCAGCTTTTAACGGACCTACTCCTAAGCCACATCGGGGATCAAGTCCGTAGCCCTGAACAACGGATCGTCATAAATTTGGCTTAGGATGCGGTCTAAGATGGCCTTATTCCCCACGTATGAAGCCTCGAGATCCACCCTTCGCCCTACCTAGTCAGCACATGGCAATATGGCAGGGCTGTTAGTGAGACCTCATTTCCGATTTCAGGACCATTCTCGCCGGTTGTCTCTTCTTCCCGCATTAGAAACTCTTTCGTAGTGTAATTGACTAGAACACACCAATTGAATCGCCGTCGAGCTAGAAGATTTTAACACCACCTTTTCAGCAAGAAATCGCCAAGTTCAGATGGGGAAGTCATTGCTTTGGCAGCACCGATTTAACAGTAGCGTTAGTCTGTCGCCCGACACCCTAGCTAGAAAAAGATAGCTCCTATGTAAGTTGGTGGTTGTGAATGCTTATTCTCTTTACCCGCGCCGTTGTTGGTAGGTACGGTATGCCGGGAAGATCCCTACGTTCCCCCCCGCGCACTCACGAACTAGACTTGCCGGCGGCCCCTTGAGTTCTCTACCAGTTCTTACCAGAAGTTATTCGAAATAGGTACGGTTCTCACATGACTTCGTGAAGTACGGAGATTTCCTCAATGCTGGGTCGGATGAAGAGGTATTTTCTTACCCGTGTTGGCGTACCATACATGTAATGTCCTATCCTATACACTAGTCGCGCATGATGCATGATGCATGAGATGTACTTCCAATATTACTGGTTCTCTATAGGATTTTTCCCTCATTTCGGGTGATTAAGAGTACCACACGTTGAACCCGCCGATGATAGCGTAGAGCTGGGAGGAACAGAAACAATAGGAGGCCGATGCGGGAAAGCTTGATTCGTCGACTTCGAAACTTAGCACATGGCATTAAGCATGAATCATTAGGTACCCGTCCAATTTGATCAACCAAGAACGCAGTCATGTTTCTTGGGTTAGTTTATGCCCCTATTTCCGGCAAGTTCCCCTCGTTTTTTAGAAACAAACCTACATGTGGGAAATGTTCAACGCAAAGCGTATAGATTGAGAATAAAATATCACTACGAGGTCTGAGGGCATTAGCGATTTATTCCTCTTTGCACTATAAAGACTGGCCTATTGTCAGTGCAGCGCGCAGTGTGCTCTTTGCCAAGGAGCTGTCACCAAGAATTGTGCCCTAAACTGCATGCTGTGCCGTTCCAATACCAGAGCACGGGGCTCCTCCACAAGGTCCCCTAAGGGCCCTAGGACCTTAAAATAACATATCTTTACCCAACACGGCGGCAACGCGCATGTCACAGTGCGTGCTGGCCAACTTAGAGATTAGCAGTCACAATCACCGAGACAGCGCCGTGACCGCTGTAGCCGCTAACTATCTTTTTTCCTTCTCTTTTTTCGTTGTAATCCTTCGATGGGGGAGGGGCAGCCACACGTGGTGAGGGTATCTTGAATACTACCTAGACATAATATACTATCATCCCACTCTTACGTTTGTATACCCCTAGAATCTCGACATTGCGGTGTCGGAACCAACTTCCAACAAGTTTTAGTTGCTCGTTTCTTGGTAGTATACCTGCATTTACTATGCACGATGTTGCCTTCTTCATGGTCTCTCGAATGCCGAGTTGGCGAACCATGGATATCTACCTACCTACTTAGGTATCCTCAAGGCTGCAGACCTTCTAGGAATATTTCATCCCATCTCTTGCCAAGTGAATAGTTCATGGATCTAGTTGAACGGGTATGCCTTGGCTTGCTTCCGGAAGCAGGACATAGTACAGGAAGAGAGGGGGGAAGAAGAAAAAAAGAGGGAAAAATACTTAGTAGATTATTCAGCGGGCAGGTTTGTTTCAGGGCAAAGAAGAAATACTTGATTTGCATGGATCTGATGCAGGTCGTAACAGTACTAGTCACAACCCAAGCCCTGGAGAAGCATCGTTTCAGGCTGTCTACCTACTTAAGTAAGGTAAGTTGGCACGCATTGCTAGCTCTTTTTGACGTTTTCGTATCCCCTTATGATGAATTTATCTCTCATACTCCTAGTTTTTTCCCCTTGTCTCGGTTGCTGCACCTGCTGCGATGCGGACGGGCCGTGGCTTGCGTTGGTGGATCAACTTTTCCAATTTTGAGAATTATTGAAAAGGATTACTAACCCAAGCCCCCCTTAACCAGGGTATATCAATTTACCCGTAAAGAGCATAGATTGATCTCCGATATGTAGATAACATGTATATGTATATATAAAGTAACGGCTTTTGCCGGCCCGCCTCGGAATTCACCTGCCCCGCATGTCGATGTACCTAGGTAGTAACACAAATGACGAATTAACTTAATTCAGTAGACAGTAGACAATAGACAGCTGGCAACTGCTACTCGCCGTTGCGAAAACCGAATAACTTCATGAGGGGTAACATCCTATTTAGAAGTATCCAACTCACTCTCCCTAAGTTAAAGTCACCGTCGTCGTCTTTACTGGTGCACATTCATTTACGACGCTTTAGCTTTATCCCCGCGAAATCCATGGCCCCTCGTGACCCAAACACCCTAGCCAACTATGGCGAATGGCGCATCAAACACACGACTGTCAATTTCAAGGTTAATTTCGAGAAACAACGTCTACAAGGTTCTGTCCTCTTAGAATTCAATTCCTTGACGGATAAGAAAAGCCGTGAGATTATCCTTGACACGAACCATCTAGCGATTTCGTCGGTCAAGGTCGACGGTGCTAATACGCAGTGGGTCATCGAGGACCGGGTTGAGCCATACGGCGCACCGCTTCATGTTTCCGTACCGGATGGGGTACCGCAGGGAGAGGCCGTCAAGCTGGACATTGCTCTAGAAACTACCGAGCACTGTGTTGGTTTGCAATGGATGACCCCGGCTCAGACTGGAAACAAGAAACATCCATATGTCTACTCACAATGCCAAGCTATTCTAGCCCGGTCTATCTTCCCGTCTCAAGACACCCCGGATGTTAAATCCACATTCACCTTCAACATCACATCGCCGCTGCCGGTAGTGGCGAGTGGAGTACCGGTACCCTCAGACACTAAGGGAGAGGAACAGGGCGATAAGCTGTTCCGCTTCGAGCAGAAGGTTCCTATCCCCTCATACTTGTTCGCATTAGCTTCGGGAGACCTTGCAACCGCGCGCATCGGGAAGAGGTCTGTGGTTGCAACGGGACCAGAGGCCCTTGAAGACGCGAAATGGGAATTTGAAGCAGATATGGATAAATTCCTCGAAGTGGCGGAAAACTTGATTTTCGACTATCAATGGGGAGAGTACAACGTCTTGGTCCTACCCCCGAGTTTCGCCTATGGAGGTATGGCGTTAAGAAGCCCCTGAACGTAATGGTGTTTATTGACTCGTGATGATAGGAATGGAAAACCCCATCTTCACTTTTGCTACACCGACTGTTATCAGTGGGGATCGTCAAAATGTTGACGTGATCGCACACGAATTGAGCCATAGTTGGAGCGGCAACCTTGTGGGGTGCGCATCTTGGGAACATTTGTGAGTGCGATCGGTTATTTGCACTTTATCACGAAACGGAGCTAATGTATTTGAAGCTGGTTGAATGAAGGTTGGACCACCTATCTCGAACGCCGTATTGGCGCCGCCGTCCACGGTGAACCCCAATTTGACTTCTCGGCCATCATTGGCTGGAAAGCGCTTGGTATGTAAATCGACAACCACCATGTTTCATTCGGCGCTAATGAGCTGCAGAGGACTCCGTTTCAGTATTGGGAGCAGACCACGAGTTTACCAAACTCATTATCAATCATAAGGGGGTAGATCCTGAAGACGCCTTTAGTACGGTACCCTATGAGAAAGGTTTCCATTTTCTCTATTACCTTGACCGCTTGGTCGGTAGAGAACATTTCGACAAGTTTATCCCACACTATTTCCATACGTGGGCGAACAAGTCTCTAGACTCATTTGAATTCAAGCAGACTTTCTTGAACTTCTTCGAGGCTTATGGCAATGCGGAGATCAAGGAGAAGATCGCTCAAATTCCTTGGGAAGACAGATTCTACAAGCCAGGCTTGCCACCAAAGCCCGAATTTAATACGGCTTACGTCGATACTTGTCTCGCATTAGCTGAGAAATGGAAGAACGAGGTAAGTGATCGAATTGTAATTTAATTTCAGTTTTGCGACATTGTATGGATGACTCACACTGTTGATAGGATTACCAACCAAGCCCTAAAGATATTGAGTCGTTCTCAGCCAATCAAACACTCGTCTTTTTACAAGCCATACAAAACTTCCCAAAGCCCCTAAGTGCAGAGAGATCGCATCTCCTTGGAACTACCTACAATGTTACTTCCTCGAAGAACGTCGAGTTGAAGTCAGCGTACTATGTCATTGCCCTGCAGGCTCAAGATAAACAGGAATTTCCTGGTATCGTCGAGCTCTTGGGTTCTGTTGGCCGTATGAAGTTCGTCAAACCTCTATATAGGAAGCTAAACGAACTCGATAGGGACTTGGCAATTAAGACATTCCAAGATAGCAAGGACTTTTATCCGTCCACAACGAGGGGACAGATAGAGAAGCTCTTAGGTTTGAAGTAGGTGCTTTCTCGGCCTGCTTGAATTGAAAATATTGAAATGGTACTTACTAAGGTCATTTGGTATGACTACTTGCTCGTCAGGCCCCTAAATGACAATTCACATGTTGAAGTCTGATGACCACGTAACTCTAATAAGTCAGACCCCTATAATAAGGGGCGATATTAGTTAGTATAATTGATAAAATACAGCTGGCTAAATTGAGTTTGTCAGCTGGCAGCATAGAAGCAGTACAGCAGCTTAATTGCACTAATCTTAGGTACCTATTTTAGGTAGGTTTAATCATGCTAATATGCTAACACGTGAAGTTCTTGGCAATTTGCCCCATAGTTCTAGCCTGATGTGACGAATGACAAGGTCAGGAAGTCGTCGGTCGCGAATCGCGTCCCCATTTTCTGTTCATTAACGAACAAGTTGTTGACTGATCCCACCAACCAAATTTCATATAATCATCTCCGCGACAACGCCTGACTCGTTACGATCGATCATCTACCCGCGACGGAGACTGAAATATTGACTGCGCAGCGCAAGCTTACTGGATTTTATCGGTTTGATTTGTATCACAACGGAACGTTTTAACGGCAACTTGCGGCCGGTTGGCTGCTTTTTTCCTTTTTCTGTCCACCGCTCCTTAACTTTTTAACGTTGTTACGATCTCTTTTTTTATTCTCTGCCACGAGGTGTTAAGGTTCCGCGGGGGGCCACGGACTCGGTTTCGCAGCCGTCCCCGCGTAACAAAGGGGAGGATGAAAGGTATCCAAGACTATTATTGGAACTAAGATTTTATTTGGAAAAGAAAATACATACAAGAATAAAGCAGGCCATCCGACTACTGCGATTTGGTGTGTGTGAACTTTCGAACGATCGGTCCGACACGCGAAGTCTATTCCTCCGTTATACGCCGTCGTCGTGCGCTTCGTCTGTCGAATGCCTCGGCTCGATTTAATACTCGCTGTATAGCTGTAGTGGAAGAGAAGGTATCGCCTTCATCTATCAACCATGGCTGGAGGAGGAAATATTAAGGTGGTGGTGAGGGTGCGGCCCTTTAACGGTAGAGGTACGACTCCTTATTTTTCAACCTTGTCGGAACTGGGGATAGCCTAATAGAAACCGTTGCGCTCTAAGTTTGGACGGACGCTGACATCGTTCAGAAATCGACCGTGGGTCAAAATGTATCGTTGAGATGAAAAACAACCAAACGGTCCTAACCCCACCACCCGAAGCCGGTCATAATGCGAAAGGAAATAAGGATACATCCGTAAAGACGTTCGCATTCGATAAGTCTTATTGGTCTTTCAATAAAAACGACCCGAACTACGCTGGTCAGGAAAATCTACACGATGATCTTGGCAAACCCCTTTTGGACAATGCCTTCCAAGGTTATAACAACTGTATCTTCGCCTACGGTCAGACGGGTTCGGGTAAATCATACTCTATGATGGGATATGGAAAAGATGCTGGTATTATACCCAACATTTGCCAGGATATGTTTACGAGGATCGAGGATTTGCAAAAGGATAAGACAACAAGGTGTACCGTGGAAGTATCATACCTCGAAATCTACAACGAAAGGGTACGAGATCTGTTGAACCCGTCTACGAAGGGTAACCTCAAAGTCCGAGAACATCCCTCCACTGGTCCTTATGTCGAAGATCTTGCCAAGTTGGTAGTCAGTAGTTTCCAAGAGATCGAAAACCTTATGGACGAAGGAAACAAGGCTAGAACGGTCGCCGCGACGAACATGAACGAAACATCCAGTCGAAGTCACGCTGTATTCACACTGATGCTTACCCAAAAGAAGTATGATGCAGAGACGAAGATGGAGATGGAGAAGCAAGCGAAGATCAGTTTAGTCGATTTGGCTGGTTCAGAAAGAGCAACGTCGACAGGTGCTACAGGTGCCCGATTAAAGGAGGGTGCTGAAATCAACAGATCCCTATCGACACTTGGTCGTGTGATAGCAGCCTTGGCCGATCTCTCAACTGGGAAAAAGAAAAAGGGACCAGGAGGAACGGTTCCATACCGAGATAGTGTTCTAACATGGCTTTTAAAAGACTCGTTAGGTGGTAACAGTATGACTGCTATGATAGCAGCAATCAGTCCCGCCGATATCAACTACGACGAAACATTAAGTACACTGCGATATGCCGATTCTGCTAAACGAATTAAGAACCATGCTGTCGTCAACGAAGATGCGAATGCCCGTATGATTCGGGAGTTGAAAGAGGAGTTATCACTACTGCGAAGCAAACTTGGAGGTGGTGCTACTGGTGGCACGGGCGGTTCTGCTGTTCCGCCAGAGGAAGTCTATGCTGAAGGTACACCTCTAGAGAAACAAATCGTCAGCATAACGCAATCGGACGGCTCTGTCAAGAAGGTATCGAAGGCAGAAATCGCCGAGCAATTGAGCCAGAGCGAGAAACTGTTGACCGATCTCAACCAAACCTGGGAGCAGAAACTCCAAAAGACGGAAGAAATCCACAAGGAGCGTGAAGCTGCCCTTGAAGAACTCGGTATTAGTATCGAGAAGGGCTTCGTAGGATTGCATACTCCAAAGAAAATGCCCCATTTGGTCAACCTGTCTGATGATCCTCTTCTCGCGGAATGTTTGGTCTACAACCTTAAACCAGGAAAAACTACAGTGGGAAACGTAGACTCGAATTCTGAACATCAGGCAAACATTCGTCTAAATGGTACTCGAATTCTACATGAGCATTGTTCCTTTGACAATGCGGCGGACGGCACTGTTACAATCACTCCACATGACGGCGCATCTATCATGGTTAATGGAAAGCGCGTCGCTGAAACTACAAGGCTACACTCTGGTTATCGAGTCATTTTGGGCGACTTCCACATATTTCGATTTAACCACCCCATGGAGGCCCGTGCCGAGCGAGATGAGAATCGCCAGAGTTTACTCCGCCAATCGGTAACAGCAAATCAATTACAGAGTCTGGATCGCTCGTCACCTTCACCCCGATTAGGACACGAACGATCAATAAGCAAAGCGGGTTCTGAGTTTGGTGAGAGTCGTCCGGAATCGCCTGCGCCGTCCCGAAATGGCCGAGATTCGGATTGGTCTTTTGCGCGACGAGAAGCCGCCGGCGCTATTCTTGGAACAGATAAAAACCTCCAAAGCTTGACCGACGAGGAACTCAATGCGCTGTTTGAAGATGTTCAGCGCGCCCGAGCGGAGCGTGTCAATGATCGCGAAAATGACGATGACCTGGAATCGAATACATCTTATCCTATTAGGGAGAAGTATATGTCAACAGGTACCATCGACAATCTTTCGCTCGACACAGCACTTACTATGCCATCGACTCCGAGAGCTGGTGAAGCTGACGACCGCCTCAAAGAGATTAGAGAGAACATGCAAAACCAGTTGGAGAAGCAGAAAGAAGAATATCAAGGACAACTTAAGAGCGCTGGTGCAGCTAATGTCGAGGTGGAAGAGATCAAAAAGGAGAAGGCTAGAATGGAAGAGACGCTCACACAGTTGAAAGCTGATATGCAGAAACAATTAGAAGTCCAAAAGCAAGAATTCCAAGCGAAGATTGAGAAGCTCGATCCGCTCAAGCGACCGAAAGCTAAGCCGAAGTTATCCGAAGAGGAGCTTGAGAGGGCTAAGAAGGTCGTACAACATTGGAGGAGCCGGCACTATGTTCAAATGGCCGAAGCCGTCCTGCAACATGCAGCTACTCTCAAGGAGGCGCAAATTATGAGCGAGGAATTGGGCGAGAATGTCGTTTTCCAATTCACCGTTGTGGATATCGGACATGGCCGTTGTTCTTCCTATGATATGGTGCTGAATGATGTGCCTGGTGAAGGTGAAGATTTGGCGCTCGATGAGGCGCAGAAACCATGCGTGGGGGTCCGCGTCGTCGATTACAAGAATACTGTCGTCCATCTCTGGAGTTTAGAGAAACTTCACGATCGCGTACGGCAAATGCGACAGATGCATCAATATCTCGACCAGCCGGAGTATTCTCAACACTTCAAACTAGATAATCCTTTCGTCGAGAATTGCATGCCTGAATATTCCCTTGTTGGTGAGGTCGATGTGCCACTTCGAGCTGTTTTCGATAGCCGAGTCCAAGATTTTACTCTTGACATTTTATCGCCTCATACTTCTCATGCAATTGGGATCATTAAAGTTTCTCTAGAACCTTCTAGCGCTCGAGCTCCGTCAAACACGTTGAAGTACAATGTTGTTATGCACGATATGGTTGGCTTCGCTGAGCGGGAGGGGACTGATGTCCATGCGCAACTTTTCATCCCGGGTGTATCCGAAAGTGTTACGACCACCCAAATGATCAAAGATTTTGACGAAGGTCCAATAAGATTCGACAGCGTTCACAGTATGAGTGTTCCATTATTCGGTCCTCGCGATGTTAATTTGAGGATCGCGATATTCGCGAAAGTTTCCACGATGCACCTCGACAAGTTACTAAGCTGGGATGAGATGCGTGACTCCACGCCAAATACCGATCATAAGTCTCAAGGTGCTCGGATAAATGAGGCCCAATTCTACACCGAGGAAAAGCACGACTTGTTAGCTCGCGTGCAGATCCTCGAACTTAGCGAGAACGGAGAATACGTTCCGGTAGAGGTAACACAGACAAGCGAGCTAGATACTGGCACTTTCCAGCTTCATCAAGGTCTCCAAAGGCGCGTCGCAATCAATCTTACGCATAGCTCGGGCGATGCATTGCCATGGGAAGATATCAGTTCTATAAAAGTTGGCAAGATTCAACTTGTCGACCATGCCGGCAATATTCCTGATATGGCGTCTCCTGTACCTGACATTCCACTACGACTCAGCGCGAAACCATCTTTCCGACAAAATGCAAATGGTACTCGAAGCATGACTATCACAGGACAATGGGATTCGAGTTTGCACAATTCACTGCTATTAGATCGAACGACGGCAGATAAATACAAAGTGCAGATGACCCTATCTTGGGATATAGCTGCCGATAACCTTGCCGAACCGATGAAGTTCTCTACGAACGTTTACTGTCAAATATTAGGAAGAACGTTCGTGCGCCAAACATCAATGCTTTCCTCGCTTTTCCAACACGTTAGGATCGTGCATTCTTCCTCCGCTATCTATACTGTTAGTATGCGACCAGCACCAATTAAGCGAGTTGGCGATCTTTGGAGAATGAATAGTCAACACAACTACGTGAAAGGCGAAGAAAACTTAAGTAATTGGGGCCCTAGGGGAGTTTCACTAATAGGCGATTACATTGCGGCACGAAAAAAGAAGAGACGTATTACTGAAATCGCCGCGGCTCAACTATTTTTGAAGAAAATTGGTTTACCTGAGCTAAAGGTGAAGCCCGTAGAAGATGAAGATCATTCCGATGATGATGTTTCTCCAGCACTAAAGGCCCGCGATGATGACCAAGATTCAATTAACGCGCTTCTCAACGATACTCCTGAGACATCACGACCGTCGACACCGAAGCAACCAGAATCCCAAGCGGAATCCACCGATGGCGAACAAAATGAACAGCCTTCGGAGCAAAACGGGGAGTCCGAACAAATCGTCGAGCAGCCCCCCACACAATCCCCCATATCGGAGTATAATGAACATGAGGCGCTCATCCTAAACAAATGTCTGAAATATTGGTCGAGTCATCCTGACCCTGCAGCTCGCATCCTTGGCCCAGCGCATACGGCGCCTCCTACAGATGGGGTCGCTCCCGAGTCAATTACCCCGCCGAGATTAATATCCACAATCATTCGGGTACCTAAAAATCCGAACGTACTAAAAGGAGGCTATCTTCTGGTACCCAATAATGATTACAGCAAATGGGTCAAGAGATTTGTTGAACTCCGACGACCTTATCTCCACATTCACAATGTTACCGATGGGGATGAAGTGGCTATTGTTAGTCTTCGCAATTCTAGAGTCGACAGTCAGCCGGAAATTCTAGCATTGTTTAACGATCACGATGAAGAACCGGACCTACTAAGCCCACCGAATGGCCATGGAAATTTCACACCAGGTCATCGCCGAACGCCATCCGGTCGCACAGTTTCAACCATTTGGTCCGGAACCTCTACTAGGTCTTCAGGTCCCAGCCTTGGCGGCTTAAGCGAGCGTCTGCAGGCAGGCGTATTTGCCGTTTACGGAACAGACAATACGTGGCTGTTTGCAGCTCGCAACGAGCGCGAGAAAATGGATTGGATTTTCCGTATTGATCAGAGTTATTTTTCTGGTACTGGAAGCGCTAATGGGAGCATCAGCGGTAGTGGCGCTGTCAGCCCGCAACCTAGGCATTATCTAGATGGCGATTAAAATATTCCGCCCATTCCACAAATTAAATCAAAGCACCAGCCAGCCAGTCTGGCGCCTCTCTTGGATGCTACGAAATCACGACTGTCTTCGGTTATCATAATGGAAGCATTTACTGGTTGGGATAGTTGCGAGAAACACACAGACGGCGTTGCTATTCCTTTTTTTTTAGTCTCCCTTTTTTGTGTTTTAGAATACCCTCTGTTGTATCACCATCTTCAGATCACCCCCCAGAGAGAGAAAGAAAGAGTTCTTTCTGTATTACTTTTTAGATTATACCCCGAAAGTCTTCAAGTCGTGGGAAAGGGGAGTTCGTAAAAAAGTGCAGGTAGATGTGTGCGCGAGGGAAGAGGGGACAGAGTTCTAGGTACAATTTTTTCTTTCTTTTGTCGTATAAACAAACCCCGTCTTTGACGCGAGTGAAATCATAAGTTGAAGGCAAAGGCCTTGGTAGACGAGCGGTATTGATACCAGATAGGTTGGCGGGTCGTTCGTAATCGGTTCGCAGGGGACGCGAGTGTCGCGCGGCTTAATAGAAAGAGTTTGAAGTTTGAGGTATTTTACTATGCTTGTGGTGATAATTGATGCGAGGGGACTGCTCCTTAGCTGGTCTTATTACACTACTGAGATTTTCACATACGACGAAGTAGGTAAGGCATTAAGTCAAGGCAAGGCAAATCAAGGCGACGTAGTTGATTAATTTCTAATATGATCTAAATAACATATAAAGTATCACAAATAAGGTACGTTCTAGTTTCGTTTCTCTCCTTCACCCCTTCAAAATGTCTAGGCTAGGTAGGTACCTAGATAGGTATTTTCACGGTAGGTCCTAATGTCTCTCTACTCTTCGAGGAACTCATGCAATTTATGCCACTCGTCGAAGTCTCGCGGGCGTCTTCCTAGCTCTTCGACACCCGGAACATTGAATACTTTCATCACTTCCTTCTCCACGGTGAGATCTTCATGGAACGCCACACTAGGCCAAGCTGAGGCTACTAGCTTCCCTCGGTAGTAAACCTCGCAGCAGAAGTACTCGCGCCACGAACCGAGTACCTCGCCGGCGGCGATAAGCGAGCGCCAGAGGTCGTTACCGAGGGGGTTGTGCTGGTGGATGCGGATTACGGGCACACGCACTTCGGTGGGACGAGGACAGGTGAAGATCGAGGGCTCTTTGTCGGATTTCTCGATTAGTTCGACATGGAGGACCCTTCGAAGCAGCGGGAGAAGTTAAAATGGCGGTCCTCTGCCCACCAGTAGTCGTAGAAGTCGCCGAACTTGGCGGGTTGGGAAGTTGGGCTGGTAGACATGGTTGCTGTTGTTCGTTGATGTGGTGTCTGAAATGTATGGGTTTTGTGTGGGTTTTTTGGTGTTGGTGTCTGAGGAAGGATGGGAGGAATGAGAGCCAAATGGAGAGAAACTGGGTGTGTTTATATCTATTGGGCAGTGCACGTTCTTGCAAGGAGACGGTCTCGATTTCTTGTTTGTCACTCATAATGTGTCAATTGCTCGATGAGGATTTAGGATGGAAGGGACTCGACGAATATTTAGTTGGGTGCCCACGTCGACTAATATCTGGCATTTTAAGAATGTGTCGCACACCCAAGTCATACAGAGCTTCATGGAGGTGAATATCATAATGAACATCGAATTGTGGTAGTGCACCACCGAATCTGCAAGACATACCAAGAAAAATAGTCGAGGAAGAATAGTAGATTCATCAATTCTCATCACGATGTTCTGTAGTCCTAGTCTGTATCAAATGTTGTCGCGAAATACAGTCCCTCAAGATCGGAGCCACACCCCAGAGAAGAGTAAGGACAAAGTATATCTGGAACACACTGTGATTTGGCTTGCTCTTTCGTTATTGAGCGTGCCGTAGACTTAGGCACTAAGACAAGATAGCACGGCGGGTGAATTGTCTACACACTAATATCATCTAGACGGTGTACAAAACATTGTTATTTAGATTCTTAACATCACTTTTCTATCCTTAACGCTGGTGAAGCTTGACCAAAAGTTCAAGATCTAACTCTAAATGACGAAAACCTGATCCGTATCGCCTATTACAGGGTTACTAGGAGAGGAATGCATACACTTCACTCCAGGGAATGTAGCTCTCCTCACTTCCTTCATACTCCTCTGTTACCTCATTATTTCCATTTCCATCCTTCTGACCCTGTTTATCCTCCGCGAGAAAACTTATATCCGGCCACACAGTCATCAATAACTCCCCAGGCCCGCTATATAGCACGCAACCATAGTACTCTAGATACGGACGTAGCTCTGCACCAGCGGCGACGATGGCATCTCGTAACGCGTGCCGATCACCGTTGATAGATGCGTCGGGACCCTGGAGGTAGATCATGATGGTGGGAGCGAGCACGGTGATAGGTCCGGTATCGGTCGAGTTCGCCGCGTGCGTGGCTTTTTTGGTATCGCAAAAGTGTATGATTACACCTTCGGGCAGATGCATACAGAAGCCGTCAGCACGCTGCTCCCAGAAAGTGCGTAGTGAGGCGAAGTCCTCAGGCTCTGGCGTGATTGACGGGGTGTTTGGGTTGGCCGACATTTTTCTTATTCTGGGTTGGATAGTTTGTTGAATGTAGGTATGTTTTTAATATTGTGTGTAGGTAGGTGACCGTTGGTGTATGCAGAGGAAAGGGGGGATGGGAGCTCGGCGGAACGAGGAAGCGGCTTATATAAATTGGGAAAAGAGGTCGTACTCGACTCCCTAACCATTGCTAGCATTGCATTCTCGGTTGAAGATACACTAGATACTCATTAATCCTCGGAGTGTACGGCGGATAATCCGTAGCTGGCGTTCTACACACGATAGTCACATATGATAGGCCATCTGAGTAGGTTGAGATGAATAATATCACCATGAGTGGTCGTAGAGTAGAACCAAAGTATCACACCAAGTCAGGAAGCATGTGTAAAAATGAATATGAGCCATAACCATAATAATATCTCATTGCAACTTTTCCCATGCCGTATCTATGAGAGCCATCGCAACCCCCATCCTACCGAGTCAAGACCCAACCGATCTATAAACCCTAAGTGGTGAAACGATTGACAAGGAACCGTGCACCAAGCCTGACATCCCCAGAATCCTCCTTTTCAACCCCTAATCCCATAGAGATAGGACCATCTAGCACTGGCTAACATCACCAATATCCAGAAAAACACCCGCACCCGCAATCTCCGAGAACTTAACCTCGCCCTGTCCCTGCGCAATAGCAAACTCAAATCCCATAACAGCCTCGCACGCGAAGCTGTTAATCACAGTCTTGGTACCGGCGCGGAAGCGCACCGACCCGATCAGGCTACCGGCTACGGGGCCCGTGGTCGCGGTTACGTTGACGAGGTCGTCGCCGGTGCTGGTGATGGGATAGTTGTCGGGGAACTTGACGATGAGCTCGCAGGGGCCAGCAGGCGCGTTAGAGGGGATGAGGAAGGAGATTGTGGCTGGTGTGGCGGGCGTGATATCGAAGTTGATAGGGAAACCTAGGGCGGAGGGGGCTTGCTCGAGGCACGCGGCGGACGCGGAGGTCGCGGCAGCGAGGATAGAGGTGGTGAGGGTGTTGAAGCGCATTTTGGCTGGTTGTTTGGTTTAAAGTAGAAAGTTTTGTTTGGTAAAGTGTTAACGTTTGTAGTAGCTAGTAAGCTGGAAAGGAGGTTTGAAGTTTTAGAGCTGGCGATGAGAAATCGTGATGGAAGACAGATGGAACATCGTTGACTTATATAGGGGAAGCCTCACCCCTATATCACCCTACGTCACCTTATAATATCCCCAATACGAGATTCCTCCCACTAGGGCATTTTCCCTCTTGTTTATCGGCGAACAAGACGTTGGTGATACGAACTCAATCATCGTAGACCGGCTATTCGAGTATCCAACCAAGGAGGCGGATATGCCACGGGATACTCGGTATCGCTCAGAGCTGGAGTGATGAAAAGCCACCAAGGCGAGCGCTATGCTCAGCTTACTGACCGCTCTAACTGAGCTGGGTTGGAACGTTGCATGAGGCTGTAGGGCTGAGCAGCGTGATGATGATGGAGAGTCGTTCGGTCTCTCGTATAGACCTCCAGAGCTAGATCCTCCGGTACTTGGCGCTAACCTAGAAAACCCCGCGAATGCGCATTGGGGTTGACGTAATAATAAAATCCCGACCTCATTCCATCGTGATATTTTTGTGGCTTAGCTTTAAAAGGGTGTGAAGACTGCCAAGAGGAGGCTCACTTATGTTAGCTTGAAACTTGTGTTATATTCCGGTTATTGTAATATTATCAATGCGAGCTGCGGATAATAACCATCGCATGGTCAGTCCTAGAGAAGCCGGTAAGATAGTTAGTTAAAGCGACATCGGATAGTGCTGATGTGAGAGCCAACGTCGCGATTTATAAGATGGCTTGACTATAAGTCACGAGGTAGCACAAGTTGAAGTAGGCTACTGATTTGAATATTAGAAGCTAGGAAATAAACCAAAATGCAATTTCAACGGGAGTTTATTATTAGCTTTTGAAGTATCACCACCTCCCCTACCTTATGCCTTACGCCCAGCCACTATCATGGCTTATTAGGTAATTCGAATCCCCATGGGGACATTAAGTTCTAGGTGCTCGTAAAGTCGTCCCTTTCATAACAGTCATTAGGGGCATATACGTCCCGCGTAATATGTCCGGAAAGCGAATCCTGTCGCGAGTATCAGAATGATATAGCCTAGAAGACCCTTGGTTGCGGACCCTTCAAGCTTCCTTCTCTATGTCACTGCCATTCTTCACGGGCTTAACGTGAGCATGGTTCTTTTCATTGACATAGACATCCTCATCCTTGCCCTCAAACAAGACTTCCTTATTGATAACAGCCCTGACGTGGTGAACGAATACGTATATCCACATGAGGACGAGTAATATGGTCATGGCGCTACCAACCGCCATTACGGCTCGGCTTTGTAGGATCTTGCCAATAGAAATGATCGTGATCGTAAAGCCAACGTTCGGAAAGACGTAAGCATACCAATTCAGATGGAACGTTAACTGCTTCCTAACGGCGAGGTTGGCTACTACGGAGATGCAGAAGAACCACAGGCTCATTGACCATATGAAGATGCTTGTAGAGGTAGCGAGGACGCGGAGGATTTGGATAGTGATAGAGTCGGCACCAAAAGTATTATAATGGTCGGGAAAGTCGTTCGCAAGCCCAATTATGGCAAGACTAGTGAACGAAGGCGGCCCGACAGCAATAAACATACCAGGTCGCGAATTAGGAGATGGAAAACCCCATTGTATCATGCGACGTACGTAGCTCGCCTGCTTTATATTAGTCATTCCGCCAACGAACCCTGTACCACTTTATCTGTTTTCTTCTACACGGAGGGGGGGATGAATGGTTACTACTTACTACAGAAATGTTAGCATCTATAAAAGCATTGGGGAATAAGAAGGTAGGATCCTAGCAAAATATCATACGCACCATACATCATGATCGATACGCTCATCCCGAGACCTTGTGCCGTCAAGCCACCAACTATCATGGGAAGCGCGTCGCTTGGTGGTTGAAAGGCGGCACCCGCAGATGCTACGGTACCGGACAGCATGAAGGGGAATATAGGGAGATCCCAAGCTGGCGTCATATCTTGTATCCTCAAAAGTGGAGAAGTGAAGAGGAGAGAGTACTGGCCAACAGCAATCGCAAAGGTGATTACAAAATATATCCAGAATAATACTCGGTAAGCAGTGACCAACCAAGGCCCGCAAGAAGGGATTCCATAGCGAGCTATGCCGGAGATGATGGATGCCAAGCTCAGTGTCGAAGTTCCTAGGAAGAGAGCTTCGGTGGGGTGGGTAACTGAGGCTTTCAGGGTACCAGGATACTTGTTGAAGCGGTAGAAAATCGCAGCAGTTACTAGGGTGAATATAACAAGGTCGAAGATGTAGACTATCTTCCCAATTGTTTGAAGGCCTGGAAATATGAAGCCTTGCGTGTCTTCTGCAAGAAGTAAAGAGAGCCCACCAGTGGACATAGGGAATGTGTAGTTGGCCCAAGTAAAATGTTCGAGTCTGGCCAAAAAATCGCTCATGAAATTTTGCTTTTGGCCTTCCCGTGGACTTGCATTTTCCTGGGATCCTTCATAGTTGCTAGATGACGAGCTTTCCTGTTCTTGTCCCATTTTCGTCTAAGATTTCCCTCCGTATCAGAATTGTGGTATTAGCGACAAAAAGAAATTAAATTGTACAGCAGCAATGTTACAAGTTAATGCGATCAATTTTCTGGAAGAGAAGTTCGGGTTGATGAATTTATTTAGGTGTTGCGGATTGGGTGCCAAAAACTACGTGTACCTACGTGTATGACACGCCTATCACAACATAGAACATAGAATAAGTAGTACAGGGCGATTAGTCATCGTTCGATTTCACGTTAGTAGCTGTATGAGCTGGATTTAAGCTTTTCGTCGCTTCCAGTTCATTCGTTGACGAAAATATCTTGATCTGTGTCATCGGTGCAATACAACCTTATCATTAAGGGGAAGAAACTCTATTGTGGCTAGTTTTATTACGCATCATACGATATTTGTTCATTCACGTTAGAATAGCGAGCAGTAGCGACCTACGCACTACGCAGTAAGTTGCGGGAGCTAGTGGTGATAATTCCCTGACGCTAGCGTCCTGAGCCGTCGCTGCCGCCCCTAGAAGCGGGGCCTTCAGAGCTGTCATGTCCCTAATACGGGTGCAACCGCGCCATAACTAGGCCCACTAAACCCTGAATAGAAGCTGCTAAAGTCGGACCATTCAATTCTATTCTTCTACATCATCAGATTTCCATCACAAATTAACACACATAATATCGAAACAAGCGGTCAGTGGAGAGAGAAAAAAAATTCTTGCGTATGTACTGCACAAAGCTATATACAATTGAATCTTCAGTACAAGGTTTTTGATTGAAGGAAAAAAAAGAGCGTCTGCGGTCCGAACAGCTAGGTCATTCTGATTTTCCCACACAATCCGCGTCACTTAGCCTAAAAAAGCCTCGATTCACGCCATGCGCCAGTTACACCTCACCAAATCGGACTCACAAACGCCATCATTGTCCTTGCCAGTTGTCGCCGCTTAGAACTGGGGCTTGGCGTTCTTGAGAAGCATCTCGAAGTAGGCCTGGTTCCAGTCACCGGCCTCGGGAGAGGGCTTGTAGGCATCGGGCTTACCGCAGAACGAGTCGTAGCGGGTGGCGCTCTCGTCGCTGGTACCGTCAGACTCACCACCGGGCTTACCCCAGACGAAGGCATCGGCCAGTTCAGAACCCGTCTCAGAGGTGGGGCGGACACCGAATCCGGCGCCGTTGACGTTGCACCAGTCACCCCACTCCTCACGGAGGCCAGTGACGGCGTTGCGGCCAGTGTCGACGATGGCGTGCTCGGGGAAGCCAGCAGTCTTAAGGGCGGCAGAGAACTTGGTGACGTAGATCTTCTCGTTCTGGCACGAGTTGTACTTGGCGTCGGACGCGTCAGAGAACTCACCTGGGTCCTGGTCCCTGTTCATTTTATTAGTCGCAATTAATCATTGGCTTTGTGGTGTTAGGGATCATACCAGGCGTTCCATCCGGCGATGTTGGTGGCGTAACCACGAACCTGCTTGGGGCTGCCAGCGCTCTTGTAAACCTTGGCAAGCTCCTCAGCACCGGGCTTAAGGTTGTCATCCCAACCGAGCCAGCCACCGTGACCAGCGTCGACGTACATGACGACGTTGGGAAGGTTGAGGCTCTTGAGGGCATAAGCGACACCCTCTTCGTAGGAGGTCTTGCTCTCGGAGCAGGTAGTCTTGTCGGCGTTGGTGACCAAGTTGGGCAGAGAGTCGGGTTCGATCAACAGAACGAAAGCCGAGTTGGCGTTGGCCTTGATCTTGGCAACGATGGCTACATTACGTGTTAATTCCTAGCACTCACTTCAAGCTGTGTGGCTTTAACGTACGGTCGATGTACTCGGTCTTGTACTTGTCAAGCTCGTTGTACTTGAGTTCACCGTTGGAGGCCTTGGCGGCGCAGTCACGACCGGGCAGATCGTAGATTACGAGACCAAGGATTTCCTCGCAAGGGAGGTCAGCGACAGCAGGGTCGAACTTGGCAATGTTGGCGATGTTGTCGCTGGGCTTTATATTAGCTGACTATCCTTGCTCAAGCTGGCGTATCTCTTGACTCACAGCCACAAGAAGCTACCGACGTCAGCGACCTTCTCAGCCTGGCTCTTCAAGGACGCATCGGTGATGGCAGCAACAGCCTTCTCAACCTCCTGGCGGTAGAAGGTGTTGGCGTGTAGCTTGTACTTCGAGAACACGTTGGTGCTGGCGTCGAGCGTAACTGCAGACGAGCAAGCAGCAGCAGCCTTGTTGGCCGATCGGGGCGTAGTGCTCGAGGGCGCAGCCATAGCACCGGCGGCCAATGCCGCGACACTGGTAGTAGTGACCTTCATTTTGATTCGACCCGGATACAACCCTAGGATAGTAATGAGCGAGTACGGTGAGAAGGAATTCAAGGGACTCGTCGGGACGGAGGTCTTCGTCTTCTTATACTACTTGCTGTGGCGGAGGTGGCCAACGTGGGACCTTACGATCCATGCGCGCGTGTGCTGCTCTACTCGCATGGAGTAGCAATCAGGAATTAGGCCCGTCAATCGCGAAAGATCTCGGTATGTACACTCCGAATAGGAATACTGCCGGTAAGTTCCTTTCTCGCGGGGAAAAGACTGCGGGGTCCTGTTAGCCACCGCGATTACCACATGGCCGGACTAGACGCCCTTCTGGTATTTTTGCCTTACGGTGATCTTAATTTGCCATCTGTATAACCACCCGTTCGGGCCTATTGAGGCTGTGTGGAGAAAGGGACCTAGAAGCATTAATATATGCTAGATTTCTTACTCATGCGGTCTTGATCAAATCCTGGCTAGCAAACACGAGTTCTTCCAGCTTTCGCACGCACATAATGACCAAGGAAATCGTGGGGGTTCTCTGTGTTAAGCCATTGTACACTCGGCTGGTGAAGCGACAAGCATTAGAAAGGAGCTCGCCGGGGTACCAGGGCAAAACAAAGCAACCTAGCGGTTTGTAGTAACTTCGTTCACGGTAACATGTACAAACGGAGTCCGCCAAGACTTCTCCATCTGGAGCGATCTGCAGCATGATAGATTACTTCCCCATGGGCGATAATATGCAACGGGCAATGCCTGGAGGGTGTTAAGCCAAGAGAAGTAAGGTACCGTTCTGCTAGTAACAGAGAGGAAATCCTCTGTTTGGCTAAACTCCCTTCTTAGGTGAAACATGCGATATAATAGGTCTGCCCTGCGAAACACAATAGGGTCCTCTCTATTTAGCCGCAAAGGGGGTTACGGTTTTCCGCCCAGCGAATCAAGGGCTTCGGCTAAACATCCCAACTCTGCTCCAACTCCGGGAGCCAGACGTCACATCTCGGCATCCAATTGGCGACCGCCTTGGCAGCATTGACGGAATTAGAAATGGTAGAGAGCGTTTTTATGGTGTTGGCCTTGCCGCGTGAAAGGACATCTCTAAGCTGGTAGGTTGGCCCGGAACGCGACTCCGATGAGATTCTACATCTAGTAATGTAACGGGGCTCGTCTTCGAATGCATTTCGTAGTAAATCCTCCGAGCTCGCCACTTGGCTTGGTTCTACCCGATGGGAGAGCGCTTGATCTCGGTCCTGATGATCTATTCAATTACGGATGAGGCTTTGCCATGGCCTACAGCCACATGGTTGAGGTTCATACCACCAATCAATCGCTACGCCTTTTCACGAGAACAATCCATTAACTTGCTTCGATATTATGCCTCAGTCTTCCACGAGTTCCCTCCCTCCGGAGCATGACGCGATTCGAGGTGTTTTGAGCTCATTGATCGTCTAGGAAAGCTTGCACATTCGGCAGAGGGTCTCATATCTATAATTCAAATATCATTTATACATACATAATACACCGCTAATAATAGACAGAGGCCGGATACACGAGTCAGGTTCCGATTACATGCCGGTGGAGTCTACACATTCCGGAATCTCCCCTAAGCGACGAAGGTGCAAACGGCGCCTAACTGGCCATTTGTCTTCTTTGGTCTTTTGTAACGTTGTGGTCAGCATTTATTATGTCTAGGATTGTATACTGAGCCGAGCTTGTCATGCGCGGTGGCTATATTGCCCAGAAATTGAGCCGCCGCCTTATTCCAACCCGAACTCGAAATACGTAGTCTTTTATAGGGGACTCATATAGGGTATGCACCGACCCCTTCGCTGCGGATTGGCACTCGTACCCTCTTCATATACCAAGCCACTATATGAGAGGGCCTAGTCGAGTCTGAGGAGGCGATCGGAATTTATTAAATGTACAGCAATCTTAGGGATCTATAGGTTGGGGTACTGGGAACAAATCACATATATAAGCAATTTAATATATCAATGGATATAACGCTATTGGCCACATTTAAAGGGGAAACGGAGGATAAGTAATATGGCATAAAGCTTAGAGTCAGACGGACACACGTAACAACCTAGATGTCGCACAGGACAAGAGATGGGATCTTGAAGGATTGCTCTAGATTAACTTAACTTTAGCGACGATCAATATTCAATTATGATTATCAATCGCTATTACTATAGCTAGGTAGCTACCTAGGTAGGTAGTCAAGCTCTCGTGCTCCGTATCAATTAACGGCGCTGCAAGTGAAACTCAAGACTAAGACGCGCCACTAACGTCGCCACTTCATCAAATCGTGATCTCATCGCTGCAATTAACATCAGAAAAGATTTCATCAAGATCCTCTTGACAAGAAATATGAATGGAAAGCCAGCGGAGATCCCAAAGAGATCGGATGATCGCTAGTATCACTGATGACATAGTAACCATGGATTTCATGAAGCATCCTAACAAGTCACAGGCGTATCTGAAGCATATGATATCAAATATAAGCGTTATGACACTGATGCAACCTACAGCTACGTGTATTAAGTATACCTAGTCAACAGTATTGTGAGATGAAAACAAAAAGATTAACGACATCGTCATAGGCGCCACCTGGTGCAACCAGAGTGAATTGTATTTACCAATTTGTATGAAGAGTAGACTCATCGCTATCATCCCACATCCCGGCTTCAAAATCGGGAATCAATTCATACGACGAATTCAGTAAATTAAAGTGAATATTTATTAAATATGTCATATTAGTTCTCTGAGTAGTGTTAATGAATGCTCTTAGCTAGATAACTAGGATTAATGACGCATTTGCGCATCAACCGACCATGATCTAATAGATAATCCGGACGCGTACAAAATCATCCTCCAAGGATATTAGCGGTATAACTCACACCTAATGATGGAACTGTGTGATCCCTCGTTAGATGTGTCGCCAGTATAGAACTCACTTATGGCCTAATTTAGAACCATGATGCCACCTTCTTCTCTAGAGTAAGCCTGTGCAATCCTCTTGCCGACCGATTCGCCGCTCCAGTAAGCACCTGTGGCTGTTCCAAGAGCCACAAAGGGAGCCGTGTGCTCACCGGCTAACCAGAGACCGTGATGGGGTAGGCCCTCCCGCATGACCTTGATGTCCTCATCGCCCTCCTCAAGCCCTACTTGGAAGTTACTATAGCTACCGTTGCCCGCAAGGTCGTCGTTGAGCCATTCAGTGGCGTAACAGCCCGTTGGTTGGCAATTCGGGGAGCTCTCATCATAGTGGGGAAGACGCGAATAATACGGTCTGAACCAACTCAAGAGGAATGCATCCTGCTTCTCCTTCGAGGAGAGTTTCGCCAGTTCGCTAGTGATGAATTTCGACTGATCTCCGTAGAAGTAGTATAGCAAGGTTGGATGGGAAGCCGAGGATTCAAGAGAAGTCAACTCGACGAATTCTTGGTTCCATTTGTGTGGATTTAAGTCGGTGGCATATTGAGGCGCTAGCATCTGACATAACCCCTGCATTTTGTGTTCCCCAGGGCTAGTTGGGCCCCAAAATGCTTTTGGGAAGCTAATGTAGACCTGCAAATACGTTAGATTGAATCGATATACGAAATGAGAAATCATATATTACCTTCTCAAGACAGCCATAACCTATGCTCTTAATGGCTTTGGTGAGTCTTGACGGTAGTGGGGGTTCGAAGGCGTCGGAGTGTTGTTTTAGCCATCCAAGCGGTGCGGTTAGAACAACTTCATCAAACTCTAGGCTTTCCCCGCCTTCAGTATGGACTTTCAGCGCTTCGCCGTCATTATCGGTACTCCGAATTTTATTGACGATTGTCTTGTATTTTATTTCCGCACCCTCGACAGCTGGCTTTGCGACAAGTTGAAGAATCTTTTCGTATGTATCTGCAACAAACAGGTTCTCTGCGACGCCTTAGCGCTTTAGAGCTACTATTAAAATGGGACTATCAACTCACCTCCCTCTATACACTCTTCTAGCCAGAAGAACTTGAGACTTTGTGTGAAAATGTGGCTTCCGACAAATGCGCCCCACTGATCGGCAATCTGGTAGACTAAATTTCTCTTCTTCTCGAAGTCTTCGTCGCTCTCCGGTATTCGTTTAGGAACCTCCCTTTCGAAGAAATTCCAAAGACTTTCATCGGGGCTGATTGTTGCGGAGTACTTATTACTGTACTCAAACGCATCTGACACAATACGCCACATGATATCCGAGTAGATTGCGGCCTCGGCGGCGCTTATCAACTTACCCGCTTCATCAAAGAGAGAGCCCGCCTCTTCCCACTTACCCACAGCGGTTTTTGTTTCTTTAGCGAGATCCAAGATGGGATTGTCGCTAGTGCCATGAATCCAATTTGGTCCGGCATCCACGTTATGTCCTGATGGCAATTTTGACTGATGTACCCGACCACCGAGTCGATTCCTTCCCTCAATCAAAGTCACTTCAAACCCATAACGAAGTAGAATATCTGCGCAACGCAACCCAGCAAGACCGGCCCCAATTACTCCGACATGGGGTTTACGACTGAAATTCCTCGCTCGGCGCTATAAAAAGTGTGAGTCTCGTGTCATGTACTGGGGATCACTCATCTGAGTAGTAGCACCATGAGGAGACTGGGCCGCATCTAGCCGATTCACTACATATAAGGTGGTTATCACCGATGGGTGCCTCGCTCACATGATAAACCCAAGAGCTTCGCTAAGGTCGGAATGTACCTCTCCTATCCTCTGCTCTAGGGTTGGTTGCTCTGACAGGTCTTCGACTGGCATTTCCATGATGCTGTACTGGCGACAGGATTTGAGGTCTTTCCAGATACGCGAGATACTCCTTTGAGAAGGACTAGTGAAGGAGATTGAGTAAGCATCCATACTTGTCAAGTGTTTGTTTGTTCTTTTGACTAGGTTTCGCCGGTATATGTGATGTATAGGTATTTTGATAGTGTAGTAGTAAAATGTAGTGAGGTTTAAAAAGTTTGAGGAGTGAGTTACCGAAAACGAATTGGAAGTGTATAAGAATAAGTTTTAGTGGAGTTTGTTTGAGACGATGCAGAAGTGGGTAAAGTTGCACAAGACTGGGTGTGAGTCCAAACTTAAAAAGGGATGATCAAGTGAAAATACATGAACAAATACATATAGTAAGGAATGTGTGAGAAATCGACTCAGATTGCAGTTGCCACTAAGCATTTTTAAAGTATATGTTGCTGTAAGTTTAGGTAACTCAGTAAGGAGGGCATCTAATGCTGGAAGGCGCTTCGCATAGTGATTCGGCACTTGCTCAACCTTTGACGGCTTTGTATGAGGTAAGATAGGTGGCACAAAGACAGACCTAGACTTGCTTGGCAAGAGATAGGGTAAAGTCTACCTAGGTAGAGAAGGAAACAACATTCTCTAGTCATCTATCTCCTACCCACTCAGTCTTTGAGTTGGTGCACAATAGTTGCAATAGATGCAACAACTTGCAGTAGCATCAAGTCGATCCTCAGGGGCAGACAAGCGCCGCATCCGTTGATAGGTACACACGGCGGGCTGTATCTGATAGTCATCAACCAAGCATGCCCATCTAATAAATTCAGCGCGGATCCCTTCGATTGGCAGGCCACTAGCTTAAGGTAGCAAGATGCTAAGAGTGCCACGAGTGCCACGCTGATAGATAATGGTATCTGATTGGATAAACCAAATTCATTTCTAAGGGGCTACATTCAGGCTCGAAATGTCTTAGCCACTGACGATATCGGGATCCTCGGAAGATGGGAGAGAAAAGACGCGCATACTAGATATATCATATATGTAGACAGAAGGGTGTGTAGGTTGAGTGGGGACCATGTAGATAAACTTGGGATAGTAATATAAAAACGACATACCGAAGCAACGTTGTAAAGGAAGTTCGAATGGCTAACATACAGCCGATGAGCGTGGGTTAGGTATATTGAAAGAAAAAGTTGTAAATGGAGGCTCCGATTTTAAGAATGAGACTTGAAAAAGAACATGAATTGTACTCTGATCCCGCGGGGCAAGGTGGGATAGGTGTTATCGGGACAGGATTAGCTTCACTATTGATTACCTAGGTAGATATCTTGCCTTCCAAACGTCACGAGTTGGGTATACTCTACCAATCAATTGTCTGCTCTAGACGGACTAGAGTGCAATCACCTAGGTACCTACCGACCTATAGCATTCTCACTTCTCCAGGGGCGGCATGATCCGACACACGCTTCTGCGCCGCACACATATGTGAGTATCGTTCGACTCAACATGCGCTTTTACATCAAGATCGCCTAGTACATGTATACCTACCTTATAATTAAAGATCATGGTCTGGATCGTCGGATTGGAATGTCTGATGCATTCTTGCAGCCGGGACCAATACAACCGGCATGATCAAATCCCTTGCGGGATTTATGCCCCGCAAAGCGGCGGTGGAGTTGTAAACGGAACCTCAAACGAGTTTACAAGTAGACACGCAACCCGCACCCGTAGTGATTCCCGGCCCGAGAAGAGTTCCGGTGAGGTCTTCATCCCAATACAGGATATCGTCCATAGTATCTGCTCTAAAGAAACGCACAATTCATGGGGAGAAATCGCGTGCCCCCGCATCTCTGATGGAAACGCGTCAATGTAAAAGGCAGAAGGCAGAAGACAGAAAGGTAGGATTTTGATGCATATGCCATGCGATTTCTGCATCGTAGTATTCCCATCATGAAATTGTAGTGGCAATTCGCCCTTCAAGGTTCTGGAATACGTGCATGTAGGAGTTGTATTTCCAAATCCTCCTTTTCAATCTGGTTGCGTTCTAGCGACGGGTTTAGCTGCAGCTGCTTTCTTAATCCCGATTTGAGTGGGGATTAGCGTCGGCTACGACAGGTTTTCGGGTACGATTAGAGACCGCCAACAATGGCCGAGGAACACGATTCATAGACTAAAGATTATGAGCTAAGGGTATGTGTAAGATCAAGTTACTATTGAGAGTGGTACTGACTAATGAATACTTATACCTTATCTTGGGGAAAGAACGAAGAAAGGTCGAACCCGCATGTGATATGTTCGTCGAGTCGCAATGGCCTATTTACTAATCTGCGGATGCCCCGAGGTTCGTTCCCCAAACCTACCTACCTAGGTAGGTAGGACCTTCCCTGAAAAGGTTAATGCTTATTAGGGGAGAGCTTCACCGGGCTACCCACAGTAAGATAGTGCCCCAAATCGTAGGGGTAATGGTCAAGGTGACCAATCAAAATCATTTAAATTCGATTACCTTTTAGCACCCCGACTCAACTTGAACTTGAACCGAGGCTCGTCCCCAGGTCCACCTACTTCTTGAGCTGACGTCAAAAAGGAGCTGGGAATCTTCTCTAGATTGCCAGCTCCTTTTTGCTGGATTTTATTCTCTCTTTATATTGGAGTTTGTGAATTATTCCGGTCCCGTGGGTTGAAGCACGGCCCTCTTACTCTGTATGAATAGTGTCATTTATTCAAGAAATATAATACCTTCGATCGCTCCCAACGCGAATTCTGGACACCTTACTTCATAGCGACAGCGACGACGATTCCTTCCTGCAACTATCACAATGTCTAAGACATTTACCCGCGCCGAAGTGGCGAAACACAACACCGAAGACTCGGTGTGGTTCGTAATCGACAGCAAAGTTTACGATGTAACCGACTTCGTCGATGCCCACCCCGGCGGCGAGTCCGTCCTCCGCCAAGTCGCTGGTGAGGATGCCACCGTCGCCTTCTACAACCTCCACCGACATGAAGTCCTATCCAAGTACGAAGACCTCTGCATCGGCACTCTCGAGGGCGAGAAGCCGCAGGTCATCACACCAAAGCCCGGCGACCTTAGCACGGTCCCCTACGCTGAGCCTTTATGGCTGAACCCCGTTTACAAGAGCCCCTACTACAACGAAAGCCACCGGCGATTACAGAAGGCGATGCGCGAGTTCACCGAGGTCTACCTATACCCCGAAGCCCAAGCCCGCGAAGCCGATGGCAAGTATATCAGCCAGGAGGTCGTTGATCGCATGGCGTCGAAGGGAATATTACATATGGCGCTGGGACCAGGCAAACATCTCCATGGTGTTGAGTTGCTTGACGGTGCTGTCAAGGGCGAGGAGTACGATTACTTCCACGATCTGATTGTGTCCCAAGAGCGTGTTCGCACCAATGCGCGAGGCTTCCAGGACGGTCAACTGGCTGGCATGGTGATCGGCTTGCCCTGTATTATGAACTATATGAAGGACCAAAAGCGCAAGAAGGCTATCTTCGACGAGGTTCTTGGCGGCAAGAAGTTCCTATGCTTAGCTATTACCGAGGCCTTTGCTGGATCCGATGTAGCTGGTCTGCGAACTACTGCTACTAAGACACCCGATGGCAAGCACTACATTGTCAACGGTACCAAGAAGTGGATTACCAACGGCTCCTTCTGCGATTACTTCGTCACCGGTGTTAAGACCGATAAAGGCCTGAGCGTTCTACTCATCGAGCGTGGCGAGGGTGTCGAAACGCGCACCATTAAGACGTCCTACTCAACCGCCGCCGGTACCGCATATATCACCTTCGACAACGTCAAGGTCCCCGCCGAGAATCTCCTCGGCGAAGAGAACAAGGGTATCTACGTGATCCTCAGCAACTTCAACCACGAGCGATGGACCATGGCCTGTAAGCACCCCCACCCCCCACTGCATCCTTTCTTCACCTAGTTCAGTCCATACTAATTGTCTTATCTCTTAGGTGCCACCATCCGCGGCTGTCGCACAGTCGTCGAAGAATGTCTCAAATGGGCACACCAACGCATCGTCTTCAACAAGCGTCTAATCGAACAACCCGTCATACGACAAAAACTCGCCAAAATGATCGCGCTTTGCGAGTCGCACCAAGCATGGCTCGAAACTTTAACATACCAGATGTGCAACATGCCATATAAGCAACAAGCGCAACATCTAGGTGGACCGATCGGGTTACTGAAGATGAGCGCTACGCGAGCGGCACATGATATCGCTGATGATGCAGTGCAGATCTTTGGTGGCCGCGCGTTGACGCAGTCGGGCATGGGACGTGTGGTGGAAATGTTCAGTCGTACGTATAAGTTTGATGCGATACTGGGTGGTGCGGAGGAGGTTTTGGGCGATTTGGGAGTTAGGCAGGCTATGCGGCAGATGCCGAATGCGAAGTTATAAGGTAACTTTGCTTGAATAACCTGGGTTAACTTGGGGGTATGCAAGAGTGGGCAGGTTATGTCTATGTCTTCATATACGGACTTGGGATTCTACTGTGTATACTCGTGTATATATACGGCTGGGCGCACATACTGTGTTACTATGGAGACTTGTGGTGTAAGAGCTATAGCATAAGCCACGGAGTCAAGGAAAACTTCGAATTTACATCAAGAAACACGAAATATTCATACATCTATATTACACAGTGGCCTCAGAATGTTGATATATTATGGCAGTATAAAGAGGCACTGAGCTATCTTGAGAATCAAGGTATATATATACAATCTGACTTTTCACCAATTACTTTAAGCAAAGAAGTCCCACCAAAAGCTTCCAAAGAGGTTTCGGACCCAACCAAAATTCGCTATGAATGTTGCCATAGAGTGGCTTCGGATTGAACCAGGGCAATTAATATCTCCCATTAGAATAACCCTCGGTATTTCCGTCAATTAGAAAGTCAAGGTTGGAAACCCTGCGTCAGCATTTGATGCGTCATAATCTGTCGATTCACAAGCGGTAGGCGTCGACGCCCACCATATGGCCTCGGGGGCTGGGGGTGATGTGCCTGATTAATACCATTCCTATTATCATTATGAGGGCTTACATGACGGATGCGAGTTTCAGCCATATTACTAAAAGCGGGATCATTAAAGTAACGAGCTGGATCGCCGATGATACTATGTGGTTGGACATGGCGTTTGCTGGTACCGCATTCTTCACAGACGATCCAGACAACTCTCTCGGATGGACTACGTCCTCGTCTAATAGTTGTTTTTGTTGTACTGTTGGTCCTTCTGGTATCTGCGCTCCTGCGCGATGATTGTGATGATACTGAAGGAGCTGCAGCGTGTTGTCTTTCACCCACGACTGAAGTAGCTATTGTATCAACGGGTGACCATCGTTTGCTTGGACGGTTTCCACTCTCACTTCGGGGATTACGAGGTGGAGTAGGTGGAAGTTGAGGAAGAAGAGGAGTATCTGGTTTAGCTTCATCGTGTTTGTGCCCTGGTAATTCATGTCTTGGGCGGCCTTGTCTTCCAATTCGTATGAACGGTACTAGTAACAGAGGGATCCCGGCAAAAGCCGAGGTTGCTATGAAGGTGTTGGTATATGCCAGTTCTGGGTGTGCACCTAAGCGATCTCCATCGTACGATGACCAGATTGCGGTAGTAATACCCATACCAAGAGGAACAGCAAGACGACTAGTTGTTTGAAGCAATGAAGCTCCAATGGAATGTTGCTTCAACGGAAGAGATGATAAAATGTAGAGCTGTGATGCTGTTAATTATTCGTCCCATCTGGTTTAATGGTCACACCGGGGTTACTTACCGAACCAACGTTCATAGTCCAATCCATTCCAATAGTACTCAACATGATTGACGGGAATATCCAGGCCAAATAGTTACTTCCCTGACGCAAGAATACGAGAAGCACATTGCTAGTAACAAGAGCAGCGGCAGCCACAGCTAATAGCACAGTTCCTGAAATTTTATGCATGATCAAGCCCACGAGAGGGCTAAGTAACAATCCCACAAGAGCCTGAGGTAATAACCTCAAGGCAATACCAAAAGGTTGGAGGTCTTCAAGATCTTGCATGAATAAAGAAACCCAAAAGAGTTGAGAGTAGAATGACATAGCAGCACCCAATGTGCAAATAATCACCTGCATTTCGAGTTAGAAATATATCAAGGCCATCCACACGGGTAGGCATTTAGTAGGACTTACCAAAGTTACCGTCCAATTCGCCTAAATAGAGGGGGGTATCATCGGTGTCTGTGTGACATTTTCCCAAAGCAAGAAGCAACCAAGAGATAATACGCCCAGAGTTAGAAGAAGTATAACTGTCGGCGTCTTCCACGGTTCTGGACCCTGCGGGCCAATTGTGAGAGCGACAGTGAACAGCAAAAGACCTGACACGAGCAGAAGTAGCCCAAGCCAATCAAACTCTAGGAACGGCGATTTCCTCTTGGGCGTCTCAATTGATAATATCGGGAATGATTCTGGCTCGGCGAAAATACGCATTTCTGTCTTTTCTTGAATTGGCTCAGGGTTCGGAATATTGGGGACAAATACACAGGCTAGTCCGGAGATAACGGCGTATAGAGCAGCCAAGGCTATGAAGGGGGCTTTCCAATTAACCTCGAAAGCTAAGGCGCCCGAACCAAGACCACCGATGATGGTTGCTGCTGGAGTGCCCATTAAGAAAGAAGAGAAGACCATATTCTTGCGACGCGATGGTGTGGGGTACACAAGACTCAGTATACCCACGGCGATAGGAACATTCGCCGCACAAGCAATTCCAGTTAGCCCAGATATGACGTCTAGGACGACTCCGTTCTTTGAGAAAGATGTACAGGACACAAGCAGACAGAATGCTACTAGGCTAACGATCAACAGAGTTTTTCGAGGTAGAACCGGACAGTTATCAGCGATGTAGCCAAACGGGAGTAAAAAGGCCCCGGTCGTTAATCTACGAAATAGGTTAGACTAGTCCTCGCTATCTAGATATGATCTAGCATACCCAGAGCTTGCGGTAGCCCATGCTATCTGAGCTGGTGTCATTTCGAGAGCACCGGAAATAGACCCGGCAACGACGACGACGGAACGCTGGAGAAAAACGGGAGTAGCCGCAGCAAAGGCGATAAGGGCAACGAATACGCATTCGTAAAAGGCATTTTTCAGGCATTCGGGTCGACTCCCGGCCGGTAGAGGAACCCTGATGTCTTCAACGTCATCATCTAGACAGACTTCGTGGAGCTCGTCGGGGGATGCTGTATGATGTTCGGGGCCTAACAACCACATGTCGTTTTCAATGGGCATCTTCAATGATTCGGGGGAATAACGAACGAGAAGACCAAAAACAGCAAGATATTAACCAAGGAGTACAGTAACGAAAGGACTTGTTTGAAGGAGAGAACCGAGGTGGGCTGATTTAGAAAAATGATGAATAGTGAGTGGTATGATAGTATGGGGTAGAGAATAAGTTCTCCCCGGATCTAGATAGTGGCGAGATCTTGCGATGGCATTGAGAACTGAGACATTGCTCCCGCCACGGAATTTCCCATGCGTCTAGATAACTGTTCCTTATGCTTCCTTCCAGAACGAGATAGATCAAATCTGTAAAGCAGGAGATACCTCGGTATCCAAGTAGCGATAGTAGCTGCTTGTTATATAGCCTTGGAAACCGGGACCGAAGAAAGCTTAACTAGGGGAGTTCTATCCAAGATAGGTAATATATCCTCTACTTCGACCTGAAGGAGGAATGCTATTTTGGGGGAACAAAGATTAGCCAACTTCTGGAAAAACCGGCGTGCCTAGCTATCGGTTTACCCCTTGGACAGCTATTTCATCAAGGAGTACGACGAGAAACACTCGCTTCAAATACACCCACCTAACCGAAGAGAAATACACACTTACCTCTAAACTGCGAGAAGTCAACATGGTTTCATTCACTTTTTGGAGTCTCCTCGCTCTTTCAACTATCAGTGCTGCGCTCTTGAGACCTCCTCCACCTCTACCTAAGCCACACCCTAAATTTCCATTTCCACCATTTCCCAACATTTCAGCGATCGCGCCTGGCGCCCAATGTGCTCCATTCGAAGATCCGCACTGCTGCATCGTTACGCCGGTCTGCGAGTGTACCAATGGTAAGCACCCCCCTTTTCCTAATAATTATGGGTGAGTATTCGGTTGTTAATCGGCCGGCCTCTATAGGGACTTTCTTCAGCATAAATGGTGGAACTCCTTCAATCTGTGGACCTCCCGGTAGTGACAACTACGGACAGGATGTGAGTGGCATCCCTGGATGGTGCTGTTAGATAAGGGGTAGCAAGCATTATGACCTTTCGGGGCTACCTAGTTGCTTGGGACACGGAAATATGGCTCTTGCTATAATATGAGCTGTCAAGAGAAACATCGGTTTTAAGGCGTTAGTTGATATGATTCATCCGTTCGGAAAAGGCTTGCTGTCTATGATACACGATTACTGTACAGTAACCCTACATTCGTTATTCTAGGGGGTTGTGATGTCGGAGAGTGTAACGTCGCCTCTTCTCCGCAAGGCTACGAAATACGATTCTCTTGATTCCTAAGTAGTGACGAGTTAGGGATTAGGGTAACGGAACTTTCGCTTAGATAAACTTACGCTTCTTGACGAATATGGCTTTTCACGATGGACTTTGGTGAACATCTTCTTGAGCTTTAATTCTAGATCATTATCTTCGGCGCCCTGATAGAATTTGCAGACAAAGTGACCTCCAGCTTTTAAGGCGTCGCTTGCGAATTGTAACGCGGCGAGGCAAAGGTCCTTAGATTTTCTGTGAGCTGATACTTGCGATTTCCATGGAGACTTCGTAAAATTTACCATGCTACCCGCGTGATCTCGGAAGCTCATACCGCTTGTGTTCATCATCCTATTATACGGGTTACTCAATATGTTGCTAGAGAATCCAGTGGTTTGTATCCAGGGGGCTGACATGTCGCTTAGAACTACCTATTTCAAGGTCAGTATCTCCGCTCCCGAGTCTGCGATAACACTAATGCATACATCCACAAGTTTCCCATCATCCTCTGAGGGTTCCCCTTGATCCGGCTCAAAAGATTCGGCACGTTCCGCATCGATATAACTTGGTCGTTCGGTAATTAAGTTGCCAATTTCCCCTGACGACTCTACCGAGGGGAGGGGTGGGGTGTTTCTTTGTGCGAATTCCACGAGGTAGTCTTTCACGAGCTGCTGGACGCTAGGAGATAGGAAATTCCCCTGAATGGTAGATACACCTTTGGGCGGTTGCGCAGGGATAATGTCGATCCCTACCACGCGTCCGTTTGGCTTTGTGCGCTCTACAGCGACCTAGACCGAATCAGTGACTAGCGATATAGAGGAGAGATTCTTCATACCTGGGACCAACTACCTGGCGCATATCCCTACATAGTTTAGTTCTGTAGGATAATGAAAGGTGCATTTACGTACGAGGTCAACTATTGTTTGTCCCCTCTTGAATAGCTTGTATTTCGAGTCCATCTAGTTGGAATGCCGTGAGCTTGAATCTGCATAAGCTGGTAGCAGGCGATCAACTCACTTCTAGTAGTTTAAAAGCAGCACGGCTTTTAAGGCCCTGAACTTTGGCCTCGCGGGCATAATAGTCGTTTCCCTGCCGTTGCTTCCATCTCGAGTTTGACGATGTATAGCGTATACCTCCATACACGATACTGGTAACAGGCTTCGGTATGGTGGAAGAATTAAGAACCGCCGCTGCGGTGGCCCTCAAGAGTCTTCCATTGAGGGGCACCGCTATCCTTATCAACGGCCGCATTAACACCTCAAAAAACTAGGGATTGCGATAATACGCTATCCCATCCATGGATGTGTAGATGATTATGTAACGACAAATATTAAGAAGACCTTGAAAGAGAAAAAGTTACTTAACCAGAAATCTTATTTGGAGAAGCGAGACCCCCATAACATAATTAACCACAAGATAACGCTAGATATTAGGTTATCCATCATAGTAGATAAAGATATACATGATAGTAAATTAACATAGATAGACTAGGTCCCCGAGTTTTGCATATTATAACTACAAATTCTTCTTAATCTTCTATACTTCTCAAAAAATCATCATCTTGAAAGTTACAAGTATGATGCATCCTACGAGTTTATACGCCGTTTCTACTCCGCACCTAAAACCCAACGGTTCACAATATCACACGTTGTATATCGGCCCCATAACATCGCCGGGTACTCCGGTTCGTAGCCAAGGACCACTAGTTATAGCGGCTCGCGCCAACATTATACTACACGATACCAGGGGAAGGATCCTACAAGTCCCAACCGTTTGCGTATTCGCGAACCCCTTGCTGGTATAGCTAAGTAGGTAAGTCCGTGTGTAGTTTTAAAGCGGAAGGTTAGTATTATTTACTACTATAAATGAACTATCGTCGTAGTTTAATTGAGCTATCCCTCTTCACATTTATGCCTCGAATGTATTGGTAGTGAAGACACGATCTTGGAAGCAAATATGGCGAAATCAAAGGCTGCTAAGCCATCCATCCCGACGTCTCGGCGTCCTTACAATGCCCTCTTTATCTCAGCCTTCATCGCCCTCGCGACTATCTTCGGCGTGCTCATGCGCGTCGACACCGCCATCAATGGCGTTCCTATTGATCTGCCTGAGATCGTGGAAGCGGGGCACTTCCCCAACGGAGTTCCGATCGTGAAGCGTTACACAGGTATTGAGGCCATCGATACCGTAGCCCAATTCTTTGTCGCTGTCTTTCTCGCTGGGCCTCTGGGTTGGGATCCTGGCGCACAGGCCCAGCAGCGACATTTCCTCCTTAATTGGTTCGCTGTTGTGTGTGTTTGGAGCGCGGAGGCGTATCGGGGACGGAACAAGGGGAGGATTATCACTTTGTGAGTACCTATCCTCGAATCTGTGCTTGTTCAAGTCACCTAATGAAAGTAGCCTCACACCCCTCGCCATTCTCTACCAGACTGTAGGGGCATGCGTCATAGCGCCTCTGTACTATGCGTTTTACCTCTACTCTTCTTCACAAGATGCCTACCACTTCCAAGGCCGCGAAGTATCCCCCGCCTACGCAAAAGTGCTTCTTCCAGCCGCCGTGCTAGGCTATCTCGTGCCGAGTATCGCGCTATGGTATACACCATGGAGCAACAACAACGCAGCGCAGTACCTAGCCGCATTCTGGCAGATTTCTCCCCTCATTGCTGGCGCGCTTATCCCAATCTTCTCTTTTTTCGTGCCATCTTCTAGCACCAAAGCCAAGAATAGCGATGTCAAGCACCTAAGAGTCTTGTACATAGTCACAGCCCTCATATGCGCCGCTGAACACATCCACACGCTCTACTCATGCTTCACATCAGACGATCCACGAGTTTCGTTCAGTTACGTATTCCTGCCGGATCGGGCTACTATGAAGGATAGCATGACGCTGGGGTTGCATTATATCATGCAGCTGGATTTCTGGGGTGTATTCATTTCGGCGCTGTTCTGGTGTTGGATTGTGCTTTACGATTCTATGCGCATACTTGGCGGATACACCACCTCGCATCTCATTCAGAACTTTCTGGGCCTTGTATTCCACGCGCTCGTGATTGGCCCTGGAGCCACCCTCGCTTTGGTTTATCACTGGAGGGAAGAAAGGCTCGTGATGATTGAGAGTGGTGTTAAGGGGAGCTGGAAAAAGCCGAAGGCTGCGTAGGTGATACTCCTCGGGACTTATAGAGCTTGCGGTCTTATATTTCGTTAATAAGATGTACATCGCCACTTACAATAAAAGTTCACATATTCGCTATAATCATTCTCATGATTCTACTGCTGGTCGCAACAAATTACGAAGCGAATTGTGAAAAATAAGCGTGTTCATATCCGCCATAATAATGCAACCAAACCCTATTCCTACAGTCCGTTCCTATCCCTGATCTGTAAGAAAGCAATTAATAAACGCCAATGCATGCATAAAACCCCATCCCGATCCCATTCCGTGACTCATGTGAAAAATCTGTTGCCCTGAATTATCTCCCAATCTGTAGGTCATGCTAGGAAACTAGCACCAACACCTCTACGCTCTCGTTTCAGGGGCGAGAAGGTAGCCGAACCAGCAAATGCATTCCTCTTCACGCCGAGAGGCGCCTTTCCTATTGTCCTCTTCGCACCTAATTGGATCTTCGCTGGCTTCCTAGCCGGTGGCGCCTCGCCTTCCTCGTCGTCGAACAATGTCTTGGTCGAGCCTAGGACCTTGCGCTTCTTCTTCTTGGGCAGCTCGCCGTTGGCGCTAGACAGGCTCTCGTCTTGCGGGAGATTAAAGTTGAACTTAACAGTTGTAGTCTTCTCCGCAGGCTCGGCAGGTTCACGTTGGTTCTCTTGATTATCATCCTTGGTTTCTTCTACGACCTTCTCGAGACTCGTTTTGGTCTTTAGTGATTTCTTCGGGACGGGCTGTGCGTTCTTTTTGGCCGATGGAGCCTCGCCAAGGACCTTCTTAGGTCGACCACGAGACTTGGGACCAGGTTTGGACTTCTCCTTCTCCTCAGGAGCGGGAGGGGTAGGTTCCTTCTCGGGAACCTCCCCTGCTGGGGCTAGAGGAACTGTCGTTGTTGTAGGCTCGACAGGCTCGGTAGCATCTGGTGCGGCGGGGTCTGAAGTATTTGATGCTTCTTCGTTTGTTTTGGGAGTATCCTCCATGATACTCTTGGTGCGGTTCAAGAAGGGAGTGATAGAGAATGCGGACTTCTCACCCACCAACGTAGGCTCTTGCTTCTTGAACACATTGCGGGTTTTTGTATGGTTATCTGCTCCCGGGGTTTGTATCTCAATTTGCGTAAAATCGCCCGGAGCCGTATCATGGCCCTTTCTCTTACGAAAGACCTGTGATCGGCCGTTGATTTTGGTGGTATCATCTGAGGAGGTCGAATGTCGTGATTGCTGAGCTTTTCGGAGGTCTATTTGGCATTGCTTAAGCTCTTCCTGAGTTTCGCGTAGCTTCGTCTTTAACTTCTCGACTTTTTTCTCGAGCTGATCATTGCGAGTACTGGCTTCTATCACAGCCGCTTGGCCCTCTTTGCGGATCTTCGCGTTCTCTTTCTTTTGAGAGCCTAGATTGCACTTCAGCTCATCAATTTGCGACCGTAGTTCATCATCTGAATTATTATTCGTTTGACTCTTTTGCGTCTTCTTTGCGGCAAGCTTGGAAATTTGGAGTTCCTCTTCTAGCCTTTCTCTGTCATCCTTTTCTTGTCGTAGTTGCTTTTGGGCTTCCTGCAACTTCTTCCGAAGGTCGGCTTCTACTTCGCGGGTGCTGTCTTGTTCTTGCAAGGCAAACTGGTTTGTTCGTTTCTCTTGTTCTAGCTGGTCTTCGAGTCTTTGGCGCTCGGTCTTCTCGGCCGTTAGTTTCTTCTCAGTCTCGCGTAGCTTTTGTCGGAGATCGTCTTCGACTCGATCGTTGCTTTCGCGTTTTTGCATTGCTCGCTTGGTAGCCTTCTTCTCGTTTGCAAGTTCAACTTCGAGTGTAGTCACTTGGCGTTCTAAAGCTAACTTTTCTGTAAGTGTAGCTTGTTGATGATTTACTTGTGATAGTAAATGTTCGATTTCGGGCTTCAAAACGGCTAATTCACGGCTTAAAGATAGCTTTTCGGCGAGTAGGTTGGTGGAATCTTGCGTTGCGCTGTTCATTGCTTGGAGTTCCGCCTTATATCCACGTTTAGTATGCGTAAAAAAATCAATTTGTAAAGGACGTAAGTGTATACCTTTAGGTTTGAATATTCTCGCTCCTGTTTTCGTAATTGCTGTTCCTGCGAGCGAATTACGTCCATCTTGGCTTCAATCTGGGCACTCAAGCCATCGCATTGGGCTGCAAGCTTCGTATTTATCTCATCGTTGTTCGCGATTTGATCCCGCAAAGATGTGTTCTCATCTCGCAACATTAGGATTCGAAGTCTCAACCGGCGGACATCTTCATCTTTGACGAGGAGTTCGGTGCCGCTAACATTTATCTGATGCTTCAACTCGAGTTTATGCAACATCTCCTTTCTCTATACAAGATAACATTAATTAGCAATGATTCTAGGCTTATCGTGTGGCAATTGGTGCGTATTGTTCAAGCTATTGCTGGGGTATAGTTGAGGTAGTACCTTGTCACTGTCCATGTTTACATGCACCTCGCGACCCATGGTGGCTCTTTTGCAAGCCTACCAATCTAGGTAGACGCGTCTAAATCTGAATTGTATTCGGATTGATAGAAGTGAAGGGTATAGCGAAGTTTTGGTAAGATGAAAAATTCAAATTCTTCAAGAATTTCTAGGGTTGGGTTTTGGTGCAGATTGTATTGAAGGAGCTGGAAAGAGGTAGTGTAGTAGCATTCTGCGTGATGGAGGAATAAAGCAATGTGTTTGGTGGGTCGGTTTCCATGTCAACAAAGTGCTGGAATAGGGTTAGTGTAGAAGGCCTAAATCCGAAACGCGGTCATTGCCCCGTACCTATTACATAATGAGCATAATTACATAATGTTATGAAAAGAGCATGCGCGGCCCCTGCATTACTTTATCCATTTACGCTGATTTTAGTGGGGAGCTTACCAAAGCTTCCAATTCCAATTGAGGACACCTTTTTGAACTCCAAACGCTGGACTGACGACACATTTCGCTGCGTTACTGTTCTTCGTTTTTTTCGTCAATTGTGCGTGAGCACAGTGATACCAGCCTCTCGACAACTACGTAACACTTATAAGGTCTCCCCCGAAATACCTTCATCATGCGCTGGTTGCCTCTTCTACTTTCGTTCGCCCTCCCCTTCGGGTCCCTCGCCGCCAAGAAATCATCCGACTCGGTCGATCGATTTAGTGAATTCCACACGAAGGCACAGGCTTCCTCTCCTTTGAAGCTCGCTGATGCTTCCTATAAGAAGCTCACGTCTGCTCCTCGAGATTACTCTGTCGCCGTACTATTGACAGCTCTGGAAGCGCGCTTTGGTTGTCAACTCTGCAGCGAATTCCAGCCAGAATGGGATCTGTTGGGTAAGAGCTGGACTAAGAGCGATAAGAATGGCGAATCCCGTTTGATTTTTGGAACGCTTGACTTTTCCAACGGAAGGGAGACATTCATATCTGTATGAGAATATACATTAAACAATCCTAGTGGTAGAGTGAAGCTAATTCTCGGCACTTCGTAGCTCGGTCTTCAATCAGCTCCTGTACTCCTCTTGTTCCAGCCAACGTCTGGTCCGTATGCCGCCGCGACTAATGATCCCATACGCTTTGACTTTACTGGGTAAGTCGCTATACTAATCGTTAAGCACATTTAATGCTAAGACGTACACAGACCTCAAAGTGCTGAGAAAATCCACGAATGGCTTGCTCGTCACCTACCCGACCGACCCCACCCGCCGGTGAGCCGCCCAGTCAACTACATTGGATGGATTGTATCAATTGTTAGTGCTCTGGGTATCGCCGGTGTTGTTTCCAAGGCTTGGCCATACGTATTACCCGTCATCCAGAACCGAAATGTCTGGGCAGGCTTGAGCTTGATCGGTATCCTCATGTTCACCAGTGGCCACATGTTCAACCAAATCCGAAAAGTACCCTACGTAGCTGGGGATGGACGTGGTGGTATTAGCTACTTCGCTGGTGGATTTCAAAGCCAATTTGGGCTTGAAACGCAAATTGTTGCTTTCATCTGTAAGCACTGTAAACTATCTGATCGCTGTTTTGACACTGATAAAATTAGATGGCATCCTATCTTTTGCCACCATCTCTCTAGCCGTCAAAGCTCCCAGGACCCGGGACCCTAAGATCCAACAACTGATGGTCATTGTTTGGGGCGCTGTCTTGGTCTTGATGTACAGCTTCCTGCTCTCTGTTTTCCGGGTAAAGAACGGCGGCTATCCCTTTAAACTTCCCCCTTTTATGTAAATATCCGTGGCCTCAACTAGAAGAGACTAGGTCCGAGTAGCTTAACAAAAAGGGGTGAACCGTTACTGCGCAAATATTCGTTTCGCGCGTTGCGCAACCGATATGAATCAATAGAGTTCCGAATATAAAGAGATGGCTGGATTTCCACGAAAAGAAACTTTGCGCAATGTCTGACGAGCATTCGACACCTCGAATGTATGAAATTGTATATTATCTTCCGGCCGTAACAACACCCTATAAACCTACAAAATTCCTGCTTTTGGGGCGTATCTGCAATTGCCGGTAAAAAGGTAATTGGCGTGAGGAGTTCAGTCCTATGGGTCGAATGATGTCTTAGATACTGGGCTATCTACATATGAAAATAATGACCTCTGCAGTGTCTGAATTACAGTCTTCTAGTATTGTCGCATTCAATCTCCAAGCTTACTATGCCTATAGAGTCCTTCGGCGCTTGGTTCTCCCTATACTCTAAATTAGGCTAGGTACGTAAGGTAGTTGAAGTTCTGTCCCCGACACTAAAAATAGCTCGGCTCCTAAGACAAATAACGCGATCACAGTCTAGACTTACGTACTTAGAACTTAGAAAATCTTATCAACGTCATAACAGCTTCTTCAAGTTAAATGAGTAATTCGGCATATTAATATTTGTTTAAAAAACAACTAAATCGAATATTATCTCCATTGTTGCCTAGGTGTTTCCCTTGAAATTACTACTTAAACGTGGAATCAATCCAAATGAGGCGATACAGGCACAGTATATACGCATGCAGACATGTGAGTCTTACGCTATAAAGTGAAAGTGTCAGCTGCCTAATGCACCCCCACCTATAGTGGACAGCCACCCAGCAAGTCACATTGCAGTGAGGGATCCATCAAGGGGTCGTTGATACGCTGCGATTTAGTGGATTGGTAGGTCCCTGATAGCGCCATTGGTGCTGTTATCGCGGTATCGATAGCACCAATTGATAGGCATTCTACGGGATTTCCTGAGTAAAAGCGGATCAAATGACACACTCTGCTGCAGCTCATGTTTAAAGGACCCAAGGTTTAAGCTAGCACACCCTCTCCCCGTCATCCACCAGTCGATAGGTACCACCTGCACCTGCACATGGACCTAGACAACCTAGACCAGCCTTAACTTACCTACAGTGCCAGTACTGCTGCCACGCCTCAGCATTTTCCTTCTTGCTGTGTTATCGTTGGGACTTGCTTCCTTCTCTTCTTTTCCTATCGAGATTTATCATTAATTCTATCAGACGCAAACTTTCCATCCCGATATTCAAAACCTGCCTGCCCGATCTCATGCTATTATCCCAACTACGCCATCAGTACAGACAACGATGACCTACCACCCCGCATCCCAAGCCGTGGGATATCGTGATAATCTATCGCCTCTCCCCCACACGCGACCTGCGCGTCCGTGAAGCTATTATTTTGTAGTATCATCTCTAATTCCAAGTCGATTGTGAAAATTGTGACATCGTCACTTTTGTCACCATGGCGACCTTTTTGCAGTCCTTTCGGAATTCCAGTATGCCCAAGCGGCTACTGCGATATACACTATCCAAACTGGATTACTTCGATACCGATGCCTTGGACATAGATAAACTGGACTTCTCCGTGGGCATGAATAATGTCTTCACATTACAAGATGTTGGGGTTAAGTTAGAGGCATGTTCACAGCTTTCCCCCCTATAGAACATCTTCAATAGCTTTAAATATGTAGGCTAACATATTACCCTGGAATAGAAACTAGAACAGCTCTTACAGCTTCCCCCGTCATTCGAAGTTCAAAAAGCCAAAGTTTTTCGTCTTCGTATTACCGTGCCCTCTGCCATCTATACAAGCCCCATTACTGTCGAAGTCGACGGCGTCCAGATAAAGCTCAAGCTTACTTCTAAGGATAGTAGCTCAGAGTCCACATCAAAAGGTAGCTCACATCGGAAAACGAACACTAAACCATCCGACGAAGGCGATACTGTTCCACATGCTATCGATTTAGCCCAGTCGTTCCTAGAGACGCAAGCCCCGAAAGACAAGGCAGAGCTTCAAGCTGCCCTCGAGGCGGAAACCCAAGACCTTGGTGCTTCAATAACGAGTAGCGAAGATGGAAGCGATGAGGATTACCCTCTAGGGACTGGTCAGCCTCTTTCACTACCAACCTTCCTAGCAGATTTCCTACAAGGCATAGTCGATCGTCTACAAATATCCGTCAAAGGAGTTACCTTTCAGCTCGACGTCGAGGTTCCTGTCGAACACAACCCGACAATTTCCGAGCCCGTAACCTTCCAACTCGCTGTCGATGACGTAAACGTAGAGGGTGTCACAACGGAGGTAGATGAGAGTAATACAGAGGGCACACCCAAAATAATTCACAAAGAAGGGAAGCGTTATGTTGGATTAAATAAAATTCGAGCGAGCTTGATCTCAGAGGCGAATGTTTTCTCAAATTTAGCGCGTTCTCCATCGATACCATCGTCGCATGCGACCAATTCGCCAACTATTACGAGGCAGCCGACCGCAACCGATGAATCGATTTCACCGACGATATCTGCATCTGAATGGCGATCTAACGTTGGCGATCTGACTGAAAGTCAAACGCACCACCACTTAATGGACAGTGAAGACGCCTTCAACATACCCTATGATTTAGGTAGTTCGAATGAAGACGATGAAGAACTAAGATCTACTCCATCAACTCCACGAGCGCTTGCACCCCACCCTTCACGAGATGAACCCGAACCGGCCCCTCTAATACGAGCGGCTCAATCGTCTATAAATCCGCCCCCAGATCAATGGTCATCTTCGATGCGTATTGCTCAATCCGAACCAACTCTAGAATACCGACAAAGATGGGGAGAGGGCTCTGTCGAATCGTCACAAAGTGCCGACGAACAATCGGATTCAATTGGAAGTGAAAGGAGACCTTCTCTAAACGAAGATCTTGCACGCTCCCACTTGTTTAGTCACGAAGATGCTGAAAGCATGTACATGAGTGCTTTTTCTTACGCTTCATCTTCCCAGGTAGACCAAGCAAATCATGCCATGCCTGGTGCTTGGGGTTCGGAGCCTCCAAGTGTGGAAAACTCCCCGAAGTCGAAACGTGAGGTTCAGCCTTTAACTTCCAATTCTCCAGAACCAACGACCAGTTCATCACAAAATATACCGGTAGATGAACTTTCTCCAGAAAATGAAACGTCGTCACCAAATTTACATCCAGAACATAATCCCGTCGTTGACAATCTTGAGGAGGCGAAACAGCCGCACGATGATTTACCCCATCCTTCAGAGGAAGCCCCAGCGGAAGAGTCTACGACACCTAGGGGACCAACGCGTCTTATTAAAGAACTCGTTTCATTAGATGTCGTTTCGCTGTATATTCCTTCAAATCACCAACGCATCCAGGTAGCGTATTCAGGAGAAGATTCAACCTCCGAAGTACCCCGAAGTCGTTTGGATCGTTCTATTTCTCCCAACCTTCCGGGCGCGTTCTCCGTTTACGCGGGCGATCAGTCCACTGCATCATTAGCCCCAATTCCTAACACACAAATTCCTCCAGCTCCTCTTGATAAAACCCTAGAGGTTATATTATCGTCACTAGAAATACGTTCCGACCTGTCGACCGGGTTTTTGCTAAGTATCGTGGTATCACGAATACTTTCAGCTTTGAAAGAGCAACCTCAAACCCCGCCCGCAAAACAGAAAATGAAGGTTGAAGATAAAAGTGACGCAGCGCCTTTGCCCGACATCAAAATCGCCGCAGAACAGATTACTATACATTTCCTCGAAAATCTAGTCGGAATTGCCGACACACCTGAGCGAATATTTAATCCCAGTCCTGCTTCCTTGGGTGTGGACGCCCTCTTAACTACGTCGATTCAAGATTTAAACGTCGGTATAATAGGTTTGTCATCTTCGACCGAGACCTCAGTCAATGTGGGTAAGTTTAAGCTTGGATATGGAAATGATGATATTGTTTCCTTCGATCAACGTATACAAATGCGAGCCTCGGTAAGGGACGCATTTCCCTCCGCCGGGGCCGATATATCTCTCAAGTTCACACAAACCCCTAAGACTACGAGATGCGAAGTCACAACCTTACCACTTCACATCAAAATGGACCTTCAAAGGCTAGATGAGACATTTAGTTGGTTTGGCGGTCTGAGCGGTTTCCTAAATATGAGCTCATCAATGACATCCAATACTTCACCGCCTCCCCAGAGTCCTCCGAGGACTCCAAAGGCGCCGTCCAAATCACGTGGCGTGAGATTCGATGCACCTATACGGCCAGATGACACATCGGCAAACTCAGAGAACAAAATGAACATGAGACTGGGCGGTCTCCGTTTAGATTTGATTGGAAAAGAGTGCAGTGTATCTCTGGATACTACCGCTGTAAAATTGGTTAGTCGAGATGAAGGATTGGGCGTTGGTATCTCCAAGATACAACTCGCAGGTCCATATACGAAGCGTTCCATGGGTGATCCCCCTATTAACGCCGTAATCACAAACACCCGCCTCGAATATCTCACAGCACCGAAGGATAACGATCTTGAAAGACTTCTAGAGCTTATCATACCATCCAAGTACAAGTTCGACGATCGTGATGACGAGATCATGGTGGACACTCTACTCTGGCAAAGAAGGAAAGGTGCTGTCTTACGCGTTAATGTCGATGACCTAGAAATTAGCGTTGGTAAGATACAGCATCTCGAAGTATTACCGACATTAGGCGAAGATCTAGCACGATTATCAACCGTCGCCAAATACTTGCCTGAAGACGACCGGCCGGGAATCCTTACACTAGGTCTGGTCCGCAATCTAGACGTCTCAGTAGATACCGGTGGGAAGTTGGGTACTGTTCGAACATCGTTGAAGGACACCGAAGTTGGCCATATTACCATGCCTTCCTTACTTGCGCTTGGAGTAGGCTCCATCTCAGTACGACGAAACCATACGGAGGAGTTAATTGGCACAACCCTTTCATCTCTTGAAAAGATCAAACCTGGTCCTGTTTTGACCATGAGGGTGATCGGAGATGAGATGGAGCCGGTTATTAAAGTCCGAATGCGGAATCTGAATATCGAGTATCGCGTACCAACAATTATGGACATTCTTGGCCTCGCTGAGGACACAACCCCACAGGATTACGAAGCCATGCTAGCAGCTTCTGTGGCTAATCTTGGCGAACATGCTCATGCAGCCATTACAGGGAAGCCACAAAGCCGCCCAGCGGATCCCGAAGGTAAATCCAAGGATGGAAAACCAACAAAAGTCGATTTCGTTATCCGAGACTGTCTGCTGGGCTTGAATCCACTTGGACTGACGTCGAAATTGACAATCGTGTTAACCGATACTCACTTTGAAGTTATCCTATCCGATGGCGACGACGTCAAGGCAACTGGTTATTTAAATAGAGCATCGATTCTCCTCATCGATGATGTTTCGATCCTGGAATCAAAAGATTCTCAGTCGGCTACTCGAAGGCGTAGCTCAAACACTCCTACCCCACAGGTGGTAGAGTTGTGCCAGAAAGGTTACGTAGACATATGCTTCGTTTCTTCAGCGAAGGTTGCAGTCCAAGTCGGTACCAATAAAAAGGACGGGAACAAATGGATTGATGTCGAATTGCGAGATGATCTTTTAGTCCTCGAGACTTGTGCAGACTCGACTCAGACTCTGATTGCCCTAGCCAATGCGCTCGCCCCTCCGACGCCACCAAGCAAAGAGATTAAGTATAGGACAAAGGTTGTCCCCGTCCAGGATCTACTGGCTTCCATATCTGCCGATGCATTCGGAAAAGCAGAAGGCGACTACGATTTTGATAACGATTTTGGTCTCGCACAAGAACTTGGTGGTGATGATGACGGGGACTTCGAACTTGGAGATTCTGGCCAATCAAGTCCTTTAGCCGTCGACTCGCGCTATTATGATGAACCTTCAGTCGCGGCCCAGCTCTTTGATGCGACAGATTCTATGGTCTCGGAGAGGACAACAACTCAAGACACAACCGATGGCGTCCTATTAACAAGCTTCAACAGCCAACCAGACATGCTAGACGCCGACGATGACGACCTGGTAATACATGAAAATTACTTTGGTTCAGGTTCTGTGATCGAAGGTACCGCTCACCGGTGGAACTCGGCGAATAATGCGTACGACGAAATAAACGACGAGAAAATCCAGCGCAGCCCTCTTGCGGTTCGTGTACGCGACGTCCATTTCATTTGGAACCTTTTTGACGGCTATGATTGGAACCGAACACGTGAAGTCATTTCAAAAGCCGTTCAGGACATTGAGACTACAGCTATCGAGCGTCAAACACGCCATGATCGTGCCCGCGCCAATACTGATATGGAAATAGTAGAAGAGGAAACCGTAATCGGGGACTTCCTTTTCAATTCGATTTATATCGGTATCCCGGCAAACCGGGATCCTCGAGAGCTTGCCCAAGCCATCAATCAAGAGTTGAATGACGCCGCTACTGAAACTGAATCGATAGCAACGACGGCAATGACCGCGACAACAAGCCGACAGGGTCACGCGTATCGAGCCAAAAAGAAGCTCAAGTTGAACCGTAGCAAGCGCCACAAGATTACATTCGAGCTAAAGGGCATCAATGTAGATTTGGTCACATTCCCCCCAGATTCCGGCGAGACACAAAGCTCAGTTGACGTTCGAATCAAAGACTTAGATATTTTCGACCACGTACCAACATCGACGTGGAAGAAATTTGCAACGTATGACCAGGATGCTGGCGAACGAGAGATGGGCACCAGTATGGTTCACCTCGAAATATTAAACGTGAAACCGGTGGCGGAATTGGCGGCATCGGAAATAGTTCTAAAGGCTACGCTTTTGCCACTTCGTCTCCATGTCGACCAGGATGCCCTTGACTTCATTACACGGTTCTTCGAATTCAAAGATGACTCCGCGCCGATACATTCCTCTCCTAGCGATGTACCCTTCGTACAAAGAGCTGAGGTAAATTCTATACCTCTGCAACTCGATTTCAAACCAAAGCGCGTCGATTACGGAGGTCTGCGGTCTGGCCATACGACCGAATTCATGAACTTTTTAGTCCTAGATCAGGCGCGGATGGTTCTGAGACACACTATCATTTACGGTGTCTCTGGGTTCGATAGACTAGGGCAGACACTGAACGATATCTGGATGCCTGACGTGAAGAAGACTCAGCTCCCTGGCGTTCTCGCTGGTCTTGCTCCTGTTCGCTCCATAGTCAACGTCGGAAGTGGCTTCAAAAATCTCATCGAAATCCCAATTAAGGAATACAAGAAAGATGGCAGAATAGTTCGCAGTATAAGCAAGGGTGCCGTAGCTTTTGCAAAGACTACAGGTACTGAAATTGTGAAGCTTGGGGCTAAGCTAGCCGTGGGTACACAATATGCTTTACAAGGTGCTGAAGGCGTCCTTGGCAAGCAGCCAGAATCCCGTGAAATCACAGGATGGGATGATGATGAATTGGACGACGAAGAACCTAAGCAGATTAGTCTATACGCCGATCAACCTACAGGCGTCATCCAGGGACTTAGGGGTGCATACTCAAGCCTTGCTCGCGATTTGAACGTTGCAAAGGATGCTGTTATAGCAGTACCTGGCGAGGTCATGGAGAGTCAGAGTGCTCAAGGAGCCGCCAAGGCTGTTCTCAAGCGGGCACCAACAATTATCTTTAGACCCCTCATCGGTTCAAGCAAGGCGATTGGGCAGACTTTGATGGGAGCTACAAACGCATTAGACCCGCAAAATCGGAGAAGGGTCGAAGAGGTAAGTTTACACTCATTCCATCGTGAATTATTTCTAATACTGACCGGTCCTTAGAAATACAAGCGTTACTAATCATTATCTTACTGAAACCTACCTATCTACATAGCATATCTTTTCTCGGCACGGAGTATGGATATGTCACGGGCCTGATGCTTCTTTTTTTATATTTGAAATTCTTGCATGACGCATGACGACAAATGCATCATAGACGGCGAATAAATTGATGTTATAAGTTCTATGAGATTGACAAGGACTTCTGTAATTTTTATTTAGGTTACGATAAGTTCTTGTATCGGGAACAACAGCATAGCATATTACCTAGTTTACATTTGACATATACCTGCTCTAAATCACATCACGACGGATCTGTTTATCTCGTGGGCAGAGATACATGTCTCGGAGCATTCGCTGGAGGTTATTTGAACTTTTACCGTAGGTTGATAGGTAGTTAGATACCTATTCCAGATACATTTGCATTATTTGTATGGCAAGTGTTTGGTCTTATTTACAGAAACTGATATATTTTATTACTGCGGCATTGTGAGAGGTATCTGTTTCCTCTTTACCTAGCGCTGTTTTTATAAACTGCCATTACGCTATAATATAGTGCCTATTAATAAATTTATAAGGCTATAGGAGTTGTAATTATAGTGAAATTTAGTGGGATACTAAAGTCTAGTGTGCTGTTACTTACTTAGGTAGGGCCTTAAGGTAGTTATAATGCATTATAATGCTTAATCGAAATTCATTATAAATGTATTATGATTATAAGGCTTAAAACACTATAATTATAGCAAATTATAACACCGGACTAAGATGTGTTATAAGCGTGCTATAATGCACTGTATTTATAAGTGAATAAGTGTTATAAGTATAATAGGATTTAAGAAGTATTTAAATAGTTAAAAATGAACATAATAAAACTTAAATAACTTTAAAAATTTATATTTTTATCATTTCTTAATTAATTTATATGAAATTTTATATATAAGGAATAAGAATATAATTTTCTTTTAATAAATTATATAATATTTAAATTTAAATATAAAATTATATATATTTTTAATTATAATTTAATTATAATAAATTTATATTTTTAATAAAATATAATTATTATTAAATTAATTAATTTAAGATATTTTAATTTAAAAATAATTATAATGAATTTATATCTTAAATGAGTATAGTTATTATTAAATTAATTAATTTAAAATATTATCATAAATTAACTTATAAAAAACTTTTATTCAAATTATAAAATAAAAGATTGGTAACTTATTATAATTAAATTTTAAATTAATATATTATAATAATCTTAAAATAAGAAAAAGAAAAAGAAATGGATTATATAACCATATATTTTTCTTATATATTTAAATATTCTTTTTATAACTTTTTAATTATTAATTTAAGATTATTTTTTTAAATATAATAAAAAGATTTTAAACTTTCTTAATAAATAAAATATATTATTAACATTATTATTTTTAAATTAAGATATTTTAAATTAATTAATTTAATAATAATTATATTTCTTTAAAACATAAATTTATTATATTTTAATAATTTTTTAATTAATATTAATATTAAATTAAAAAATAATATAAATTATTTATAAAATATTTTATTATTATTATTAATTAAATCTTCTTTTATTTTATTAATTTTTAAAAATAAAATAAAAAAGAATTAAAAATAAAATTAAAAATAAATTTTTAAATAATTTATATGTGATAAACCTATGCCTTAAAAAGGTATGGTTATTATTAGATTAATTAATTTAAAATATCTTAATTTAAAGATAATAATATTAATAATAAGTTAAATAATTAAATAAATTCTATTTATTAAAGAAGTTTAAAATTATTTTATTATATTTAAAAGAATAATTTTAAATTAATAATTAAAAAATTATAAAAAAATAATTAAATATATAAAAAATGTTTATATTTATATAATTATTCTTTTTTCCTCTTTTTAAAATCTTATTATTATTATAATTTAATTAATTTTATTACATTAATTACATTAATTAAATTATATTAATTATATATATTATAATTCTTTTATAATTTAATCATAATTGATTAAAGAATATTTATTTTCATTATAATAAATTTCTTTAATTTATAATATTATATTTTATTTTTAAAAATAAATAAATGTATATTTTCTTTATTATATTAAATTTCTTTTTTTTATTTATAATTTATTATAATAATATTAAAGTATATTTCTAAATTAAAATCAAAATTTAAACTTTATTTCTTTTAAAAAAATATTATAAAACAAAAACATTATTCATAAAGTTATATAATATATTTTATTTTCTTTATTTAAATTTTATCTATTTTAATAAAATTTCTTTTTTATAATTAAATTAAATATTTATAATAATTATATTTATAAGATAAATAAGATTAATTATAATATTATAATAATAAATTCCTTTAATAATATTTTATTAAAATTAAAATACTTATAAAATAAATATTAAAAAGTTAAAAATAAGTTAATAAATATTAAAAAGTTAAAAATAAGTTAATAATTATTAAAAAGATATTTTTAAATATATAAATAAATTATAATATATTTATTATTAAAAAAAGATAATTTAAATAAAGATATTTAATATATTTTAATATAAAAAAGAATTAAATAAAGAAGAAAAAAAATTTAAAACATAATAATTTTTTATTAATTCTTTTTTAATTTCTTTTATTTCTTTTTTAGAAATAAATTTTAATTTTAATTTAATATTATTATTAATTATGGTTATATAGGTTTTAATTAATTAAAATTTTAATAATAAAAATCCTTAATTAATTTTTAGATTTTTTTATTTATAAGATATTCCTATGGTTTTTAAATATTATTTTTTTTAAAATAATTAAATCATTTAATAAAATACTTAATTTAATTATTAATAATCTTAGAATCTTAAATAATTTTAATATTATATTCCTTTAGATTTTCTTTTAATTTAATATCTCTTTTAAATTTAATATTTTTAAATATTAATTCTTAATTTTATATTTATTAATAATTATTAATAATAATTTATTTTTAAAAGGACTTCCTTAATTAAAAAAGGTCCCAACTTCTTAAAATTTAATTTCTTATTTAATCTCTTAATTTAAATCTATGGTGTTTTTAAGGTTAAATATTATTTATATTATAAAAAATAATTTTATCTCTTTTTTATAAAATTGATCCTTTAATTCTTTTCTTATTATAATATATTATCATTTATTTCTATAAAAATTCAAAACATTATTTAAATTTAATTTATAATATTAAGATTTTAATAATAAACATTTTTATTTTAAGTAGTAGTATTTCCAATTCTAGGGTAACCTTATTTATTAATAGTTTATATTTTATATTTATTTATTATTTATATAATGTTTTTTATGGTAATATTTTAATAATATTATTTATTAAAATATTATATAAGGATATAATAAGTAATAAGAGTTTTACTTAATTATCTTATTTATAATTAATATAATTTTATAAATATTATTTTAACATTTAATTTAATCATTTTATTTACCTATTAATTTAAGGGTAAGCCATTATAAAGAATTTTTACTTAATTTTTAATCTCTTTATTAAGCTAATGTGATGAACCTATACCTTTAAAAAGTATAATTATTATTAAATTAATTAATCTAAGATATCTTAATTTAAAAGTAATAGTATTAATAATAAATTAAATAATTAAATAAGTTTTATTTATTAAAGAGGCTTAAAATATATTATTATTATAATGTCACAACCTAACAACTTACGGTCGCATCCTTCTAACCAGATAGGGCATCAAGCATCTAATCACAGAGAAACTACAGCAAATAATCTGCTTTATCAGTTAACAAAACATAATGCTCTATTCTGCTCCAGAGCAGAATAGAATAAAGAAGATGTTGCTCTGACTGGCTCCAAAATAGAAAAAAATAAAGTAAAATAAAAAGAAAAATATTGGATTATATAATCATAAATATTTCCTTTATATCTAATCATTTTTTTTATAAGTTTTTTAATTATTAATCTAAGATTATTCTTTTAAATATAATAAAAAGACTTTAAACCTTTTTAATGAACAGAATATACTTAACTACTTAACCTATTATTAATATTGTTACCTTAAAATTAAGACATACTAGATTCGCCAATCCAGCAACGACTATACCTCTCTGAGGCATAGGTTCGTTACAAGAACATTTCATATTTCTATACCTTATAATATAATATATAGATATTAAAGAATTAAATAATTAAAAATAAATTAAAATTAAAGAAAAATATATAAAATTATTTTTAAAATTATTTTAAGATAATCTAGATATAGATATAAGTATACCAGAATATAATTAATATAACCATAAAATTATATTAAAGAAAGGAAAATATTTAAAACTATATTAAGTTTATAAATTAAGTTAAAATAAGTCTAAAATCTTATATATTATATTTTAAGATAAAGAGGTAAAAGGGTTTATATAAAAATTAAAATTATTAATAAAATATTTAATCTTCTTAATATTTAAAAAGAATAAAAATGGAATACCTAAATTAAATAAAGAAGGAAAAATGATATGGAAGGATGTTTATAATTATTAACAATTAAATGAGATCATGATTAAAGATGGATACCCTTTATTATATATTGAAAGCCTAAAAGAAAAGATAGGTAATAATAAATGATTTATATCATTAAATCTAAAATTTATTTTTAACCTTATACGAATTGTTGAAAGAAATAAATGGAAAATAATTATCAAAATATTACATAATCATTTTCAAATATTTGGTAATATTATTTAGATTTATAAATATATCAGTTATTTTTTAATAAATAATCTAGGATATTCTATGATAATTTTTTAGAAAAAACATCTTTATATACTTAGACAATATTCTAATTTATTTAAGAATCAGAAAACAATATAAAAAAGATATATATGAAATATTTAAGGCCCTAGGAGAAGCTAAGTTTCTTATGGATTTAAATAAGAATAATTTCTTTATTTAAAAACTTAATTACCTTAGATATATAATCTTTCCAAAAAGAATCAAGATTTAGAAATCTAAGATATCCATAATTAAGGAATGGTTAACCTTAGAAACCATTATGAGAATATAAGTTTTCCATAATTTTTATAATTATAATAAAGCTTTGATTAAAGATTTCAAGAAAATTATAGAACCAATAATGACTATAATATATATTAAAAATCTAAAAGATTTTAAATGAACATAAGAAATAAAAAATACATTCTAAGAAATAAAAAAGATTATAATAAAAGATCTAATAATAAGGTTATTTAATTTAAATAAAAAAAAATAACTATATATTAACATCTTAAATAAAATAATAGAAACAATATTAAAATAACTGAAAGATAATGGAAAATAACATCTAATTACCTATTTTTTTAAAATCTTTAAAAAACTAGAATTAAAATATAAAATATATGGCTAAGAATTTATAATTATTTATTAAATATTAAAAAAATAAAAACCATAAGTATTAGGAATTATTAAACTGTTACAACCCAACAAGAGGAAGGCCAGGGAATAAGGACCTGGTGGGGCCAGGGTGACCAATCAGAAGGAAGTCTCTATAAAG